GTTGTCCTATTCTCACTTCTCCGTCAAATTGAGAACAAGAAAATTAAACATTTTATTTTATTTGAGAGCCAAGGAGAAAGGAAGGAGGATAGGATTTGAAACGACGACACAGTTAAAAAAATTTAACTTATTATCCGTTAGAGCACTTAAAAGAGTAAAAAAAAAAAAAAGTCTTAGCCGAATTTAAAAATTTAGTTTTCAGTTCAAAACAGATATATTTTTGGTCGACAAGATCCATGAACTTGTATAAATAAAATGACAATTACCACTGGACTCCAAATTAGACAATTCAGCGAAATGGATTGGGTTTTGGCCCATGAATACATGTGTGGCTGGCAATCATTGACAAAAAAAGAAAAGAAAATGGCAATCTAACGACCAAAAACAGAAAAAGAAAAGAATCTGAAGAAGATGACAAGAAGGGAGAAAAGTGAAGTAATAAAGAGTCTTTGTTCACTTTTCTCATCCAAGAGAGCAAAGAAAAGTGAAAATAATGGCAAATGAAAGTAGAATAAAATAGAGTAGAGTAAATTTTTTTATTTCATTTTTTGAATACTTTTAAGATAGAGCGAGTTAAAAATATCCCTCTATTATTTAGGAAGTCAATGGAATCATAAGAATTATAACTTTATTATTTCAATACTGTCCTTGTTCCAAATGTATATTTGTCCACACTAGGCATTATTCATCCATACTGTGTATGGGGCAAGGTTGGCACTTGTTACTCACCATTTCGTTCAAATATTATACATCTTCAAGCATATTATTCAGTTCAACCATTCGTTTTATTTCTCTGCCAGTGCCTTTAACTTTAAGCATCTTCAATATCAAGATAGATTAAAACACAAAAAACAACTATATGGCTTGGAGGGTGAACCTGTTAAAGAATATTGGAGGAAATGAGAACAGTAAGAACGAAGGCAACATTGCATTACTTTTCCATACATCCTAACTTAGAAGGAAGAAAATGAAATAAAATAATCCAAACAATGATAGGATAAAAATATAACTTTATTCCTTCATTTATTGTTAATAAATATACACAAAAACAGCAAGAATTAAGTTATTTCATGAGTAACTTAATTCTTAGTTCACAAAATATTTTTTTAATTTTTTTTCTTTTCTTACATTTCTTATAGTCCAAACACAATGTAAGTGAGAAATTGTTCATAGAAGTAAAAAAGTTTATATCTATTTTATGTTATCCCTGTTGTGAAATAATATAAGGCGAATACTTTAGTTTTATAAGAACACATGGTTTTATAGTAGTTTGTTTTTAATTTTTTATTCATTAAATAAATAAATAATTAAACTTTTGTTTAATTAAAAAAGAAAAACATATTTTTATATTTATTTATTCTCTTCCACTTAAGCAAAGGCTAATGGGGTGTAGTGTAGTGGAGGGGGGGTAAAAGTCTTGTCAACATGATTGCAACTATGTTTTCTTTTCAAGAGTTTGAGTGAAGCACTCCTCATGCACAGGCTCTAGTTGGGCCCTTTCTTTTATTGATGATGTTCATTCATCCACTCAACCCTCAATCTTAAAAACTCACAATAGCACTCAATCAATCAATCAATCCTTCTTGACTCATGACTCTCCCTCTTTCGTTCATTACTACCACTACTGTCAGCTATTAATATTAAAAATTATATTTTGTTGCTTTGAAAAGCATTTCTTGTTATAAATTTAGTTCCCAGTGATGTTTGACCTACCTTACAACTCCACTAATTCATTCTTTATATATATATATTGGTACGACTCTATCTCAATTTATTCTTATATTTGTGGCAGTAAATGCATTAATCATAAAAATATTTATACTGACAGTTAATTAAAATATGTTATTAATATCATCTTAAAATTAAATTTTGTAAAAATTAAAAATATTTTTGATTGATATAATAATTTAACATTAAATAATATTATAATTTTGTATCTAATTACTAGAAGGAATTTATTTAATATTTTATTTATTATTTATTTTTACATCTCTTTTTGAGATGTATAATTTATTCAGATGTTTATGTAAAATTGAACACATCCATACAAGTATATGTGCTTAAACTTTTATTATATAAAATAATTAAAATTATATTTTTTATTTAGTTTAGTTGGGATAAAAGTTGGTAGATAAGATAGATAAAAAAAGAGTGAATAAATTAATTTTTATTTTACAATTAAATGAAGAGAAATCAAAGAAAAGTAGAGCACATAATTTTTTCTCTATCCCTAAAAAAGGAGAAAATAAATTTGAAGAAAAAGATTTTTTTTAGTGACAAATGTATTCATGTTAAAAATATAAATATTATGTAATATAATTATATTTTTTTAATACAAAATTTCCTTTTCTAATAAAAAAAGTTTTTTTTTTCTTTTGTATTATCATTTTCCGTATCGGAACAAATATCTGCCGAATCCTTTAGTTCTTGCGTGAAAATCATGAAGGTGTACTAGTGAAAATGCTGACAGATTGCAATTTTAGAAATATTTTTTAATTTTAAAGAGTATTTTTTTTATACATATGTATTTTTACAAAAGACAAAGTAATTATAGACAATATGATAGATAATATAATTTTTCAGATATTTAGATAATAAAATATATAAAAGTAAGGTACCTACTACCTAACAATGATAATAGAAATATATACTATATTAATATTAACATGAAAAAATTAATTATAGTAAAATAATAAAAATACATAAATACAAAACTATTTCATTTGCTGCAACTATCCGTGGACGTGGCAGACAGATCAGACAAGTGACAGGGACCAACCCATTGGGTAGTGTGGGCCAATTCCATTTCCATTTCTCTCTCTCTCAACATTGGAAGACAGAACGACAGCGTCCCGCGGGAAGCACGGGCGAAATTTTCTGTTGTGAACTGTGCCCGAGTCTCTGCCCCACCTGCCCGGCCCCTCTTCAAATCCTTGTACCACTCCCAGCACCTGTTCTTCAAAATCACTACTATATGCTTCATTCTCTGTTTCCACATGTTCCACAATATTGCAATTGCAAGCCAAGAAATATTTTTCTTGTGGACCAACTTCCATTCAAAACATGCATATCTATACCGTTACAAAAATCTTAGTTCATTCAACTTCCAAAATGAATACATATCTACTTGCTTTCTCATCTTCTTTTATAGCAAGTTCATCACCTTTTCCCATATTATTCCTGCATCGCCATAATTAGTAGCAGTGCCTCAATAAAATAAATGCCAATCAGCCACCTCTGCACTGCACAACTCATAGTGCAATATTTTTTGACCTTATCCTTTGCGCTCCACTGAATAATTGTTATATTTTATAATTAACCTTCTTAAAAGTTTTAAAATGAATATTAAATAAAAAGTTAAATACAAAGAAGAAAGAAATTTAGAACGTCAAGAGTGATGGAGTGAAACAAGATACAAGGTAAATGCATAAAGAGAATGTTATAAAATTGTGTATAAAAGTAATACTACTATATCTTACCCTGCATCATGTTTTAACAGTTTTAGTTGCTCTGACACTATTTTGATTGGTAAGTACACAGAGCACTCCTTTACCTTTAAACAATTTTAACCACTGTATCATATAGGCTAGGGCAAACAAGTAGCGTTATGCAACGTACCTATTTTGAGAATTTTAGAAGCTATTCATCCATGTTGTGCCTTGGCCACACCCATACATTATATGCCAGAGCTTCTGCTCAATTTAAATTATTTTAAAATTTTATGAAGTTCAATTTTCACATATTTGCGTAAGAATACAATTTAAACTTACTCCAAATCCTAACTTGTAACCATTAAGAGGAAATTATCTTATTAATTATCATGAAACAAAAATCTTCCCATTGTACGAGAAGATGACAGGATTACACTGGAAAGCGAAAATCAAATACTACAATGATTCAATTCAAGTACTTAAGATTATGTCCGAAATTTACACGAACCTTATTTTATTTGCCTCCTCAATATTTCACCTGAGGATCTCCACTTGCAGGTCCTCCAAGCGTTAACACTAACCCTTGAAGATCACTTCTGATTTTATGCTCCTTGGATACAGTTGGAGTGCCGCGCATAACCGGCAATGGTGGAGCCACTGATGTTTGGCTGGAACCATGGCAAGTCTCTGCATGCACATGATTGTAGTTCAAAAATGCTTGAGTGGAAGGAAAAGAACTTGCTAGAGAACAATTTGGTTTAGCACTGGCCCCGCTTGAGACAACTCCTGCTCCTTGCTGCATTTTTTGTTTGTTATTGAAACTAGTTAGTTGCAAGTTGCAACACTAAGATAATAATCATAATGTGACACATTATAGCACCAAAGTTCAGAAACATACAGGTGCAAATAAGACCCCTCTGAAAATCCTTCCATTCACAGCTGCAGGAACAGGGTTCACCACGTGTTGAATGGGTCCTCGCCCAGGGGATTTTTGCTCTGCAGCCTTATGTTGAGCCCTTTTTCTATCCTCATAATCAATAAGACATTGTTCTTGTTTTAGTTTATGTTCTAGCAAGTGAAGATCTTGTGGACTTCTTACTGGGATATTCTTCAAAGTTCTCTTATAACTAGAGCCATTGTCATGTTGGCAAGTGGTTGGAGACAATGTATTTGAATTTTGACATGGGGACCGTTCTTGATATGGAGATGAATGAAGTGACAATGAGAGAAAATTTTCTTCTTGTTCCGATTCAACATCCCACATCTTTTCAGCGGCTATTCTTCTCCTCTTTTGTCGGGAAGTCCCTACGTAAAATCCTTTTATTTTCAGTCAATTAACCCCTAAAGTAATATGATATATATTAAGATTTAAGTAAGATATTAAGTGTAAGTTTCAACCCACCTGAATCGAAATGATAAGGTGGCACTTTTTCTGAAGCAACTTCATAAGCTCCTCTTCCAACAACTTGCACATTATTCCCCATGGCCACGAGAATAGTTTTCTGCTTGAAAACTCACTATTAGTTCTAATTTTGATAAAAAATTGAACAAGGTAAAATAATGGGATTGTTACATCAACTTCAGTACCGAGTTAGTATCTGCTTCTCCTGTGATAATCTTCTTGTCTTGATTCCAGTAAGTTCCAAAAGGTTTGCACATGGGAATGTGGTAATGTCCATTTGGGTGCTCTGCTCCTAGCTGCAACACTAACAGTTCATTGAGAGGACGTTCATCTTCCCCACACCTGCTATCAACAAAACAAAAATTGAACAATTAAGAGAGAGAGCGGAACATTGTAACATTGGCTGAAAATTGAAATAAAATTGATAGACAGGATTATACCCGCCATATACGGCAATATCCATGTCTACAACAACAGCCGTGTGAGAAAATCGCCCTTGCAGCTGTTGACCGCGTATATCAAGTTGCGTCCATGAACAAGTGCAGATATCAAAGATCCAAACGTCATTATAGTACCGTTTATCTCCAACTCCTCCAATGATATAGACCTGAGCATCAAGCAGAGTTCATATACTTCAGATTTCTTAATACAAATCGTATTTGAGCATCTTAATTTGAAAATGATGTGCCTCTATGCAAATAAATACAAATGTAATGTTGTCTTAACAAATCTAATAATTTAAGTACATGTTTGGTTCAACTTTTTTCTGAAAAAATAATTGCTTAGTTCTTTTAGCTTTTGAAAAATAAGCCATTATTATTTTTGTAAAATTAAGCTGAACTAAAACATGGTATTAGTAATAGGGAAGTCTTAATAAAAATGAATACATCAGTAATATAACTTGCCTTTGTTCCAATATTCACAGCAGCATGACCTGCCCTGACTCCTGGTGGAGAACCTTGAATTGTCATCTGTCAATAAAATGCCAATAAAGCCATTGTTAAATCCCATCGAGTGAAAAATACGTTAGTTTCCTTTTTCAACAAAACCAATAGCAATTATCAAAGAGAAAGAGGGAAGACCATACTCTAGTCCAAGTCATTGTTGCCATATCAAGCATATGAACATTGCCATGATATTGATCACCTGAGTCTCCACCATACACAATAAGTTTGTTCCCAATTGCAAGGGTACTGTGACTGTCTCTAGGGACAGGCAAGTCACCTTTCAACTCAGGAGAAGTCCAATTCATGGTCCGAAGATCAAGAATATGCAAATCATTTAAATAATTAGCATGGCCTTCTCCACTACCACCAAATATCACTAATCTTTCATCACCAACGAGTGTGGCAGTATGGCTTTCACGTGGAGAAGGAGGAGTCCCTTTACATTCAGGGCGAACCCACTCTTTAGTAACAAGATCCAATATATGAATATGATTCACCTTCTTGAAGCCATTTGTGCCACCAAACACTATCATTTTATGCCCTACAAGGACAGCACTATGGCTATCTCTAGGCCCTGGCTTTTCACCCGTCGTAGCAAGCTTGCTCCAAACCATTTTGTTAAGGTCCAAAGTCAGAACATCGCAAAAATGCAGTCCCCCACAGCAACCCTGAAATAGTAGACACTATTTTCTTATATGACTACATTTAAAGCTTACAAACCCAAGAAACATAATCACTAAAAGCAAAAAGAACTTTCATAAAGTCCACTATTTTGCTCACTTGCTTCCACATGAAGAATTGTATGTGATAGAACAAAAGAAAGGTAATAATGATTATGTTCATGCATTTTCTTAACTTTCACACGCTGCATTAACAATATGAACCAAGTAATCTCAACCTAAAAAGAAAAGGCAAAATCTTTTTATGTTAATCTCTTTACTTTTAATTGTGCTTAAATTTTTGCAATATCTATTTAGTGGCAAGACAGTAATAAATAATAAACTAAGAGGTTTTCAGATTACCAGGACAGTAAAGCAGCACAGTTTCTTTTTCAGTGCATGCTTTATAACGCAAGAAGAATGAAAATGTGAATATTGCTATATCAAGGAAGCAGAAAAATGATGGCAACCCAAACACGTGTTGTCACACTAATTACAGTAAGGAAAATGAATTCAGACAACTGTCTCCAAGAAAAATGCTAGGTAAAAGAGATTGGGAAAAAACTAAAATTCAGAGAAGAAAGTGATTTGGTTCTTAGCCACATATAGATAGAAATAACGCAGTAATTAAAGAAGTAGTAGTCATACTCATAGTAGTACTAGGAGCTCACGAAATTCTAAAGCACACTACAAGAACAAAATTCCCAGAGATGAAGATACATGACTGTACAGGAAAAACATCCCCAGGAAACCAAAGGAACTAATGAGGACAACCAGTAAAGAACAGTTTAACAAAACATCTAGAAGTGATTAAGAAGCTAATTAGTGGTTATGAATTACTAAATGGAACTACGACAAAAAGTTTAACAAAAGCTTCTCTCTCTCTCTCTTCCAGTAAAAGGATTTTATCTCATACCCCAAAGACATACATAAGCCCCTTGGAGAAGCAAGCAGAGTGCCCCCATCTTTCGGAAGGATTAGAACCCAAAACCTTTGGACACAGCCACATTGCTTTCTTCTTGGCAACTTGAGCTACCAGAGAACCCATCTTTCTATATTCTTTCTCTCTGTGTGCGAGAGTGTGTGAATGTGTGAAGTTCAGTTTAAACTTGAAAAAGTTATGTTGAGCACAGTGATTGACAAAGATGAAGAAACAGTCGAGGAGGAAGAGTCGTATGGAAAGAGAGATTCAAAGAAGACATCAACAAGGCAAGTGATGTATCAACAATCAATGTCAACGGACATGAAAAGATGGGCGCTTTCAAGTCCAAATCACTGTGGCAACCAACAGCAACTGATGGATGTAGTGAAAAGAACAATTTTACTCTCCCTCCCTTCGCATTATATATGTTACATTCTACCCTCAATCCGATAACAAAAATGGCGAATGCCAACAAGCAACAAGGTTGTCCACCAAACTAGTTAAAATTATAAAATAAAAATTTTTGGAAAAGATTATCAATCTATTTTATTATACTTATTAAGAAAATATTAACAAATATTCTAAATATATCTGTTAGAGAATAAACTTTTAAAGAGTATTAAGAAATATAATGTTATACCCTCCAATTTTAAATACAATTTTAACATTAATTCTCGTAAAAATTTATTATTTTATAAACTAATATTTAAGGGTGCCGTTAAAAAAAATCTCAAAACTTTTAATATACCTCTGTTATAATTTTTTAATAAATTATGTTAATGATTTTATTCTCTTAATAATAATAATAAATATTATTGATAACAATAGTGATAAAAATAAGAAAAATTATTTTAAATGTTTAAGTTGTGTTAAATATTTAAAAATAAATAAGAATTTAAACAATTATTTAGTATATTTTATATTTTTAATATAATAAATATATATTGTTCATAAAATTTCACAACATTTAATTAATTAAACTCAACCTTCAAAGTTAAAGGTAACAGAATCTTAATAATAATAAAGGAGTGTTTGTTAATATTGATAAATTGACACAGTTTAAGCAATATATATATATATATATATATATATATATATATATTATAAAACAATTTAAACACTTGATTAGATTATAGTTAAATATCTTTCGTTTATTTTATTTTATTTTTTACCATCAAATATGAAATTAAATTTTTGTTTTTAATATCATCTAGTTGTTTAAATAAAAAAACGAGAGGGAATAAACATTAATTATAATTCTAAATGAGAAATAAAATAAGTTAAAATATTTTTTATGAATCTATATTTTTAAAAATATTTAAATAGTTTATAATAAAACTTTAATAAACTAAATACCACTAAAATAGTGTTTTATAAAAAAATTTAATTACATTTTAAAATTTTACCAACTAACGTCGTTATGATGTTAAAAAAGTATAATTTTTTGTTGCAAAACACACTCATAATACAAACATAGCAGAAGACCTATTAGAAACATGTAACTGGTGTTGCCCTGCTGGGCTGGATAAGTTCTACGAACATTAGCTAGTGATGTAAAATCATGGAATGTGACTTAGGAGGAGAGAGAGAGAGAGAGAGAGTATAATTCAAAAGGTTTTTTTTTTAATGAGTATTTCATCACCTTATTAAAAAAATATTTATTTCACGTTGTCTTTTGTGATCAATAGACATTTTAAACCTTTATTGCATTAAAATATTTTATCTAACTTATAGTTTTATTCTGGATAAATAATCTTTTATCCTGGACGATATATTTTTAAAAATTATTTATGCATTTGAATATTCAAAAGCATAAATCTAAGACCACTAATTTAAGTTAAAATAATATCATGTCAATTAATTTATACGTTTAATAATAATCTTGTTGTTTTATTTTCTTAATATATAGTGGGAATAATTTTTAATATGAATTATTTTAAGTTTATGTTTTAAATAAGTTTTTTAATGCATTTCCTTGCATAATGATTAAAAACATTGAATGTCATATTAAATATTTTAAACTTTTTAAATAATCATTTAATAATTTGATATTTTAATATGTTAAAATTTATACATAATTTTAATTAATTCCTTCTTTTTTCGTATTAGAAATCAGGTTTAAAATAATTTATTTAATATATTTAAAAATTATATATAGATTATTACAAGGTTTAATATATTAACAATATTAAATAATATATTTTACAAATATATTTTATCGTGAGTCTTTGATCATAAATATTAAAAAGTAGTTTTTTTTCTTGCTTTAAAGTTTTTATGTTGTTATCTTTGCTTTCATGCTTTGTCTAGCTGAAATTTATGTAGTAGGTTGTACACTCGCAGAGAAAAGACACTCCTCGTTATCCTCCTTCCAGTTAGAAATTTTAGAATGGCTGTGTTTTTGTTAAAATTAATAAGTTAAAAGTATTGGATGATTATTTAATTTAATAAGATGGGGGGTTGTTTATTCGAAAAAGTTTTAGGATAATTTATATGACTAGTTTTGAAGTGATACAAATTATTCTAAATATATTTATAACATAAAATAAATACTTAAATATATAATATACTCAAGTTCACTCTAAATCTCCCGTTGATTTCTTTATATTTGTTAGATAAAAAAAAAACATGAATCCAAAATTTAATACTAGTGTAATTGGTGATATGTTTTGAACCTGTGAGTAATTGAGATTGAACTCATCAAAACTTTTTACTCTAATTAGAAAAATGATAAATAGATTACTATTTGTTTTTAAATTTAATTTTGATGTATTAAATATATAAAATTTTCTATATTTTCAATCAATTATAATATTCGCATATATAACTTTTATAAAAGTTTTTTTTTTATACAACGAGTCATTATTAAATGACAGCGTTGGCATGATATAATTAATTCAAGTTTTTTTTTAACAGTTTCAATATGTTAAATGGTGTATTTATTTATATTTTCATTTATAAATTAATATAACAAAATACTTAATGAAAGTACAGAAAACACTATTTATTAATATTTTAATTAATATCTTAAGAATATTTGGTAATAAAAATTTATTAAAACTTGGATACAACAACAAAGGTAGGTAAAAATGGCTTCCTCGGAGATAGGGTCCCGTGTGACAGATAGGTGCCGTTGACTGAAACGAAACTCGATATCCCATTCTTGACGGCAACGCTCACATTCCCAACCCAGACAAGCGACGGCGTTTACACGGGCTGGCACAGTGGCACTGGTATTTGGTCCTTTTATTTAATGCTCATGTATTTGGTCTTTTCATCTGCAGTTCTCCACCTTATAACAGTCACGGAGACAGAGAGAGTCTTTTTTTTATCTTTCAGAAAGGGTGGGTGTCCACAACTAGTGAGGAACCTAAAACAGCTAATGCCTACTCAGCGCATATGTGCTCAGTGCTCCTCTCCACTTTTTTTTTACTTCAGTGTTTATTTATTTTATCACAAAAGTTTCTTATATCTAGTGCCTATGTGAGAATAGGTTAGACTTTTTTTTTCTTGTTCTTATTTATACATTTTGATTTTAAACACTAGTACTTTAAATATCTATTAAGCCGACTTTTTTTTTTTCACAATTCTTGTTTCTTTAATGTATATAACAGATTTCAAATGATTGTTAAAAGACACCACATCTTGTTATGAAACGTTTAGTCTCTTAAATTGATTATAGGCAAGCAGTTCTAAGCTTTAAAAAGATTTTAAGAAAACAAAAGTTATATTTTATTTATTTATGATTATATAAAAAACATCTTTATTTTAAAATGTAATTGTAATTTATTTTTTTAAAATGATTAAAGCATCTTCTATAACTAAATAAAAAATTTATTTATTTATATATTTTAAAAATAAATTTTCACGAGAATAAACTGAAACAAACGAGCTATATCCACCATCAAGTACACATTAGTTAAACTTGCCAACTGGACCTTTTAAGTTTTAACCAAGTAGCCAACAGAGCAACTGCACAATCACAAAATGCATAAATGGTCAGAAAAATTCCACCGAAAATCGGAGAAAATTGAAAAGGAAAAAAATATATGAACCAAAGATACCCAAATAGTGAAGTCAGGAAAATTAAAAAAAAATGCTGTGGTCACGAAGCAGATAAGGTACCCTCGAAAATTCTGTTCCCTCGCAGTTCCCAGTTGCCATTCCCACCATACCATCCGAGCAAAGAAATTTAAAAGGCAAAACAGTGCACGAGTTGGGAAATAAATATAAATTTAAATTAATACGAATAAAATCAAAATCCTCTCCGTCACTCACAAACAGAATCAGTTGAGTGAAGCATCACATGGCGATGGCATTTGAAACGAGTCGCTTTTGTCTATCGCGCCCAACCACTTCAACACACTTCTTCTTCTCATCCAATCTCAAACCACTCAAACCTATTTCGCTTCCTTCTCGATTCTTCCATTGCCGATCGAAACGCCTCGTTTTGATGCCGAGACTTGTGGTAAAAGCTTGCGCGGTGAACGTTGAGGAGAAGAATGTCGCATCAGGAAAAGGAGGAGAAGCTTGGGGGAATGTTTCTGCAGTGTTGTTTGACATGGACGGTGTGCTCTGCAACAGCGAAGAGCCTTCTAGAAGAGCCGCCGTCGATGTGTTCGCTGAGATGGGCGTCCAAGTCACCGTCGAAGATTTTGTGCCGTTCATGGGAACCGGTACTTCTCTAGGTTTCTGAATTTTGTTTACCGTGGTTTTTGAACTCCTTGCTTCAATCTCCACCGTAATTTCGGAATACTCTTGTTTTTTAGCTTGTTGCCTTCGTTACCTGTTCAGTTATTTAGAAGCGGAGAAACGTTGCTCGTTTTATCTAAAGGGTTTCAATAGCCAATGTTGAATTTCTGTGGCATGGATCAAATAGGTGATAGTGTTAATGAAATGCAATTCATATGATCCGTGCTTCGTGTGTTCTGTTGGTATTGAGATGCTTTCATATTGCTCTTGATTGGAAACTCACTTTGTATCGTGTCTATAGATCAGGAAAAATAGGCCTGAGGATTGGTTCGCTAACCATAGCTTCTGACTTCTGAGTTTTGACTAACTGAATTAATGTATATTTTAGAACAGCCTTCTCAAGAATTGTCTACCTTCATGCTCGATGCAGTAGGGGTGTAAATACGCCAGTATTTTCACTCAGTTGTTTTATTGAGCTGTTAATTTGATTATTAGGCTTTTATATTATTCATTGTTTTTTTTAAACATGAAAGGGGAAGCAAACTTTTTGGGAGGGGTTGCTTCTGTTAAAGGAGTTAACGGATTTGATCCTGATGCTGCAAAAAAGAGGTTCTTTGAAATATATTTAGATAAGGTAAAATTATTTATGTCTCACTTGATGCTACTTTTTGTCTCTTTTACTCTATACTGCCTAAGGTGTTGTCACTTATCTCAGTATGCAAAACCAGATTCTGGAATAGGATTTCCAGGTGCCCTTGAACTCATTTCTCAGGTATGTAAGACTGATCATGATTAACATGGTTTGGTTCATCACCTTGTTGATTCATCAAGCGACTAAGAAAGGACATGCTACCACGTAACAGTGTAAAAGCAAAGGGCTTAAAGTGGCTGTTGCATCTAGTGCTGATCGCATAAAGGTTGATGCAAATTTAGCTGCTGCGGGTTTACCATTGTCATTGTAAGCCAACATTACATTCTGGGTGACTTATTGAATGTGCATGGAAATATTGACCTTTAACTTTTGCTGATAATGTATAGTATACATCATTGATATTTTTTGAAAATTTCACTTTATTTCTTCAGTTAGTTTTAACAATGTTGAGTCATTAAACCATAATAATCCAAGATGAATTGTATTCCGCATCATATTATTTGCTAAGCTGTAGTATGTTTAATTTAAACACAGTACAAACAGTATACTTTTGCTATGCTTCATGCCGGAATTCATCAGTTTGACTTTACTTGTAACCTGCAATGTATGAAGGTTGTTCTTGTTGTACAATTGCATTTGTTTTATCAGGTTTGACGCGATTGTCTCAGCAGATGCTTTTGAGAATTTGAAACCTGCTCCTGATATTTTCTTAGCTGCATCCAGAATATTGAATGTGCCCCCCAGTGAGGTATATGCTACTAGATTGAGATTGTCATTATAGGCCTAAGTTGTATATTTTTGGATGATTGATTTTGTAGAGTGGTAGTGTTTTATTGTTGTAAAGATGTAAAATATAATGAATCATGTGACTTTATCCAAAAACTTAAGCTTTTTAAAGCATTGGTTTATGACATGGCATTAGAGCCTCTATGACTAAGAATTAAAGTTTAATGCAAAGCTTAGGTTATTATACAATCAAATTTGATATCCTTATGTAAAAGGATGGTTGTCTTTCTCTTAAACATCAAAAAGTAATCTCATTATATTTTTTTTGCAGTGTATTGTTATAGAAGATGCACTAGCTGGAGTGCTAGCTGCCAAAGCTGCACAAATGAGGTAAGTATTCACCTTTGTGTTTCCTGTGTTAATGGCTGCTTGAACTTACTAATCAGACCAATTTGTGAACTAGAAAACCACTATATATATGTGTGTGTATGTATTTCTTTCAAATGTAAACATGAAAGATATTTACGTGGTTGTTTTTATTGCTTGCAGATGCATAGCTGTAAGGACCACATTATCAGATGAGGCTTTGGAATCTGCTGACCCAGCACTTATCCGTGATGACATAGGAAATGTTTCACTTGATGATATTCTCAGTGGTGGCTCTATTGGATATAGTATGTAGTATTGGGAGTTTGTTGTAAATCTAGCTTTCTCTTTTAAATTTCCTTTGTTGCTTTTGATGTAGAATTGGTAAAGCTCCATTTGTTCTATAATTTAAGAATACTGAGCTATGAGTTTTCCATGTATTGCAAAATAAACACTTTATTATTAGGTGAATTGCAGTATATTGTAAAATTGTTTCTTTTGTTAAGTATATCTTTTAGTGGGGATAGTTTTTGCTGACAATTATTCATGGACAGTACTCCAGAGTTTTATTCTGACAATTATTGCATGAGGTCTTATCTAAATATGCCATTGCAGATAAGAGGATGCAGGGCTCTGAAACACTAAATAATTCTCCGCAATCTTCGTCTGACGTGCTTGCTGCAAAAACTACCGGGGAACATAATGGAATTTTCTCAACTGGAGGGTAAGACAGTTTTATGTTGATACCCTTTTTCATTCAATCTTCTGAAATCTAAATATTTTCATCCAAAAGTAGGTTTGTAAGTTATGCACTCTTAAGTATCATTTGCATTGCTTTTATCCAGTTATCATGGTGTTGATGATGGATAAACAACTACTTGTAGAGAATCCAAGCTTAGATTCTAATGCAATGCTAATTCTACTAGCTTTTTGGTGGTCTTCAATTCTTTTAGATTTTTATATTAAAACTTTTTAACCATTTAATGGGAAACCAATAATGTGCCTGCAGTTGATGTGTAACCAATGTTATGAATAGCAGATGACGGCTCATGGTGGAAACTCAAAAAATTGCCATAAAGTTACGGTAGCCGCCATGGCAGGTTATGGTGGATATAATAAAATATACAAAAAAATACTATAGGTCACAGAAAATAATAGAAAATAATTAATTCAAAATATATGTAACATAACCTACAATCCAAAGTATAATTCAATACAAAATATGCAATTATCAAATATCTAGTTACCAATAAAAATAAAGATTATCAATTTAGTTCTCTTCTTCAAGTCTAACATAATCATCCTCTTTCTCATCCATCAAAGCATATCCCTCCTCCTCTTATTCCTCAGATTGTGGAAGATTAAATTCTAATTTATCTTCTGTTTCTTTCGACATCTCTTTATCTTCTAATTCTTCATTATCATCTTCAAGAACTATTTTCTCTTTTCCTTTTGCTGTTAAACATGCTTTGATCTTGAAAACTTTTGCAGCTTTGATAGTGATACCACTTAATGGACTTTTTCTTTTCTTAAAATGACGCCTAATATATGTTGGAGGCTCTCCAATTCTAGAAGCTTCATAAACAGTTGCCCAATTTATAGTGTTATCATCATAAAAAACTAAGTCATTTCCAGCATCCTCATCAAAAGCATCATCATCCATTTCTTCAACGAACCATTCATTACATTTATCAATGTCATTGAGTGTAATTGGATTAATTATATCTTTAAGATTGTAAAGTTTTTTGAGTTGGTTGTATTTTACATAAACTAAGTCATGTAATTTTTTGTGATCAAGCCTATTTTTCTTCTTTGAATGAATCTGTAATGTGAGTTTAATTATAAGAATATTAATTAGTTTTTTTTAATTTGTAGAAGAAAGTAGTAGACTCGAAAGATAAGAAATTACTTGTTCAAAAACACTCCAGTTGCATTCTATCTGGATGCACTACATGTCAAACTCAAAATTATGATAGCTAGTCACTGCAAATGTGGAGTTGAATGTACATTCTCCACTATTGAGCTATAAAATGAAATATAAATTATAACTCTAAAGATGAATTATAACCTTAAAATTTAAATATTGAAGATTTTAATGAATTATCAGGAGCAATGCTTTTTCTTTGTGATTTTGCAAAGTTGGCCCAAAGAGACTACCACCGCTCTTATAAATTGGTAATTTAAGTAGTATGCTTTGTTACACATCCCGACTTGGCATCAACTTCTTGATACAATCATACAACCCATTTGTAACTTTCAAATCAAATTCAATTTAAGGGTTGTCATAGTAAAATTCTGGATTTAAAATGTGACCAACTTTATGTAATGAACGGTGAAGCTAACAAGTCTATCTATTATTAATGATTGCAAAAACATCTTTGTATTTACTTTTATTATTTTTGAATGATTTCATAATAACTTATTTACTTTTCTCCATTGCTTCATAAATATACCTCATGACTGGTCTTCTTTTCCCATCAACCAAACGTAACACCCGGACAAGAGGAGCCATGATTTTCAAAGTATATACCACATTATTCCAAAATACAGGATTTAGTAAAATTTTTATTCCTTGCTTCCCTTTAACTTCCTTTGATAACTTGTATTTACATAATTTTTTAGAAGTAAACATCTTTCTAAGATTTACTTTTTTTTGGTGAAGTCTTTTTAATGATAGAAAAAAAGTTGCAAATCAAGTAACTGTATCTCACCAATTCCTTTTTGTTTGTAAATTTTTTTAACAAATTCGAGGTACTTGAATGACTGTAGATTAAGTCAACAACCAATATTTCCTTTTAAATTGTCTTCTTTATCAAGGAAAGTTTTCCAATATCTTAAAGCATATGATCTATGTAATGAGTTGCACAAAGAGTCTAATAAAGATGTTTTTTCGCTTCCAACATCTTACCAGTCAAGACATAATTGCTTCCATTATCCGTTATCACTTGCACAACTTTATCTTCAATCTTTTTCACAAGAGCATCAAGCATTTCAAATAATTTTTCACCGGTCTTCACAAAATTAGATCCATCAATAGGCCTCACAAATATAGTCCCAGCAGGAGAGTTAATCAAGAAATTAATTAAGCATATTTGCTTTCGATCGGTCCATGCATCTGATATGATGGAACAATTATGTTTGCTCCAATGCTCCTTATGATTTTTGATAAGAGAATCGGTATATTCTAACTTTTTCTTTAGAAGTCGAACTCGAATATCACGATAACTTAGAGCTGGTAAATTTGGACCGAGAGTACTGACAGCTGTAAGCATTTTTTGAAAGCTCTTCATTTTAATGAGGTTAAAGGAAAGGTCAGCTTGATGCCAAAATTGAGCTATGTATTGATGGACCCTTGCTTTGGCTTCTTTATCATAAACTTCTCTTATATTTGCTTATCTCAATTTTACCTTTTTCCTTTTCTCAATTGCATTTTCTGGTTTTCTACAAAACAAATCCATTGGCCCTTTTTGATTTGCCATGGCAATACTATGTGTTTGGGTATCTTCCTCATCCTCACTTTCATCATAGCTTATACTTTCAAAGCTTTTCACATTTGTCATCTCAAAGTTGCTTTGACTTTTTTTATCCTTTTGATATGCTTCAATTTCTTTTCTAACTTCTTTAGGACACTTGGGACAAGTTTTCATGTTACTTTTCTTTCTAATCAAATGTTGTTTCACTTTAGTGCTTCCAACATTCATAACTTTTCCACGAAAGTGACATACAATGTTGTTTGTATCACCCTCTTTTAAAGAATGAGCGTATTTCCATCTCAAGTCAGATCGATTAGAAGCTCTTGATGATGAAGATTCTTGTTGAGCCATGTTAAGAGAAGCTGAAATAAAGATAATGGGCTTTTTTAAGAATAAATAGACAGGTGGACAAAGGAAAAATTGAAACATGGAAAGAGAAAAATAGAAATGAAGAAATAAAAGAAAAAACTGCAAGAGAGAGGAAAAAACAAAAAAAGATGGCTATTGGAAAAAAGAGGTTGCCGGAGATGGAGGTTTAGGTCGTCAAAGATAGAGGAGATGTCGCGCCGGTGAACAGAATAGAGTAGGTTAGAGAAAAGAAAGATCTGAGATAAGGGCAGATTTACATCGGAAAAGACAGATTGGAGAAGAGAAATTAAAAAAGATGATGGTAAAGAGAGGTCCAAGATGAGCAGAGATGGGATACAAGCAGAGAAAAGGGAGATGAGAGATGAGGGAGAAGGGTTTGAGTGACGGAGAAGAGAGACTTACCTTAGTTTATGCACGGGTCAGCCTTGGACCGGGTCGGGTTTGGGCCCAAATAACGAAAATCCGCCATTTTTCACAAATTTCCGCCATGGCCGCCGTTATTGCCATGGCGCCGCCACACAAAAACTGCCATTTAACGGTGGTGGTGTACCGGCGAGGTTGAAATCCCCCACCGCAAGTCGCCATGACTCTGCCAGATCCGCCATTTGATAACACTGAGTGTAACTTGAAAATTCAGTTCAAATGGTCCTCGCTGGTGATACAAGGGATTGAACTGGGATTGGCTTTCAATATATATTTGTCCTATTTAAGAAAAATAAATAATATGAAAAGGTAAAAAGTCTGAGGTTCAATAATTGGAAAAGTTGAAACAAGTTGGCTCCAAATAGTAATGTAATGTAGTGCTGTTTGCCTTTATTCACATTGTAACAACTAATTGATTCATCAACCAGACAATTGAGGGTTCCCATAAAAGCAATCTGATGCTACATTGGTTTGGTGCCATTCTTGTATATGATAAATAAGGGTTTAGTTTTTTATTATTTGATGTAGTATTTTTGCCCGTGCAATAAGCAGAGCTTCCTGTTGATTTTCTATTATGACTGTGCAGAAATAATTTATGGGCAGGTTTCAGGGTTCTCGGCGAGATATACTGAGATTTGGTAGTCTGGGCATAGCTATCTCTTGCCTTGTCTTCACCTTAAGTAACTGGAAGGTACAATGACGTTGCATAAAATTTGCTGTAAAGTATGTATGATAAATATTTAGGTGGAATCTTAACTTTTCAATTTTTAATCTTTTTGACGGAGAATTGATTTGCAAATCAATCAAGTGTAACCAACCAATTACTATACTGCAGGCTATGCAATATGCTTCCCCTAAAGCTGTTTGGAATCAATTGTTTGGTGTTACCCAGCCTCCAATAGGTAATGGATTGATAATGTGCCATGAAATCAATCTTTTATGCTGTTACAGACTTTCCCCATTTTATCTATTTTCCTATCTTATGGTCATTGTTGGTGCTATGAATAAATATGAATCTTAAAGGGCTACACAATTCAAAAACTTGTTAAAAGATCTCCTGTATACTCTAGGTTCCAAATTCAAACTTTGGACCATCGAGTGACTGAAGCTTTGTGATCATCTCAAAGTCCCCCCTCCCCCAATTTTCGTATGACTCAAAGGTGAAGTAAAAGCCATAGAGTAATTACTTTTTTGTTCTCAGATAACTCAAGATATGATAGGATCCAACAATTTGTGAACTACATATCTGATCTGGAAAGCAGGTAATTAGTGATTTTATAGATTTATTTATAACCATATTTCTGATGATTTTGTCCCTATACTCATGTTTTTATTAATGTATAATTGTGTTCTCAATATCATCCAAAATATTGCTTGAAGATATTATTTTCTGTTGTCAGTTATTTTGTGTGTGTAGAATTGGAAGTATTACCTACCTCTTTGGAGAAAAAGAAACATAAATTGAACATTGAAGCTTCAGCAACTGTCCAAGTTGTAACTGTTACTAATATAGTGTAATTAATTTCTTTTCACTGCTCAAGGGGAAATATGCAAATTGTTCCAGAATTTCCGTCTAAACTTGATTGGTTCAATACAGCTCCGCTTCAGTTTCGCAGGGTACTTTTATTCAGTTTGAATTATAATCTGAGGAAATGACATGCGATAATTCATTAGATTTTGATTCTGTGCTTTGGCAGGACCTGAAAGGGAAAGTTGTGCTGCTGGATTTCTGGACTTATTGTTGTATAAACTGTATGCATGTGTTGCCAGACCTAGATGTTTTGGAGAAAAAATACAAAGATATGCCGGTAATTTCTATCATATAACTAATTTTTTTGGTTATCAAATGTAGCATGATGTATGACTCTGCTTAGCAAAATTTTGTCATACAATTACAAAATACTTAATGATATGAGCTTAAAGTTTTCTAGAATTTTCTTGTTCTATACTCTTCTGTATGAAAAGTAATTAGTTGTCCAGTTAATGCTTGATTTGAAAAAATGGGTCTGTTCTCCCTCAAAAGGGTTAATATGTATATATGTTTATGTATGCTTTGTTTGTCCAGTTCGTTGTTGTGGGTGTTCATTCTGCAAAGTTTGATAATGAGAAAGATTCTGAAGCCATTCGCAATGCAGTTCTACGCTATGGCATCACTCACCCAGTAAGCCTGAAGTTGGAATTCAAATAATGTTTTAAGTTTTTTTGTTCTGAAAAATTTAACATTGGCAAGATGTTGTCAACTTCTGTTCATATTATGAAAAACCAATACTTTTTTGGTCAGATGGTTTATTGTGCTGCTATTTTGTTTGTCTGATAGTGTTCTTTGCATCGATGTTTAATTTTGTTAATGATTTAAGGCTCTTGAACGCTTGCTAAAGCATGCTCCATTGGATCTTTTCTGTTTCCTCCTTTTAGGTTGTCAATGACGGAGACATGTATCTTTGGCGGAAGTTGGGTGTAAATTCATGGCCAACATTTGCTATTGTTAGCCCCAATGGTAAGCTCCTTGCACAACTTGCAGGAGAGGGTCACAGAAAGGTATTGATGATAACCTCTAGGTACTTCTGCTTGTATTTATTTAAAATTTGTTGTGATATTTTAAAGTTGTGCAAGACAACTCTGGGATAATAAGGATCTCACCTTTTGCACAGTATGGCATTTACATTACTGTTGCAGATTTTGTAAAACTAGCTGAGTGTGGGCATTAATGATTTAGCGTAGATGAAAAGGAAAAATGCTATCATGCTAGATAGCCATTTAAAAAGTATTTATATTTGTCCAACAAATGAGCTGTGTGCATGGGCCTGCCAAACCGTTTCTGGGACTAGTGATTTTGGACACATGAAACCATCTCATTGACAGATGGTAATACCATATGTTGAACAGGTTTTGGTTTAGGGGTCCGTAACTATCTGTTACACAGCCACAGACGGTTTTTGCAGTTGAGTAAAGCAAAATTCAAGTAGAGTTCGTCAACATCCAATGGTTGTTATTTGATAAGTTGATGTTGTCGGGACCACCCATTCATCTGATTCCTATAAAATTTTTAGCGCCATAATTCTAGTATATGGTATTTTAAGTCGAGGCTTGCAGTCAACGGTCCATACGGAAAAAATTTAGTGGCGATGCTTCCTACATGGCATAAAGACCTGCTTTGGAAAATTTTTTGAAACCCACCCATTGTAATAATTATTTAAAAAATTAAAAATTGTTTCCAATAGGTGAAAAAGCCACTCCTCTTTAATGTAACGTTTGTCCTAGGGCCAGGAATTTATATTTTAACATGTCTGGCTCACCAACTAGTTTAACGGATTCGAATGTAGACCTAATGTTTTAAATAAAGCATGATAAAGCAGCACATATATCTTTTGCTGCCTATGCCCTTTCTTTTTTCATTTTTATTCACGGAGAAGATAAAAGGTTTAAATGTGCTTTATGGTGATTCACTTTTTTGATTTGTCAACTTAAAAATTATTTATTCTTAAAATATATCTTGACAAGACAACAATAAATATGTTTACAATTTTTTTGTATTGCTATCAGTATTGATTTAAAACTTGTGTTTTGAATACGGTGCCCAATTACATCTTTCGATATATGCAGTTACTGTTATAGGCTATAGCTATTATTTTTCTAACGACATGGTGGTTAAAACAAGTCTTGTATTGTTTCTGTTTTGGAAAGGATCTTGATGATTTTGTGGAGGCAGCCCTTTTGTTTTATGGAAAAGAAAACATGTTGGACAAAACACCAATTACGTTGAGTTTGGAGAAAGATAATGATCCTCGCCTATTGACATCTCCCTTAAAGTTTCCTGGAAAGCTGGCAATTGATGTCCTTAATAACAGGCTTTTTATTTCTGACAGCAACCATAACCGCATAGTGAGTGCTTTACCTCTCCCTCACCCCTCCCCCTCCTCTCTCCATGACCACGTGGTGCATAATTGTACTGGTTTTACCTGGTATGAAAATGATGATTTAAAATGTTTACTTCCCATACAAACTATCTGGAACAATATTTTAACTCAGTATCGATGGTAGTTGCCAGGTTTCTAGAATTTACCTGCTCTGGTCAATTCCCCAAGTTTCCTTAAGAAGTTATACAAAATGTCTTTTGACAGTTACCTATGAAATCTTACTCATGACAAGATGAATAATGAATAACTTTTGAAGGGACCACATATAATTGCTTTAAAATTATGAAAGAATTCCATTCCCCTTAATGTATAATGGAGCTGGGACCCAGTAACTGCTGACCAATACACAAACTGTTATCCAAATTCGATCATAAATATGAAGCTCCTTAGATAAATTATATAACTTAATGATATCCTAATCAAACTATGGACGTGTCATTCCAAAAACCAAACAACTAAACTTGAAATTCCTAAATTATTGACAATGAAATTATGTATTTCCAAATAACACAAATTAAACTCTACATCCCAAATTGGCACACTTCACTCAGAGTTCTGACCATGCATGTAGCTGTAATATTTCTTTTTTGTTTTACTATGCAAGTTGTGGTTGTTTACTAAAACTGTCAATAAGACACCTGGCTATGTTTGGTATTTAGGTTGTTACTGATCTTGATGGGAATTTTATTCTACAAATTGGGAGTAGTGGGGAGGAAGGATTGCAGGATGGTTCCTTTGATGATGCCACCTTTAACCGCCCTCAGGTACCAAAATAAATAAGTGGGTCCGGTTTGAGGTTTTAGTGTGTTTAGTTCTTGCTTAAGTGTACTATTTTATCAATATGAGGTACATTTTATTTTTTGTGGTTCTTGTTTTTCTAGGGCCTTGCTTATAATGCAAAGAAAAATATCCTTTATGTTGCTGACACCGAAAACCATGCTTTGAGGTACATGACAGCTTTAGAAAATCAGTAGTCTGATTTTTGTTTTCATGATATATGTGACAACATCTGTGCTTAATAGATATGGTAAATTCAATAACAGAAAACAATTGAAACACTCTTGCTATGTGAACTGAATGCCATGGCTGCTTCGTAATATCAAAACTGATCTGCAAATAATTTCATTCTTAGAAAGTTTAAGAAATTATTCTTGTTTGATTTGATAAAATAACTTTGGTGCTGTATTCATATTGAAGTAAGTCAAGCTGTGGTACAGAAGTTTGATGGATCAATTTATTTATATGAAATACAATAATAGATTTCTGATTAACATGAAATAGTTTCTTACTGTCTGGTCTAACTCATTCAGTTCCATTTTCAAAGGGAAATTGATTTTGTTAATGAGAAAGTGCGGACTCTTGCTGGAAATGGGACCAAGGGAACCGATTATATAGGAGGAGGAAAAGGAGATACTCAGGTAATAAAATTGATTAGTAAATCTTGAGGATGAGTGGCATGTGAATTGATCTATAGCGTAGAATCTAACACGAACCACAAATTTAGACTCCTTAATTTTTTTAATTATTATATTTTCATTCAATATGATTCTGTGATAGGCTTCGTAATGAACCAAAAAGTTAGACTTCTCAAATTTCCCTCTTTTCCAGCTCCTCAATTCCCCTTGGGATGTCTGCTTTCATCCATTTGAAGAAAAAATTTATATTGCCATGGCTGGCCAACATCAGATTTGGGAGCACAATTTATTGGATGCAACTACGAGAGCATTTAGTGGTGATGGTTATGAAAGAAATTTAAATGGATCAAGGTATCACATCAAATGAAGATAATTCTACCTGATGTCAAACTTTGTTTACATTGCAGTTTTCTTCTGTGGATTTATTATAGTAAACTTGTTTACTGTTTTACAGCCAATATGCATATCTTTATCCTATATTAATACCAATATCATTTGATATAAAACTCATGGCATTAAAAATGATCCTTCTCATCTATCTTTTGTATTGTCTTCGATGGCTTGTAGGTGCTGCTTTTCTTACATAAACTCTCAAGTTTAACAACCTTGCTATCAGTAACTTGGGAGTTGAAACTGTCATTCTAAGAAATGGCTGTAGGCAATCTTCAATGCAACAGTGAATGATGTCAACTAAGAACCTTTGTTTATGCCTTTTTAAACAATTTTTTAATTAAAAAACATGTTTAAAAATATAGTAATTAAAATAATTTTAATAAACTAAAAAAGAGTTATTTTGGTGCCTTTGTCATAAACTAAAAGTATTAACTTCTGAAAAGACTCTAAAAGATTAAGTGTATTTTTTTTTCCAAGCATAAACAAGAAATTGTTTAAATTTGGATTTTTTTTTTTTAATTTTTTTTTAATTCAAGTCCAAAGGTAAGTTTGTCATGCCCCTAAAAGTCATGATGAAAATTTTAAGGATAAGATTTATATGAAGACTTGTATGCAAAGCTCATTTGTGAAAATTTCAACCCCAGTTTGGGCAATTTAGGGGGAAATGAAACTGGCAAAAATTCAGGAATGATCTTTAAATGAACAATTGGATGAAAAACTCCTCTCTGAAGTTGCTATCACCTATTTTGAGGGGATGATGAAACTTATTCTAATGTCAACGGTGACTTTATTATTTGTTTTTCTAAGATGTGTATCTATGCTAGGTTGAACCATGGATTTGAAATTATTAGTTCCCATTTATTCCCTGTGTTTCTATTTAGTGATTTTTTGGCTAGAATATCTGAAAATCTTATATTAATACGTATTTATGTTTTGACTGATATAGTTCTTCAAGCACATCATTTGCACAACCTTCTGGTCTTTCATTGTCTCAAGGTAACATGTTGCGACAATTCTCTTGAACGTGGATTTACATCAAATATCATCCATAATAATTTGTTCACATGATTTTTCACGACAAGACCTAATGGAGATCTACATTGCTGATAGTGAGAGTAGTTCAATTCGAGCTCTTGATCTGAAAACAGGAGGATCTCAGTTGTTAGCTGGTGGTGATCCAATTTTCCCTGAAAATTTGTTTAAGGTAGTTTTAATACAATTTCAGAGGACAATTACTTAGATTCCCTGCTTCATTTGGTCCCACTAATACTTCTACAATAATTAGTCTTCCTTATGACAAGGTAAAAAAATTGCAGTAGATGAGCTTAGGTGTTTCATGTTTTTAGTTTTTTTCCATCTTTAAACACACTGCTACACTTGGTTTTAACAATTAGTGATATATGATATATCTATAACATTGTCTTTAGACTTTATCTCCTGGTAACCTATCTTCACATATGCTCAAACCTCCTGCAGTTTGGTGATCAAGATGGAATAGGCTCCAACATACTTCTTCAACATCCACTGGGAATTATGTGTGGAAGTGATGGTGAAGTCTATATCACAGATAGCTACAATCACAAGGTAAACAATTCAAACCAAGTTAATTTTGAAATTGTAAGAGCTTGGGCTCGCAACATATCTTTAGAGATAACATTGATGATATTATATCTATATATTGTAAGAAAAGAATTATTTATTAGAATATTTTACATGTTCCTTTTGTCTTTACATATGTTTTCCTATTTTCTGTCCTCGCTGAAGTTTCCAACCATTCTCTCTTGATTTGACAATGTATTGTTCTCATAATGCAAGTATTGAATGGTCATCCTGCCAGTTTCTTTTAGGAGTCAATATTTGGTGTCCATGTTGGCTTAAACTCCATTAAACATCAGATACCTACTGTAATTTTTTTGGTTTTAAATCATGCAAGAGTAGCTAATTTTTTATGCACCTTGTTGGTCTTATAGTTGATTTAATTCTGAAAATTCTTGTACATGGAAAGATTTTTGTCATTAAACTTATCTCTTGGAGGTTTGGAATCATATGTGATACAACTCACTTAGAAAGACACAAGTTATATAATTGGATGGCTAGGCTTTAGCTCGCTATCCTTGTTAACTGAATTTCCTAATTTTCATCTCTCTGTTATGTTTCAAATTTTCAGATCAAGAAGCTAGATCCAACTAGTAAAAGAGTTAGCACCATTGCAGGGACAGGAAAAGCTGGTTTCAAAGATGGAACAGCTGTAAAAGCTCAGGTTGGTAAAATATTCTGTGCCCTTATTTACCAAAATCATCACCATGTTGACATAGAAATTTGAGTTTATATCCTCTTTTCTAAATGTTGAATAATCTATGCAAGACATTGTGCTGTTGATTCCTAGTGCAAGCAAGTGTAGAACTATCAAATATTTCAAAGGTAGAATGATTTAATGAACTAATTTTGGTGACATAGTGCATAGGTTCACATGAGCACAAGCTGATGAAGCACTATAAATGAAACATTTGTTAAAAATGACAATCCATTTTTCTAGGATTTGGAATATCAGTTGCACTCTTCCTATTGTTATTCTTCTGCAACTTAATGACCACTGGAATGTGAAAGAGAAGCACTAGGAATGTATTGATGTTGCTTAATGATATTTATGCTATGTTCAAATACGCAGCAGGTTATGTGGGATTTATTCTATTGATTTGGTTTACTTGCTTTTTGTTAGTTATGTTTTTCCTTTTGTTTTTTTTTAGAATTTCTTATTCTCCGTCTTTTTTCCCTTAAAAGAGGGAAAATGGAAAGTCTTTGCTGTTTAATATTGTTAATCTGACCTAGTTTTGTTTCCTGTTCCTATGCTTTGTGCGTTGATTATTTGATAGGAAGCATGCACATATTTGGATGTCTGTTATATCAGACTTGACCTTCTCATGAGCCCTGAATCCATTCAAAGATAAAACTAGATGTTTCTATATTCTCAATATAAATGAACAAGTATCAGTAGAACCCAGAAAAAAATAAATGAAGCCTTGCTAACTTAGTAGCCGCAGATACATGTGTAATATATTTATCAATTTTCTTGCAGCTTTCTGAACCGTCAGGAATTGTTGAAGGGAAGAATGGTACTTCTCTTTTTACTGCAATCTAATTCATTGTTTTTAATGTTTGCGCATATTAATTATTCTTTGTGAATCTAAGAGAGAATCTAAACTTCCTTTATATACAAGTATATTGTCAATGCATTTGTCCAGTTAGAGGAGTATGTTATTTGGAGAGTGAAAGAAGTAAATCTTTACCCGATATGCCCTATACATTTGCGTGTGTAATGTACACACATTACCTTAATCACCGCACCAGTCATCACCTGGGAAAGTCCATGACCTGTGTTTGAATTGATGAGCAGGGTACTGCCTAACCATTGTCATAGACACAAACAATGATTTTTTTTCTCGACAGAGGATGGTGAATTTGCTAACTATATGAATAGCCCTAACTATTTTTTGGCCTTGCATTTACCTTTATCCAATGCTTGTTAAAAGTTTTCGGTTGGTTGAGCTAGAAATAGACTGCTTTGAAACATCAGTTTTAAGTACTTTCCTAACTCTCTGGCTGTAAATCTTTCCACAAATACCATGCTGTTTATTGTCATCACCTATTTCTGCTGGCTTTGCTGTTGCCAGGTTGGTGCTCTTTTAAAACTCTTGTAAGATGGGAATATGGGATATCAGTTGCTAAGTTAGGATGAATCTGGAAAATTTTGGATACTTAAGCTTGTGCATTGTCCCTTTTGAGCCACTCTATGATGTAGAATGGGAACCAGAAGTAAGGAACAATATTCAGAATACTCGATCATTTTAATCAAAATCATATCGAGACTAATCTACGAGTCTCCTCCTAAAGAGTTAACTTTGTTCCGTTAGGTGATGTTATTGTAGTTTCTACTACTACTCCTTGTTTGATTATGTAATTTTTAATTTTGGGGCTTAGACCCCTCTCATTTACCCCCAAAAAATTTAAATAAAATTAAATTCATAGCAAGACTTATAATGCTGCTTACATAACATGTGTTATTTTTATAAATAATTAAAAAATATATTCTTAATTCTTATCCATTGTGTAACATCTTAACGACTAAATAATTAACCTCATCAATTACAACAGACATAATTGTCATCTCATTATGCATGTTATAGAATTCATGAACTACCTTTTTGTTGTACACGTGATCGTGGAATTTGAGGTCTCACTTGATCCAATTCTTCGGTCAAAAAATGGAATAACTTCAGGATGAGCTCAATCATAGAAAGATTTTTTGTTCACTTTCTGCTTTCAGGGAGACTATTCATAGCGGATACAAACAACAGCTTAATCCGATATCTAGATTTGAACACTGGTGAAATTGAACTCCGTACCTTGGAGCTTAAAGGGATTCAGCCTCCTAAACCAAAATCAAGATCTTTTAAACGTCTTAGAAGACGACCATCAGCTGACACGGTGCCAATTACCGTTGATGCCATTTCATCAAATGAGGGAAACTTGTCCATTCAAATATCATTACCGAATGAGTATCATTTCTCAAAGGTCCTCATCCTCCTCCTTTCTTTCAAACACTGTAATTCAATTCTTTGCATACGCTCATGATTATGCATTTCATTGACTATTCAAAAATTTCGTTGCAGGAAGCACGCAGTAGATTCAGCGTGGATATTGAACCTGAAGATGCTGTGAACATTGATCCCGTCGATGGACTTCTTAGTCCAGAAGGATCTGCAACCCTTCACTTTAAGAGATCCTCTAACACTGCTTCAATTGGAAGAATTAATTGCAAGGTATGCCTCATTATTGAATTCAGGACTTTGTTGGGTTTTGAAATGAAATAGTTTGCTTCAAGCCTTCAGAACTTCTCTTAAGTATTAGATCTTTGTATTCTATTTTAATGGTATCAAGTGATAACATGAGGAAGAGAAGGTTTATTAATGTAAGGAATATCAATGGAAGCTTTAGCGGTTGCTCATTCTAATGTTCGGGGGCTTAATTCTAAAAGTGACTGGCTCTCACTTTGATTTGGTGAAGCCTGTTTAGGTCTTCCATTGCTATACCTATAATTATAAATCCACCTCATATAGCATCAGTCTGGCTCTCACTTTGATTTGGTGAAGCCTGTTTAGGTCTTCCATTGCTATACTTATAAATCCACCTCATATAGCATCAGTCTGGCTCTCACTTCGATTTGGTGAAGCCTCTTTAGGTCTTCCATTGCTATACCTATAATTATAAATCCACCTCATATAGCATCAGTTGGTGGTGGACAAACCCAAAGAGCATCGATGAGAAAAAGTACATAATTACATTCACTCTTTACAGATTTACTTTTGCAAGGAAGATGAAGTTTGTTTGTACCAGTCGGTGCTATTTGAGGTCCCCTTCCGAGTGGGAGCTTCAAACTCTGCCAGTCCAGACGTCACTCTTGCACATTTTGTGAAACCCAAAACTTCAACCAACAGCTTACTGCAGCCAGTTGTACCGTGACGACTTAACCAGGTTCATTTAGCGCATCAATCTCTTGCTCATCTTTTGTTTGCAATATATAATAATATTCAAATGTTTGAGGGTCATGATCTTTTGATATAATCCATCATAGCTAACAGAAGTCAAGGTTTTTGTCTGGCTCTTCTCGCTGCTATGAAGAGGTCTTCATTGTGTAGCCATAAATAATATATTAACGGTTTTGTGGATAAGCAAGAAATGGATTGCCTACTTAGTCGGACACGTGCACAGTTGCGTTTTATCCATATCAATAATTGATTATAGCAGTTGCGCTTGCTGGTCAATAGTTGAACATATATTTTCATTTAAAGTACTGAATGGTTAACATTAGTTTTCGGAAAATGACTTTACAAGAAAAAAAAAAAAGTGCATTTTGTGAATTATTTAATATCAGTCCTTTTTATCATGATTTCTTAATCAATATTCCTTTTAACTTATATATAACAGTTGTGCTTTTTAATGAAGACTTTTTATTTATTGATTTCTTAATCAATATTCCTTTTATTTAATGTATAATTTTATTATATCATGACTAAAATAACTTCATTTATATTTCACTTATTTCATTTTTTGTTATTTAACTTACTATTTGATAGATGAAGAAACGCGATATATGGGAGATGTCATTATGATGGTGGGTTGAAGTAATTATATTCATAACATTAAATAAGGGTATATTTTTTTGAAAAATAATCTTAGATTTCTAAAATAACAAGTTTTAAAACATAAGTTAAAATTAACAACTAGAAAAGATATGTAATGTAAGGAGTACTTTTAAGATATTGGTTAACGAGATTATTATTTTTTAGTTCCTAGTTGATGCAATGAAGTATGTGAGGCCTTTTCCCCAGCTAGCAAAGCGATATAATGGGTACAGGTTAGCCTTGTGTGATAAACATGGTATTAAGAAGTGAACATAAAAATACATGGTATTAAGATAAGATGGTCAAACCCGTTAGTTTCACCTAATCCCAAATTGAGCAGCCACTGGCTAACCAATTTCTAGTAGTTTGGTTCAACTGCAAAGCACGATATTATGGGCTTATCTTTATAATTGAAAAATGAATGGGTACTTTTGTTTAATGAAAATGCAAGTAAAGAATTCACCTTGCAATTTAGGAAAGGAATTTTTGGAAGTGTAAATATGATAACGGATATTATAATGTCCTACTCAGACCCGGTGCACGTCCTAAACCGGGCCGTCTTTAATTCTTTATTCTTCAAAGAGTAAAGAGTGAAGACTTGAGATCAATTTTCGACCTTAAATCACTTTAAAATCTGAAATGCAAATTGTGCGCTGGGGCAGAAAGCAATCAGTGTAATGTATAATAATCGAGTTTCGCCTCTTGATAATGAGCTCCTTATTAAGAAACTTGTACTCCGTTAACCAGTGAAATTTCTGAGAAGGGAAGGATCCCAATCTCACTTACATAGTTTTCTTGTTATGGACTGTGTGATGAAAGCATACTCCGATTATTATTTCTTTGCTAAAGGCGAGAATCATTGTACGGGTTAAGTTCATTGTTTAATATTATTTCAATTGACACTGGGAGAGATTAGACAGCCAAGCATGTCTCTTTCAAAGTGGCAAGGTTCTCTTGCATGTCACTGGATAGGAGGTTGATCTGCTTTTCAGATTAGTTTCTGATTTCTCAGTTAGGGACTTGGCATTTTTATATTTTACTTTTTAGTTCATAATATTGTATAATCATCTCGAAGCTCAGCGAGCAATTAAATCAGGTCGTCGCACAAAACGAAGTGTGAACCAATAACGCAGACCCGGACTACGGCGAGAAGGAAGCAATGTGAATCCAACTCCAAGGTTCCCCTTATTTAAAAGGAAAATATAAACCAGACCCGGGTAGAAAAGTGCTTTGATAAAACAACATGCACTCCCTCTAATCATTGCCAGGAATAAAACAAATAAGTCCAGCCCCATTTGCAGAACCAATCAATGCATGCCAAAATATTTCGTTATCCAATATACCATTGCCATGTCATAAATGCCTTTAAAAGGGTTATTTATTTTGTAATACTTTTTAAAAAAAATATTAAAATAATATCTTTGGGCCAAACTTGTTTTTTGTTAAATCAATTTTGAATTTAAATTACTGAGAATAAGTGAAGACACATGAAATTAGTTTTAAAATAATATTATTTTGATAATTTGTTTTTTAAAAAATATTAAAAATTTAACAAGCCCTTTTAAAAGATTTTGTTTTCAGGTACTAAAGCCTTCACTTTATCTACCTTTTCGCGAAACAACGTTCATATAATTACAAAAATGAAAATTACAATTATCAATTTTAAAGCGTTAACGTACGATCGCTGCACGTAAAGGGAAGAAACAAAGTGAATTTTAACATTATAATAATAGTTTCTATTGCTTTTAGCACATGGCACCGATTTGTCAAGGATTCAGTTAGGCTTTTCCTTCGTTTCCTGCCAGAAAAAAAAAAAAAAAAGAACGAACAAAAGAAACCTTATACCAGCTGGTTAGTGGTTACTGTCTGATCATAGAGTTGGCAACGACCGAGCACTGTTTGATTAGACTACTTTGAAGTTTGAACCATGTTGGTGTTTGTTTTCTCGTATGCGGTAAAGGGTAAACTTTGCACATGATTTAGGTTGTGTACACCGGCCTTTGTGTGTGTGTGTGTGTGTCTCTGTGTAATAAAGGTACAAAACGAGAGGATTTTACTTGCAAGGTGAAGTAGAGCTTAAAATATTACATACCAAACACTGCTTAAGTACCCAAATATAGATGGACGAAGTCCTAATAAGTATTAATCTATACGTTGCAGCAAATTAAACTTGACACAATGGTTAACCTAATAATGCTTAAAGCATTTCTCTTTTCTTAATTGTTCTCTCTCTCCTCTTTTGATTCTATCTTGGCAAGCAAGTTAAGATGATTGAGGCAACATGAGGGATCTTATCCGTAAGAGGTACCAAATAATAGTGATTAGATACTAGCTTTGAAAATGAAATGAGCCCTTAGGTTTACAATTAATTAATTAAAAATGACTAGTGCCTCCTTCCGTGACTACTGAATTTTAATGTTTTTTGAATAGAAATGAGATAGAAAAAGGGGCTGAGGGGCTGGAATTGAAGAAAAAGATCATAGATCGGTTACGATTGCAGGAGAATATGATAATTTAATGAGGCAAGCTGTCTGCTAGCCTACTATGTCCAATCAAATAAACCTAAATTTTCCTCATCGGAGGTGCATGTGAGGTCACTGTCTTCATCTGAATTTGTTATTCGTAAATGTTTAAAGTACAATGTTATTTACCAATATTTTATGTTCATCCTGGTTTGTTAGTCAAACTCTGACAATGTTAACCTGCTTCTGTGCATGCCCTATATTTCGTTTACTATAAGACGGGGAGAAAAATCGAAAGGAAAAGAAGGAACATTATTTCAAAAAGGTAAATGAATTATCACTCCTCTTTTTTTCTTTTTTTTTCTAATATGATTGAATCATGTATAAATATATAATTATATATTAATAAATTTTACATGTAAGGAAAAAATAAATGTATGCCTAGAACATGTTAAATAATTACGAAAGACAATAAATTTAGCTTTTAATACATATTAGATTTGAAAATATTATATAAAAAATATGAGAATTTAAAGAAGATTACAAAAATTTAAAAATCAGGCAATTTTTGAATAAAATTAGTTCATTTAAAAAAATTTCATTGACAATTTTTATATAAAATGAGTAAATTTTATGAAAATGAAAAACTAATAACAATTTTTTTTTAAAAAAATAACTAATTTTGTTCAAAATTTGTTAATTTAATATTTTTATAATTTTTAAAAATCTCATATTTCAATATATATTATTTTTAAATATAATATAAAAATAGAAATACATGAACATTAAACATGTATTTTAATCCAACTCTTATTATTAATGAATTTTTAATCATTAAAAATATGTTCATAAGAATGCATCGCCCTTCCTCAAAAAATAAAACGAGAGCGATTACAAGATCCCGGGCGCGCAAAAAGCAGGGGTGAAAGTTAAAAAATAAAGAGAGTTAAATGGTAAAAGACACGGAAGGACGCATGGTTCCTCGTGAATTCTCTTTATACACTGACGCTCACTCTCTCTCATACAGAATACAAACACACACCAATATCATCATCTCCTTCTTTCTGATATATTTCATTCCAATTCCAGACTTCTCTGATCGATCAATCATCCCTTCATTCTTCTCTGTTTTCCAATCACTTCCGTTTGTGTACTCTCCATCAATTCTAATTAGATAAATGGCGTCTCTGCACCCAAGCATCCATTCCACTACGTCGCAAGAATCCAATCACAAGCCAGAAATCAGAGACCACAATTCCCTCAGTCTCGTTCCATGGACTTCCCAATCCCAGCAGCTGATCTATTCCTCCAATCTCGTTCGCACTCTCCGTCGGTACCGTCCTCCTCCGTCCAATCCTATTGCCGGCCGCCAAATTCGCGCCGCCGCCGACCGAGTTCTTGCTGCGACGGCCAAGGGCCGAACTCGATGGAGCCGCGCGATTCTGGCCAGTCCGCTCTGCCGGTGGAAGCTTCACTTGCAGAGTCAGCACAAAAAGGTGAAGAAGTCCGCCAACGGATTGACCAAGAAGAGGACGCCAGTGATTCAGAGAAGGTTGCCGGCGGTGCAGAAGAAAGCGCGGGTTCTCAGCCGGTTAATCCCCGGTTGCCGGAAAGTATTGTTCCAGAATCTTCTGGAAGAAGCCACTGACTATATCTCGGCCTTGGAGATGCAAGTACGAGCCATGACGGCTCTCACCGACTTCCTCTCCGGCGGTGCGCCGCCGAATGCTCGGCTCGGCTTGAGTTGACCTACGTCGTTTTCAGGCTATAGTGTCGAGCCAGGTGTTTTTTATTTTTATTTTTTTTAATATATATCGTTTTTATTGGTTTCGGATTTGAGTTCCACGTTCTCACTTCCTTTTTTTCATTTTTTATTATTTCAATTAAAGAAATTATACTAAACAATAGGATGAATTATACATTGCTATACATCGTATATGATATATTAATTTACATATACTAATTGTACTTCTTAATAATTTTCTGTTTGTCAAAATAATATTTTTCATGATATATTTATTATGTTTTACAAAGCTTCAAATAGAAAAAAGGGGGAACTGCTATCAAATTTAAAGTCTGATAAACAAATATGGCCAGCAGATTTGTCCATACCAGCGTTCTGCTAGAATTTCTCAAAAGATAAAACTCAAGAATAATAATTTAGTAAATATTAATTAATGTTTTAAGAATACTAGTTAATATATATTTTTATTGTAAAAAATTATTAAGTTTATGTCAAGTGCTCTAATTAACAATATCGCGTAGTTGGACCACTATTTATAAATAAATAATTATTGTCATCCATTCAGGGCCCGCACCCACTTCCAAGACAAAACTAAAAATCGGCAATTAGCTAATAAAATCATCCATAAAGGGAAGCTTCTAAGTTTGGTGCCTGACTCGAGGAGACGATTAATCCTCTTCCCATCGCAATCAGGTCACACCCAATGTCATTTCGTCTTATCTTTTGGTATATTGTGTGGGAGTTAATAACGGCATCCCTTGCTTAAATTACCTAGTTCAGACCTAAGTGATGAATTGTCATTATCTGTATTCATTGAACTACTTGACAAGGAAGGCTTTTATTGTATCTTATCAATTCCTGTTGACTGAATTGTCTCTAACATTAACTTAGGACTCAATCAAGTGATGATCAAATGTGGCTGAACATGCCCCAGGTCATTTTTATGTATGTTTATTTTGGGTATTTTACCCTTGAGAGTAGGGTATTTTTAGAATACAGTATAACATTATAATTATTGATTAAAAAATAATTATATGAATTTTAATAAATTTATTACTTTTTTAGACTTGTGTAAATTGTTACTTTTGAATTATAACTATATCTTTGCACTTTTATCATTCAAAGTGCATTCTTCGTCTAAAATGGTCTTGCTAATCACTATTATAAAGACACTAGTTAAAGACTTAATAATAAAATATTTTTATTAAAAATTATTGTAAAGGTTTATTGAAATTCCTTTTAAAATATCATTGTTATGAAATAGACTTCAATTTTTTAACTATTGTCCTCTTTACATTTACCTTTAAAAAAAATTCCTTACACAGGTGTCTGACTTTATTTTTATTAGTCATTATGAAATAGCCTACCATCCTCAACTTTTATGATTTGCTCGTTATGACATTTATGTAGTTTACATGGTCATTTGGTTTTCTTTACTGACTAATTTAAGTGTGGGTATCCTAAGTTCACATTTGTCGAGTTTGAGATCGATAGTGGGTGAGCTAGGGCCGATATTGGATTCTTATTAGCTGTTTGATCTATCCTTTAAGCCTGTTCGATATTGACCTAAGTTTTGTCCCAATTTAATTTGGCTTATCCTACTTGATTTGTTTAGACAACTAAAGCCATTAAGGGGAGTGATGGTAAATAGTCTTTCATCTTCGACTAGTTTAATTTCTGAATCGTCAAGTTGAAGCTATGTTGAGTACAGTCATGCACAAGACTTGGAATTCAGGCTATAGGTGAAGAGCTAGAGATCAAAACTCTTCTATACAGTGATCATGGTGTTATCCTCTTGTTTATGCCCCTTTATTGACGTTTGATTGATGTATTTGATCTTGATATGTTTTGAATGGGTGTCCTAAATACTCTTTATTAATTGAAGGGGTTCGTACATATTATAGAGGAAAAAGTACTAATAGATGTAATTCAAGTGAGGAAGAGAATATCCTGCTAGTCTTGCATATTTGTGAGATTGAAAAAACCTCACGTTGGGGGCCAAAAGAGAAAAGTGAGTTGATGAGTGGAGGTAAAGCTTTATAAAACAACCTGAGCTAAGCTAAGCCTCACAACTCGTGTTCTTCGGAGGTCCCTTATATCAAGGCATTGGAGGCTTGCATGCACCCCACACATTGGCTTGCATGTGACTATGTGAATATGGGAGAAGAAAAAAAAGTTTCACGCGCCATTTTAAGAACGAGAATGCGTATTGGCTTTTTGTATGGTCATCCACATTGTTCTCCTTGGAGCAGACAAATATGGGTCAGATCCTAGACAATTGGGGCCTACCTCAGCTGGCCACCTTCTGTGGGTAAATACAACTGAGGACACTTTTTACCTTGTTAAGGGCTGACACGCGTGCAACCTTCACAATTCAACTCTCAATTTTCGGATAGTGACATACCATGCCATGTGGCAACCCCATCTCCATTCGTTAGGTTTTCAGAGGAAGAGGAGACCGCGTGGTTACCATCATGTATCCTTTTGTTACGGAGAATTTATTTTATAAATTTAGGAATAAAAATTTAATAAATAATTAAAAATATTAAATGAAGTATAACAGGCATTTCTTAATCATTATCTTAAAAATTCCCATCAACAACACCTTAAAATTACAACAAGATAACTTAATTTTATGGAATTTATCTTGAAGAAAAATATTTACGAACAATTCTTGTTATATTTTGTTGTTAAATATATTATGAACCATGCTCTATTTTGACCATAAAGCATGAAGAATATTAATTACTATTCTTATATATATATATATATATATATATATTCATTTAATTATTTATTATTTAAAATACTTCTATTATTAATATAATTATAAATAACATGGCAGGAGTCATAGCCTGTAAAACTATATGCAAATGTTCGTTTTGGGTTTTTCTTTTTCAAATATTTCGGGTTCGTTCTTCCGAATAAAGAAGTATATTACCTGTTCAAAAAGTGGACTGACTTTTTTTTGGTCCAAAGAGAGGAGATAGGGATTGAGAGAGGGAAATTGAAGTGTAATTTTTGAATCTGACAAAATTTAAACTATGATCCTTATATTTTATGTTTCTCTGACTTACCACTAAGCACATTCTGACCCCTTTTTTTCTTGTCGTGATTCTGACCCATTTTAAAATGTGTAGTTTCTGTTGAACCATAGAGAATTGGGCTTCTATGTTAGCTTTCAAAATTGGGTTCATTTTATTGAAAATGGGACAAACTCCTTAAAGTGGTAAATGTGGCCACCACCATCATTGGTGTCATCATTTCAAACTTTGACGTTTACGTAAGCTTGTGAAGTAATTTATTATTATGTGCTTAAAGAGTCTTGGGACCTAAAATATTGCAGTTTGGGTATTGGAGAAATAATATTAGCTAGTCAATGATTAAATTTATAATTTTACTTATTTTATTGATCATTATCTCTCTCTCCCCTTGAAAAATATGGGCATAGTAAAAACTATCAGTTTGTATCATTGTCTTTATTTTGTATTAAAATTTAGTCATTCATAATACATTAACGATCCTTGTATATCGGCTTCTTATGTTTATATTTTGTATAAAATTTAATTATTGCCCATGACTCATCAGTCCTGGGCAAATATACAATTAAATATAAATATTATATTTTCTATAATTTTACTCTTTATTGTTAAAGAGAAAATTTTTAAAATTAGAAAAATAAACTATAAAATATGTGAACTCTTTAAAACTAAAAGTCTAAAATAATTTTACTTCAACTATATTTGAGAAAACTACAACTATTTCAATAAAGAGTTAAAAAAGAAAATGAAAATTGTGGTTGACTGAGAAATACATAAGGTAATTTCTACAATACCTCGTAAATTAAGAAAACATTCTATGTAGAATAATTATTACTATTAATTTTATATTAATAGACAGTTGAGTTAGTAATTTTTTTAAAAATTAAATATTTTTAACTTTTAAAATATGAAAAAAATTATAACCGTTAATTATAAAAGTATATGCAATGATCTCTCTAGTCAGAGAAAAAAAAAAGAAGATTGCTGGCCAATGTGGAAATAATTGACGTAGTTGGCACAAAACAACCGAGCACTTTCCCTCAAATTTGGGCCGATATATAATTTTCGCGTTAACCAAAAAGTGAACCTTAGTCCAACAGACAGTGGCTTTAGGGCCGAGCCCAATCAGAACCCAATTATTTTCTGCTCTTCTTTTTATTTATTTTAGTAAAACAAAAACAAAAAAGCAGTTTCAGCAGCTGCTGCCAGACATTTCTTGGTTTTCTATCTGTCCGATTCTATTCAATGAATTTCTCTCTCTCTCCAAAATTGCTTCTGCCAGTCAACGCTCTTCCTCTCTTCACATGCAACTTATTTGTTTGCTTTTTTCAATTTTAATTTTCTCATACTTTATTTTTCTTTTTTTAACTTATAAGACGAAATATTTAAAAAATAAAAAATCAAACAAAAAGAAAATAAATAAAACTAAACACTAAATCAAGTCAAAATTTAAAGAAGAATAGAATAAAAATAAACGTAAAAAAGATTATTTGTTTGCTTCTGTCTTGTTTTTTAATTTTTAATTGAAGAAAATAAAAAAATTGTTTGATAATTTGTTTATAATTTTTTTAAAAAATGTATTTGATTTTTTAATTTATTATTTTAAATTAAATATCTACATATATGATATTTAATTTTAATATTTTTATTTACTTAAATATTTTTATATTAAAATAAAATATTGAATTAAAAATTATTAAAACATTAAGATTTTTAATTAATATTGAACTGAAAAATATTCTTATTTATAAAATAATACTTACAATTTATAATAAGTTTAATAAATTATGAAAGTTACAAAATATAAATAAATATTAAACTAAAAAATAGTGATTAATTTTAAAATTAAAATAATTTATAATAAATAAATATAAATAGTGTGAATAGATAATATTAAAAAAAAGTGAATAACACTAAGTACACTGTAAGTTTGTAACAAGTGAACATATATATTAAAAATATTTTTAGCTATTTTAAAAAAGAAAATAAAAATTAAAACATCGTAGAAGCTATTTTTATTTTAAAAAATTGAAAATAAAAAAATATTTCTAAAAATTTAAATTGATAAACAAGTTTTTATTATCTTTTATTTTTGAAAAAATGTTTTTTTTTTTAAACAAACATGCTCTATCTGAATTTCTATTTACATTTTTCTCCCTTCCCTTTTCCCAGCCTTTTATTTAGTTTAGATAAACAGAGGGCGTTCTGTTTTTACTCTCTCTCTCTGTTGCTCTCACTCACTCTGTTTCTTGGAAGAAAGAGTAACCGAATTTCAGAATAGAAAAAAAAAATGTCTCTGCTACCTGCGTCTCGTGCAGAGACGAGAAGGAAAGTGTATAAGATTGGAATTGACGCGGTGAAGAGTCGGAGAAGAAGAGAGGTCACCCTCATGAAGATCAGAAAGAGCAAGCGCGAAGACAATCTCTTCAAGAAACGAAGGGAACAGGAACTTGACGACCTTCTTCATATTCCCTTTACCCTCAATACGGTTCGCTTCTTATCTATCCTTCTATGCTTCAAGCAACGCATTACACCTTAACTTTTCTGCTTTTTTATCTTCTTTTACAGATGCCATTTGTTCCTGCTATGGCACAAGGAGTGTGGTCTGAAGACTCTGCTACACAATTGGAAGCAACTTATAAAATTAGAAACCTTTTATCATTTGTGTTGAATGTAAATGCTTCACTCATTGATGACGTAATTAAGTCAGGTGTTGTTCCTCGCTTTGTTGAGTTCTTGGCAAGACATGATGCACCCCGATTGCAGGTTCAGAGTTCAGACTTTCTCACCTTTCTATCTTCTTCTCTTTGTGATTCTGTTTCGCACAATGATGTTGCTTTTGCAGTTTGAAGCTTCATGGATTCTAACCAACATTGCTTCTGGAACATCTAATCACACAAGAGTTGTCGTTGAACTTGGTGCTGTCCCCTTATTTGTGCAGCTTCTGAGCTCTAGTACCGTTGAAATCAGAGAGCAGGTCAAGTAATTAATTGTATTTTAATAATCTTTTTATCAATTTTTCTAATGCATACTTAAAGGAAAATTAATAAATAATAAAATTAATATATTGATTCTTATGATATTTTATAATTTTTAATAACAAATTTAAGCACAAAATAGAAAAATTAATTTTTTACTGCGTATAATTTCCTATGTTAATGACTACTTTTATTGTCACAACATCACTATTTTGTCTTACCCCACTTCCAAGAATTAAACTTTTTATAATTTCTCCGAATTTTGGTTTTCCATGTCATGAACAGGCAGTGTGGGCTCTAGGTAATATAGCTGGCGATTCCCCACAGTGCAGAGATTATATTCTTAGTGAGGGTGCTCTCTTGCCATTATTATCTCAGTTGAATCCACTTTCAAGCTTATCTATTATGAGGAATGCTGCATGGACTTTATCTAACTTTTGCCGTGGAAAGCCTTATGTAGATTTTGAACAGGTTAGGGACATTTCTTAGAATCTTACTTGTGTATAATAAATAGTTAAACACTATAAATGTACTTATTTTATGTTAGTAATTAGAAATGGGATTGATCTTTGTCAGGTAAAGCTTGCGTTTCCTGTCCTTAAGCAACTTATTCACTCGACCGATGAAGAGATTCTAACAGAAGTATGTTGGACTCTCTGTTACCTTTCGGAGGACATTGATGGAAAAGTTCAAGCTGTACTTGATGCAGGAGTTTGCCCACGACTTGTGGAGCTTCTGCAGTATGTTATTATGCTCTTTACAATTTACACAATTACACCCTCCTCTGACTCTCATGTCATTTATGCTTAAACCCTTTGTGTGTCTTTCATTTTTCTGGAAAAATCATGGGTGACTTATGATGTTTCTGTACCCTTTCTTTTATTTTTCAATTGGTTTTCTATTTGGGATGGCTAAACTTTCTTTTAGCAGGCATCAGTCAGAGTCTATTCTTCTACCTACAATTCGGAGTCTAGGAAATATTGTGTATGGTGATGATGCTCAGACTCAGGTAGAGATAACGATGTACAATTATCTTCTCATTCTTATGAATGTGTGTTTTTAATAATATTTAGCCTGATTATTGATATAATTTTTCATTAATTGAGTCATATTGACAACTTAGACAAAGTATTTTTTTTTTTTTGGTCCCTTTTGTCTTTTCTGTTTTGCATTCTAGATAAACTTTATTGTTTTTATCGCCTTAAATTCAATGCAACTATCCATGTATTTTCAGGTTCTAATTGATAGAGGAGTTCTCCCTTGTCTTCGCCAAATTATGATGCAAAATCACAAAAAAGGCATCATGAAAGAGGTTTGTTGGACAATTTCAAATATCACAGCTGGAACTAAAGCTCAAGTGCAGGTAAGGAAAGGAATATGAAAACCTTTATCTTGCTGCAAGTGTCTTGTGTAAAAGTTAACTGCTGATTGTTTGAATATGTGTTTATTCCCGAGTATTTGTGATTATGCTTAAATCTCCATAAATGTACATTTCATGTGATATCATATTCTAGACATTCAATTTTTAATAAGATATCATAGGTCACTATGAAAATTTCTGAAATATATTTTTACATAAAACTAGTGAAACCTTTTAAGCATTGTTGTTTGGTGGTGTAACTTATCAGAATTGTTTAATGATTACTGCTGCAGGCTGTCCTTGAGGCCAATATTATTCTTCCACTTGTTCGTCTTCTTCATCATGCCGAATTTGAAGTCAAGAAGGAGGCTGCCTGGGCCATCTGCAATGCCACTTATATAGGATCCCATGAGCATATTAAGTACAACTTATTTTCCTTTATCATAATTTCTTACACGTAAAATGCATGCATGCATGCATGAGCGTAAAAATATTTATTAATAAAGTTTAGAGAAATCCTTGTAAGAGACTTGAAAACTACATAAAAACAAAAAAAGTGTGACTTTATAATAATTATTTCTAATGCAATATACTGTGATGAAACTTAAATACTTACGCGTCCTATGAACATTACTGTAGATTCCTGGTGATTCAAGGTTGCCTTAAGCCACTGTGCGATCTCTTAACCTGTCTGGATCTAAATGCTGTGACTCTTTGTCTAGAGGGGCTGGAGAACATTTTGAAGGTTGGAGAAGCTGACAAGGAAATGGGTCTGCATGGTGGAACCAATATTTATGCTGAAATGGTTGAAGAATATGGAGGATTGGAAAAGATTGAAAGATTGCAGAACCATGACAACAATGAAATTTATAAGCGGGCTGTGAGGATTTTGGAGAGGTTTTGGGATGAAGAAGAATTGGATGAGACGAATGTTGAGAACAGTGATGATGCTATTCAGCAAACTTTTTATTTAGGGATCAACCCACCTGACATACCCGCAGGTGGTTTTAATTTTGGATCACAGTAATAGCTTTTCGTATTTTTCCATTTCTAAATTTTTCAAATTTGCGTTTACTCAGCCAAGGGTCAGGAATTTTTTTGGGTCTGGCTCGTTGATTATTGTTGTCTAACATTTATTGAAGTTGTTAACCTAGTTACATTCTACGTACACTTTTTGGTTAGATTTACTTGTTTCTGTATATTGCAAAAAGGGAAATAAAAATTGTGTTTGAATGGATGTCTTGCCTATTGTGTAATGGCCACAGATCTCTAGGCCATGCAACAACTTCAATGGTTCATCATTTCATTCAGTAATTATTGTTGCACACACCTATGCAAACTACCGTCAACAATCAATCAGAGCTTCATAAAAGGTTTTAATGCGCCACACTCTATTCTTTAATTAAAACTACGAATTCACATATTATTCAGTGTTGGGTCTAGGCCAACTGGGCCTCCACTTAAGAATAGATGACAAAGGGAGGATTTTGGCTGGGAGGTCATTGGGTGGTGGTTGATGCAGTGGGTAGTTAATTGCTGTATTCTGTTTTCCATTGTTATAGTTCCTTAGTTCTGTGTTTTTCTATTATAGCAGCTTGTAATTCCAGGGATCTCCCTGTGTGAGCCCTATAATTTCAATCGAATACTCAGTTCCTAACAAGTTGGTATCAGAGCTCCCGATCCTGGGAGCGCCTGATGGTAACGACATGCATGGAGAATCGGTTGGAGAGTGTGGAGCGTCGGTTGGAGGGTATGCAAGCTTCCATCCAAGAGGAACTCCGAAGGCAAATGGATGAGATGTTAACGATGATGACCACGAGGTTTGAGACGGCACTGCAGGTTGTTCGAGCGAAGAGGGAGGGAAACAATAACAACCAAGACAGGGGCAATGGAGAAGGTGACGCATGGAGAAGAGAGGAGAGAGTAAGGCGGGTTGAAGTACCTTATTTTGCTGGAGAGGACCCTTATGGGTGGGTGTACCGAGCTGAGAGATACTTTGAGATCAATGGCATACCAGAGGCGGAGAAGGTGGATACAGCGGTGGTTTGCCTAGAAGGGAAAGCGCTTAACTGGTATCAATGGTGGGAACCACGAGTTCCAACGTCTACGTGGCCCATTTTCCGGCAAGTGCTGTTGGGTCGATTCCGTTCATCGGCGTCAGAAAATCCTTACGAGGCATTGATGGGGCTAAGGCAGAGAGGGACTGTGGTTGAGTATAGGGAGCAGTTCGAGCTGTACTCGGCTCCACTGCGTTTTGCCGATGAAGAGTTCATGATAGGTGCGTTCCTCAACGGTCTCAGGGAGGAGATCAAGGCAGAAGTGAGATTAAGGGATTCTGGCGACCTGAGCTCAGTCATGGAGTTCGCACAAAAGGTTGAAGAAAAGAATAGGACATTGGGTCTCTCTTATGGGTCAACGGGAAGAGCTGGTGGGTCAATGGGTATTAAAACAAATTGGGCCTTAAAAGATGGAGCCCAAGACACGACTAAAAGGAGTTGGGCTGGCAGAATTGAACCAGCTCCAATAGCTAGGTTAAGAAACCCAAACCAGCAAGGGAACCCTTTCCAATTTAACGCAAACCCGACCCAAGGAACCATAAATAATTCACGCGACTCGTTCGCAGCTGGTTCGAGCAGAAGGGGTCTAGGGTTCAAGAGACTTACCGAAGAGGAGGAAAGCGAAAAGCGAAGGCGAGGACTGTGTTTTCGTTGCGACGAGCGATTCTCACCTAGCCACATATGCCGCAATAAACAACTCCACATAATTCTGTTGGGAGAAAACGAGGAGGACCAAGGGGAGATTTCCATGGAGGACAGCGATGAAGAGGAGCTGAATCTCCAGTTGAACGCGAGCAGCATAGTGGGAATGACTTCCAAAAACTCTTTGAAGCTATGGGGGACAATTTTGGGTAAGAAAGTCATAGTAATGGTCGATTCCGGTGCGTCCCATAACTTTTTGTCACCGGGGCTGGTGGAGGAGCTGAAAATACAAACCGAGGCTACAAAGAGCTATTTTGTGGAAGTAGGAGATGGCAAGAGGCTGGGAAGTCAGGGAGTTTGTCGGGGGGTTATTTTAGAACTGCCGAATATCCAAATAATCCAGGATTTTTTTCTATTTGACTTGGTGGGTGTTGATGTAGTTTTGGGGTATGAATGGCTGAAAAGCTTGGGAAAATTCAGTGCTGACTTGCGGCAGCACTTGATTGAAGTGCATCAGGATGGAAGAATCATAGAGATCAAGGGGGACGTGGGGTTGTCAAGAACTGTGGCTTCACTCAAGGCCATAAGAAAGGAGTTGAGGGGCGAAGCAGAGGCTTACTATGTTGAATTGGGCATGATGGCAGTGGGCTGCACTGAAGTGCTCACTCCGATTTCGGATACTGCACCTGAGGCTTTGAGGGAGTTATTAAGGGAGTTTGGAGAATTGTTCAAGGAAGGAACTTCCCTCCCACCTGCGAGGGAATATGATCATGCCATAGTCTTGAAGGAAGGAGCTACAATTCCTAATATTCGGCCTTATCGACATCCGCATCATCACAAGGAGGAAATTGAAAAATTTGTGAAGGACATGCTTGCAATAGGAATGATCAGGCCGAGCACTAGTCCCTACTCTAGTCCTCTGATTCTAGTGAAAAAGAAAGATGAGAGTTGGCGTTTTTGCGTGGACTATCGTGCTCTCAATAACATCACTGTTCCTAACAAATTCCCAATCCCAGTCATTGAAGAGCTTTTGGATGAGTTAGGAGGGGCAGCCATCTTTTCCAAACTGGACTTGAAATCTGGCTACCATCAGATACGTATGAGACCAGAGGATATTCCCAAAACTGCGTTCCGGACACATGAGGGGCACTACGAGTATGTAGTAATGCCCTTCGGCCTAACCAATGCTCCTTCAACCTTCCAACCTTCCAAGCATTGATGAATCAGGTTTTTAAGCCGTATTTACGCAAATTTGTGTTAGTGTTTTTTGATGACATTCTAGTTTATAGCGCAGATTATGCCTCGCACATGGGTCATTTGCGCTTGGTTCTTCAACAACTGAGAAGTCAGGAATTGTGCGTTAATGGTAAGAAGTGCAGCTTTGGAGAGTCCCAGTTAGAATATCTGGGGCATGTAATCTCCTCCACTGGAATCTCTGCTGATCCCGCCAAGGTCTCTGCCATGACTCAATGGCCTGAACCTAAAGACATTCGAAGTTTGAGGGGCTTTTTGGGCCTAACGGGGTACTATCGCCGATTCGTACGCAACTATGGAATTATTGCAAGACCCCTAACACAATTACTAAAGAAAAACAGTTTCAAATGGTCAGGAGAAGCACAATCGGCGTTTGAAAAGCTCAAAAGGGAAATGAAGGTGTTGCCTACCTTAGCAATGCCGAATTTTGAATTACCATTTGTGGTTGAAACGGATGCCTCAGGACATGGTTTAGGTGCAGTCCTAATGCAACAAGGCCGACCCTTAGCCTTTATTAGTCAAGCTCTATCAGACCAAAACAAGGTGAAATCGGTGTATGAACGAGAATTAATGGCAATCGTGTTTGCTGTCCAGAAGTGGCGGCAATACTTGTTGGGTCATCGCTTCATTATTCGGACCGATCAAAAGAGTCTCAAGTTTTTATTAGAGCAACGTGTGTTGGTGGGAGAGCAGCTGAAATGGGTGGCCAAATTAATGGGTTTTGACTTCGAAATTCAGTACAAACCAGGGCTGGAGAACAAGGCAGCTGATGCGTTGTCCCGAGTCATGACTTGTAAAGCCATATCTATGATAACCAACTTTGATTTAGCAAAATTGGCTGAGGAAGTGCTGAGAGATGAGCAATTAAGGAAAATCATGCAGCAGATAGTGACAAATCCTATTTCCCATCCTCATCATTCTGTCTCGTTAGGGTGTTTATGGTATAAGCAAAGGCTGGTTCTGCCTAAGAATTCTACCCGAATCCCACTGTTGTTAGAATTCCATGCTTCTCCCTGGGGTGGTCATTTGGGAGTAACAAGGACCTATAAGCGGTTAGCTATGATATTCTATTGGGCTGGGATGAAACAAGATGTAGAAAGGTTTGTAGCTGAATGTCAAGTGTGCCAAAAGAATAAGCATGAGACGCTAAAGCCAGCCGGGCTCTTACAACCTCTGCCAATTCCAGAGCATGTATGGGAAGACATTACAATGGATTTTATTGGGGGATTACCCAAGACCCAGACCGCAGACAGCATCATGGTGGTAGTGGACAGGTTGAGTAAATATGCTCATTTCATTCCTTTACTTCATCCCTATTCCTCTAAGGACGTAGCTGCTGTATTTGTGAGGGAGGTTGTGCGTTTACATGGATTCCCCAGCTCCATTGTGTCCGATAGGGACAGAATTTTTATTCTCAGCTCCGCATACCATCCCCAAACGGATGGCCAAACCGAAGTGACAAATCGCACCATTGAGGCTTACTTGAGGTGTTTTGTTAATGATCACCCCGCTCAATGGGTGAAGTGGCTACCATGGGAGGAGTTTTGGTTTAATTCCTCTTTCAATGCATCCATCAAAATGACCCCCTTTAAGGCACTATATGGGCGGGACCCTCCTCTGATTATTCCCTACTGCAAAGATAGTACAATTGTGGCTGAAGTAGACCATTTACTACAAAACCGGGACAGTATCATAGACGAGCTCAAACAACACTTAATTAATGCTCAGCTGAGGATGAAGGAGCAGGCTGATAGGGGACGCAGAGAGGTGGAATTTCATATTGGGGATATGGTTTATCTGAAGGCTCGTCCTTACAAATTAAAGACATTGGCCAAAAAGATCAATGAGAAGCTAAGTCCAAGGTTTTATGGTCCATTTCGAGTGGAAGAAAGAATAGGATCTGTTGCCTACAGATTGTTGCTGCCAGAATCAGCGCGTTTGCACCCCATTTTTCATGTGTCACAGCTCAAGAAGGCCCCTCCTACCAGTCAAGCTAGCCAAGCTTTGCCACCGTTTTTGACCGAGGAGCTGGAACTGCAAGTGGAGCCAGCAGAGGTGCTGGACGCACGCAAATTGTTGAATGGACACTGGGAGGTCCTAATTAAATGGAGGAGTTTACCTAAGGAAGAAAGCACTTGGGAGGAGGTTGATATGCTTCAAGCTGTATTTCCCCATTTCAACCTTGAGGACAAGGTTTGCCTTGATGGAGGGGGTATTGTTGGGTCTAGGCCAACTGGGCCTCCACTCAAGACATATCAAAAGAGAAGGGGTAAAATGGGAAGGGTGGATCAAGAAGCCGTTATGCGAGATTCTAACTAACTAACAAAATTAGCATAGGTGGCAAGGGAGGTACGGGGGGGTGGAATATAAGGAGAATGAATAGATGACAAAGGGAGGATTTTGGCTGGGAGGTCATTGGGTGGTGGTTGATGCAGTGGGAGGGTCTTTAGTTAATTGTTGTATTCTATTTTCCATTGTTATAGTTTCTTAGCTCTGTTTTTTTCTATTATAGCAGTTTGTAATTCTAGGAATCTCCCTGTGTGAGTCCTATAATTTCAATCGAATACTCAGTTCCTAACATTCAGATAACATTTTAATTAAATAATAATGATAGTAATATTTATGATACTATGTTTATTTATTTATTACTTAAGTTTTGTCTTTTTTTTTTCCTTCTTGAATTGTGAAGGGTCACACTAACATTGTGTAAATTGACGTAAAAATTCATTTTAGGAAAGTGAGGTGAGATGTAAATTTGGGTCACTCTATTTTGCAGGAGACACTGAAATAATGGATTTTGGCTAAAAAGGAAAAGTTGTTGTTGGAGGAAGAAGCAAGAGATGGAAGAAAGGAAAGGTTATTAGAGGTTCTAATTGAAAGAAAGTGAAGAAGGTAAAGGAGAAAAGGGAAGTTGTTGGTAGCAAAAGTGGGTAAAGATGATATGAGGGTGTAGTGTGTCAGTTGGGTAGTGAGGGATTGGTTCATAAAAACTGAACTGGTGACCTTCCCAACTAACATTTTTCCAAAACCATATTCTCATCGCTATCTGTCTCCGACTCAACGCTTCCCTCTTTATTATGCCATTAATTTTCAACCGTTTCAACACCAAAGCCAAAGTTCTAAGAGGACCATTCAATCAATTTCAACCCCAAATTATTATTTTAATTATCACAATAAACAAATAACTTCACATTTTCTCAGATATCACTTAATCACTAAGGAACTTCAAATTTAACAATCCATTATATTTTCCATTATTACAATCTTGAGTTTGAAACTAATACTTATTAACTATAATCTTTTAAAAATTTATGTGTGTCACATTTTTTATTTTTAATTTAATATTTTTTATAAATTATAACTAATATTTAAAAATATAACATTTGTATTATCCATATATATTTGTTAGTTGTTACACCATCTTATTGGTTAATCTTTTCCGCAGGCTGCTGCAGCCGACTTTGGTTTTTATAATTTTTAAGTGTTATTCAAGTCTTTCATTCTTAGTTGTCAGATAATTTATTTTTTTGAAATTTCTTTAAATTTAGTTAATCAAAAGACATTCTGTGTACTTTATTTTAAAAACTAATGAATTTTATGAATAAATAATTAAATATTTTTATTATTAATAATAGATATTTAACTATGTTAAATAGGACTCGTTAAATTTTTTTTAAGCTAAGAAAAAAATATAAATTAAGTTTAAATTAAGTTTTATTATAATTATAATAATTTTAAATTTTATTTTATAAAATATATATTTAATGTAATTAGTTAAAATTTAATTTAAATTTTAAAAAATATTATTTTAAAAATACAAATTAACCTAAAAATTAAAGGCAAGTAGTCTTCATATGACAAAATAAAAGCAAAAAACTGCTTGAAATATTTTTCTTTAAAATAATTTGTTAAAATATTATCAGTTAAAAATGTAAATTCACATTTAATATTTAGCAATAAATTTATAAAATTTATATTTTAAATAAATTAAATTATTTATTATTTATTAAAATCGATTATAACTATTATAAATAATACATTTTTCAAGTATTTAAATTAAAATATTTTTAATTATTCAAAATAAATTATTTAATAAATTATCTAAAGTATTTAATGTTTTACTTTTAAAATATTTTATTGTCCTTTAGTGAAACAAATTAAAGTAATTATTCATTTCATCAATGGGATTTTGCTTTATAATTTTTTATAAATAATGTTGTACATTTTAAACACGGTTGTAAAGAGAAAAAAAAATTATTTTTTTGTTAAAGAAAAATAATTAATCAAAAGTTTAAATGCTGATTTTTTGTCTTGTTAAAATCCTCTCTGAAAATATAAAGAAACCACAATATTTATCACATATTTTTTTTGCTATTATATTTACCACATTTATTTTTTAATTTTTTAAAATATAAATTTATAAAATAAACTAAGTCGCACACCTTGATGATTTTTATAAGAAGAAAAAATTATAGATAAAAAGGTTTTTTAATACTTAATCAGAATGAAAAAAAAAAGTTAACTTTAAATAATGACATTTATCTTGTTATTTTAAATTTTTTATTTTTTATTTTCTTTCCATGGAAAAAAATACAAAAATTATTTGTAAAAAAATATCTTGCATGTTTAAATAATAAAATTAAATTAAAGGAAAAACACTTACTGCAAGTTTAATTATTTTTTAAAAAAGCTATTGGTATATATATAAAACATAAAGCTATTACATTTTCCAAAAAAACTTTGTAGAAAATAATTTATCGAAAACAATTAATGAACAATAAACCTTCCACGTGATTTACTATATTTTAAGCGACAAAAGTATATTAAAGCAGAGTGGCACAGATTGAAGTTAAAGGGAGAAAGAAGGTCAAATACAAGGATCCAAACTATATATGAACCCCTTCTATCTTTCTTTCTATCTATCTCCCCACAACACATCAAAATTTCAACTTTACCTTTGAGAAATCAAATACCAAAATTCTCAAAACATGTCTCTAATAGCAGAGGATGTGAAAGCCAGAGCAGAGGTGTACCATGGAGATGAAATGTGCCAAGTGAAATCCAAAGAGCTTCTGAAGGAAATAGCCCTACCCAATGGCCTCTTACCCATGAAAGACATGGAAGAGTGTGGCTACGACAGAGAAACTGGCTTCGTGTGGCTGAAGCAGAAGAAGAGTTATACCCACAAGTTTGAAAAAATTGGGAAACTCGTTTCCTATGCCCCTGAAGTCACTGCACATGTTGAGCATGGCAAGATCAAGAAACTCACTGGTGTTAAGACCAAAGAGCTTCTGCTTTGGGTCTCACTCAGTGATATCTACATCGATGATCCACCCACTGGCAAAATCACTTTCAAAACCCCTGCAGGGTTGTTTAGGTCATTTCCAGTCTCTGCTTTTGAAATTGAAGAGAAGTCTAAGCAAATTGATGATGCAGCTGCTGCAGGTGCAGGTGCAGCTGTTCAAGTCAAAGAGGTTTGATTCATTCTGAATCTTAATTGAGGGGGTGGTTCTGCCGGTTATCGCTGATTAATATGTTATCAATAAGTTTATTTATGTTAGTTTTATCATATTCACATCATACCCTTTTAGATTTTTAGTTCAGTTTCATACCTAATTAACCATCCTCCTCTTCAATACAAATCAATTTTAAAGATTCCTTTTTTTCAATCAATCGCAAGGTCAATTATAATTTCAGAGATGCATGCCTATTCCCAGATTGCACAAGATTGTTGTTCAATGAATCCAATATTCTGTTTTTTTCTTAAATAAGAAAAGTTCTAGCTTAAAGTTCACGCGTAGCTATGCAACGGAAGCTAAGTTTTCTCCACAAAAAACAAGACGCGTAATGGCGCAAGGCAAAGCCCTTTATATATGGGGATATGCGTCAAGTTACCCGAATAATAACACGAAAAAGAAAGGTCATGTTTGGATGTATATTATAAAGTAACAGTTCAATTTTTCGAATAGAGGATTGGCGATAAACATGAATTATATGATAACTTTTGGTGTTAATTAAAAGAAGGGGAAAAAATCACAAGATTTCGGAAATGTAACGATAGGGTAATGTTGTGAGTTATGAACTCTACCAAAATCTCAACTACCCTATCTTATAGATGATTTTTTAATCGATACGTCGCCCCAAGAAACGAAATTACTGGACAAAAAACAAATCGTAGGGATATATGAAGTGCCGTTTTTAGCCAAAAGAAATAATAAGAAATAGGCTTCACGTAAAGGACATGAACAGCATTCCAGAATTGTCCGAGTTTGTAACGTAGGGAAACAGAAAAACCGTACATTGCGGGTAAAGGAAAGATCTCGCACAAAAACAGTGTCCAAGGCATGTTAAGAAAACTCGGAGGATTTCGTAACAGGTTTGCATAATTACATAAGTGCCGTTTTTCATACTAAAATGAATAATTTTTGTTAGGTCTAAAATATCATACAATTTCAGATAGCAGGAAACAGTACATAATCTCACAAAGCTACATGGTTTAGTAAATTTGGCAGGCACGGCTCATTCTTGATTCCTTACTTTCCTTGGTGCTACACTTATTCAATTCTGAGTAAGATGCAGCACTCTTTGGTTTTATTGGTCAACCTATTTTCAAAACAGTAAAACACTAACATGTATCAATAACAACATCAGCAAATAATGAAAAGTAGTGTCACATAACGTTTGGTTGAAGGAAAATGGAAGAGAGAGAATGGAAGGTGATTTTTTTTTACCCTTTTCATTTAAAATCAAACAGTATCTACTCACCTAAAAAACAGTATCAACTGTCTCCATTATTCTAATTTCTAATTCAATTGGTGTCATGTATGAATTTCCTGCGATCTTCCATCCTTAGAAGCCATTATCTCGTCATTTTCAAGGAAAGACAATTTAAATGTGCGAAGGCACGTGGCAGAGATAGGTGCGTTTTAAGGCAGCCAGCATAACATTAACACATGTATGTCCGCTGTTAATTTCAATGTCTATCATAGGCTATCAATAAATTTATCCCAACAATGCTATGTTGAAATTTTAAATAATATAATTGTGTGAATTATTTATATATATATATATATTTCTAAATAAACATTGAATAAATAGAATAGAAGTCTATCGAAATTATTGAGGAAGTAAACAAATATAAAATTTACATAAAACTTTTCATGTTACATATAAAATCCTCTTCCAAATATAAACATTATTAAATATTTATCATTTTTTCAAGATAATTTTTTTAATCAATATATTTTATGAAGTAATAAGAAAATATTAAGAATATAAAAAACTGTTACAAAAGTACTAGATAATATGTAATAAAAGCATTACACATGGTGTAAAACCAATATTAGTTTAGGTTTAAAAAAAAAAGGGAGAGAGATAATCCTTTCTCTATAAGCAAAAAAAATAGCCCTCTTATAGGAGTGTGTTGTCTTTGATACTTTGCATGTTTTCAGTTTTCAATTAGCTAATTATGTTACGATCATACCTTGGAAGCCATGACCTTATGTAGCCTTTGCTGGATATGAGAGATTAAATTCCATTTTCTGGAGTCTATATACCTTAATTTTTCAAAACCAACCTTCATTGTGAGAAATGAGTACTGCTATATATGCTTGAGTTCTCTACCAGATTAATGCAGTATCCTTGCAGCATTGATGAGTTATGTTTACAATGAAAGTATTGGATAATGACAAGTTCTTAGGGCTTCTATGAACAATTCCACCAAGGCCATAATATAAAGCTACTAATTTCGCAAATGAAGCACGACATATTATAATATATAGTTTATCCAGACGTTAAAATCCAGAAAAATTCTTTAGAATCAATTAGTCAACATGCCCAACAGTATATGCTATATATACTTACATGACAATAATAGCAGTTTATAACTGAAGCTGTTCCGATTGAAGCAGTCAAGCATCATCTACGCAATTTATACGTATTTTTAGGAGTTAGTTTCTGTAAATAAAGACTTCTAATTTACAATAATTTTTATTACAAGAATATGTCATATGATCTCAGGAGAATTTCATAATTTCTACAACCAGGATCAGTTCTTACTTTTAATTCTGAATTTGGTGACTGTACCCATCTTTCTGTTCCCTTCCACATTTGCCTCAGGCTCAGGTTCCTTTGTTTTTCATTTGTATTGTTTCTTATATCTTTGATTGAACACTTGCGTTACATACTGTGATAGTAAAGATGAACCACTTCAATGCCATTGTCAAGAAAGTCTAAACTTATGAGTATTTTTATTCTGTTAACTTAACACGTGCATTTGATATTCTAATAAAATATTATGTTTATCTAGGTTGTAGTAGAAGTACTGATACATCAACAGAGAAGAAAAGATGGCAGATTTGGAAAACATGCTTCTTGAGGCAGCTGGAAGGACTAGTTCTGCAGTGAGAAAGCGAAACAAGCATAGAAATTCAAGAACAAAACGTGAGGGTGCAGCATTATCTGATGGTGGAAGTAATTCCAGAGAGGAAGACTCTGATGAGGGTAGAAGCAAGAGGGCACAAAGAAGTGCTTCCCACGTTCCATTGAAGAAGAGGTTGGACCTTAGCAGAAGAGGTAGTAGTGTTGGCAATGATCATGGAAGCCAGGGAAAGGGTGATTTGGATGATGGTATTGGAGGTTCTGCTAGGGATGGTGACAGTGGCAGCAGTGAAGAATCTGATGTTGGCAGCGATCTTTACAAGAATGAAGAAGACCGACAAAGGCTTGCGAAGATGAGTGAACTCGAAAGAGAGATGATTTTGTCTGATAGAGCAACTAAGAAATGTGAAAAGGAATTCAAAGATAAAATGAGAAAGAAGAGAGATAACAACAGTGCAAGTGCAAGGACTAATCAGTCAGCTCATCCATCATCTTCCAAGGTTCGTTCATCAGCTAGAAATGCTGAGAGAACAGCTGCTAAAGGCGATGTTCTAAGTGAATTGCGTGCAAAAAGGATGAAACAGCAAGTCCAAGATACTCATGCTGGTAAACTGGGAAATGCTTCAAGAAAAGGCTCAAACAGCAAGGGAGTGAAGCAAAAATTTGGAGCCACAGCAAGCCCAAGTAGCTCTAGTCAGAGCGAGAGTGCTATGAGGTCTGATAGTGAAAGGGAATCATCTGATGATGGTGGATTGATTGACAGTGATGATGATAAGAACATGCATGAATCAAAGATTCCAACATTTGAGGACATTAAGGAAATTACCATTAGGAGGTCAAAGGTTGTGAAATGGTTAAATGAACCCTTTTTTGAGGAGTTAATTGTCGGTTGTTTTGTGAGAATTGGCATAGGAAGGTCAGAGAGTGGACCTGTCTATAGGCTCAGCATGGTTCAGAGAGTTGATGGAGGTGACCCAAATAGGCATTACAAGGTAGAGAATAGAGTCACTCACAAGTATCTGGTTTGTGTGTGGGGCAGTGAAAACTCGGCTGCAAGGTTTCAGGTTGCTGTGGTTTCAGATTCTGCACCATTGGAGAAAGAGTTCAGACAATGGCTTAGAGAAATTGAGAGAACTTGTAGCCAGATTCCAAGTAAGATGAGTGTGTTGGAAAAGAAAGAGGCAATAAAAAGAACCAACACATATGTTTATTCAGCAGCCACTGTGAAGCAGATGCTGGAGGAGAAAAAATCTACCACATCTAGGCCACTGAACATTGCAGTTGAAAAGGATCGTTTGAAGAATCAATTGGAGATAGCAAAAAGTAAGAATGATGAGGTAGAGATGAATAGGATCTACACAAAGCTTGCTGAATTGGAAGCATTGCGTCAAGCCAAGGAGAATGATGCCAAGGCTATGAAGCTTGCTGAGATGAACAGAAAGAACAAGGTTGAGAATTTCAAAAACTTGTCTGAACATAAACAGTTGAATGCAAATTTAAAAGCTGGAGAGGAAGGTTATGATCCCTTTTCAAGGAGGTGGACAAGGTCGAGGAATTACTACAATTCAGAGCCAGGGAAGGAGAGTAAAGAAGGTGAGAATAATGAAGGTAAAGGAGAAAAGGATGGTGAAGCTGAGGGTGAAGTTAGTAAGGGGCAAGAAAAAGAAGAACATGTCACAACAAAGGTTGGTGTTGAAGCCACAGAAGCAGCTTTGCAAGCTGCTGCTGATGAAGGGAAGTTGGTGGATACCATTGCTCCTGTGGATGGCGGAACAGAATCAAATATGTTGCATGATTTTGAGTTGCCAATTTCTTTGGCTGAACTTAAGGATTTGGGTGGACCACAGGGAATAAGGAACGGGTTTTTGGCAAGGAAACAAAAAATAGAAGCAACAGTTGGGTGTAAGGTCCCTGAGAATGATGGGAGTAGGCATGCTCTTACATTAACTATCAGTGACTACAAGAGAAGAAGAGGGCTTCTTTGAAGTTTGTGAATTCAGTCTCACCTTGCGTCGTTTACACATACTTCGAACACAGCACGCACTATCTAGACCACTTTCTTAAGGTATTAAGGTTACATTTTCAACTAAATAACGTAGACAGAGAATAAATAGTGACCAATTTTATTTATTTCCTTGAATAACTGGCTTCCTTGGAGAGAAGGATTACAGCATTTCTTTGGTGCCTCTAAAACTTTCATGCTTAACCTCTTTAGTACTTTTTGATTATGTGGTCTGGTAGTTTGGAACTTGAGATATCATAATTTCTTGAGAACTAATTAGCTGCTAGAAGGTTTCATGGTATGATATGTTATTTGAGGAATTCTTGAAACATATTTACCAGGCAGCCAAACTTCATTTTGAAAGACCCAACCTTTTCAACTTTTGGCTGTAAGAATAAATAATAAGCAAAGAGATCAATGTTCTACGGTAGCATTCTATAGTAAGACAAATGATTATGTACATGTTTTCAAATATACAAATGAATAAGATATGTACATGTTTATACAGATGAGTAAGAATCTCCTAAAAAAGAAAGGCTTATTTATCGTACACAACAACGTAAAAGATATTGCTTTTCCAATGTGATTTTTACTATATCCTATCAAATTCATACCACACACTAAACTTTTGACTGCACAGCAGAGCCTCATCACACGAGAATCTGAGACTTTGCAACATCACGGGAGCATTTTATCCTGCCACTCTTGTTAAGTAAACAAACACATGTCTCAAGAATCTCAAGATCCTCACCCCAGCATAACATGGTTGCCATTTCAGGATTCTTCAAGAGCATCTTAGATGATAGGAACCCAGCTAAAGTCCATGTTTGATAAAGCCGGGCTTGTTTTCCAACAAATCTTCCTGTGCGGGTGTCATAGTATTCAGGCCAAGAATCCTTTGGCAGCCTTTGCTCAGCCAAAGCAACTGCTTCATGAGCTAGTTCACTTCGCCCCATTTTGATGCATGCCAATGTGAACTGAAGATGGTGATGCATTCGGAAACACATCAATGTCAAAGCAAAGTTTAGTTGTGAAGTTGGACAGGAGAGCAACATATTCTGAACTTTTCTCAAAACACAATACTACAACAAGGAATGAAAAGTTACCTGCCACAGAAGGGTTGGCCACGATCCACCATTGTGATATGACCAAGGTCTGCACAAGTTAAGCATGGTGTTTAAATTAATGATTTAATGTGTATACCATTGAAGCAGTTATGAGCACAAACACTATAAATTCTTCGAAGTACTTTTTTTTATTAAAGAAAAGAACTCAATCACAGACTGAATAAAAGAATACATAAAGAAAAAGGAATTTTTACGTATTCTTTGGGTCACAGCCAGTAATTATTCGCCATTCATCATGCTCCAAAGCAGGATAACATATCTTAAGAGGCATTTGCCCAACAAGATCATTCCATTTTGCTTCTATCAGATTCAAAATAGCTTTATTCTGTCTTGGGGTGCCCAAAGATGAAACAACAGACCAAAGATTTCCAAGCATGAAAAACCTGAAATCCATATGAGCTGGTTGCAGATTCCCTATCAGATATCCACCTTCTTCTGGAATCCAATCCATTAACCACATGGGAATTTGTTCTGGATAGATGTTGAACTTGTTTGTGGCATCCAATGAGTACTCTTCTGTCTTGTACCTGTATATCTCATTCATCTTTTTCATATCTAACCAGTAGTATTCTCTAATGTGGAATGATAGTGCACTGAGCCTGTTGTTAATTTCTCCAACCATAGTCTTGAATTTGTCCTTTTCCAATACCATCTCACGGGCAGATCGAAGAGCCGAGTAAAATAAAGCCTGCAAAGTAAAACTCATTCTGCATTAACGTCACTTGTTGTATATACATGAAGGACACATCAAATAAAAGCATGAGTATAAATAATACCATAGCAGAATAGGACAATTATAAGAGCAGCATATTTTACAAATCCTTATAGTACTTGATATTACAGAACACAAGAACACAAACATGGCTTAGTTACACTTACTTGAATCTCAAGGGGGTGGCCATGAATACCCATCCTCCTATCTATCATGCAAGATCCATCAGTTACCAATAGAGAAGGAAACATATCAAAGCCATCCGTTAAACACAAGTTAAGGATCATTCGTAAGCCCGTTTGAACATCCAATCTTTCTTGCAAATCGTAGTCTCCACTGATCTTCCCATAAGCCCGCAGAAGAATAATCCACCACAATCCTAGAAGGAAAAAACTCATCTTTACTTAAAAAAATAGAACTCTTTTACAGGCACATCATGAAGAACAGCCAGATACTAACCCGAATCTACCGGTGCAACTCGACCAATGGCTGATTCTCCAAAATCAGGATCTAAAACTTCTTTATCATTTTCATCAGGTGTCAAATTTTTAACTTTGAAACTAGCAGGCATCAAGCCCTGCCCTGGGCTATAGCAATCCACTGTTTTCTCCCAACTCTATTGCAGTTGAATAGGGAGATGCATGCGAAATATTAAACATCATTAGAGAAAGAAAACACGACATGATGACAAACTATAAATATAGTATAAATATTAATTTATTTACGGTTTTAATATGAGCCAAGAGAATAATTAGTGATATAAATTCATGACCATTAAGAAGCCACAAACGACTTCATCTTCATGCAATGCATTGTATGCACCCCAAGATAATGAACAAGACCCTGAAGAGTATATATTATTACCTGGAGTTGCAAGGTGTGAAGGAGAAAGTTCTTGACAATCTCATTTTCTCCCTTGAGCAAGAAAGCAAGAGCAGAAGGGATAAAATCCCGAATAAAGACCTGATCATAATTCAAAGCTTGTGAATTTTCTGTATCATTTGCTGCTACTGTCCCCACAGGGGTATCACAATACGTCACCAGTGCCTCTTGCAATAACTCCCATGCCTCTTTCTCCACCTCTGTCTCCTCATCACCCATTTTCTTGGTCTCAGTCACATTCTTCAAACCACCTGAATTCTCTTTGTTCACATCTTCTTCACCAACCTCTAACCTTGACTCTTCCTCTCCTTCAACATTCTTCTCATCTTTATCAACGCTTTCCGCCACTAATGGCTTCACATGCATGCAATCCTTTACGTAAACCTTCTCACCATTTTTTTCATTGACACGTGTCTCAATTGAGCCTGAGAAGTGACGAGCCTTGGAGTTGAAGTTAACTCCAAAAATGGCATTGACAACCCCCATTGTTTTCCTCGCACTTAAACTAAGGGACTTAGATTGGCCAAAACTCGAAGAGGGTAACCCAAAAACTCGTTGGTTACCATTCATTATGCGTCCAAACTCGAACGAGCGAAAAGGGTAGTGCATGGTGCTGTGATCAAGATTGAGATAAAAAATGTTAGAGTTAGACATGGCAAGAGTTTGATGACATCTTGAAAGAAACAATGAATTCTTGTAACCAACGAGAACCCTTGAGGATGGTTTCATAGTACAATTGCAAATAAGGCTGGTTGTGATCATGACAAAAGAACAACCCTTGAAATGGTGCATGTGGTTGATATAGATTTTGGGTTCAAGAAAGGTTGATATCAATGTACGGTAGTGGTAATGGCAGGAAGAGAGGTTCAAGAAACTGTCATAAAATTTGGAAAAGAAATAAGAATGGTCAATAGAATAATAGAATGTTAATATTGTAGTCTTTTATTACGTACGGTATAGGAATAGAAAATACTACCTTGGGAGCTAAGATTATGATTTCTCACCACAGAATCCCCTTTTAGCAAGTAAAAATTTTAGATTTCTACGGTGAAATATTCAGGTGTGGATTTATTAGTTGCTAACAAATTTTAGCAGTGACTCTCAGCCGTGATATTTGATTCTATAATCTATCTTTTGCTATATTTGGGAAGTTCAACTATGTTCGGGTAAGCATTCAGCAAGGAGGATTTCTTTCCCTCTTCGTGGAAAATTCTTGGCCTGGAAGTTAATTATTGAACTGATTTAGCTTCTATTACAATCAAAATCTTGTTAGCAATTTTTGGGTCACACATATATATTATATAAATAAATGTGTTAGGGCCATTATTTTATTAGCCAAAATATTAAAGTGGTTTAATTAATATAAAATTTATGGCTAAGGGCATATATGTCATGAAAGACGGATTGTGTAGATACCATTAGTGATATTATAATTTAATGAGGGGCTAAATTATAATTATCAGTTTTGGGGTAAATGATGGAAGTTACTAAAATAAGGGGTTATGGTCCCCATTTGTAGAGCGCAGTAACACACGTGAAAACACACGACTCTTTTCTCTTCATCCCCATCAGGAGAGAAATCCAAGAGGAACAAAAAGGCTCTCTACATTTGGAAGATTATCAAACCAATCTTGAATCTCATCACATTGTTTGTTCACAATGGCAAATTCAGGTACGCTTCCACATTTAGTTTTCATTATGATCTTGAGTATGGGATAGAAAGCATGTAATTAGGTTGATTGATTAAATTCCAACAATTGGTATCAGAGCCTCCCATACTTGATTCATGTATGAATTTGGAAATTTTGAAATTAGGGTTCTAAATTGGAATTTTTATTTTAATTGGATAATTGATTTGACGCTGTGCATCTAAGTTTGTTATTGTACTGTAATGTGCACCCAATTGCAATTTGAATTTGCCGTAAAGCCGATTGAAATCGTATTATAATAATAATATTATAATAAGAAATCGTGATTTTCTTTAATTGAAATTGTGTGCCGCCGATGCAAATGTTTTCGAATGTCTATTGATACTATTTAAATAGCGTGATTTTCAATTGGGAGTGCACCACATGTTTTCAATGTCCTGTGAATATGCCATATTTCTTTCCAATTGAAATCTGTGCATGGTATGAATATTATAGTACATACGAACCAAAATAAGGCATCATGATTTAGCATTCTAAATTATCGTTTTATGAATATATCGTCTACGCTATCCATTGCAAATTCAGAATCAAAATTGAAATTACGAGTCCAAATTGGTATTTGGGCATTACGGGTCAAGATTGGCAATAATGGTAATCACATTCCTCGGTTTTTTGTGCATATTAGTATTTGGCCATTACGAACAAAATTGAGTTTTGGTTTTCATGCATATTCAACGTATCCAGATATGTATATTGCTTGCCGTCTTTAAAATTTAACAATCTTTATGTAGTGATCAAAATTTTATTTTTAAATTTAATATATTCATGTTCAAATTTTGGCTGCTATTTAATATTTTAACTGAATTAATTGAATCAAGAAATCACCAAAGTGACATCTCTTGAGTAAATTATTCGTAAGAAATGTTAAATGTTAGTATGTATGTTTATCCATGCGGGTATTAATTGGCCTAAAGGAAGATTAATATTTGGCCGGATTACATGCACACTTGTGATGGTAAACATGTGATAATTATGAGGTTTTGCTTGTGAATGATAAATCAATCCAAAGAGAGGTTTATTGTTTGACATGTTTTATTATCAATGTTTGACCATTACAACAAGGGTACCACTAGCAATTAATATTACTGTCCAAAGACTTGATATTGATGATGCACTAGGTATCTTGAGATGGGTTATGCCATTATTTGAATATATAGATTAATTTTTATTTCATTTTATGTGAGCATAATTGTATTAATTGTTTTATTCTCATTTCAGCTACTATTGCTTCAATATCTGCCAATCTGAATTCAGTTCCAGTTCTCAATGGCACTAATTTTAAGGACTGGAAAGAGAACATTGAAATTGTTCTTGGCTGCATGGATCTAGACCTTGCATTAAGGATTGAGAAACCCTCTTCTCCTACGGATTCTAGTACCTCTCAACAGAGGACAGATTATGAGAAGTGGGATCGCTCAAATCGCATGAGTCTTATGATCATTAAGCGTGGCATTCCTGAGGTCTTTAAGGGTACTGTTTCAGATGAAGTAACAAGTGCCAAAGAATTCCTTGCTGAAATTGAGAAGTGCTTTGCAAAAAGCGATAAGGCGGAAACAAGTACTCTTCTTCAGAACTTGATTTCCATGAAGTATCAGGGCAAAGGAAATGTTAGGGAATACATTATGGGCATGTCCAATATTGCTTCAAAACTTAGGGCACTAAAGCTTGAACTGTCGGAAGACTTGCTCATTCATTTAGTGCTGATTTCTCTTCCCTCACAGTTCAGTCAGTTTAAGATATCTTATAACTGTCAAAAGGATAAATGGTCTCTTAATGAGCTCATATCATACTGTGTGCAAGAAGAGGAAAGGCTGAAGCAAGAAAAGACAGAAGGTGCTCATTTTGTAAGCACCTCTAAAGACAAGGGCAAAAGAAAAAGAACTGAGGATCTAAAGAATGAAGCTGTTAAGGGTCCAGCACAAAAGAAACAAAATCAGGGTGACAATTGTTTCTTTTGCAGTAAGTCTGGACATGTAAAGAAGAAATGTACCAAATATCATGCTTGGCGTGCAAAGAAAGGTATGTTTCTTACTTTGGTCTGTTCTGAGGTCAATTTAGCTTCAGTACCTAGAAACACTTGGTGGTTAGATTCAGGTGCCACTACTAACATCAGTGTTTCAATGCAGGGTTGCCTAAGCTACCGGAAGCCAATTGATTCTGAAAGATGGATATATGTTGGAGATGGCAAATCGGTAGAAGTGAAAGCTATAGGGCATTTTAGATTATTATTGTGTACTGGTTTTTATTTGGATTTAAAAGACACTTTTGTTGTACCGTCATTTAGACGGAATTTGGTTTCAGTTTCTTATTTGGACAAATTAGGTTATTTCTGTTCATTTGGAAACCGTATGGTTAGGTTGTTTTTTAATTCAGATATTGTTGGAACTGGTTCACTTTTAGCTTATGATAATCTATATTTACTCGATACTATAGCTTCTTATGGTGAATCCTTTAATGCTGAACTACGCGGTACTAAGCGTAAAATTGACAATATTAACTCAGGAGCATTATGGCACAGGCGCTTAGGTCACATCTCTAAAAATAGATTTGAACAACTTGTGTCAAATGGAATCTTAGATTCCATTGACTTCACAGACTTTGATGTTTGTGTTGAATGCGTTAAAGGTAAACAGACCAAATCAAAGAAATTAGGTGCGTATAGAGCTACGGACGTCTTAGAGTTGATACATACAGACATTTGTGGGCCATTTCCTACACCTTCTTGGAATGGTCAACAATATTTTATATCATTCATAGACGATTACTCTAGATATGCATACCTATTTCTTATACATGAAAAGTCACAATCTCTGGATGTGTTCAAAACATTTAAAGCTGAAGTTGAGAATCAACTCAACAAAAGAATCAAGAGTGTCAGATCTGACCGTGGTGGTGAATACTATGGCAGATATGATGGTTCAGGTGAACAACGTCCAGGGCCTTTTGCCAAGTACCTAGAGGAATGTGGAATTGTCCCACAGTACACCATGCCAGGGTCACCTAGCATGAATGGTGTGGCTGAAAGACGAAACAGGACTCTTAAGGATATGGTAAGGAGTATGATTTGTCATTCTACCTTGCTAGAGTCACTCTGGGGAGAGGCATTAAAAACTGCAGCTTACATTCTAAATAGAGTACCAACAAAGGCAGCTGCCAAAACGCCTTTTGAGCTTTGGACTGGGCGAAAGCCTAGTCTAAAACATTTTCATGTGTGGGGATGTCCAGCTGAGGCAAGGCCTTATAGGCCAAATGAAAAGAAATTGGACTCCCGAACAGTGAGCAGCTACTTTATTGGTTATTCTGAAAGATCCAAGGGCTATAAATTTTATGATCCCACACTAAAGACAATTTTAGAGACGGGAACTGCCACGTTCTTTGAGGATATTGAGTTTGGAGGGAAGAATAAGGTTAGGGACTTTGTCTTAGAGGAAGAATCAGTAACAATTCCATAACCGATTCAAACAGTTGCTTTTGATAAAGCAAGTTCGGAACCTCCACAAGACATTGTTATTGAACCCCTTACTCAAGATGATTTGGTTGTTCATGAAGAACAAACTCAAGATTCTCAAGAACCTGTGCATCATGAGCCAATACCTTTGCGGAGATCCACTAGAGAAAGAAGAAATGCTATTCCAGATGATTACATAGTATTTCTTCAGGAACATGAGGAAAACAATGGTATGATGGAAGATGACCTAGTCAACTTTCGTCAAGCCATGCAAGGTTCTAACTCTGAAAAGTGGATTGAAGCAATGAAGGAGGAATATAAGTCCATGCAAGACAACAAGGTTTGGGAACTTGTCCCATTACCAGAAGGTGTGAAACCCATTGGTTGCAAATGGATATTTAAGACCAAAAGGGATTCCAAAGGTAATGTGGAGAGGTATAAGGCTCGTCTTGTAGCCAAGGGCTATACCCAAAAGGAAGGGATTGACTTTAAAGAGACTTTCTCTCCAGTTTCATCGAAAGACTCTTTTAGGACAATCATGGCTCTTGTTGCACACTATGATTTAGAGCTTCATCAAATGGATGTCAAGACGGCGTTTCTCAATGGTAACATTGATGAGACAATTTATATGGTGCAACCAGAAAACTTTGAGTCAGGAGATCCAAAGAATATGGTTTGCAAACTGACAAAATCCATTTACGGGCTAAAACAGGCGTCTCGTCAATGGTATCACAAATTTCATCAAGTAATTCTATCATTTGGTTTCGAAATGAATCTTGTTGATGATTGTGTGTATCACAAATTCAGTGGGAGCAAGTACATTTTCCTGGTCTTATATGTTGATGACATACTGCTTGCCACTAATGATATAGGCATGTTGCACGAAACCAAGAGATTTCTGTCTATAAATTTTGAAATGAAAGATCTTGGTGATGCTTCCTTTGTATTAGGAATTCAGATACACCAAGATCGATCTCGGGGTACTCTTGGATTATCACAAAGAAACTATATCGAAAAAGTACTTCAAAGATTTGGCATGCAGGAATGTAAAGCAGGAGATACTCCAGTTGCTAAGGGAGACAAGTTCAGTCTCAAACAGTGCCCAAAAGGAAATTTGGAAATTCAAGAAATGCAAAAGATTCCCTATGCATCAGCTGTAGGGAGTTTGATGTATGCCCAAGTATGTACGCGTCCAGATATAGCATACATAGTTGGGGTATTAGGCAGATATTTAAGCAATCCAGGAATGGATAATTGGAAAGCAGCCAAAAGGGTTATGAAGTATTTGAAGAGAACAAAAGATTATATGCTCACATATAAGAGGTCAGACCAGTTGGAGATCATTGGATATTCTGACTCGGATTTTGCAGGATGCCAAGATAGTTTGAGATCCACTTCAGGTTACATTTTCATGTTGGCTGGTGGTGCGGTTTCTTGGCGCACTGTCAAGCAAACCATTACTGCTTCATCCACTATGGCAGCAGAATTTGTAGCATGCTATGAGGCATCAAATCATGGAATATGGCTGAGAAATTTTGTCACAGGGCTGCAAATTATGGAAGGAATTGAAAGACCACTTAAGTTATATTGTGACAACAAATCAGCTGTATTGTATTCTAACAATAATAGGAGCTCGACCAAGTCAAAACACATTGACATCAAGTTCCTAGTTGTTAAGGAAAGGGTACAAAGTGGACAGATTTTCATAGAACACTTAGGGACAAACTCCATGATAGCAGATCCTCTTACTAAGGGACTTCCACCCAAGGTTTTTCATGAGCATGTTGCTCACATGGGTGTTCTAAAGTTTGAGGATTTTTTAATTTAGTGGGAGTTAGTCACTTCTATGTATTTTATGTTCTATGCTTGATTTTATGTATGCATACATTGACTTTTGGATATATTAATATATATGTTTTATCATTCAGTCATTACATTTTGTACATTAAGGTTATTGAATGATCTCATTGAGGTAAAGTAGGACCAGTTGAAAATAGACATGTACAGGCCACCTTCACGCAATTTTCATGCTACTCATTTCATGATGAGTCTATGTCATTTGATTCTGTCAGCATTAGTAATCATTGATGGGTTTAGTTGTGATTGATACAATGAAAACTATTTTGGTTCTATATGCAGATGTAATCAATGGACGAGATTTTGGAATATGCTCAAGACATGTAATGGCAAATTTTGAGCTCATAAAGTCTAATACATTTATAAGGATTCTAAGGATATATATATTTGTGACCAGTGGGAGATTGTTAGCAATTTTTGGGTCACACATATATATTATATAAATAAATGTGTTAGGGCCATTATTTTATTAGCCAAAATATTAAAGTGATCTAATTAATATAAAATTTATGGCTAAGGGCATATATGTCATGAAAGACTGATTGTGTAGATACCATTAGTGATATTATAATTTAATGAGGGGCTAAATTATAATTATCAGTTTTGAGGTAACTGATGGAAGTTACTAAAATAAGGGGTTATGGTCCCCATTTGTAGAGCGCAGTAACACACGTGAAAACACACGACTCTTTTCTCTTCATCCTCACCAGGAGAGAAATCCAAGAGGAACAAAAAGGCTCTCTACATTTGGAAGATTATCAAACCAATCTTGAATCTCATCACATTATTTGTTCACAATGGCAAATTCAGGTACGCTTCCGCATTTAGTTTTCATCATGATCTTGAGTATGGGATAGAAAGCATGTAATTAGGTTGATTGATTAAATTCCAACAAATCTAGTTTAAATATTTTTTGATTTTTTTTCTCAAAAAAATAAGCAAACCCGAGTATTCATCTAATAAGAAATTTTAAGCAAAATTAATGGATAAAAAAGGTTTACTTATATTCTTCCACTCATAACTGATATAAGAAATTTAAGAATTTGCATCATATGCTTCGTATTATTTTTTTAAGTTATAATTCTACCATTAATACACGAATGAATAAGGTGAAAAAATAAAATATGGAAAACAATTAATTTTGTGTCATGACACATCTCATTGTTAATAGAATTTTATGCTGATCCGAGATTATTTTATATTTCATTAAATTAACGCATAACATATCTTTCAAAGTTATTTATTATTTTTCAGTTTGATATTTAAATAATATTTACACAACAATGAGTTATTATATCTTGAAGAATAAGATTAAATTGACGAAACTCATTTTCTATAGAAAATTATTAAATTTATCCGTGACAAAACCTGACACCGAAGTCAATGTTTTCTATTCTAATATTGAATGTTAAAATTCGACCATGGTTTTTTTTTTTTTTTAAGAATGTGAATGGCATAAAAAAAATGAGTTGCGAAATATTTGTTTTATTTTTTTGAATGAAAGAGGAATATGAAAAGGGCAATAATGTGAACATAATGTTTTCTATCCACTTGGTGTGTGTGTGTGAAGTGTGAGGAATCTGTTTCTCTTGTCTTGGCAATGGCTAATGCAATTGTAATGCCGGTGGCGGGTTTTCTGGCCCGACCCATTACCCATTTGACGACCCCGTTTCAGTTCCCTACTCACAATCACTCTTTCCATTCTGCTCGCTGCTCCGTTTCCTCCACATCCCAATCGGTAATACAATCCAATCCCACTCAATTTAAGGTATTGCCTTTTCTCTTCTTATTTTGGCAATTCCGCTATTTTCCCCATTCTTAACTATTCAGTGAAGCACATGATTGTATTAGGTCACTTTCCTAACTAATTTGTGAGAGTAAAAAAAGAGAGTAGGTTCATATTTGGGTAATGAATGCACATGAAAGAGGGAATGATAACCTAGCAAGCATGGAATATACATCGAGATTTTATATCATAGATTAGAATATAAAACTTATTATCATAAATTAAAGAAAAAACTAATTTCGATTAATTATATGAAAATGTTTTTGTAAGTTGTCTGTGAAGGTTTGATTGTATATAACATAAGAAAAACAAAAGAGTGGGAGTCTTGGCAGTTGGAACAAGGATAAGGTTGTTGCCTGTGACTTGGAGGTTACTAATTTAAATCCTTGCAGGATAAGACTCTGTATATGTTGAGTTGGGCCATCTGAATCTGGCCTTTGATTCATTCTATCTCTGCTAATATATAATCAGACTAAAGCTTTTGCAGTTCCAAGGAGGAAAGCAATGTCCTTGATCTTATCAAGCTACATTCTTTCCGAGGTTGGTTCAGCATTGGCTCAACAGTCCACTGTGTTTCGTGAATATATAGACACATTCGATGGCTATTCATTTAAGTACCCAGGGAATTGGATTCAAGTTCGAGGTGCTGGGGCTGACATATTTTTCAGGGACCCTTATGTTCTTGATGAAAATCTATCTGTTGAAATTTCTTCGCCTTCATCTTCGCGATACAAGAGTGTTGAAGACTTGGGTCCACCGCAAGAAGCTGGAGAGAAAGTGCTCAAGCAGTATCTGACTGAGTTTATGTCTACAAGACTTGGTGTTAGACGTGAATCATATATTCTTTCCACTTCTTCGAGAGTAGCTGATGATGGCAAGCTCTACTATCAAGTTGAGGTTGGTAAACAATTACATTTGAATTACTTATTCTTTAGTCACAATGATGATTATAACATGTATTATACCAGATGGAACTAGTTGGTTGGATTAGCATCAATTGATACAATTAAAAGAAAAAAACATAAAATAAGTGCTAAGGAAATCACTCTGGATAACCAGTGCATCTTAAAGGAGTTCATAAATTATATACCTCCCATCATTTTTCCTTGGAGTTCTGTTGTTTTAGAAAAGGTGTACCTTATTACTCCTTTTTGAAAAATTACATAAATGACTAATTGAAATTATTGTCTCTATGTTGCTAGGTAAACATAAAGTCATATGCTAATAACAATGAGCTTGCTGTTATGCCTCAAGACCGGGTGGTATTTCAGGAATGGAATCGGAGGTACCTCTCTGTTCTTGGGGTTGAAAACAACCAACTGTATGAGTTGAGATTGCAAGCACCAGAAAATGTGTTTTCAGAGGAGGAAAGTGATCTTCGTCAAGTAATGGATTCCTTTCGAGTGAACAAGATTGCCAGTTAGAACTAGAATGTTGGACATATGTTGTAATTTAATGCTATTTCTTTTTTTCTTCTTTATTCTCATGACCCCTTTCTCTATTTTTTTCGGCTTAATTGCATTTTTCTCTCTCTCTTTTTTAATTTAATTAAATTTTGGCTCTCTAATTTCAATTGTAAAATTGTTGTCCTCATTTTCATATTTTTGTATGTCTGCTTGTTAAATCAAGGTTAACACTACTTCTCAACAGTTACTATGAGTTACTGTGGCACGTCTCAATTGTTTACCAGTATTATGCTGGAAGAGACTTAATTATTATATCACTATAAAATCTCTGAATATTATAATTGAAAGATAGAAAAACCTAACCGTAGTTTTATTGACGTCAGCCCAAATTATAAAAATTGAGATATTGACCATAATGTTTAATTTTCATTTGATTATTTATTTTTCTCCGTACTTAAACCAATTGCATATATTGGACACAAAATAGAGCCAACTGCTTATATGCAACAAACGTTGAGATTGTGCTCGGAAAAATTATTCATCTCATCTTTCTCCCACGTGGAGCAATTGAAAGATCATTAAACCATAAATTACAATTTGTATTAGAAATTCAAATGCAATCCATTCTCAGTAATGCCAATTGTTGGGTCCAGACCAATTGGGCCTCTTCTCAAAACATATCAGAGAAGGAGTAAAAAAGGGATTATGAGCAAGGAGGCTGTCCGGGAAGATTCTAACTGGAATAACAAATTGAATGACGTGGAGGAGGGAGAGAGCGGCTGAGGGAGAGGTAGATTGATCAGAGGAGAGAGGGGGGAATTATCTAGGAAGTGATTGGGAGGTGGCTGCTGCCTAGGGGAAGTTTCCATTTTTAATCTTCATTGCTTTTCTGCTATTCTTATTTTTTCTGCTGTACTATCAGGGGGTTTCCCTGAGGTTTTGGTGTAAATTCCACAAACATAGTTCCTATCACCAATCTTTAAAGGGAAAAAAAAATGATATTCAGATACCAGTCACATGACTGTCGTAAATAAACCCACGATAATTCAGATAACCGGGATGTGATTCTACCAAAATAATGTAAAACTAAAACCAGAAGAAAAAACACTACCAAATCTTTACAAATGAAACCAGCCATGTACATGCAACAAAATTTCATGTCCAGAATCATTGCAAGTCTTAGATGACTCAATGCTGAGTACAAAATTACGACCTGACTTCAAATTCACCTGCACGGGTAAGAGCTCGAAAACCTTTATAGAAACGGTAAGGCACAGTCTTCAGATCCAGTTTATCTATTTGCAGACCAGAGAGGGCAACACCCATAATCCTAAAACCCACTTGAAATGTGGGAAAGACGTGAAGGCGCTCCAATCCAGTCTCCAGCACCAATGTTCCAGACATCGAAGGGGCTTTATCCTTTGGGATTCGACCAATTGTCCAAGTGCATGTCTGATAAGAGATAAAGAAAGCTTCAAATTGCATTGCAAAAATAGACCAAAGTTCATATCTGACTATTTTGGCTTCGTGGTGATTTCTACAATAGACAAAAATATAAACAGAGATACTGCTGCTTATTAGGTACCTTGTTACCAAGGATATTTACTGTTCCATGATTTGAAGTCAGATCAGCTGATAAGATGCAAGAAGGAAGCTGAAACTGAACAGTAACTGAATCAATTGTCTTTCCAGGATCATTTTTTACGCCAACCAATACACTAACACGGCATGTCCCCCCATCTGAAGTCAACTGCGGCTTTACATATATTGGGGTGTTCTTTAATTTTCTAACTCTGAAAAGAAGAAAAATGTCAGAATGTTCAGAGAAATAGAAAATTAGGAATATCATTGAATGCAATTCAACATTCACAATTATATCTTCATACCCAAAAACTGACTTCTCAAATGAAGGTTTTGAATCCTAACTAAGACATCAAGAAAAGGTTGGAACCATACCTGTAACTCATAAGCTTAAATTGCCCGTCAGGAGGCACAAATGAGAGAATTTGATGGGATTCCCAAGGCCGAAATCTAACACAGGGATGGAACCTCACATCATCAAGAATTGAAGGATTTGCAAATGAAAGAGTCAAATCAGGAAGACCTGTGATATGGGAATTCACTTGAACCTCACCGTTGATCTCACATTTCACAAAAACTCCATCCCTGAATCAACAGGATTTTTTTAGCAATTAGTACTAAAGAAACTGAAAGACAAGAATAAAAAAGAAAGACAGAAAGAAAAGAAAAAGAAACTGAAAGAAATGGTGAGGAATCTAAAGATGATCTTTGATCAGTCAGATAAAATTTCACCATTCCAACCTTCAAGGATGGAAATGGAAAGGAAAAAGGGAACAGAATAAAGAGTCCAAAGATAACTGCCTCCAACTCTTTTCTTTGTGAGAAATGGAATCGTGTTAATTTTAATAAGTAAAAATAAAAAATAAAAAAAATCCATGTCAATTTGAGTTGTTCACTACCCTTTGATCGTTACATTACATCTCTGCCAGATACCTAGTCATTTATTTACATGAGGAAAGGCCCAAATATGAATGATTTGATCTGGTGACTAGTTTACCTAGCATGCATTATTGAAAATGTAATGTGTGTGTATATAAGACTTCAAGATTTGCAGTGCTACATCCCCAATTGTTTGGTCATTAACTCATCACACTATTTCAAGAAAAATTCAGTTTGCAAGATAAGGAGTGAAAAAATGAACTTTAATCCAGTAAAAAGTAGATTCAGTAAGCATCAACCCAGATTAGGGATGAAAAAGAAATGTACACTAGTGGGTTTTACAGTACCCTATCAGCCAAACTAGTTTTCAACCTTGATGAATTATTGTAATCCTTTCTTCTTCTTGAAAGGCATACGAATCCAACAAACAACTATTTCTTTTGCATGTTGTCTTAATTTCAAAGTTAACTTTCCAAGTTTTTCCAAAATAACTAATCAATTAGACAATAATAAAAAAAATAAAAATGAATCACCCATAAAATTATCAATGTTATGAAGTGAAAGATAGCATGAGCATATAGACCTGTTTATTGTGGCATCCATTTCTTCCACAAGATCTACATACACTTCATTGTTGGCATACTTTGTGTCTGCTGTTCTCCAGGGAACACAAGATGCAGTAGCCCCTGGAAGGGTGTCACTCACATTGGAACTGCTGCCAGTCACAACGCTCAAGACTTTGCTAACAATATTTGGGGGAGCAATCATCTCTTGCAGGATATTAGGTTCTGTAGTTAGTGGGAAGCCGTTGTCAATCATCTCATCCAGCAACTACAACAACAAAACAACAGATAAGTATTAGAGCAAAGAATAACATTTCATTTCATGATAAAATCCTATCAGTATCACTTGAAGTTATAATTGCAAGGAGGGAAAGCATTTGAGAGAAACACCTCATATACAATGACAAAGTTGTCTTTGATCAGATCTTCATTCAACCCCCCAAGATAATCATTGAGGACATCAGCTACCCTACAAAGGAACTAAAATCAGATGGTTAAATAAACAAACACAGTACTATTCTTGCATGAGTTACAATTGGAAAGTTGATGCATAACTGAGAAAATACCTCAATGGCCATCAATGGTGGCATTTCGACTTGAGTGCAAGCCAAAAAAGTGATTCCCTCACGAAAAACTTGGAAAAGATAATGCGTGGGAGAAGCAATCACTGGTTGTTGCTATTCATGCGCAAACAAACACACACGAGAAAATGCTAAATAAAATGACAAAAATGAAATGAAGAAAACGGAGAAAACAATTTTAGGGATACCTTGAAGGAATCAGGTTGAGAAATGGCTTGGTCCCAGAACCAGGCACATATTGAGCGATCTACGCGGTGACCAGTGAGCTGTTTCTCTAGCATTACCTCTCTATGGAATCCAATTTTCAGAGTCAAGATTCAAGATCCATAAGCAAGCATTCATCAAATTCAAATTAAATTTAAATCAATCGAAAATACGGAATCGTAAGTTGGCGATAATTTTGATTTCAACAACGTAGAGTAAAGGGTTTAAGTGAATCTTACCCAGAATCCGACAGAAGGAAAATGCATTGCAACATCTCTCTCTATCTCAATCGAAGCTCAGATAATGTGATAATAACAGTAATTGAATGAAATTATTAGTTACTAAGGAGTTTCCATCAATTCATGAGTATCCATACGGGCATCGTTAGTTTCCTCTTCTTTTGGACGCCAGTCACCATTGCCTATCCACAAAACCATTTCTCACTTTCAATTCTTTGTTTCTCAATTCATAAACAAAAACGTTAAATTTATGGGCAATTTTTTAAAATTCTTTTTTTTTATATTTTTTGAAAATTTATAATTATGTTCTTAAACTTTAAAATTATTTTTATTGAGTACTTTATATTTTTGTTAAGATTCCATAAAGTAAAATGATTTAATTAAAAAAATTTAAAATTTGTTGTTATTTTAATTATTTAATAAATTCTTGAATTATTTAAATTTATCTACTTAAATTCTAATATTTCACAAAAGTAAAAATATTAGTTTTAATATTCAAAGCAAAAATATTATTAAAGATATGATTTATATGTTCACGAGTCTTATTATAAACTTTTGAAGTAGAAAAAATTATTTAAATAGCTTTAAAACCTCTATTTTAATCACAAATATAAAAATTGATAATTAATACTTTTAAACTAACACAAAATATTATGTATAAACAAATAATTAAAAAATAAAGAATATATATATATATATATATATATATATTATTGATACCGTGTAATTTTAAAAGATGTACATCAAATCTTAACTGTATAAATTAAATAATTTAACGGTTGAAAAATTAATTAATTTAATCAAAATAATAAAATATAAGCGTGTAGAAAGAGATAATTTTTTTACCGTTAAATTATTTAATTTATACGGTTAAAATTTAGTATAAATCTTTTAAATTTATACCTAATATATATATATATATATATATATATATATAATTAGTTAGATTAGATAAAAGGAAAAATAAAAATGACGTGGATATAGATCAGACGTAGTTGAAGAAACACTAAAAAGTCATGGACATTTATATTGTTTTGCTATTTAAAACTAAATATTATTTTTAAACTCTAAACAGAAGTAATTAAGCAACCAAGTCATGCGAAAAAAAAATTCTTTTATAAATGAGATTTAAGAATATTTCTTCATGTACAAAAGTTTATATGTTTTGAAATCTTTTAATGGTACCCTAATATCTCTTGAACTTAACATATTGTTCATACATATAATATGTTGTTTATCCTAACTACTTACCCTCTCTATTGGTTAACTTGCCTTATTCATGACCTTACCAAATTACCTGATCGATGTATTCAAGATTTTGATCATGGTTATCCAAAAAAGACCCACAACATACCTGTAACTTCCCATTATGATTAAATCTTCTATCTAATATATATCTAATCCAGAGAAGGGACACAAATGGGTTTTTTTTCATTAATTCCAGAAAAAAATTACCAGGTTGTATTGATATTGGGTCGTAGAGTTAAGAAGAACATGCACTAATCGAGTTTCTTTATGCACTAATGGGTCATTATGAACTCATTTGCTGGTTTTAGTTAATTTAATCAAGTTGTGTTAATTTGCCTATATTTACTAGGTTTTGCTGCCCATGACCCATTGTTTGAAATGGTATTACAGAGAAAAAAAAAAAACTTTTTTTTTTTGCTAAGCAAGAAAAACAAACACTTGACTCATCTCCTCTCTTCCACACATATTATAATGTTTTCTTTCATCTAATAACATAATATTCTTAGCCTAGCGACATGAATAAGAGCACTGTTCTGCATCAAGTCAAGCAATTTAAGGCAATCGTGTTTAATTTAGTTTTATATATATTTTGGTAAATGAATTAGGCTGTGTTTATATTCCATCGTAATTCCGATTCCATGAAGTATACACACATATACACATATGCATGTATTAGTTATATACGTATGTGTGGGACTCCCAACGATGTGTCGAAAAAGTCTAAATTTTCAAGGTCATTTTCTACACTTAATTGAGAGGAGTGAGAAGTCAGTGGAGTGGGTGAGGGAAGTCCATTTTTTTCGCAGCCTAGTGTAAGTATTTTCGGTGAGAGGCATCAAAAAGAGAGAAGGGAAGTGAGGGAAGAAAAGAAGCTCCAAACTAGTTACTCTATTTCTTTGATATCCGATTCGTTCACCGTTGGATCGGGCTGAAAATTTTACAGCAGGTTTATAACACGGTGCTCTTCGTTCTAACCGTTCGGATGGTTAGGTCTGAAGTTGGAGATATTGTCTTCGCACAGAAGCCCTATTTTTGGTGACTCTGCACAGACCAGCTGCTGAGAAATCGTTATTTCCCCTTAGTTAACCGTTGGATTGAGCTGAAACTTTGACAGTAGTTCCCAGACGTATATTTCTTCATTCTGACCGCTGGGATCGTCGATTGGAAGTTTTGGGTGAGAGAAATTGTATCTGAACAGTAGTCCTATTTTATGAGATATTCTTTCTTTGATCCTTCATTGTAGGCTTTATTGCTCTGTTGATTTTGGCTGGCTGTTTGCACGAATTTGTGCACTTGATTGAACACTCTTATACTCCTTATTCGATTATAGTAGAGCTTGATTGACTGGTTTGAGCCCGTGGGTTTTTAATTCTCATATTGAGAGGGTTTTCCCACGTAAATAATTCTCTGTGTCCTTGTATTTGTTGCTGCCATTTGTTATTGTTGTTGCTCCTCACAGGTTCTTGCAAGTTTGGGGAATTGTTTCCGCTACTTACTTTAGATAAGTGTGTTCTTGTGTTTGGTTTTCCCCAACAGTATGTATATAACTCATACGCCAATTGATCCAGATATCGGATCTTCTCTCAGAAGTTGTGTTCATCAATTTGCCAAACAAATGCTTAGTTGTTAAATATAACATCATTCATATCAATCGCCAATTTCAACGAATCATTATTATAAACATATGTAGAATAGTAAACTCGGTGCAGAATAATGTAACTTCTTAAACATCCAAAGCAAAAAAAAAAACACGATTTACACTCGAAAATGAATAATTATTTTACCATGTAATTTGGCAACCATTGTCTTACTCATGCCGTTACTAAGGTACAAAATTTTGCATGTGATGTCTTGTAACTCAATGCAAGTAGGAAGTCAGAAAATCCAATGTTGGCCAAAATAATAATCATGTAGAAACCAGCACCACCAAATCTTACTATTTATAATAATCATTGTTCTGCTTGCATTTACTTGTTTGATAGTGAGCAACTCAGACAACACTGAATGCTGACTGTAATGTAGATGAGACCCGTGAGACAATTGTCCGAGAGGCAAATTGTTGAATCTTCTTCTTAGCATCTGAAAGATAACTAAGCAATGTTATCCAGTGCCAGTTTGTCAATTTAACATATAAAGCATTGCTGGACGAAAAGGAACATTTATGTAGAAAACAGATAGAGTTCAAGTGTCTCAAGATGCGAGGTGAAGCTAGGTTAACAGGAACTACTAAGGCATGTATGTTCCATGCATATCCACATGACCACATCAATTGAAATGAAATATGTATTCCTGGCATGCAGTGCAGAAAACATTAATACAATAAATGAAAATAAACACAGAACCCACAGTTCATCCCCATAAAAAACATTATTTGAGGTATTATTTCAAGGAGTTATTCCTTTTAGCTTTCTATTTTCACACACACCACTTACATGTTCAAGCCAAAATAATTTTACCTTGTTCTTTAACCACTATCAATACAAGTGTACCACTCTTTCTACTATTTTAACGATTGATGATAACAAAAGTATCTTTGATTTGGGGTATAGGTTAGTAGGTATACTAATGATTTTTATGAAAAGACCCTGTTGAAAATAGTCCAATGAATGGATTGTATTTTGTTGCAACGTACACAAGAATGCAGTTTAAAAATCATCAATAATCATAAAATCTTACACAGGTATAGTGACATCTACACTACTTTTGAGCTAGATATAGTAACCCGATCATAGAAAATAATGATTAAGTGAGTGAAAGAAGTCATGTTAAAGCCTAGTGGTGTCCAGTGCACTACCCCATAAATTGATTGGAAAAGTCATAAATTGCCATGTGACTTGTTGTAAACAATGAAATCTAAACATGTGCTATTATATAAGTTGCCACAATATCAACTCTTCCAAATGACATATAATGTAGCATGAGAAAGTCTTCACTTGGAATTGAAAATTTCAGTGTCTCATTATTTCCAGCAATTGGCCTCACCTTAAACCAATATGCTTTGGAATATTAGAAGATACACTTTGATTACATCAATGAACTAGCATACCTTTTTCGCATTTGGTAAAACCAACAATATTTGCAATACTGAGGGTCAAACAAACTCCAACAACTAGGAGGTAATCAGCTTCAAGCCTTATGAGTGAGAATATAGCCAGCAGAATCCATGCAATTGCCTATAAAAGAATACACAAAAAATGCCGATTACCTACCAGAGCACATAATTATGCTTTATTTTCTTGGGGATGAGGAAGGATACTCATTCACTATGAGTAGTTGCAAAACTCAAATGCCAATTGCCAACTCACAAAGAACTATTTGCCATCCAGATCCAACATTTAAGATAGTTGTTCACTCTATTTTGAAAAGCAATCCCTATTTAGTATTTACATCAAAACAACATATGAACCATTTAAGTAAGCCTGACCTGGACAGATTATTCAATGTACTACCTTCTTGTTCAATTTCCCAACAAATTACCATTTTACCAAAGGATATAAAAAAAAAACACGGATATCAGCATATGTTCTAAACAGATAAATGTTTTCTTACTGTAAGATAAAGCGTCCACCAGAAAAGCCATGAATCTTTCTTGTTAATCCGGGCCAATGACTGAAGGAAAAACAAACATATGTAAGATGCAAGTATCTTTAAAGCATCTGGAATACAATCTCATGCAACTCATCAGAACATGCAAGTTGCAACTGATTAAAACAGTTAGTTCCTACCTCTTGATCAAGACATTCAAATCTCCAAACACTCTCACCCAGATCATTTATTTCATTCCACCACCTCAAACCAACTAAAATTCTCCCACTCACATTCTTGACCACCCAAAAATCAAGTGCGGCCAGAAGGACAGTCACCACAAAAATAATGACAAAGTTATCTATAAAGATGGCAGAGAGAATGTAAAATGCCAAAGCCGCAGCCTGCCAGACATAAAACATATACTTTTGAGAACAAAGAATATGGTGTCTATGAAAAGATATCCAAACACAGTGCAATAAAATAAACAGAACCTTGAAGAGAACATGAAAAAGGCAAGTGTTTGGATTACTGTAGTTTTCATCTGCAGGCTGCAAGTCGAGTACAAATTGATGAATTAATCATCTTAAGAAAAGGAACAATAATACAAGCATTAATTCCAACCAAATTAAAAGCCAAAGAAGGAACTCAATCTTATTTGAAAATAAATTATAGAAAGAATATATATATATATAAAAAGTCAGAATTTTCTTACACAAGTGTAAGTCTAAAAATTCTTTTTTATTTAACTTAAATCTAACAACACCAGATTAAGTGTAAGAATTTTTAGACTTATACTAGTGTAAGAAGATGTTCTCTAAATATATAAATCATTTTTTTCCTGCTTCATCATATTTTCAGCGGACAAAAGTTGAAATCAAATGACTTGCCACTTTAGGTGCACATTAGATGGAATTCACACAAAAATATATGTCTGGGGCACATAATTTCATTAGGCTGGGCTCAGTTTAATTTTATTATTCTTAAACATTAATGGAAAAAAAAATCTCATTGACAAAAGCAGCTGTGGATGAACAAAGAAATTGAAACAAGTAAACCATATCATATAATCATCCAAATAATGATGCACATGCGTTTAACCTAAAGGAGAAATAGAACGCAGAGAAACTAGATAAATTGATAGATTGTACGTTCACATACCTGACCGATATCCATAGCTATGACTGAGATCTTGGGAAAGATTATTCACAAAATAACAACACACTAGTAACTACAAAAAGAAAGACAAAGATAGTGCCATAACTAACAAATCCTACATATTTTTATTTTTTTTCTAAATAAGCTTTTTTTAAAAAAAAAATTGCTTATTTTTATTAACTTGTTTTAAAAAAAAAAATTTGTTTTCAAATAAATATTTGTTTTTCTTAAATTCCCTTCACTTCTCTTTTTGTACGTTTGCCATATTGCTATTGGGCCACTCACGGCTAGCCCGATTCCTATTAATCTCGAGATCATATAAAAGGGCCTCTGTTTTCCTTTCTCAGGACAACGAAGTCAAATGAGGCCATTGCTCTAAATTATGTTCGGTCTTTTCTTGGCCATTGTTTTGTGTGTCGTATTGTTATCTTAGCTAGGAATCACAAACTATAATTTATCTTGCATCGGCACGCTCACATGACATGAAAAGAGGTGAGGAATTGTATAAGTGGTGCAATTTTATCTTATAAATGATATAAAAAAAAAATGAATGTAGAAGAGGAAGGGAAATGAGAGGTTGTGGATGAAAAGATGAAGGTGGGTCATAGTCTTATCATATAACCAAAGAAGAGGTGGGCAGTTAGTTGGGTGAGGGAAACACAGTTCAAATTTCAGCCCCATACTTATTGGACTACACACAGTCACACACACAGCAACACTGTTTGAAGTCGCACTCACCTCACAAACAAGCATGGCAAGGATGGTGGCACTCCAACAGAACCAACTATCTTTCTCTCCCTTAGCTTCCTCTCTTTCTGATTTCAGTGGAACCAGACTTCAAACTCAAATTCAGGTCCTTCTCTTTATCTCCTTCTGTTTTTTGTCATCATCATATCATGACTATGATTTCATAGAATTACTATCTCTCACTCAATTTCAAATTCAATCCCACGTTGGTGTTTCTAGAGTTAGCTCCCTTAACATGTGCGTGTGCATTAAGCAGCAGGTTGTGACATGGTATTCTGTATTATATCACTTCTAGTATTGGTCCTGGTTAATTGAATGAATTATATACTTTCCACAAACTTAGAGTTAACAACTTCAAGAATTTATACATCCAAAGTTATAAATACATAAAGCATCTATTGGTCCCTAGCTCTCAACCTTCTTATTTTGGGTGCAGTTGAAAAGAAAAATATGGCAGCCAAAAGGGTCTTTTTATGTCTCGGCATCAAGCACCAAGAAAATCCTCATAATGGGAGGCACCAGGTTTATTGGAGTGTTTTTGTCTAGGCTCCTTGTCAAAGAGGGTCACCAGGTTTGACTTATCTATTTCACGTTAACAGGTCATTTGGTAGCCTTAAGTAATGTGAACCTTAACTTATGATTTTGCATGGCAGGTGACTTTATTTACAAGAGGTAAAGCGCCTATTACTCAACAATTGCCAGGTGAAGCAGATAGTGATTATGCTGATTTTTCTTCCAAGGTATGGTAATTGTAAATGTAACATTGGACTAACATGCCTGTAAGGCATGATGTGATACTTGTCATCTTTGTTACTCTCATACCTAGAGCATTTATTCTTTAGCATGTTTTATTTCCCAGATCTTGCATTTGAAAGGAGACCGGCAGGACTTTGAATTTGTAAAATCCAGTCTCTCAGCAGAGGGGTTTGATGTTGTTTATGACATAAATGGTGTGCAGATTCCTACCTTTTGACCCCTTTTGTGCTCATTGTTCACCTACAATTTTATAATATATGTTACTCTTCAGGTTCAAATCATGGTTTTTTATATATATCTCTCTTCAGATTCAAATAAGGTTTTTGCTACTGTTTCAGGACGAGAGGCAAATGAAGTTGAGCCCATATTGGATGCTCTGCCTAATCTACAACAGTAAGCTGCCTAATCTGTCTTTGACGTACTTTAAAAGTCTAATCAGCTATAAAAGAGCATTGTCATTGATCAATGCAATAATGAGTTATTTAATTAACCGAGTTTAAGAAACGAGAATGAATTTGATTAGACTTTAAAAAAGAATCACCACAGTTCTCATTCTTTATATTTAATATTCTATGCAGAAAATCGTTTTAAACAGGGATAATTTATAGAATTTTCCAATTCTTGGCTCATCAAAATAATGTTTAAAGTCTAGAAGAAACTATCAAATGTTTTGTTATGCCCTTCATTTTGGAATTTACTATTAATTTGATGACTCATACTTCAGACTTACAGATAAAGATCAATGTGAAAATCACTTTTTTGGTTTTCAAAGTAAGCCTAAGAGGAATAATAGTTAATGGTAGCGAGGGTAAGATTACTAGATTAGTCAGAATCTGTATGACAATTGTTGAATCTTTCATTTAAAAGGGGAAGATTGCTATAAGCTCAAATGTCATTCATCTTAGCTTCAGAAATGCATAAATTATAAAATTTTAATTTGTTTATAATTTTCCAAATGTCAGGTTTATTTACTGCTCTTCTGCTGGTGTCTATCTCAAATCTGATCTATTACCTCACGCTGAGGTCAGTTTACATTTTATTACGTCTATCTTCCTATAATTTCAGAAACTTGTTATGATGATACAATAGTTTGGGGCCTGTATTCATTCATATCATTTTGCTTTACAGAATTATGCTGTTTATATAATTCTTTTAATTACTAATATGGTGCATGCAAAAGATTTTTCTTTGTTGTGTAGTTCTTCTGTGGCAAGATCTTAGTTAAATATATTGCACCCATAACTGCACCAGGGGGGGAATCCCTCGGGGCATCAATAGCATGGATTTAAGTCATTAAACATGATATTGTGATTGGACTGTCTTATTTAAGCCTTTAGTTTGTTGCACTGAAGGGGGAACTGTTCAGACTTTTTTAAAATAAAATTCTCACTTTTCAATATAAAGTGGTATTATGTCCTTAATAAAACTTTTCTCACTTTCCAATATAATTAATTTCATTTTTCTCTTAACTTCCTGCTTCATTGTGATAGATTGATGCAGTGGATCCGAAGAGCAGGCACAAGGGAAAGCTTGAGACAGAGAGCTTGCTGCAGTCAAGGGATGTTAATTGGACTTCTATAAGGCCAGTCTACATCTATGGACCTTTGAACTACAACCCGGTCGAAGAGTGGTTCTTTCACAGATTGAAAGCTGGTCGCCCAATTCCTATCCCTGGCTCAGGAATACAGATAACCCAACTTGGTCATGTTAAGGTATAAAATTTGCAGTATTACTGTTCTTTAGCTGATCATATTCATTTTGCTACTAGAGTTTTGTATCATGTCTACTATGTTCCATTTGCAATTTGAGGATTTAGAAGCAGAAAAATTTTATTCAAGCTACCTTTTCTTTATGCTGTTACTTACTCAAAGAAACTTTAAATGCTTTCCAACTATAATACTTTTGTAGATTAAATAAAATATCTCCTATGAAAGATAGTAATTTATGGAATTTTGTCATTTTGACTAAAGTATGGTTCAATTATGACAGGATTTGGCAAGAGCATTTGTTCAGGTTCTTGGTAATGACAAGGCCAGCAAGCAAGTATTCAACATCGCGGGAGATAAGTATGTCACGTTTGATGGATTAGCAAGAGCATGTGCAAAGGTAAGTTGTTCATGCCATGTCATATTTGAGGACACAGAGAGTGAAGCAGAAAAATCCCTTCGTAATGTCATACATTTTTCCTTTGAGACAGGTATTTTACTATATAAATTTTTTGTTTGTTTTGGCATGTCAGGCTGGTGGGTTCCCAGAGCCAGAAATCATTCACTACAACCCCAAAGAGTTTGATTTTGGGAAAAAGAAACCATTTCCATTCCGTGATCAGGTGAAACAACCACACAAATCTGATACAATAAGAAAAGGGGAGGGGGCAAGTGTTAGTAACTTTTATAGATTATTAAAAATTGACATAGTTCATAGTCTAATGATATATTGAACCATAGGTGATATTGTTTGAGACAGCCCTTCCCCGCATAAAATCAACAAAAAGAAAATGAATGGTCTTTTTCCATTGGCGAAATGATGAGAAATTACATTCATATTTCATTTTCTTTATTGTGCAGCATTTCTTTGCATCAGTTGAGAAAGCAAAGAGCGTGCTTGGTCTTGAACCTGAATTTGACCTTGTAGAAGGTCTTGCAGACTCGTATAACCTGGACTTTGGTAGAGGAACATACCGGAAAGAGGCTGATTTTTCAACAGATGACATAATTCTTGGCAAGAGTCTTGTTAGTGTATAAACTCTTCTTTCAAAATTAAGTATTTCACATATAAATTAAAAAATGTTCCAAGTTTGCTACAACATAAAATTGTGAAATATTCATCAGCTAGCTTTTTGTTCATCAATTGAATAATAAATAAACGGTATTTCTCACATGTATCTAAGAACATATAATAAGAAAATAACAATCGTTAAACTTTTTATTAAGTATTGTAACAGGTGCATTAAATTTTATGATATCTTATAATTTTTCATAAAAAATTATTCTATACAAGTTTTCTATTATATGCCTTTGAATACAGGTTAGAAAAAGAGATAAAGAATTATTATTTTGTCTTCAATTTATTATGGTGGTGGAAAATGGATTCAAACTTGCACTCGTGCTAGATGTCTCTCAGAGCAAGTTTAATGCACAAACCTTTCCTTCTAAAATTATCTCAACTGGATTATGAAAGGGATGCCCAAGTCAGCGATAATATTCCATAGATTTATTCGTGTCAAAAATCATATTTCACTTATTTTATATCAGCTGCCATCAGCAGCAATTTTTAGTTTAATTTTATTTTTTCTACAGAAATTTTTTCTGTATATATTGTCCTTTTCTCGATGATTTTAATAATAAATGAGGTGTTAAATATATTACGTGATGTGGCAAAACGTCATTAGATCATAACACTATTTTGACTCAAATATATTTAGGTCCTAGTTAAAATATGATGAAATTAATTTAAAATTTATTATATAATAATTGTTTCATAAAACAATATCAATAAAAGAAACTAAAACTAGCAATTTACAATAAAAAAAAAGCTTTTTTATCCAAAGAAGCTAAAGCTAAAATAAAATTTCATCAAAATATAACAATAAAAAATATATTTAAGTTGATACTTTCTTTCTTCTCTCCACACGTTAACATATGTATGTTATGAATCATTGGGCTCAGGCCTAACTAGGAAGGTGATAGCCTAGACTCGTGTTCTGTAGTCACTGTACTTGCCCTCATCATTCAGAAACTCATCCATTTGTTCATCGTGGCCCTTAATGATCCACAATCCTACAGATAACTCATTCGTTTCATTTAAATCTTACAACCAACTCGTATTTATCAAATATTGACTTTAACGTTGAGTAGATATTACCATATACATATAGAATATATGCTTTTAAGAGGTACCAAAAAAATTCTTTTAACATCGAAGTAGAAATGTACATCACTAGTCACTACTCTGTCATCTTTGCCACCTCGAAGAACCCATTTCTTAAAATATACACTCCTCCAACCTGATGAAATGTGAAATATTTTATTTCATTTAATATAAGTAAATTTTTTTAATAATAATAAGTAATTAATTATGAATGAATATCTCACAGATAATTTTTCTCTCGTGGTAACTGTTAGTGTCACATCACATGCTACTAGTATTAATACGTTCATAATTTTTATTAATGGATAAAAGATAAAAGGAAAAAACTACTATAGTCTCTTCAACATCTAGTAGTAAGTAATTAAAATCATAAACTTCTCAATGAAACATTTACTGGGGTAGACTAATAATCCATTTTAAAGGACATATTAGTATGTATCCATACTTACATATTTAGCTCACGAGCTGTTTACATATAAAAGTTATGACACGTAAAATTGATTTCAATTGTTTAGATTTTTAACATTTAAATTTTGAATTCAGTTTTACATGACGGATCATGACCAAAAATTATAAGGAGAAAAAATAAATCTTGCTTTAATTTCCCTCAATCACTCCTATATCATAGAAAGATACGAGGGGGGCCATAAAGCCCCCAAAAGAAGGGAAATTAAAGAAGAAAATTCCCTGAAACTTGTCGAAATATATACTGTTCACTGCTTTATTTTGCCGGGAAAGATCAAATAAATAGTTAAAGTAATTAAAAATGAAAAAGACAAGGGAATATTCTCAGAGGAATATTTCCGGCTAGTCAAATTCTTTTGCATTCTTTCCAGTCAAATCTTTAAAACCAGAATTAGTCTTCATGAAGCCAATTTTAGTTATTCTGCTGCTCCAACATAACCTTACAATCTCACTCTCGCAAAGGAAAAACCGAAAAATAGTAGACTTTTCGGTTTTAACACAAAAACCAAACCACCCACATATCCAGATAGTTTAATGGTCGGTTGGGGCGAAAAGTTCATAAACATTATCCTCAAGAGATTTACTGATTAAATTAATGTTGTATTTCGCTTCATTATCCCAAAATCTTCCCTTAAGTGTACGATGATGTCATAATTAATTTTGAGCGTGTCTTGCTTTTGGACCAACTAACCAAACCAGAAAAAACGTCCATGCGCCGAACAATCGTTGGTCCAACGAGGGTACACTAATAGCCACGTGGCGACACCATGGCACTCCTTCAAGATAATGCTGACACATGTTCCACCATAGAAGGAGATACTGGGTGTTAGACACGCAATGGATTTTATGGACCCCACCCAAAAAAGTATACATAATTATAATTATGATTATTAATTTAAAAAGAAAATTAATGTAGGGTAATATACTTGCCACGTGGAACTAACGTCCACGTGGCGACCGCAGGAGTTGGCCCCACTGTAATTATGGACCCACTTCGCATAAGAGATTACTGTTGACTAAGAAGTAACAGTCGTTTTATACAAGGCCACGTGTCCTGTAACGGTCGACGTGCCTCACCGTCAGGTGACTTTCGTAGAGGATGGGTTCATGACCAAAAAAAAAAAAGTGGCTTAATTACGTAGGGCCAGTCGGTGATGATACCTCTTAGAGCGTGGGCGGTGGCAGTTAACCAGAAAACTAATATTTATATTTGGCTTAACACTTTACAAATCCTTTTTTTAGTTAAATAAAAAACTATCTCAATATGTCATATAAAAAAAATTATCTCAATCTATGTACTATCACCATTTAATTTAACTTGTCAGCAATGTCTTAAGTTTTTCTTTATCATATCAATTTCTTAAGTTTTACTTGCTAAATACTATTAATTGGTAGATAATAGGAAATGTTGTATACACATTTTTTATATTCTTCGAATTAGTCGACTAATGATAGTGATACTGAGAAATAAAAAATAAAAATAGAAGAAAGTAAAAGCTAAGATTAATTAATTAATTTAGGGTGTGTGAACAGTTAAGTTAATGTTAATTTTATCCGTATATGCAACTCTTAAGAAGAAACAAAAAAAATCACGATATTTAAAAATATTAAATAAAAAGCTTGTGACAATTAAAAAAATATATTAACATAGAATAAATAATTAATAATTGTAATTTTAGTAAAAAAAAATTGCTTGTTATACTTTTATAACTTTAATAATATATATACTATCAAAAAAATTAATTATTGATATTTAAAACTTCGCCTTAAATCGAGATTAACAAAGTACTAAAAAAAGAAACTGAAGAAGGTAAACAAACACATCACTTAGCTTACTGATAACATTATCCTCGTATTATTTGCTGAACTACGCGCAAATTCTAGAATCAAATCTTGAGGTATCTTGGTACGGTCTCTTTGGTTGCTTGCTTGGGGAGAAAAGTTTAAAATCAACAAAACATCTCGATTTCAAACTACTTATCCGTTCACTTGAACTTTTTTTTATTATTTTATTTTATAAACACTGCAATAATAAAATCACTCATTTGATGTCGATGTATTTTTTTTTATCAAATTATATTATTTATCATATCAATTTTTCTTTCTCTTCTTGTTTTCACACGGGTGTCTATAATTTTCCATTTTTTATCTGTCCACTTCAACTTAATCTGCTATTAAAAAAACAAGTTTTGACTTGTTAAAACAAAATTGCTTGCGTTGCGCCATAAAAATGGATAAAAATAACCGGTATGATTGAAATGTCCTCTATGAAGTTATTCGCCATATTTATTTCACTCTATATGTCCTGAAAACATTTCATATAAGGAGGTATGGCAATGTTATATATTCTTAAAAAATTCAATGTTTTGTCGGCAAGAAATCGGAGAAACATGTTTAATTACAAATAATGCTACTTTATTATATAACTAAATTAGCAAGATTGTGAATAAATTTTCTTTAAATTTATTAATACGAAGTTTTTTTATGAAGAAAAAAAAAAGTTATTGACATTAATCTAAATAAAAATATTTTTTATAAAAAATTATATATAACAAATGCGAAGACCGAAAACGACGTGTAGGTATTAACGGGGTTGATTTTGCTCTACGTACTATGTATAATGCATGAAAAGGTTGATTCTTTTATAATTTAGTTCATGAAAAAGTGAGTGATTTAAAAGGAAAAAAAACTCCCAAATGACAATTGAAATGAGAGCCCCACGTATAAAAACTTTCACCTTTTTCTATTTCAGTTTATAAATTCTATTGTATAAAAATAATACATACTTTCTAAAAAAATGGAAAAAAAATCATTAAAAAACATATCTTAAAACAAAAACAAAATTATAAACCAAATAGTAAGAGAAAACATTTTTCTAACCTTATACATTATATTTTAATAAATTTTATCAAGATTATATTATAGTTCTTCGTAACTAATTCCAACATTGAATAGATCGAAAATCTCTGATGTGAAAGGTGGACCAAAGTGATAATGTAAATTAATTTATCAAATGTTTGATTATTCAATGAAAACGATTTGGCACCGTAGATTCCAGAGATCACCTTTCCTAACCGTTGGATTGAACATTAGCAGGAACTCTCTTCAAAAGGCCGAGTCTATATAAGTCACTTCCCACCCCCAAACCATTTCCCACACTGCAACTCAAAATCACCTCTTAAACTAGTCTTTGCTTACTAAACTATTCTCTTCAGTTACTTAATCTCTTATAAAAACCTTTCTTTTGATCTTTCTCTCACTGAAACCATGGCTCCTGATATCACCACCGCTGCTGTCAATGCCACCACTGAGCAACCCAAAGCTGGTGGCGGAAGTGGCCGTGCCTTTGTTACTTTTCTTGCAGGAAACGGTGACTACATAAAGGGTGTTGTTGGTTTGGCCAAAGGGTTGAGAAAGGTTAAGAGCATCTACCCTTTGGTGGTTGCTGTCTTACCCGATGTTCCTGAAGAACATCGAAAGATTCTTAACTCCCAAGGTTGCATTGTCAGGGAGATTGAGCCTGTGTACCCACCCGAGAACCAAACCCAGTTTGCCATGGCCTATTATGTCATCAATTACTCAAAGCTACGTATTTGGGAGGTATATGTTAACCTTTTTTGTTTTTTATCATTGCATGCGTTACACCTTTTGGATGTCTGCTACAATGGAAACCTTTTTATTTTAATAATATATCTTTTTTATAATCACTTTAAATTTAACGGAATATAATTTTTTGTATTTTACCAAGTGGACACGTTTATAGCCCAAGACATGTTTCTGTACCTAAAAATTAAAGGCCCAAGATGTTATTATGCTTGATTCGTTTTCATTACTGTTCTAATTATGGCAGATATTATAATATGGGTTTGTTTATTGTGACTGAAAATTTTGCAGTTCGTGGAGTACAGCAAGATGATATACTTAGACGGTGACATTCAGGTTTTTGGAAATATCGACCATTTGTTTGATCTACCTGATAAGTACTTCTATGCGGTGATGGACTGTTTCTGCGAGAAGACTTGGAGCCACACTCCTCAGTATCAGATTGGGTACTGCCAACAATGCCCAGATAAGGTTCAGTGGCCCTCCGATTTTGGTCCCAAGCCTCCTTTGTATTTCAACGCTGGAATGTTTGTTTATGAGCCCAATCTTACCACATACCATGATCTTCTCCAAACAGTCCAAGTCACTAAGCCCACTTCCTTTGCTGAGCAGGTACATACATATGCTCACATGAAATAATAATAATAATAACGTGTGAAAGTTATATAGCGTAATTGTGAATTTGTTTTCACGTGTTGCAGGACTTTTTGAACATGTACTTCAAGGACAAATACAAGCCCATACCTAACGTGTACAACCTTGTGCTGGCCATGTTGTGGCGTCACCCTGAGAATGTAGAACTTGAAAAAGTTAAAGTGGTTCACTACTGTGCTGCGGTGAGTGTTGAACTTTTTAACTATGAATTAACTCATCAAATTATGTTAGCTTTTAAGTTGAATTGTTGATGGTGGTTTCATTTGGATGTTAGGGGTCTAAGCCTTGGAGGTTCACTGGGAAGGAGCAGAACATGGACAGAGAAGACATAAAGATTCTTGTGAAGAAGTGGTGGGACATATACGAGGATGAGACACTGGACTATAATAACAACCCTGTCAACGTTGAACGCTTCACCAAAGCGCTATTGGAGGCTGGTGGCGTTAAGTTTGTGCCAGCCCCTTCCGCTGCATAATAGGCTTTGCTTGTTATTAGATTACATCTATATACAAAGTCTAACGACAAAGTGTGTGTATCGTCATTTGCTTTTCGTTTTTGGGTCTTCTAAAGGATCAAAGTGTATGGTTTTAATTTGGATGACCTTCCTGTATAGGAAGTCACGTATCGTAATATATATACCTTTTTGATTACTAGGATTTAGAGGACCTTTTTTTTCATGAGTCCGTTACTTTGTTTTCCTTCCTCAGGGGATGTGGATATCTATAATTTTACTATAAGGGAAATTTTTTATCTACGCTGTTTCTACCCTCTTGATTTATTTATTTTTTCCCTTATTTACGTCTCCTTTTGATTTATATTACTAAAAAAAAACCCTTAAAATTACGCTGTAGTGGTGATCAGTGCGGACTGGAGTTTCTACATGCCGATTATCGGATTAATAAGGATTTTCAGTAGTGTTTATTGTTTATAGTGTTCGGTTCAATGTCGTAAAAACTAAACAATGCAATGATGCATAGTGTAATACAATTTTTTAGTTTGAACTCGTTACGTGCACTGTGGTGTGATCCTTATATATATATATATATATATAGGTCATCTTTGGTTGATATCTAATACTGACTGGTTCATGTCCCTTGAAATTGTATGGAATGCAATTGTGATCTTAGTAGCCAGCTCCCTTTCAACCAAAAAACAAGGGTCTAGCAAAGTAACCGAGAAACTTTACCCAAATTCTATAGATAGTAGGTCAATCTTTCATCTCAAAACAAAATATGAACCAACAAATATCCAGGTTGTCTTGGGATATATTATAGACTCCTTATTCAAATCTTTTGTGACTTAACTAGCCTGTAGACTTACGCCTCTTTATGACATTAAACATAACCTTCTCTAACTATCAATTGTTAATGTTTGTGACAAATAACATGACCTTCAACATTGCTCCTAACTTGAACAATAAACCGGTGCTTAATCAATAACAATGCTTACTTATGAGATTATGACTGATTAGAAATTGATATGCTATATATTTCATCAAAATGTTGTCCTCGTAATTTGGGTCCATGAAACATACAGCACTAAATGTCTACTATTTAACTCATTCAGCCTAAATGGAGCTCGTCTCTATATATCATCAGCAACACAATCTTGATAATTACTGTCTACTACAAAGACAAGTTCTGTGTTAAGACGAGTGCACCATAATAAGTAATGATACCCATTAAATTAAAACAACACAAATTTTTTTGGTAACCTATGTTTAGTTTAATAGTGTTGTGAAATTCGTTGGTTTTGAGCTGCTAGATGTTAGGCCGTGTCATGTATGCCTTTAGAAATTGTTATTTACACCGCTTTTATTTTTTTTATTCAAATCATCTATTTTTAATTTGACTCTGAAATTTAATTTTTGAAAGTTATTAAATATATTTCAAAATTAAATACTGGATGAGACAATAAAATGTGTGGTGCCAAAAGCAGTTTATCTTTTTTGGGCTCTCTTTTCTGATCCATTGCACTATAACCTAGAAGATATATTGGTTTAGTCTCTTTTTTTTATTTAGTCTTCTATTAACTAATTTACCCAAATAAAATGTAATGAAAAACCGTTGGACCGAATTATAACTTTACAACTCAGCAAATTTCTTGTTTTATTGTAGTGTTCCTATTTTATGATAATTGGGCCAAATTAGGCTTCATTTTTATGGGTTTGGTGGGTTTTTGTTGTCAGTCTTTGATTCATTGTAACTTTTTTTTATTCTTTGGTTATTTTTTGACAAAAAATTACTATTAGTTTTAATTCTTATTATTTATTTCAACATTAAAAAAAAATTTCAATTTTTATTTGTAATTTTGTAAAACTTTTGTGGGTTGGTTGGTTTTTATTCTCTATTAATATTGTTGTGTATTAAAGTCTTATAATGAATTTTATATTTAAATAGTGAGTTCCCCATAGTTTTCATAATAACTGAAAATAATTTTATGACATATTGGTTGTCTTGATAATTATGTAAAGATTTACTTCTTGTATCAATTAGTTCTACAACCTTGTAACGAGTCTTACTAAAGAAATGAAACAAAAACTATTTTACTGTACGATTTGGGGTAAAATTATAATTGAACATTTCTAACAGATATTAGAAGAGTAACCTTGTTCGAAATAAATAGTCTGATATGTCCGCGAATAGTTCTTAATTTAGGCATGACAATGGTTGTGAATCATTTCATATTTGACATCAAAGTGCACACATTAGATTTCAAACTGACTAGGAAAATTAAAAAAGAAAAGGCAAACAAATAACTGAAACTTCTCACTCCTTTGCTAGCATCTTGCAATGAATCTGAGCTCCCTCGTCATCCTTCCCTCCAAGTAATAACATGACTATGGTTACATTAATTGGATGGTTTATGGGATTGCAATTCCAGGTCAACCTTGGCATCCCTCTCATTATTTGTGATTGCTTCTTTAACTGTCACTTCAATACCCTCTTTCTTATTTACTACCTCTTTGCTCTTTCCCCATAGAACAGAATAGAGCCCCACAATTATGAGGAGAGACCCTACCGCACTACAACAAATAAACATATAAAACTCAATTATTGGTCAAAGACAGTATATATGAGAAAACACATATTTATCTAATAATAGATGAGTAGGTAAAGTCCATATGATTTCGTACGTTCCAACGAATAATTTCTCCTGAAGCAAAGCCCAACTTAAAATAGCGGTAAGGACAAGCTGCAAAGGAGTAAATACAGACACATAAAGTGGACCTTTTCTCTCAATGGCCCACGACATTAGGCAATATGCTAACCCAGTGCACAGTATTCCCTGAAACCAAAAATAGCATATAAATGTCACCATTCATGATTAATGAAAAGAAATTTATTCTTTGATGAGGTTAAATTATAGTGGTAATGTTATTCTTAGAAGCTTACATAATGAATTAAATGACAATGAAAGTAATTGAAGAAATGTATATATATTTATATATACCGCATAGAGAGCAGCGGAAAGTCTCATAGCATCGCGAAGTGACCACGCTGAGACACTATGGTCAAAACACAAGGCAATGAACACACATTGAAAGCTTGCCATGAAGCACATGCAACCGGTGCTTGTGTAAGGAGCTGGAAACTTCTTGCTTAAATCTGCCTGAAATAATGAAATGAGTGTATATAATATATCAACTCTTCTGGGTTCTAACATAAAGACACAACATAGTTAAGATAATTCACAATGATGCTTACTTGAATTATGAACCACCCTGCCCAAATAAGTGTGCTACCAATTAAGGCTAAAGGGCCTAGAAGCAAATTTGTATTGGTAGAGGAGCTGGTTCCTTCCATTTTCTCTGCATATCTCCAATGAATACTTGAGTTGCCTAAACCGATAGTTTTTCCATGATAAAACGATAGGAGAAGAGCTCCACCCACACACAAAATTGTCCCAATCACCTTTGCTTGGCCATCCATCTTCTTGATTTTCAAATTCTCTTGTCTATTAAAAAATATTAAATTAAAACATTAAATGCTACTTTCTTTTTTACCATTATTATTAAAAACTATTTAGAAAGCCTATAAGGTGACCATATTATTTTGTGCAAATAAATCATGGGTCCATTTTATTTGCTACCAACCTGAAAATGATTGCCAGGATAAAAGTAAAAGCTGGGAGCAGATTGCTCAATGCACATGCAATTGTAGCGGTTGAATATTTTAGCCCCACAAAATATAGAATCTGGTTTCCTGTAACTCTGCATTCAAGTTGAGGTGTGTGATTGATTGAAATGCTAGCATGATCACGAGTTAAAACAAGAAGATATTTCTCGATATTCACTATTTTTTTTTTCTTTTCTTTAAAAAGATATTCCCTTTTAGTGACAAATAAATAATTTAAAAAAAATGTTACTTGAGCATTTACAAACTAAAGACAAATTACAAATATAAATAACTGAATCTACAATTTTTCCCACTATTATTGTCACTTTCTTTTCATCATATAAGCGGCCATTTCCTCAGCTAACATTAAAGAATTAAAGAAAAAGGGAAATAGCACTTGAACATAAAGAATATATAGGAATACTCAAAGTTTACCCTGTTAAGGAACATAATAATATCTGAAGCATAACACGCTTTGTCATCCTGGGAAGCGTTTTCCTACGAAAAAGGGAAATAAAAAAAATTGAAGTTGACTTCTTAGTAAAAACGTGATCAAATAATGGTACAAATTTATACATTATGCATTTACTGCGAGGATAAAGGATTCTCGCATTTTCTTCCTTGACTCCTTCACCCTCTGTAGTCTTTTGTTGCGTTTTCATAAATTGAAATAAAAAGCTAATGTCAACAACGTGACAACTTCCACCGAAATTTCTAACTTAGAAGGAGACAAAAATAAACGAAACTCTCATCCTCAAATCATGCGTAACTACAACCCTACGCAGTTTCTATGACGATATATGCTTGCAAAATCTCCGTGAAACGTGTAGCACTTATGATCTTAAAGGTAGAAAGTTGTGGCACGTAACATGCCCAGAGATTCATAACGCGTCATACATGCATGCCATCATCATTCTACTCTCACAAAGAGTGAGAGATTGTTTTAATCAAGCTTAGAGTTTCTTCATTAACTGTGTGACCATGGTTGTTATCTTTATAACTTTTTTGTTATCATCTCATTTTTCACGCATGTTCTTTTTTATATATATAATTAAATTGCGAACAAATATCTTATATAGAATACTAATTAAAAAATTAAAATTAAAATATTTTATTAAAAATATAAAACATGTTCACTCTCATTATTTTAAATGTATTTCAACAAAAAATTACTTTTTAATAATTTTTTAACGCATGCAAAATATTTTCTTTTTGTAGATTCTCAGCATGGCAAGAAGCCTCATTCATGAAATTTTCTGTTCGAATTTCATTATCAGCTTTCAAATTTGGTTTTTCTTCTGGTTATAGGAAACATTTCAGTTTGATAGAATCCAATGAAACTAAGCGAGTATAAGAATCACTTTTTCTTTTAATTATTGTTTGTGTAACAAATGGAAAACCAGTTACTTATTGGGAAAAGGCAAAACTAGTTTTATGATAAAAGAAACTGTTTTTCATACTTGACCACTTTTTTCACAAAGCCTCTGCACTATTTTCATGGTAAAAAAAATATATGATGTTCACTTTCAAACCAAAACAAAGGGATCTACGTTGAAGCTCACAGTAGTGTTGGTTCTTCAAATCCAACTTGATCTTGAATAACAAATACAGGGTTTTGTTAACGGCCGGAGTATGATTTAAAAATGGAGAGTAAAAATTATTCATTAAAATCCATAAAAGGATATGCATTAATAATACTTTTAAATAAATAAAAAATTCACTTTTAGTTTTTTAAACCAGTATCCTTATCATCTGCAAAGACATTATTCATGCATGCATGGTGAATATGAAACAAAATAAGAGCAGAAGAGTAAAGGGTAAACATATAATACCATTCCAGCCAATAAGCAAAGGGAGCAATGGACAGAGTTGCAAAGATTTGTCGATAAGCAACAAGGATAAGAGGGTTGGTGCCAGATTCTATTGCAAGCTTTGAGGTAATGTTCATCCCTGCATAGGTCAACTGCACAAGAACCATCAAGAATAACGGAAGTAAACCGGTGGCCATTCTCTCTAAAGTTGATTCTTCACTCCCCTCCCTTTGAAATTTGGAGAGAGTGTTTAAGAGAGAATGGAACAACGTGAATAGAAAGAGGAGATACAGAGAATGAAATGCATGAGATATGTATATATAAGGTGGACCGTTTTGACAACTTGCGTGAAAAAAGAGTGTGGCAACAATTGTTTCTAAAATTTTTTTAAGAAAAGAAACAGTTACCATCGATTTCTTGCAGCACTTTGAGCTTTTGCCCGGGGTTTGGTAGCTTTCAATGCGTTCAGGGTCTGGAAGTAACTTACAATTTGTTGATTCCAGACATGCGTATGTCAACAAAAGCAATAAATAAAGGGACCCATCACACTTCTCGTAGTAGGTCCATGCAATTTCCACCCCACCCCATGCTTGTTCCACGTTTACAACATATTATTGCATGCAGCTTAATGCTTCTCTTTCCTTGATTTAAGCAGCATTTCAAATTAGAATAAGGAGAGTGAGGGAAGTTTCACTTTCAGCTACCTTTTTCAAGGCCAAATTAATTACACATTTTATGGTCTCATTTATCTCTCTTGCCTTGGGAAAAGGATCTAATGCCAGTGAAGTTAATTTTTCCTGGTTACAGTTAAGACTCTGCAGGTCTCTTTTATCCCCATAGCCAAATCTAGGATCCTACTCTAACTAGGGGACTTCTTTGAAGTTAAACTCTTGCAATTTTTTTAAATCAAGGCTTTTCTAGAATTAATTTCAAGACAAAATTTAAGTAATTTTTTTTTAATGTATTTTGATATATTTTTTAATTAAATTATTATTTTATTTTGATAATTTATGGTAATATTAAATATAATTTTATTAAAATGAAAATTTAATTAAAAATATAACATCAAATTACACCTAAATTTTTGTCATTTTTCTCATCCTGTGTTACCTTCACTTACCCTCACGAGAAGTTTGTTTCTAATTTTAAATAAACGTTTTTATAACGCTAGTATAAATATATATGGACATTGCTTTTGCAATCTATTTGTCAAACTTTTCTACATATATAGTTAAGAGTCATGATCTCTATTTCCTCGTCGCATCCAATTTGTCACTATACGGGTACAGCAAAATGAGAGAAAGAAAATTATCAAGAAAAATGCATCACTGGAACACTGATTAGAATAAAAATACAATGCATTTTAATAAAAATAATTAAAAATATATTAAATACTGCTAATGAAATAGGTGCACTTATATTAATATATGTAGAATGCAGTTTAGTGCTGCTTATGCAAGATCTGTATATGGCATATATTCATTTATTACGGCATTAATCCAGGGTCTTAATTCACACGTAAGCCTATCCTCCTCCTTAGGATCCAAACAAGTGTCGGGGTTCGTTTTCGAGAACAAGTAATGCAGCCAGGTATAAGAAAGAAAGCCAACACGTATAGATAGAGTACAAGAAATGAGAACGGCTGTATTATAAGTATTCTTATTTATTTTTAATGTGTATCAAGCCCATCCTATGCATATCTAATCATCAAATTAATCCTTTTTTGAGTTATAGATTACAAAAACATATTTGTACTCTTTTCTAAAAAATGAATATTAATAACATTTTTTAATATACTTTTTATTATTAGTTAAAATTTATAAAAATATAAAAAATATTATTCAAAAATAAAAAAATAAGACACATTATTTTTATAGTTTAAATAAGAAAAAATAAATAAGAGAAATATTTTATATTTAAAAATAAAAATTTAACTTATAATATATATTAATTTATTACGCATCAATTGTACATGTAAAATTTAAAGATAATAATAATAATATGATATATATGTAATTTAAAATAAATATTTTTATTAAGAAAATAATTTTTAGTGTAAGTTTAAAAGCTCTTACACTTGATTTAAATTTTTATATAACTTATATTTAACATGTTATAATTTGTTATTTCTCTTACTGTTAGATATAAGTTAAATAAAAGACTCATTAAATATAAGATTTTTTAAATTTATATTAGTGTAAAAAAAATTATTTCTTTTTTATATTAATAAAAAAATATTCCTAAAATAAATTTGATTTAAAAATTTGAGGGCACATTAAAAATAATTAAAATCTTCCAAAATTTATAATTGTCTCTCCACACTTTCGTTGGGAAGCTAATTGTTGAAACTACAAGTTACTAACTCCTTTTGGTGAAGAAGGACTTGTCCTTCTCTTTACCATTGCCTCTACCCTGTTAGAGAGATAAAAAGTTATTTTAAGTGAGGATTGGGTAACACTTTTAACTCATCTTTAAACATCAAGCCAATCGTTGTAAATTATGCGACCGGTTTGCAAACTTTGGTCACTGAAGACCATGTTCTTGTCAGTCAAATTGTGGGAATGCCCCTCACTCTTAATTCTCAGGTGTCGCTTTTTTACTGTGAAGTTCAATTTTTTTAAAATAATTAATTACTGTGAATATATCTAGTGATTTTAAAATTATGATTACCTTAATAACAAACTCTTAAAATAAAAATATAAAATTTATAGAAGCTAAAAGTATATTTCAAGTATATGATTTTTGCTGATTTAACTATGGGTGAGAATTGTATATAACTAAGGTGATTTTTTTTTTCAATTCTTAAAGCTGAGGATAAATACTTAAAATAATTATTATTTTAAACTATAAATGTAATAAATATTGTATTTTTTAATAAATTTATTATTTTTGGATGATTAAATGTAATGTTAAAAATTGAAATTGATAAAACTATTTTATTATTGAATAAATTAAATTTTTTAACCATTTAGATTTAAGTAATTATGTATTCAGATATATTTATTTGTTGAAAATAATAATTTATTTACAAGATTTTGTTATTAAATAAAATAATTTTAAAATAAAGGAAATATTTGTTTTTCTTAAGAAAGAAAAAAAATACAATTGATTGTTACGGCTATTCAAAAAGAAAGAGATAGAGAGACTGAATCGAGCTAATTAATGTAGATCTTGAAGACAGATGTAAATATTATATTTTAATATTTATAATGTACAATAATAAATAATTTTTTATATTATGTCATTGTCTTACAGCTGCAAGACGAATGTTCAAATAAAACCAAAATTAGTTCTTATGAAAAATTAGAATGTTATAAAGTTCATGCTGATTATGGAAAGAGCCGTTAACTTCCCACGCTGAGGCTTAAGAACAATATTTTTGTTAAATATTTAAGATTTTGTTTAATTTTAGAATCTTTTTATCGTTATATATCTTTATGAAAAGAAAATAAAAATATCACATTATTTTTATTTGATTTTTTATTCTTTGTAGCAAACAGTAAAACATTACAAGTTAATTTGATTTTAAAAACATTATAATCACTGCACCTAAAATGAAATTAATAGTATTAAATATTAATAATGCATAATTATGCTGTTAGCGGGGTAGGAACTGAGAAAAACATTGCAATCCCTTAAAATCATGACATTAATTTAGACTCACCTACCTCAAGGTTTAATAAAAATTATACTCCACTCAATTCTTATTTAAAACCACTTCAACCATCTATCTAACTGGATTACCCTAATTGCTAAAGATTTTCAGATAGTATTATATCTTAATTTAAGTTAAACCATCTTATATTGAAAAAGAAAAAGAAAACATCTTGATCATCACACACAGAATTGTTGATGTTTATCCACTCTAAAGTGATCATTTACCATTAAGAATTGATAGTATTGTTCCAGATTCAACACAAGTACATGGAATATTAGAAACACCATACTCTAATATAAACTTGAAAGGCAATGAGAGCTAGATCTATTCAGGTATTATAAATTTTGGATGTGATATAAATATTTTTTTATGTGATTTAAATATAAATGTATTTTTATTATAATATAAATACTTATTTTATAATTTAGTAACATGAAAAACAATTTTTATAAGTTAGTAATAATACATTATATAAAAAAATTATTTCCAATTTTAAAGAGATTGTGGTGAAGTGGAAATTCCGAGGGAGAATGGAGTGGTAATGGTTACTGAATGAAATCATAAGCTGTAAAAATTAAGAACAAAGAATAGAATTACATAGCTGTGTGAGAGTCTATAAATAGAGAGAGAGAGAGAGAGAGAGAGAGAGAGGGGAAGTGAGTATTAGGAAAAAGGGTGCTAACCCCTGACAACAGAGTAGAGGAATGGGTTGTGGCGGTGCATTCTCACTGCAATTACTATTATTATTTGTGTTTCTATGGAAGCTCTCAGCCTCCAGTCCAGGTGCCGGTGGGTGTGATAAGCCTCCGGTGCTGTTTGTGTTCGGAGATTCTAACTCGGACACGGGTGGACTCGTCTCCGGACTCGGTTTCCCTATAAATCTTCCCAATGGCCGCACTTTTTTTCGCAGATCCACTGGTCGCTTATCCGATGGACGCCTCATCATTGACCTACTCTGTAAGTTTCTATCTCAATTTACTTTTTCATTTATCTTTCTTATTGCATACACCATTATAGTCAATAATACTAAGACTCAAGTCAAAGTATTTCAAATGTTTCAAAGTTCCAAAGTGAAATGAACACAATGTTGTTGCTCTTGTCAGAATCTCTATCCATAGCAGCCCTTGGGTTGCCTGGGTCGATTTTAATACGATGTCGTTTGATAGGACTTCATGTCCATGTTTTTCGGCTTTCTGATGTGGGTCTTAGGGTCAGTTTTGTTTTATAGTTTTGGATCCAAACCTAACCCGTTACGTGTCCATCACCTGTGGGTTCATTTCAACACAAACGGCCCATGTAAAAGTATAACCTGATAGTTCTTTCCTTCTTGGTTAATTTTTTTTTTTTTTTAATTTCTAAGTGTTACTTTTACACTTAATTTATTTTTTATAAAAATAATGAAAGAAGGTGAATGTCGGGAACGTTTAATATTTTAAATAATTTATGGAGAAATTTGGATTAGAAACAACATCGTTTTTAAAATTTGAAGTAAGGGGTTATTATATCTGTGTAGAATTCTCTAATTTGCATTTAGATTAATGAATATGATAACAAAAGGGAAAAATATACCAAATTAGTCCTTAAAATTTAAGAGATAATTTAGTCATTGAGATTATAAAAGTGTCATTTTAATTTATGAGATTAAGCTATAGTATAATTTTCGTTCTCTAAGTATAATTTAGTTTCATTTTGGTATTTTAATTTTTTTTAAATTCAATTTAGTCCTCTAGGTTTAATTTAGGTTATAATTCAGGCTTTTATTTTTTTTAATTCATTTAATCTATTAAGTTATATTTTTTACCAAAATTTTTTCCTAACTGCACTCCATCTTCCAATTGTTATTTATTTATAGGATGTTTTAGGGGACCAAATTGATTTGAGAAAAAGAAATATTGAATTGAAACTTACAGGTAGATAATTAAATTTATTAAAAAAACTTAAAAGATCAAATTAAAATTACTGGACAAAAAATATAATTTTGTCCTGGAGTTATTAACCAAATGTTACTTTTTTTCCTTAACATTACTAATCAACGGTCATTCCAGTTTTTGAAATTACAACATAAGGATTGAAATGGCTTACGTTTATTAATTTTAGTTATAATTTTAAGGATTAAAGTGATCAATATCGTAATTTTAAGTAGGAGTGTTTAAGGGTTGAGTTTGGTGAGTTTTAATGTGAAAAATAATTCGATCCAATCAAAATTTCATTAATTGAGTTAGATTGGTTTTGACAACTTTTTTCTCTTCATCCGACTATGAATAGGTTATATAGTCGAATAAGTACCTAAAACATGGTCTAATTTTAATATCTTAGATAACAAATCTATTAAAATTCAATAAAAAAATATTCATTCTAAAACATAATATAGTATTAATAGTTTAATATTTATCTAAATTAAGGATGTAAAGCAATACAAAAATAAAATAAAAAATCCAACAATCTTTTATAAATTATAAAGTTTAATATTCATTTCACAATTTAAAGCATGATAACAATATTTAAAAATTAAAATATTAAATTATTTGTCAATTTTTAAATTTTCACATCAAATAAGTTGAGGGAAAATCAAAATAGTGCAAACTTAATAGAGAAAAGACTCATGAGCGATACGTTAGTGGATTTACTGAGTTGAATTGAATTTTAACATTATAAACTCGCGATCCAACCTGTATTTTATTGGGTTTCAATGTTTTCACCGAAACTGACTTGTTATCCAAATCAACTTGTTAATTTTTAATTAGATTGAATTAGGTTGGCTGAGTTCATAGAGTCAACAAAACCCATCAACATTCCTAATTTGAAGAACTCTATCATTCATTGTTGAATGACTAAAATTGAGTGATGATTCATGTTGGTGACCATCGAAGCAGGGATTTTTCAAATGAAAAACTTTGATCTATTGGTTATTTATAGTCAAGTACACTTATGTGTGTTTGTGAAGAATTGGATTTTTTATTTTGAACAATTTCTTTTTTATGTGAAAATCAAAATAATAAGAGATACCGAACCGATAGCAAGATCCGTAGAAATAATATGGTAAAATTTGTACCAGGTATTTTAATATATTAAAAATAAATTTTACTGACAAGTGACAAATGGAGGCAATAAAAAAAAATATTGCCTGAAAACTGAGTGACGAGACACTGGAATGCAAGTTTCATATATTATCCAAATATTCTTCGTTCTAAAATAATTTTCCTTCCAACATTTGCAGGCCAAAGTTTGAATGCAAGTTTGTTGACACCATACTTGGACGCCTTGTCTGGAATGTCATTCACAAATGGAGCAAACTTTGCTGTGGTAGGGTCCTCTACCCTCCCCAAATATGTTCCTTTCTCCTTAAATATACAGGTCATGCAGTTCCGGCATTTCAAAGCTCGTGTCCTTGAACTTGTTACCACAGGTATATTTCCTTTCCTATCTTATTTCCTTAACAAAGAAAATATTAGACAAGTGTCTGAACTATAGCCCCTTGTTTAAAATATTTGATTGCTATATTTCTTTTCCCCTGAATGGCATGCATGCTTGACACTGATTTTAGACACTCAGTAAAGCTTTAATCTATCATATTTTTCTCTGATATTTCTTGAGTTCCGAGTAGTCTTTTCTTGATCAAAGAACGGAGTCTGATTCGTTGATTCATTTGCGTCAACCTGAGGCATCACATTATTGCTATCACGTTGGAGTGAATGTTAGCTAGTAAAACTACACAGTAGTATTCATTTACTGGGGAAAATATACAAATTCATTTATGAACTTGTATTTTAGAACGAACTAATAACTGACTGCACTGCAAACTTTAGGTGCAAGAAATTTGATCAATGATGAAAGCTTCCGGGATGCACTCTACCTGATTGATATTGGACAAAACGACCTTGCTGATTCATTTTCCAAAAATCTGTCATATGCGCTAGTTGTCAAGAAGATCCCAGCGTTTATCGCTGAAATTGAGAGTGCTGTTAAGGTCAGTCCTTTGTTCTTTAGAATTGCCGAGTAAATATGTTCATTATCTATGAAATTGAGTATTTTTCTTTGTTTAGTATTGGTGATTTAGGTCCCCTGAAGGGGCCGAGTTTGATCAAGAATGTGATCCCATTGCTCTTGCCTTTTATAACCAAATAATTTCTCACTTCTCTTTAGTATTTTCTTTGCATTAGCAAATTCTTTTCTGTGTTTACACTGTGTGTTTTGAAATTCTTTATCTGAATTCAATAAACTATAGATAAGAGATATAAGAAATGTGCACGTAACTTCAAAATTGTTTCTCAAAATCACAAGTGAAGTGGTTCCAAGGTTTCTTCAGGACATCTAATCTGATTTGATACTTTGTTCAATAAACACATCATGTAAGTCATTATTGTGGCACCGTATACTGCCCCATTAAATTTATTTACATTTCATTGCTGAGTAATTTCATTTTGTCCATTTTCCAAATATTGATTTTCTACCATAAGATGATTCTTATGCATAGATTGATCTCACACACAACGTGAGAAGTTTACTGTAGATTATTAGGTTTAAGATGTTGGTCTGCTTCAGTACCTCTAATCTGATTTGATACTTTGGTTATATGCAATTTTATCCGAAAATCTTGATCTTATTATTAATTCTTGGTTGATTTATTTGTCCTTGAAGTATGATGTTTGGTTCATTTATGTGTATGCAGAGTTTGTATAATGAAGGTGCCAGGAAGTTTTGGGTCCACAATACTGGGCCCTTGGGCTGTCTTCCTAAAATACTTGCACTGGCTCAGAAGAAAGATCTGGATTCATCTGGGTGTCTCCCTAGTTATAACACTGCAGCAAGATTGTTTAATGAAGCGCTGCTTCATTTGACTCAGAAACTAAGAACTGAATTGAAGGATGCTACATTAGTCTATGTTGATATTTATGCCATTAAGAATGACCTCATCACAAATGCCACAAAATATGGTACTCCAAGCATGCACTTTGTTCTCATTTAAGTATCAATTATTATTTGACTCCCTCTTGTTGCTAATCTGAATCAACAAATTTTCCTGACTTTGACTCAGTAAATTATACATAGACTTGACAGTTATAACATTTTCCTAAGGAAAACATTGTTGGTTCTTAATATTATGATGATTGTAATGGAGTTTGTAAATGCATCATTGATCAGGTTTCACAAATCCTTTGACGGTATGCTGCGGCTATGGAGGGCCTCCTTACAATTTTGATGTGAGGGTAACATGTGGTCAACCTGGTTATCAGGTTTGTGATGAAGGATCTCGGTATGTGAGTTGGGATGGAATTCATCATACTGAGGCTGCAAATACATTTATAGCTTCTAAGATACTTTCCATGGCTTATTCTACACCACGGACACCTTTTGATTTCTTCTGCCGCCACTGATTATGCACGTTGAGTGTGTCAAACAGTTAATGTACGATTAGTTCATTAATTGAGGTCTTACCCTCTATGTAGAGTTGTTTCTCCAAGAACAGAGTTTATCACGTATTCAAGCACACGCTGAAGCTCTAAAAAAATTTGAGCCATGCAATTGCGCTGTAACTTGCCTTTGTAGTTGGAAATTGGTTTTTTTTTTGCCAGCTGGGATGTATGTTGTATTATGTATAAACAATTGATGACACAAATGAATGCATTTTCGCCTATGACATAAATGCCATCAAATTGACCCGGATATAATTGTTTAATTATTATGTTTTCTATGTGTCTTTATTGATGTTCAATTTCTGATCTTTTGTACAGAGAATATTTTATTTGAAAAAAAAGTTAAAAATCATTTTTATGGTATCTACTATTAGGAAGAAATTAATTTTGAATTATCTGTTGGTGATCAATTATTAGCATAACCTTACATTGTTATTACAAAGTTTAGAGTATAAATTCTTTTAATGGTATTTCATGTATTATTTTAGATTTTAATAAAATTAATTTTATATAATTAGTTTTGAATTGTTTAATATAATTAGAATATAAGTTTAAATTAATCTTAATAATTTTATATTTAAATGTATACCACTATATACAAAATCGATTTTAATAGTAAATTAAAAGAGTTCTTCATCCAACACCCCAACTGTGCATTTTTCTAGTTGACTACTAATTATTGTATATCGAATTTATCTCTACTTATTCATCTCTTTGCCCCTCACCAATTTTCACTTATAAACAGGAATGTAAGTAATTTTATTTAGAATAAAAAGAACTGTGCTTCAACTGGGACCTCCTTGGTTTGGAGGCTTCCAAGTTTGGTCCCCCATCCTGATAGCAGCATGGCTGCGTATAATAGATGTTCCAATAATTTCAAATCTATTTATCTTTTATGTTTATAAATTTTTTAATTTTTAAACAAAGAAATTATCTTCACAGAGTGCGTGATTGATATAGGATTGTTCCATTTTAATTAATAATTTTGTCTTGCTTTAAATATTAAAACAAAAATTCTACTTCTCAAAGTAATTTTATCTTATTCAAATAAAATTACTTCTTAAATACTTGTGATTTTAATTAAAAAAATATTAACTTTTTAAGCATTTTTAAGATAATAAATATAAGCGCTTTTTTATTTTATATTTATTTTATAAATATGTAGTAAAATTCAATGATAGCTTACACTTGCAGAGTTAATTACCATGCGATTCATTTAATGTACTCGTCCTATGAAATATGTGGACCTAATCATCCTCGTTTAATGGATACTGTAACTTGTGATTTTAATGTCCCCACAAATACATTGTGATTTTAATGTCCCCACAAATACAGAAAATCTTTATCAGAGTAACTAGTATAGTTTTCAGAAGACTTGTTCGATGGAGACATGCTTGCAGAGATTGGATACGGAATCACAATCATATAACCTTAGTGGGGAACATTAGCGATGAATGGCAGCAAAATATTTTATGGAGCGGTGAACCAGTTTATTTCAATCACCGAATCTCTTACGTTGGAGTTAAATTATCGACGAGATCAATCAGCAGTAAACTACATTGAATAATGCATGTGGCCTTTTCATTTTTGACCATTAAGAGGTGAATCAAGAAAAAAAGGTTGGACAGTGCATGTACCAATGTTTGTGGCCATTTTCTTTTTCATTTTTTCCCTAATGCTACAATATTCCTTGTTTTATTTATTTATTTATTTCGTTACACCTCACCCTCACCCTTGTTGAATGTGAATCTGATCCTCCCTTGGGTTGAATACTAATATTATTCCTATGCATATTTTCTGAAGTTCAAATTCCTGACTCAACAAGAGCTGACTGAAGCTTATAAAAAAGAATCAGATATTAGATAACAAAACCATTTATAAAATCATAAAAAGACTAAAAACAGTTGCTCATCCTAAATGTTACAACTAGTTTCACTTGGATTATACCATATTTTCTGGATATACCTGATGCTCCTTAGAATTAAGACCGAGTCAAAGAAAGTACTGACTTGTTTATTTATTTACCATGGGCATTCTTGTTCTTATAGAAGCTTGCTTTTTTCAGTACTATACCGAAACTAAAGTGTTTCATAGACGACCAGTCGAGACAGTCTTCACGCATCATTCTCAACTCAAGACATGATGCATGAAGTTTGAATAACTTCTAAATTCCAAAGTTAAAATAATAATTCAAGAACAAAGCTCCTGAACTAAATAGTCACTTTGGTTATTTAAATATTATGAAATTTTATTACATATTAAAAGAGAACAAATAAATTGAAAATTTAATTAATGTTCTCTTTCTATTACATATATATATATATATATATATTATTTTCTTGATATAATTTGTTATTTCTCTCTCATTTAATAAATGTATAAGACTAAAAAAAATATTATCAAAAAAATAAACTGATAAAAAAGAAGTGAAACAATATTTACAAATTAATTTAGAAGAATTTACGAAGAACTTATAAAAATAAAAAAGCTGATTTTATCTTATTTCAGCCAATTTTATAACAAAAATTTTATTTAAAATGATTACTTAATAAAACCATAAATAAGTTCCATATCTACATATGTCTATGCTTTGTAGATTCTCATCCATTCGTTAGACACAGTCCAGGCGACAGATTCAAAATCGCATGAAAAGAAATTTGTGACTGCAATTTACGAAGCATGCATGATGGCTTTCTTTCAATGTACAACAACAGTAGGGTCAATCATGATCATTATGAAGTAGCAATGAAAAACAGGATTACAATGACAGTAAGGTCAGCAAAACATAGTCATAGATGATCATATGGTAAATCCATCACATACACAATTACACATATTTAGTTTATATATATTATAGAGTAAGATTTAAGTCTAAATCTTCACTTTCTTTCTCTTTCTCTTCATTATTTTCTGCTTCCAGCGCTGCTGTTGTTGCTTCTTGCAAACCTTCTCTCTTCTCTATCAACTCTTTCTCTTTCTTTGAAGGGCCTGAAAGATCACTCTTTCCCAAATCTCCACAATCAATGAAGTCTTCTGGTTGAAACGTTGGATTCCAAATAAGAGAAGATTTATTTTTTGCCTCAATCTTCTCATCTGGGTTCTCCTTAAATAGAAGATCGCGAACATCCTTTGTCCTCTTTACCAAGGCAAAGAACTCTTCCATCTTCTGCTCCTCATTTTCTTCTTCATTCTCTAATTTTCTCTTCCTTCTTTCTTCTTCCATGCTGCTTAACTAATCAGTTCACGCAAAACCTAGCTGTGATCGAGACAATATAATATATGCCGTTGAGAGTAAAAAAAATCACGAAGACTATGGACTATTTACATACATACATACAAACTAGAGAAGAGAAAATATTGAAGTATGAGTCCTTCATCTCATTTTCTTCTTAATTAACATGATAAATTGGTAGGTGATGATGACCAAATCGATGACCTACAAAGGAAAGAGAGGAAGTGAAGAAGATGAATAATTAATAAGGAATATTGAATATATAATAGGTTTTAGTGAAAGTTTACAAATGAACTATGGAAATTACTCACTGAGTTGAATGAACTAAAAGCGTGTAAATTGACTCTCAAAAGAGGTCAATAACGCGTGTGATTTTGAATTCCGAGAGAGAACTTGGATTGACGAGAATGCCCGTGAGGTTGAGACATGATATATGAGATTATGCGTAGTGAGAGTGAGGGTAGGATGGTAAGTTGACTGAGAAGATAATTTGATTGAAAGCCTAGGGCATTGAGCATATACCTTTCGTCATCCCATAACGTAATATTTCCACCTTAATAATATCATGTGTCATGGCTTATACATGAGATTTAATATATATATATATATATATATAATATTTTTAAGAAATTATGAAAATATAGTGTTTAAAAATCGTCACTAACAATTTTTGGTGTGAATACAGATAAAAAAACAAAAAGTTACTAAAATTTAAAAATTATTATTAGTAATTTTTTGAAAAAAATATTAAAAAATTATAAAAAATTGTCACTGATAATTTTTTGAAAAAATAATAATAATATTTTAAAAAAAATTATCACGAACAATGTTTTTAAAAACCTCATTTGTATTTTTTTTTTCAAAATATTATATTTTAATAATTTTTATTTTTTCCCATTTTAAAAAAATGACCCACATCTTGAGAAGAGATCGATTCAGAATACTCTGGCCGACAACTATATTTATATATAGTTATACAGTGTTTTGTTATATTTTTCATTTTTACTCTCTCTTTCTCTTCTTCTTTCTCCTTCTTATACTGAAGTATATGATTAACACTGTTCTACTTTGAAAAATAGTTGGTAAATACTCTTTACATAAATAAAAGATCCAATGAAAAATATAATAAATATTGGCATTATTTATATATTTAAAAGTTAAAGTTTTTATAGTCTAGGTAGGCCAACATATATGGAGGGGTGGAGGTGAAGATAGAATGGACCCCATTAAAAAATTATGAAGGAAAACTTTTCTTGATTAATCATGCGAGTCTCGACCCGAACAACAGAGTATTATAATCAGATTTGTAATTATATCAGTTTCTTTAAGGGAAATGTTTATTTGAAGTCCAAGTGGTACACTAAAAAAAAGAAAGAAATCGAAATCAATTATTGATTAATATGCTTAACATGATCCGACGAGAATTAAATAAAAGAAGATCATTTTAACTAGTGATTAAATAATTAACGAATCAAAGAGTTTATTAAAAAATATGTGAGAATATGTTGATAATACTCTTGTATTTTTATTTCTTAACTTGTATGCTTAGGATATTAATTACTATTTATCAATAAAGATAAAGAGATTAGTAACAATACAGTTATATCAACACCGATCCGTAAATTTAATTTTAAACATAATAATTTTTTATTTAAAAACATTTATAATATTTAAATAGAAAAAATATTTATCATTGTAAAGAATAAGTGTAAAAAAATTGAAAATATTTTTTGCAATCCATATTTTACAATGATCTACGATGGTTGACAAAGCAAAATTGATCTACGATGGGGTTTTAGTCTGAATGCCTTTACTCAATGGTTCAACTTCAAAGTGTTTGAGTAACGAGTGCGAATTATAATATTCAACATGACATGTGCCTTTGTTTGGTAGAGTGGAAAAAAAGAGAGAAGGGGGAATTTTGAAATTTAAATAATTGAAGAGAGAAATAAAGAAAAATTTTGAATTGTTTATTTTAATTTATTTATTTTTGCTTTCTCTTTAACAAGACAAAAAATAATGATAATTATATGTATATTCTTTCTTTTCTACTCTTTTCCCTTCTATTCAAACAAAACAGTAACGCTATACTTTCATCAGGGTAACAGAAGTAGATAGGTATGCACATGTCCATGTTGTAGACAATTCATGATCCTGATTGCTGTGGCCCCTGCAGTGGAATGAAAACAAGGATGATTCATGTATCATTTTGAAATTGAATTATATCACTTCAAAGATAGGTTATGTGCTTTTAACATTTTGTATTAATATGTCTCTTATAAGTTGTATTGTTTAATATGTATTAAAGAGATATAGCCATAAAATTTTAATATTATTTTTTTCCATGAGAAGATTCAATCTGGTGCCATTTCTTTTATTTTTTCAATAAATTATAGAAGAAAGAAGAAAATACTTCAAATTAGAACTATGCCACATTCTAATAGCTTGATTAACTTTTACCGACATCATAGTATGGGACCTAAAATCATGTTTCAAATATAACTCCTATGATTTTGTGTTCGTCAAGCGTTCTTTGTTTATGAAATGCAACTTCGTGTTTGGATTATATTAAATGCTATTAAGGTTATTTTCTTTTGGGTACATTGGGAAAACTTGGGAAAACTAGAAAAGATAACCTTCTTCTGATATGGTCTTTGGATGTACTTGATTACTTTTTAACTTTAATGCTGCAAGTGGCTAGCAATAATCTACTCACCACGCGTACATTAGGTGGAAAAAAATTAAATAAACTTCCCATGCCTTCATAACTAGATGAATGTACGAGGTACCAGCTTACTGCTTCTTCATATATCAAACCAAACTCTATATGCCCATTTGCTACGCAAGGTTTATAATACTCTTAGTATATGTTTGAAGAATAAAAGCAAGCTTAACATTTGCTTTGTCTTTGACCAAAAATAAAATTTAAAACTTTGCCTAGTTGTTTAAGATTTCAAGATAAATAATCATCTGACCAAAAATATTAACGAGTTCCTTCAGAGTTTGAAAAAGTGGATAAATTAAATTCACATTTCTTAAAATATATTTTCTTTTCCTTAAAATTTTTAAATTATACTTCCATCGTTTAAAAGATAAAATATGTTTTACTTGAAGTCATTTTAATGTTAATAAACCTATTAAAAGACATTTTCCCTTTTACAAATTCAAGGTCATCGTGACATCAATTACATTTGAACACCCTATTAATTTTCAGACTTCAAAGTTTAGGATAGAAAATAAAGTTTTAAGCACTCCTGTTTTAAAAGTCCATCCAAAAATAATATCATTTCATTTATATAAAAAAAAATTATCTAAGAACTTAATCAATGTTGGAAATATACAATTGTTCTCTTTGCTCTGCTTTCCTTCTCCTTATTTTTTTTCGATTTCTTTGCCTTATGTCTCTATCTGAAGCCAGTCAAAATCAAGTTTTCAACAATACATTGTCAACAATATGAAGCCAGTCAAAAACTAGTTTTCAACAATACATTGTCAACAAAACATGGAATTGTCAACAGAAGAAAAACAAAATGGCGCTCTTTACCATTTAGATCATTCCAAAATACTTAGTCAAATACAACATCACATTTTCTAACACACTCTTCCAAACACATCATTTATCATCTACTAAAATTTATTAAAAGTCATATAAATCTCACTCTTAATTACAAATTTTTACTTATACAATTTTTAATAAATCAGAATGAATAACTAAAGATATATTTTTAGCACTCTTGAAATACTTAATACAAAGCCTTGGTAGTCTTTACTAAGGGGGCAAGCAAAATAACATGAACACAGTAACGTGGCAGAAGAAGAAACAATTGAGAGAAGAACTAATCCTCTACCCAACGAACACCATGTTTAGCCCAGAGGTAGTATGCTCCAACTGGACCACGACCTCCCATCTCATAAAGTTCCACCGATATATTTTCTTTGTCTATTTCTTTCAAAATTGGAGTCAGAATGTTCCATGCAGCTGCCAGCTCATCACTTCGCATAAACAAATGGTTGTCCCCATCAATCACATCAAGCAGAAGATGCTCATATGAATCCGGCACCTCCATGTTGTACCTTTAACATTAATGTAACATGCTAAATAAATTATATGATATTGTTATACTAGCATGATTAACATCACATGGTCAAAGTGTATATGAATATGGTGCAAACAATAATCCAACATTTAAGTGCTTACTTGTCCTTGTATAGCAAATTTAATTCTGAAGAATCCAGTTGCAAGCCTAATCCTGGAACCTTATTGTTTACTCTCACCAGAATAGCTTCATCGGGAACATCACGAAGAATGAGCTCATTTTTGGCACGGTCAATATTATGTCCAATGCACTCGTGGTATACATTTCCCGGAACGTGACGAAATTGAATCCGTATCTCCATCCTGCATTAACAATTTTAAGCCAAATAACATGAGATTTGAACCATTCATTTTCAAAGGAATTATTGCATCAACATATCTATAAGCAATTCTCATATCTTTAATTTTTCTTCTGAGTGTATAAGTTAAGATCCGGGTGCAGGAAAGAAAGGAAGCAAAATCATTGTACAATTCATCCTTTCCCAAATTGATCTTGAAATAATAACAAAAGATTTTCATCCTATCCTAAACTCACTCCCATGAGGAGAAATTGTTGGAAGACTGGAAGAGGGATAGTCATGCTAAGGAATCTAAATATCTAATCCAAGACAACAAAAAAAACTAATCTAATTGAAAGAAAAGATAGTGATTTGTACTGGTGTTTGATGAGTCCCAAGCCTGTCTTAACCAAAAATGGCACACCGTCCCATCGTGCATTGTCAATGTATAGTGCGGCAGCAAAATAAGTAGGTGTGAGACCATTTAAACACACATCAACCTTGTCATTGCCACTTGCTTTATACTGCCCAAGAATGACATCCTTAGGCTCTAATTTGCGAATCGACCTCAAAACCTTGACCTGAAAAGATGCTTTTTACCAACGCAGCACTAGGTGATAATGTGGAAATAATGCATCTTTCGAGTTGAATTCATAACAAGCAACCCCAATAACTATATAAAATGTTATCAAATATTAATATAGAATTAGTGTATCTGTTGTTCAATGGCAACTAAGTATGTTTTAGCATGATCCCCCGTTCCCTCTAGATTAATATAGTGTAAGTTTATCAGTATATAAGGATGAATATAAAAAGACAAACTGGATCATGGAATGAAAAGAAAAGGAAGCAAGTACTGTGTTAGCTTAATTGGGAAGGAGGAACCAAGGAAGTCCTTACAGAACTTCAATTCCTCTTCAATATAACTACAGAGTTAGCCTGGTTTCCTTTGGTTTTTCTTTCTTTAATCATGTTTAGGTATTATCTAGCTAGGATCAATATGGATCTTAGTTCTGAATTGGATGTAATTCATATTTGGATCTTAGTCTGACTTGAACGTAATTCATATTTGGCCCTTATGAAATGATTGGATCATCATACTTACAAATGGGAAATCTTTGGATGATAATGCATGACCTAATCACTGTCTCTAGCATAGATCTAGCCATTTAGGTATAGATGATTGCTATGCATGTGGTCTATCCGTAATTGCATCTAACAGTACTTGTTCAAGCCCTTTTCAATTCAAGTTAACCTAAGGGATTCCACTGATCCCAATGGAATTCCCTTTAATCCATTTTCACTGATCAAGATAGCTTCAACCAAGTGAATTAGTTATTGGTTACAATGTGACATTAATCTTTGTGGAATGACACTTCACTCACTCATTATTCATACAACTTCGTACCTTTGTTGATGGCATCTCACTAGGTATGTTAGAGTTTATAATCTGTATGTGTACCTTTTCATTTCGAATATCTTCTCCATCAAGGCTTATTGGTGGTTCCATGGCAAGCAATGCAATTGTTTGGAGCACATGACTGTGAACAATGTCACGGATAATCCCATAGCCACTGAAATATCTGCATGGGTAATGAAGGAGTAAGCTGGTATCATATCACACGCAACTACTTGTGGAGGAAAAAGTTCTTTAAACATATTCAGTACGAAATGATGGATTGCATTATATTCACTCTATTGACAATACAGTCACTAAGATCACCTTCCTGCACGCACGGACAAATCCTCTGATAAAATGACCTACAGTAGTTTAATTAAACAAATGGATGACAAACATTAAATTGCAGAAGAGACATGAATTTTTGTTAAATCCAGAGATTAAGGCATGCTAATCAGATTAAAAAGGGGGGCTTACCTGTACATTATGTATGTAAGTACGACTCCAAAGTGGCTCAAAAACTAGATTTGAAAACCTTAAAACTGTGAGATTTTCAATGAGATTCCTTCCTAGAAGATGATCAATCCTGGCAACAGATAGACATGATTCATCAATTTATGTAACAGCATTGCTGTGTGTATCCAACTGGTTTTCATCCATCGGTGTCTGTGTGCATGAGTTGATAGATGAGAAGGGAAGAGGAAGGAATAAATACCTATATATTTGCTTTTCCTCAAAGTTTGAAAGAAGATACTGTGTCAGCCTATTGGAAGAGAGCGCATCAAAGCCAAATGGCTTCTCAATTATTATGCGATTCCATCCCTTTTGGGTCTGAGCACTGCTTGCAAGACAGGATGCAACATCCAAAAGTGCTTCTTGTGGCACAGAAAGGTAGAATATCCTGTTGGTTTTGGATTGTCCCTGAGGTACATAATAAGCTGTAATAGAATCAAATACCACGGAGTATACAGCTTATGAAAGAGTTTACAGAACTCATTTGAGAAGAAAATAACTTTCAGGTATACCGGTGAGATTTGTCTGAGTTACCTCAAATTGCTGCATTCGAGCATTCAGCATGGACATCCCATATTTATTGTCGTAACCTCCATTTATGTAGTATGTTCTACCAAGGAAAGCATCTAGTTTGTCCTCACAATTCTGCCTGAAAGTTTATGTATTTCAGATTAACCGAAAAGGTTGAATATCATAAAATATTGACTAAGCTCAAGAAAAATAAATAAATATAGCTAGACATTATTCTTTCATTCTCAAGCCAGAAAGACATATATAACTTTCTGTTTCAAGTGAAATGAACCAATTAATTACAACTTTGGAATTGGATAATTACAAAGATATAGTTGTTTACATGAAAAATAAATTTCCAGGAATTTTATGTGCTATAAATTGGGAGTAAAGTTTCATAAACCATAACATAATAAGCGGTCCCTAAGTTTCCATACGTAAGTCAGTGCAAAAGATTATGCCCATGAACGAGAAATAAGGAATACGAGTTAATAATTTAAAAATTGACAAGAAAATCATACTGATGATCAACTCGGCATGTTAATGTTGAAGCTATAAAAGATCGCAAGTCTTCGTCAGTTATGTTCTTCCTTGAATACCCAAATATGTGAACATTCTGCAGACAAAACAATGCATATTTATACTTCACGAATTGAAAAGGATAAAGATCCACTAGAAACTAGCACTCTTGATACATTCCGACCTATTTAAATACTTGAAATAAAATATCATGTCAAAATTACTTGAAATAAAAGCTGTTGTAGAGCTGTATACCTCAGGAAGAAATCCACTGTAGTAGAGGGCAAATAAAGCAGGAAAAATCTTCCTCCTTGCCAGTTCACCAGTGGCTCCAATGACAGCAATGCAAAGTGAGGGTGCTCTATTAACATCCATTGAAGTAACCTTATCTGTGCCAATATTATGAGAAACATGTTCAATTTAAAAACAATTAATCACATACTAAAGCCTAAGCAGTAAGAGAAGTGAAGTTTGGCAAATTAAAAGCAAATATACCATCAGAAACACGAAGAATTGAGGTTGAATCAGAAAGCAATCCCTTATCATTTGATAAACCTGTTGTTTCCAAATTATTCTTGAAGTGGTGTTTCTTTTTAGGTTGCTTTGTTGGTTGGAAGTTGAGCCTCTCGAGTATCCACAATTTGAAACCACGAAACCTTCGACACAAGCTTCTATCTCCAACGTTCAGTACAATACGAGCACCACCTGTTACTGCATGGAAGTAGTTATTGGACGCAGCCTGCAACAAATTGGGGCAACCAATCATATAGTTAGCAGTGCCTCTGTGGCAACAAATTTAGAAAGAGAGGAGAAAAAACACAGAAACATACGCTAATTGGATTTGAGGAAAGATGTGTTGCTCTTGGGAACGGAACCGAGGTTGAAGAAAAACACACTGACATTACTACGTGTTTGTGTTTGTGTCTGTGGAGAAGAACATGTCCCAGATAGTGAGCGACACGGTTGCAATCAGAGTTGGTGGTTCCGGATGCAGTGGAATACACGCACTGTCCAAAAGGTAACCTCGTTGGAGCACATACACTCTCTATTTTGCTCGCTTTTTTGTTTAAATAATGTAATTTTAAAAATAAATTTTTTTATTTATTGTTATTTTCAAACTATTTCCCTTTTTGATAAAATCTGATCATGTGATAAAAAAAATTTTGATATAATTGACAAATTTGTGGAATTTTAATTTTTTTAAAATAAATTTTGTCACTAAAAATATAAAATAAGCATAATATTGCTAAGTATCATTATTTGTACAATTTTGTCATATATTTAATAAAATTAAAAGAAGTTTCATCACAAACAAGGCATATAATGATCTATATTATCATTTAAGTAAATTTCATCATAAGAATAATATAATTTGTAGAAACTAACATATATCATAATTTGAGTAAGTTTTACTATGAAAATAATACAATTTGTGAGAAGTATTAATAATTTGTATTGAATTATAAAATAAAATTTTTTATAGTTGATATTTATATAAAAATATAATTATAAATTTAAATTTATATCATTTAAAGTAATAATAATTTATAGGTAAAAATATAAACTAAATGTTAATATTTGTGTGTGTATATATATTAAATATGTACCTACATGAAATTATCCCATAAATAAGCAAGTTTCGTCACTTATTTATATTTGCATCATAGGTTAGCTCTTCATCATTTTCATAGCAAAATTTACTCAAACCACGTGTTATTATTAAAAAGTTGAAGACTATTTATGGTAACATGTGTCAGCTCTCCACAAGTTTTGTGCTTTTGGTAACAAAATTTATTTTTAAAAAATTAAAATTCAACGATTTCGTCAATCATATTAGTGAAACTTTTATCACGGGTCAAATTCATCCCAACCAGAAAAATAATTTGACAAAAATTTTAAATAAAGAATTTATTTTTTAATTTACATTGTTTAAATAAAAAAGCCTTTTAATTGGAAAGGTTTCAAATTTTTACTAAATATTTCATGAATTATGTGAGTGGTTTCTAACAAAATTTATTATTATTATATTTAAACAGGCTAGTTTAATATTTTAATTTAATAAACTTTTTTAAAAATGTTATACTATATTTTTTTTTGGACAAAATTCAAGTCTTTAACTTTAACGTGAGATAAGTGTAATTTATTTATAAATAATTTGAGTATTTTGATCCTTTACAATTGATTTAAGAAACGTGATCAAACTGGGGTGGTTAACCCCTAAGTACATCCAAATTCGTCTCATTGCAGAGTTTAGATACAAATATGATATGATGTAGGTGGAAGCAGCTATCCTACAATACATAAACAACACCATTAGCCATCCCTTTTTTAGATACAAATTCATAACTTCAGCTACCTACCAAACCTCAACGGCACAGTGAATATTCATTTTTAGGTCAATTTAGTCTAAAATATTTTTCAACCATAATCTCAGTCATATAAGATTTGCTCTCTATGTTTCCATAATAAGAAATTGGAGGGAATGAAATAAAATGCTGATAGACGAGAAAGGGTGAAAAGATCAAAACAAGTGTCCATTCTTACCCATGTTGACGTCAAATTTGGGGGAAGGGATTGCTAGATTTTAAAAATATTATGTTTTAATTGAAAAAATAATGAATAATAAATAGTATAAAAATGAATTTAAGCATTTATAAATAAGAAATTACACATTTATTGAATTAAAATTATAAAATACAATAAATAATTTTAATAAAAATTTATTATTATTAATTATTTATCCTCAGTGCTTAAGGTTAAGTAGTGTTTAAAAAAAAAAACCTTATAAATTAATTAAACACGTAAAAAAAAGTAGTGTTTAAGTGGGGAAAAAAATACATGAGATTACCATTAAATTACATAATAGAATGAAGCATGCACTCCAATATGTTTAAATGCTTTCCCCTTTGAGTTTATATAAAATTAAGCACATCTAACAAAATCATCTCTATTGCTACATGTTAAATAATTAGTTATATATATATATATATATTATTTTTATTTTGCCACAATGATATTTCAATATGATATTTTTAAATCATGCATTTAATTCGTATAAATAGTTGTCTTCTTTATCAATATACTGTAAAACAGAATAAAGAATAGGAAATTATATCTCTTCATAATGCATTAGTCATAGCGTCATTATTAAAAATGCTAAATAATCTAGCCACAACGTCACACTGTGGACACTCTTAATATACACCTAATCAATAGAGCTACCTACCACTTTTAAACAAATGCACCTGTTACAACATTTCTCCCTTTTTCTTTTGTTGTCATTTTGAGATCACCATTCAATTCCTAATTACTTTTCAAGTTTGAGATAAATGTGTGCTTTTTTTAATAATTGAATACTATTCACCTTCAGAATAAATTAAATATCATGTTACTTGCTGCAATATTAAAGTTTTATTAATTTTAATTTTTAAAATTAAGTTTAAGTATGCCAGAATAGTAATTTTTATGAAAAACATATATTTTATTAAAATACAATAAACACTTTTTATTAAAATATTATAATTTTTCATAATAATAACATACCTACAACTATGTCTTGCAAGTATATATGAATATGATGCAAACAAGAATCTAATATTTAATATGATTTTGTGTATTTTTATTTAATTAAATATACTTTTGTTTAAATAAAAATGAAACTAAAAATTCAATTTATACTTAAGCATAAAAGAATCTAGATTCATCAAATGAATGTTTACATAAATTTTAGTGTAATATATTTATTTGTGTAAATTTATTTTAAAAAGTTATACATACATGAACTCTTTATAAAACTTTTACATGGTTTAGTGGCAACAATTTTAAGTAAATTCATCTTTGAATTTACAAAACTTCAAAAGTAAACTATGTACAAGTTTGTTTTTTGCTTTTTTTAATGCGAATTACATTGTTTGGAAAAGCATAGGAGCAAAACCTCTTTCGAAGTCTTTATGAAGCAAGAAGGGAATTTCAATTGCTTTCTTCTTTCGAAAAAAATTTAGCTACCATGGTAGGAATGACATTCCTCCTACAAAAGTATGTTATTCTTATAACACAGACAAAAATAATAATACATTATGAATATAAATTTTTTCATATTATCAATTAATTAAAACTATTAAAAAATACATAAAATTTAAAAATGATTTAACACCTTCAAATAAATTAAAAATGAACAAAGGAAAAAAGAAATAAAAAGGAAAAAAATAATACAATAAAAAATAAACGTAAAATAACAATTAAAAGATTAACAAACCAGTATTAATAATTGATATTATCAATTTTTTTTAATTATATTATTATGAGATGTCACTTCAAAGTTTTTTTTTTTAATTTATTTTTGGTTTATAAGAAGTTGCAATAGCAAGGTTTGTTGTTCGAAGGAGACACTGACGCCCGCACCCACCTGTACTGCCATATTTGTATAAATATTTTCTTTTCCTTCTCTCTATTTTTCTTCTAAATCTAATCGGAATCTTTGCTAGTTAATCAACTTTGAGTAGATAAGACTCGTTGATGTGTGTCATCTCAAAGATTCAAGATTTTTGTAAGAAGCTCTCTCTCAATCAAAAGTTTCATTTATCCCCCGCAATTTTGTTAATATCTCAAATTTATGGGTCTTTGATCATTTGGGTGTGTGATCATCATCTTTATCTTAATTTAATTTTGATGGGGTATTGGGTTTAAGGTAGTTTTCGGGTTATACTACAATTCAGCAATGACCAAAGTGCTTTGCTTCCTCTGCGACTGTTGTTTATCTGAAAAGTGACAAACTTGAGTTTGATAGGCGATTATCCTTCTTCGCATCACTTTTCAAAATGATTTTTGTGCTATTTTTGTTACTGATATCTTTGATCAGTGAATTTTGAGATTACGTTAAGACTCATTTCTTCTGATTCCGGCTTCCCTTCGACCATTTTCTATTCACTTGTTGGTTCTTCGGTGAAATAATGGTTGCACTTTTTACTTTCACTGATTCAAGCTTTGGAAGTTTCCAGACAGGACTTCTTTTCTGGCACTTTATGCAATTGATGATAATAATATTAATATCCAATTTCTCTGTTGATTCAAAGTTTGATTGATGTTTTTGTAAATGACTGAGGGCTTATGGTTTTTTTAGGTGATGGTTAAGGACTGATATAATTTCTTTGGATGTGCTCCACTATTTAGGAAAAAAAAATTCAATTTTTTCTGTTCCATTTACTCAAAATTGCTCGCAAATTAATGCAGGTATTTGGAAATTAGTTTTCAGTTGAAGCTCTAACCATTACTAGCTTTACTTAATATCATCAGCCAATGGGTTCTGAAGGTCCTACAACACCGGTAACAACAATTCATGTGACTGGATTTAAGAAATTCCATGGAGTTTCAGAGAATCCAACAGAAACACTTGTCAATAATTTGACAGAGTTCATGAATAAGAAGGGTTTGCCAAAAGGTTTAGTTATTGGGAGCTGCAGTATTCTTGAGACTGCTGGTCAAGGTGCACTTGTTTCACTGTACCAGAGATTACAATCTGCCATAAGCGCCAATGACTCTGAATCTTCAAGTTCCAATAGAATTATTTGGGTGAGTTGCCCATATACTTTATATATAGCTTCACTATTCATGCGCATAGCTTTGCGTAATCATTCTTTTATGCTGGTATTTATGTAATTTTATCCTTAATTTGTACTTCTTGATTAATTTCCGGGTGATTCAGGATATATTATGTTATTCTAGCTGAATTAGCTTACATTTAGACAAAAGAGATGAAAATTGTAACTCATAAAAGTAAATATGACCAAGAACTATAACATTATCATCTGACATGATAGATAGCTTAATCAAAGAGTATTGAATCACATTCTTTGTTCCTTTCTGTAGGCATCAATAAAAATCTGCAGTAATAGCAGAGGAACCTAACACTGCTCCAATAACATAGAATATGCAAGGTTGAATGTTACATGGATAGAGTCTTTGTGACTACTATAGTATTACTCTATTAATGTCGATGTGCTCATTAAATACTATTATGCTGTGGAATAGGAATTCCTAGGGTACAATAACTTAACAAGTAACAACTGATTTATTCGACTATCAGTATCTTAACATTTAAATTGACTAGGTCCAAGTTCAGCTGTGAAGATCATTTTATTAATGAATTAGAATGAAACTTATATTTGACTTTAATTTTACTTCTACACATTAATTCAAAGGTTGAACTAAAAATAACAGCAGTGCACATTTAAGCATCTGAAGATCCTGTTATAGGCCTAAGAAGTGTTAGAAAGAATATTGAGGGAGTTACCAATTAACCAGGATTTTTCCTTTCTTAGCTTCAGGCATTTCATTATTAATTTAAATATATTTTCGTTTCTCCATCCCTGCAAGTTCTGCCCGTTTCTGATTTTTGTTCATTCAGCTCCATTTTGGGGTTAACAGTGGTGCAACAAGATTTGCTATAGAGAATCAGGCTGTCAATGAGGCTAATTTTCGTTGCCCTGATGAAATGGGATGGAAGCCCCAGGTGAGATTAAGTAGTGGTTCAATTTCAAACTTGATTTCATTAACAAGCCTTTAGAACTGATGTACAAGGAGCATATTTGCTGAAATTTCCATAATATTTATGTTGCAGAAAGTCCCCATTGTCCCTTCAGATGGTGGAATTTCACGAACAAGGGAGGTAAATGGACCACTTGTGTTTCACTTGCACTCAATTCCTAAATTAATGTGTAATCTTGGGCTTGGTGTTTACTCCTAATATAGTAAAATAATAATAATTATTTTTACGTAGAAGAGCATTTGTTTTTTCGGGTATCATTTGAAGTACTTTACTGTACTTAATTCTCTTGTGCTATTCTAAAAAACATTTTAAGGGCTTTTCAATTCTCCATGGGCCACATCAAATTACATTGTTGAGCTCCTCATTTTGCCCAAAACTGAAAGTGAGGTGGTATAGAGGAATTTAGTTTTACGGGTTGTACCCCTTGATGGGAGGCATATAAGGGTAGAAAGTTATTTATATGCTTAGATAACATGAAGAAAACCACTTCACAAAACATGGTTCGTTACTTGGTTTTTCTTATTGTATTCTATTCTACCCAATTTTGAACTGTCATGATCTCTTGTCCTAACTTTGTGCAGACTTCACTTCCTGTTGAGGAGATCACCAAAGCCTTGGTAGAGAAGGGATATGAAGTTATGTTATCAGATGATGCAGGTAGGTTTGTGTGCAATTACGTTTACTATCATTCCCTTCGCTTTGCGGAGCAAAATGGGATCAAATCCCTTTTCGTGCACGTGCCACTCTTCTTGACAATAAATGAAGAGACTCAAATGCAATTCGCTGCTTCCTTGTTAGAGGTGCTTGCTTCTATATCTTAGTATCATACACTCAGACCCTCAAAAGTGGGAGCTCGTATAATTGTTCTGGTGTTGGCATCATGTTTATCAAAGTGGATGAATGTATCTTCAATGAATTATTTATAATAAAAATATCATATTTAAAATGGAAACAGTTTGAAAAAAATGGTATGTGTGGTAGACTTGAGAGACATTTGCTCTATCAGCTAATGTTTCTGATTACAAGTTCCAGCACATTGTGATGGCAGTGGCATCTTCAATGTTTACCCTGTGAATAAATTTTCATCTTCTTTAATACTTTTTTCCCGCTAGATCATGCTTTAGAATAAGTGTATCCCGATATACATGCAGAATATGTTCCAATAAACTAAAAAGAGTTATATTATTTATATAATATTTACTTCTCTTTTTTATCGTATCAATTATCTTATTTCATATAATTCTCTCATCTTATTTCATATAATTCTCTCATTTCTCTTTTTATCTATCTTTGTTGTATAAAACATTATAAAATGCATGCAAATTTCTCAACTGAATTATATTGCATAACGTGTTTTTTCAGTTGGATGCTCAAGATATTGCTGAGGGCTGAAGCTATTCATAGCCCTGATAATTAATAATTCAACTTTGAATTTTAACACCCATTTTTAATTTTGTTTTATTATTCTTAACACTATATTCACCCATCTGGAAGTTCTTGGGCAGGATATCCTCAACAAGGTGTTGAGCTTCTGCGTATTAATTGAGGGAGAATTCATGTTTTAACCAACAATCCCAGCCAAAAAAAAGAGGGGAAGGGAAATCAAGTACTCAGTCTCAAAAGATTGAGGAAGAAATTCAAATTTAATTTAAATATACTAATTTTTATACTATCATTCAATTATAAATTCTGTGTCAATAATAATAATAATAATTTTAATAATTAATATAAAAAATTATATCTATAAACTTTATCTTGTTACTATAACATATTTATGATGCTTCTCTGGATACAAATTCTCTTTTTTTTTCTCCTCTTCCTCTCCTCCTTTTCACAAGCTTTCTTCTAAACTTACCTTCGACAACACATGGTAAGAAATAAGGTTTCCACGCTTCTTTTTTTCACTCCTCATTATACCTGACTTTTACGGTACGATTTTCTCTGCCCCTCCCCAATAACGATGTTGAGTGATTGATCATTTTCTTTTGGCCAGTATTTATATATTGTAAAACTTGACTTTGTATTCTTGTCTTTCCCGTTATCTTTATAGGAAAATAGTTGAGAGGAAAAAAAAACACAAAGAAAGATTTGTTTCTTTTTTATTTTAAATTTTATCATATAAAAGTTGGTATAAGAAGGAACATAACAAGATAGAGATTTTTAAATTAACTTATTTTATGTTAAAAAATTATAAGATTTTTTAAAAATAAATCTTAAAAATAATATATTTATTTTAATTAAAACAAGTAAAACTAGATATACTAAAACAATTGCCTCATTCAGATTGCATGGCAAATGCCATTTACATCGCAAAAACATTTTCCAATTTTTATTTGTTTTCTTCTTACTAAATACAATACCGAATAAAAAATTTCATTCATAAACTATAAAATAACATAAAATACACGATGACCTTTTTAGTTTCATCAATTTTCATGTAACCCTAATTATTTTTTGTTGTGTCACTTAAAAATTAACCAACGTTGGGATTGGGAGGTAATTTAAAAGAAAATAAAAAACATAGGACTCAAATCCAAAACACAAATCCTATTCATCTGGAGGAACACGTGAACATATCCATTATGGTCATGCACAACTGGGTTTCCCTCTAAGTGTCTTCAAGGTTCCATGGGCCTTCCAGCAAAATGGGTCTTTGGAAGTTTTTCCCAGTGAAGGACGCAGATCCACCCCCGAGAACGTGAGATTAACGCATGGAACGGAATCACTGCAAGCAAAATGCACCGCGGAGATCGAGCTTTGGTTGAAGCATTCCTTTGACTTGGAGAGGCAGTAGTATTGGTTTATTATTATTGTGTTTTCCGCACTGTGTCCATTTCAATGTTGTTGAAGTTTACGTTTTTTAACACAGCTCCTTCTCCATCAGTCCATGTTTTTATCCCAACTTATAAATGAGTCAGTAACTGTTACATTCGAAACACATGCTCGGGAATTATGTCTCCCAACACTACCAATGCTGCAGAAACCACAAAGAAAGAACACATATTATTAAATTTAAGTGACTTAATTAATTCATTTCTAAAAGTTAAAGTTAGTTTAAGATTATAGGTAGTTTAACGTTATGGGTAGTTTAACTTTAAGACAGTATAAACTTTGATACTATGTTAAAAATAAATCGAATTTAACTCATTGTCAAAAATTAGATTAAGAAAAAAAGTTATCCAAATATTATAAAGAAATTTTAATCATATTCTTAATTAATGCGGTATATCTCAACATACGTGTCTAATATAGTCATATTAGGTTGAAACTTGGAAGTTATAATTATAGTAGGAATTTAATTTTGTTTTTTTAAACTCTCTTAAGCTTGCAAAATTAATGTACCTTAATTATTCCATGACTTGGACCACATGTTATATTCCTTATGTCCACATTGTAACAACCGGCTCCAAGGGAGACACAGTCATCGTCTGTATACAGTGAGGATGATAAAGGGAGGGCATGATTGAGCTTGTTGGGTTTGCTCATATTGAAAGGGAACCTGTAAAATTATCGTTGGAAATGACTGAACTGTATATATTGACATTTTTGGTGTTCTCAATGTGAATTCTATCGGCTTTGCGACTTAGGGCATGTGAAATCATTTCTTTATGGACGTTTATGCAGTTATCAAACCGTAAATGGAATTCTGGGCTGTTGTTAATTTTGATTCCTGTGACAGTTAAATTGGAGCTCGTTAAAAATCTGATTGCTTGCATAGAAAAACTCTAGAGGATGAAAGTGTCAGTGCTTCATGCAATCGAATTCAGATAAAACAGCCTTCTACTATCTAAGACTTACAACTGGGCGATTATCACATGAACCTGAATATGTTCTTCCGTTAATTTTCTGTGCAAAGCAGAATCATCGATATATATTGGTCCGGTGGCATATATCAGAAAATTTAGTTAAGATAAAAAGACAAAGGAGAAGTGCTTATATACTTTTTGATGTCTAGAACAAAGATCCCACCATTTTTGTCCTCTGCCATCAGTAAAACCACCCCCTTGCTGTATAAATCCATTGATTCTGTCAAAAACTAGTCATCTCCTGCCGCTGTCTCTTGGCCATGACTTAGCTCCATCCAGTGACACAGTGGTTCCATCAATTTAATGTGACATAAGATAGAAGATGTGATGAAAAAAGATAAAATAAAAAAGTATTATATGAAATATTTTATGGATATAATATTTCTTTATCATACACATTCTGGGAAGAAATACATAATTAATTAAATGAATATTAATAAAAAGGTTAACAGGGTTAGCAAAACAACTTTTTTTAACGTTTATTTATCATTGACATATATTTATTAGTGTTTATACAAAATGGTATAGGCTTCAATTTTTATTTATTGTTTTATTTATAATTTTCTAAAGAATGTTGCTAACAAATGCTTTTCAACACTAAATGAAAAATTAACAATATTTTTATTAAAAATTTGTGTCTTAGTATAATTTTTTCATTATCAATACATTAAATTTTATTGGTACTTTCTTAATTAATATGTTAAGAGTACTCAGCATTTTTCTTTTATAATTTAAATAAATTTTAGTCAAATAAAAAGTGAGTTATAAGTGTGATATCATCATTTCTCAAGCGCTACATGCATGCACTAATCTGTTTTGACATTCATTACCGGAAAAATAAGCTCTGATATACAGGGCCCTATGAGATCTTGGGGCTTGGCAAGTTGTGTCTCAAGCCAACTTAAATGCTTTGTCATCAGATATACCATCCCCAACAGCGCCAATAGCTGTCACATCAACAACACGAAGCCCATAATTAGAGGGAGAGTATGGAAATGAATATTGGGATGATGGGTGTAAGTTCTTCTCATTTGCACAACTACCAAGTCTTCCATGGATCTTATTTGGGTATAACCATAACCAAAAACAAGTTAAAATATTAACAAAAGCTGAAGGTCTTTAACGTTTGGTTTATTTTGCTTCTAGCTAGCTAATCAAGATGAAAATCGAATGGGGTGAGCAAGGAAAGTTTATAGCTACTTATATAATATATATAGCATCTGCCATGCAAAACGAGCTAATTAATTACACTTCAAGCATTTTCAAAGAAACCACAACATTGGTGATTGATGAATGGATGGTGCAGATCAATAATGTATGGTTAACTGTTGTCTGTTATATGTATAGCAGGTCGAGGAATGCGCTCTGAATGTCATGATAATGGCAGAAAACCGACCGGCCCAACATTCCACATTCGTAGTCTTCAAAAAGTTCTCTGGAATACTTGTAAGTAAAGATGGCAATATATCTTCCAGTACAGACATTTTTCACTTTTACTTTTGGCCAAGATTTTCTTGTTCATATTTGGTATTTCGCATGATGTACATTATTTAGTGCCCCTTTAGTACACATAACTAGGTAATCAATATCCCATAAAAAGAAGTCTTTAAATCCATAGGCTAATACACTACACTGTATATATGTATCTTTAGTTAACGATATTGGCAAATACTGGTTAGCCAATTAGCAAAAGGTTACAAATAAAATTATAAGTAGACTATCCATGAATGAATATAATGTACATTAATTTAGAGATTAATTTTAATATTTTTGCTTTCAGGAATCAAATCGAAGAATTCTATATTTTTTTAGAATTAATTTAACATTTTAGTCAAAATGTAATTTATAAATGTTAAATAACATTTTCATTGCTTGACTTGTGATGTAAACCACTCGGCATCGTGACCATGGCGTGCCATGCGAATGCGATTCAAACCACTACAACAGTTGGACCAGTCACGCACCGAAAGGGAAAACAATGCATCTTGTAAAAGAATAGTATTATAATATTCTACCAAAACAAGAAACAAAGAGCCTTCTCTTCTAATTCCAACAACGTAGTGGGGCAGTTAACACCGGGTTTAATGGTTGATATCATTGCCAAAGTAGAAGAATATCTTAGTGGAGCACATAGAATATAATATTAGCAATTTAGCACACACAATATATCTTAATTAAGGTGAGATAAATAAATTCATCGGCAAACAGAAACTTATGGTGTATGTCTCTCTATTTTCCATTATAACATCAACAAAATTAATCAAAGAAAAACATTTAGACAGAAATTTTCAGCTTCAACATCATGTAAGTAGACAATTGGTCGATTCAATTTCTCAGCTTGTCTCATTGTGCTTCTGATCTACAACTCAAATATCCTGTAATATTACTCCAAAATGGGAGCTATATACATATGGTCAAACCCATTATAAAACGCATTTACTACGGTTAGAAACTCTTATTATATGGTGCAAGAATTGACACTTTGGTGAAGTTCATTCACAGGGAGCCACATGTTTTGTTGTTCTTATTTATCTTTGATTTGATAGTAGGTTCGTGGCCTCATGCTCTATGAGCATTTCAGGTCAAGGAAATTATTTATTTCTTCCCTTCCAGCTCGGATAGTCTCAGTTTACACTGTTCACATGTGTTTGACTTAAACCATTTTTTAATGTGAATGTGTATCTTGGTGCTAGTGAACAATTATACAAGTCTCTAGAGTTTTTGGTTGTACACGGATCTGTCTAGTGTATGAAACATTGAAACATATATATCAAGTAAAAGAATTAGGATTTTTTTTATAAGAGTGGAACAATTATTAACTATTAAATTTTATTTAAAATAAATGATATTAAAATATAAAAGTTATATGACGTTTAAAGTAGTCAGATGACTTCAAATAATTTTTATTTTAATTATTCATGTAAAATTTTATGATAAATATTTTTTAACTAAATACATTTTCATTTCTATTTAAAAAAGATTATTAATAAGCTATATGTTTAAACGTATAATTTGTTGCTATACAACATTTAAAGAACAAATGATAGAGCATTGCTAAATAGTACAAGATTTTAGATACGAAAATCTTATAAAATAAAAAATAACCAATGAGAACAAGCGTTTATGTGAACATAAATAAAAAAAATATTATTAAATAAAAATAGTCAATCAAATTTAAGAATCATGGTATACGAATTTGTGATTTACTGAAAAGGATTTTTGTAAATAATAATATAGAATTTGCTACTTGATCTTCAAAATACATATATACGAATAAGTTATATCTTTTTATTTATTTATCATCTGCTCGATCATCTTAGTCTTAACACAAAAGAACATCATTTTGAGGTAACGTTAATGGATTTCCATCTAAGAGGCATAAAAGTGGCGGGCTTGTGAGTGTCTGCACAACTCCATAAGCATTCCAACAAAAGGGGTTGACCAAAATCTTGCCCTCAGCAGGAAACAGTTTCACTTGAGATAGCGTGAGGTTTGTGCATGGAACAGAATCACTGCAAGCGAAACGCATAGAGGGGGATCTCACATCATAAGTACCTCTGATGTTTGAGTATGAAACATTCGAAATTGAAACCGCATTGCTCTGGTTGAGACAATTCTTGGTGGGGCAGTAGTATTGGTCTATGATTATTGGATTACGGACAGTGTCCATGTAAATGTTTCTGAAGTTTACCTTAGACACTGCTCCTCTGCCACCCTGCCATGTTTTAATCCGAACCCCATTATCAGAGTGTTTAATAATTGAGTCACTGACCATTATGTTCGAGACACAAGCTCGCGAATTGTAATTTCCTAGGCTGCCAATGCTGCAACAAAGCACAATGACAACTCAATTAATATGCCTCTTTTGTTTACTATTATTGAAAAAAAATGTTAACATCATCCTTAAAATAGTTTTAAACATTTAAAAAATATTTATTATATAAAGAATATATATAATATATTTTTTTTAATTTTTTTAATGTATATCTATACATTAAGAAATTAAGAAATAGTAAACTTTTATTAAGAGTTATAGTATTTAATGTGTTAATATATTGATTTTTGTGATAAATTATATTTTTTTAATAAAAAAAATGATTATACACCTTACGATACAATTTTTCTCCCAACTTTTTCAAAATCAATTTTATCTAGCTTTACTCCAAACACTAATTAAAGTGGCACATAATTTATGGTCACTTGGTAAGGGTAGGATCAAAGCTATTGAAGCTCACACGAGTCACAAATGTAGTAGATTGAGTGGAGTACCTTACCTTATTCCATGACTTGGACCGCATGTTATATTCCTTATGTCCACATCGTAACAACCAGCTCCAATGGACACACAGTCATCACCTGCAAACAAACAGTGATGCCAAGGTTGGAAAACGGAAGGCATAATAGAGCTTCTTGGCCTCGCACATACGAAAAACGTTATAGTAAATTTGTAGAATTACCGTTGGAAATTACTGAATTGTAAATACTGACATTATTTGTGTTCTCAATGTGAATTCCATCAGTGTTGGGACTCAGAGAAGGTGAGGTTATGATAAGATTTTCAACATGCACATTTTGACAATCTTCAAATCGGAAATGGAATTTCGGACTGTTCTTGATTCTTAGTCCTTCCACTCTCAGATTGGAGCTCATAAAGAATCTGATGGCCTGCATAGTGTTCAAAAATTCAATGACAACTTTCAAGTTACTTGCAGTAAAAAATAAAATAAAATTCTACCAACATACTTTTTATAACATACTATTGACTAAAATTTATTAAAAATTACAGAAATTATGTGACCCCAAAAATACTTAGTCAATAGTTAAAAATGTATTAGAAAAAAGTGAATTAGAAAATACATTGCTAACGTTACTAAAAAATTTCTGAACTCAACAAGAAGAGATGCAACTTACCACAGGGCTATCACATGGACCTAGTTGTGTTGTCCCATTAATTCCCTGTTAAATCTAAAAATAAGTAAGGGAAAAACACTAGCATGAGTGGCGTTAAAAAGTTACGAGACATAAGAAAAAGTTTACTTTGTGTGATTTGCATGGGAGACTCCACCATTTCTCTCCTCTTCCATCAACAAGACCACTTCCCTGCATTAACATTCCATTGATTCTATAGAAAACCAGCCATTGCCTCTTGCTTCTATTCAATGGCCATGAATCAGGTCCATCCGGGGGCAAAATAGTGCCATCAACCTTTTGTAAGTCCAACAAGAAAATAGCAAGAGAAAACCATCAAAATGTAACCATACATTAATAGTAAATTATATACCTAGTCTTTTGCTCTTACAGAATATCTTCAAGAAATTAAAAGTGAATTTTTTTTATGAAAAATTGTTGTTAATGCATTTCCATCGTGATTTTCAATACATTTCAGCATAATCTTAAAAAAAAAATCTTATGACTCTAATGAGCAAGATCCCACATTTATTTTAGTAGCATGGTGAAATTACCTTAAAAGTGAGGTTAAAATTACAAGGCCCTGTGAATATAGTAGACTGTATCAGGAAGATATGAGCTTTTGGAACAAGAATAGTTCCTGATTCTTCAGCATGACATGCTGTATCCCATGCCAACTTAAATGCTTCTGTATCATCAGAGATACCATCCCCAACAGCACCAAAAGATTTTACATTGAAAACAAAGGGTCCATTGGCACTTTGGCTAACAGCCTCAGGTGAAGGAGAAGGTGGTAATGAAATAAGGGATATTGGAAGCCATTGATTCCCTTTTGCATTACTGTCAAGTTTTCCATGAATTGTGGGAAAGAACAAACATGTGAAGACAATTAAGAAAACTAGAGTGATACTCTGTAAGAGCATCATGTTTGGTTACTTAAAAGCTTTGTAGCTAGTAGGCAGTAGCTATGAGAAGCAAATGAAGCGAAATATTTTGCTATTTATAGTACCATAAGAAATTTGTTAGTGCTCCTATATCACTAGGCATGCAAAACTAACAACATGTTGGTCATTATCATTGGCTAGACATAGTGATGGTATAGAGAATCAAGGCGCGCACACATCAGAACGGGGTCAAGCAGCAAATTGTGTGACCAGTTTGATTAAAACTTCAACTTGCAAGAGATCACGAGTGTCGAGCTAAGGATATTGCAGAATGAAGTCACTTATAAACTAGCTAGCAATCAGAGAGCTTAGTGGAAACAACTTTTGTTGTGGACTTGTTTGAGTCTGACATATAAATTGTAATAATGACACAAACCGACCTATTACATTTAAGGAATTGAGAGTGGCACTCCAAGGCAATATGTTGAGTCAATTGTGGAAATTTTGACACAAAAAATGACTTCCTAAGGGGATAGGACCGATAGGTGCTTTGTTGCTATTCCTGTTATCCTCATTCACTCTCAAGTTCAGCACATTGAAATAACTAGATACAAAGCAAGTACAATAATGAAACACAACAAAAGCATCACACTTCTCGTGGGAACAATATAGTTGCCCTTAGGATATATCATAAATTTAAAGAAGTTACTAAACATATTATAAGTGTATTTTAGTTTAGTCGCCTCATTGCTCTTAAGTGGTCCCTTCTAAGTGATGGGGTTGACAACCTAACAGATAGTAGTAATAGACACGCGGATGAGAGGTGAGGGAAAGGGATGGAGGCTTAAGGGTGATTGGCAAGTTAGCGGTAGAAACATGATTTTGGAATTGGGTGAATAAGTTAATGAAGAAGTGCACGTCATGTTCTACATATTTTTGCCTTATTCGTGGTTTTTAAGGTTTACTTATTTTATAAGACTACCAATATAGAACCTGATGTCTGCCAGTGAAAATTACTTCAGCTTTTATTGTTAACGCTTTGTAAAGGGGTCAGTCTACAGAGGGACTAGTCTCGAAAATAATTGTTTCAATTATATACACACAAAAAAATTAACTTTCTTTCACAATTTTTACACGTGCGTTATGTTTAGAATCTTTATCTCATTTTATCCTTTGTTAAAGTTGTTCCTTTTTATATTTCAAATAATATTTTGGTCTTTCAAAAAAAAAAATTTATAATTTGATCCATGCTTTTAAATTTTTTCAATCTAATCTCACAAAATTATCGTGTTACTTGCTTACATAGTATCCGAATGAATTCATATAATTTATCTAAAGCATGACATAAATAAAATATGTTCTTAACAATATTGTATCGTTTCTATTTCATAACAAAATATTTGTTATAAGATTAAAATTTTTATAATTAAAATTTTAAAATATAAAAACAATAATTATATAAATGTCAGATCATCATTTATGTTATTTTCATGTCATATATGAGATAAATTAACACTACCTATGCAAATAAATTAAATACTACATATATAAATGACAAAGAAAATGAATAAACCAATAATAAAATCAAATTAGAAAAAAAAGATGACATGGTCCAAAAAAATTAAAATAAAGGTCGAAGTTAAAAAATCACGTACTTATAGAGACTAACGTTATTTTAACCTTTTTTCCCTTCTTTTCTAAAGTATATATCCAGCGTTGTGGTCTGGGGAGAAAATCAGTAGATAACTGTTTTGAAGTGGAGTGATTTATCAAAAAGAACAGACAGTAATTGTAAACTAATAGGCAGTTCGATAACAGAAGGAAAAACATCTTGCTTTTAAATTTATAATTTGTACAATGAAACATCTATTTTCAATCAGGTTGAATTCAAATATGGATTATTGACGATCGGATTAGTGCTAATGAACTCTGATTTGTGGAATTGGGAGTTACAAATTATAAGACAAGCCACAGAACAAGAAGAAAAGCCCCCACGTTCATCAGAACAACCACCTGCCGTTTCTCCCATTGGTGTTTTCGACCCCTGCGCTTTGCTGCAAGCACCTGTCAGCATATGCTAACTATGTTCTAGTACAATACTTGCACAGTTGCACCTTGTTGTCAGTAAAATTCAAACTGAGTACGAAAACCCAGACAAAAGAGTTTGAAAAGAAAATACAAAAGTAGTTAAGATCACAAAATATAAAATAATAAGTTTAGACAGAATTGTACTTAGCAATATCCTCCCCAGGAGGGGCGTGCAGCTTAATGTTGTCAAATTATTTCATTAAAGATTAGCCACACAAAATACAAAATTGAGATCACCGTGCAGAGCATAACTAAATTAGCCAACCACCCATCACTGTATTCACAAATACCAATACCAATTTAACACGACACTCGTCTTCTATTCGATGTTACAGTATGCTGTTAAACAGTAGACAGTTTTCTTCTGAATACCCATCGAGGGTTGGGTAATGTTGAGTATCATATATCTCTAAATCTGTTTTTACAAGGCACCGAAACACAACAAGGATACATAGAGGAACAAATTTCATTTCATAAATAGGGGAAACACGGACCATTCATATGGAAACGACTTTTGCAGTTTTGTTCCATTTCACAACATCACAAGCCAAGAAACGGGCATTGCTTCCTCGCATGATCTGGAATCAATTTCACCAAAATCTCAACAGGGACTCCTTTCAGTTCTGGTAAACAGGCAGCAAGAACATCCAGAACATCAGCCAAAACCATAAACTAATGATTGGAAAAACAGACCACAGTTATACAAACACAGTAAACAACCCATAAACTATCATACCATGAGATTTGAAATTGAACAATGGTGGAAGGAAACGACCATTTGGCAAGCGCGTGTTTGGATCACGAAGTTCATCAAAGAAAGGATGGGTCAAGGCATCTAACTGCACCAGATCAAGTAAAAACACATTATATATAACTTCAAAGGAAGAGAAATAATCATTACATGATAAAGGAGAGCAGTTAAAGCATTATTTTACAAATTAGCTGGAGAGAAATTAAAAATGCCTGCTAAGTTATTTACTCACAGCTGAGCACCGCAAGTTAGGGGAGTATTGTAGCAGTCTTGATACCAAATCAACAGCTTCTGGGGGCATGCGCTTATGAAAGATCTACAAGGAGCAGATCAACAAATATATATTAGTGTGGTGGGGTGCAGTCAACAATAGGAATTAGAAGATTAATATTTTTATGATCACTATAGTGTGAAAGCAAAAAACCATGAAATGCCAATATATTTTTATCATGTGATACCTTGTGCCATGGATGTGCCTTAATCTGTGGGAATTTAAATTCTGTATAGTTAGGATTCATGCACTTGATCTCTTCCCTTGTTGGAGTACCCAGAACCTAGCAAAGCAACAAGTGGTAATTTACATGTTACTAGCACTGAGTAAATAAGCAAGACTACCCAAAAAAGTTAATAGCGATTCAAGTATGGAATTACCAAGTAGGATAAATTCAGCCTAAAAGGTAAAAAGTTAAAAGCAAAATACATGATCAATGGCTCAACATACATTGTATTATGGTATTACAAATTACAATGTAGTTAATTGAACAATCAAAATATACTAATATGAAAAATGGATTCAATGGAAAACTAAAACACTAACCCATGACGATGTATGGGAAAACACAAAATTCCTTTCAAATGAAGGTCCATTTTTTAACAAACTACAAAAAACTGCATGTGTGTGAAAATTGACAAATGCCTGTGTTTTTCAGGAACTGGCTGAATTGGCAGTGGGAAATTAAAAAAAAAAAAAGTGACAGAATTTCAATGCTAAGCAATGCAGCTGGAGTGCTGGGCAGATTTAATATATTAATAGATAAAGGAAAACATAGCAGCAATAACAAATAAAATAATCAGAGAGATTACCTTGATGATCTCAACCAGCTGATCAACTCCACTCTCGCCAGGGAATAAAGGCTGCAAAAATAAAAAAACAAATTTCATTATGACATAAACTAAATCATAGAATCAAAAGAGCTTTCATCGACAACCACCTACCTGCCCAAGCAGAAGCTCAGCCAACACACAACCAACTGACCAAACATCAATAGCTGTAGTATATTCAGTTGCTCCAAATATAAGCTCAGGTGCTCTATAATATCTAGAACATATGTATGATATATTTGGTTCGCCTTTAACCTGCCAAAGTTAAAACAAAGTGAAGATAAACTCCTACCTCCACTGAGACAAGTTCCAAGAGGAATGGTTGAAGAAGACAGAAACGCACACACACATGTATAAAACATACCAAGACTTTTGCACTTCCAAAGTCGCATAATTTAACCTGGTGGGTATGTGGATTAACCTGCATATAAAGATTTGGTTAGTATTCTCTAACAGTTCTTAGTTTCCAGAGTTTAAACTAGCTGTCTCCAACCTTTTGGCAACTTCAGACATAAGTTAAACAACCATAAATATGAAATCTGAGAAGTTGAGAACTGAAATATTAAAAGAAAAAAAAAGTGGAAACAATGATTAGCAAGAAGATAAGCAAAACAAAGCACATACTAATAGATTTTGAGGCTTAATGTCTCGATGGCAGACTCCAATACAACGGTGAATATAAGATAGTGCCCTAAAGATCTGCAACATATCAAGAAAAACAGTTACAACCTCAGCAAGATGAGAACTGAATACACTGCATATATCTCTACACTCAAAAAGCCAGTTTGCTTGCATAATAGCACAATAACAATTCCACATCCACGCCCAACTCAAAATAGAATCAAATGAGCAGATTGTTGTGTGTAAACTAGTAATCACTAATCAAATTTAAACAACTGAAATCCAAAGGTCAATCAAGGGTACATAGCAGCAACTCTTAGCTAAGAGAATTAACATCGCTTGGACCACAACTCCATGGTTTAAGATTTATTTTGCAATTCATGTGTGTTCCAAAAATTTGACCAATAATTTAGAGTGCTGGAAAAAAAACCAAAACATTAACACACCCATTGCCCAAAATACAGCTTGACAAAAGGATCATGACAAAAATACTGTCATGATTAACCATACCTGATATGTATAGAGTTTCACATATATCAGTGGCATACGTTGGTTCAACTTGTTGTAATGTTTGATCACACGATTAACTGTTTCAGGAACATACTCAAGTACCAAATTAAGGTATAGTTCATCCTTTTCGGTGGTTGAAAAGAAACAATGCTTCAAAGAGACAACATTTGGGTGGTCAAGAAGGCGCATTGTTTGCAGCTCCCGGTTTTTATACCTCTTGTCTTGAAGAACCTTTTTGATAGCCACAGTTTCACCAGTCTCCAAGCATTTAGCCTACAATTATACCAAAATATCAGTATCAAAGGCATCATATATAACTCTGTTTGAAAGGCTAAACTAAAGAATCATCCAGAAAACTGGATAAGAATCTATACCTGGAAGACAACCCCAAATGATCCATGCCCAACAACCCGCTCTGCCATATAACTTATAGTCTGAAATATTAAAAATAAAAAAAAAATAAAAAAAAGATGTTGATGATTGTAAAGAAATAAACATTAAAAAAAAAGGAGAAAATGAATTAAAGAAAACACGCACATGAGGATTAAATTCTACTAATGATATCCCATATCTCATTGAGATCCATCAATCAGTAAGTATTTCAAAAGGAAACTTACTAATATAAAAAAGGCACAACAAAAACATGTTGAAGACAGAAATTAGTTGTAAGACTCACTGTATAAAGATTCACGTTATTGGGATGCAGTACAGCTGGCATAATGCCCAAAACTTGAGAGAGGAAAAAATGGCTTTGAGGAAAAATATGATAAATCTCACTTCAAAAGTCAATAATCACAGACAGGGAAAAAAGACATTTTAACTCAAATAATAACACCGAACTAAGCCATTGATTGCTTATCAACTTCCAAACACCGAGATGTCAGCAAGCAGTGAGACAGTACAGTAGCCAAATTATTTCAAACTGCATTCCATCCGATTTCCACAACACAGTACGAGTTAGTGGAAAAAGAAAGGAGAAGGTGTACCTGCTTCGGCTGACCGTTTCTACCCCCAATGGTAGTAACAATGATATGTCCCGTCTCCGTTCCGTTACCATCAACAACCGTGGCTTCCATTTCCTACAAGATGAAGTAAACTGTAAGCAACTCCTAAAATATGAAACAAAAACTTAAGCTAAAAAAAAATGAAGATATTGAATTGAGAATTAATACAATGTCTAACATACTTTATCATCCCTAATTTTCATATCATTCATCTCCTCTGGCAATCTATCAACAACACTGGATTCTCTCAAGCTTGATGTTGGTGCCACACCAACCGACGCCATCTTACACCAAACTTTGGCCTTCCTTGCTATTTTAACAGCTGAGAAGTTAGAACTCACTCACTAACCTCCTGGAATTAATAGCACCAAAATCAGAAAAAAATTAGACTGACATAAATATGAAATATTTAAAAATGGAAACTAAAGCCAAAACAGGAAAGTAGCATCTTCCACACACAGTAAACACAATAATTTAAACATAAATAAACCAAAAAAAAAAAATGCAAACGCCTTTTTTTTCCTTTCGCCTGAAATTATAAATAGTAATTCGGGAAAATACTGAAGAACATCAAAGATCTATCTCTCGAACATCACAAATCCAACGGGAAACCCATCGTTGCATCAATAATCTCACGGTTGAAAACAAAAATAAAAATAAAAACACAAAAATCTCAAAAATAGAAAAATACCAAACAAATGAACCGAAAGATCTTCGTAAACATCAACAGCATAATCGAACGGGAAATAGTAAAGCCGATCCAAATACATAAAACTGAATTAAGAAAAGCTCCGGGTGAGAAAAAATGAACAGCAGTTAAATCTGATACAGAATAGAAAGAAAATAATAGAAAAAATAGGGGAAAATTTCAGAAACGGGAAGAATGAAAAAGGTACCTTTGGTAACATGAAGTGTGTGAGGAAAAGAAAAGGGAAGAAGGGACGTGAGTGTGAAGGTTAGAGTTAAGATGGATGTGTGAGGACTGAGGGGTTCTTCTTTATGGAATTGTGTGAGCAAAACAGTGCTTCTGCTTTTTGTGTGGTGTGTACTATAATGCGCTGGTGACAGTCAAAGAAGAACACTGTTTTAGTTTTTCTTTTGTTATTTTTTAAAGAAAAATATGTACATTTATAGATAAATAAATTATAAAAATCTTAGATGTACGGAAATATGGTGGATAATTTCGTTATTTAAATTATTAAAAATCAATACTACACGTATTAATTAGCCTAAAACGATATGGGTTAAGCTAATAAGTGCTCTCAGGATACTAATTCAAAATTAATAAATAGTATTCTTTATTAAAATACAATAATTATTATGTAAATAAATACATTATTTATATATATATAAAATACTTTTATTCATTAACCAATACCTTATACTGATCAACATTTTTCAAACAATAACAACATCGTTTGCCCTCAGCAAACTCCAGCCTTAACGCTTACAAATTTTATTATTTTGACAAAGATTAAACAATAAGGATTTTTTAATTATATTATTTTAAAACACAATCTTAAGTATCAATTATATATATATATATATATATATATATATATATATAACAAATATTAAAACTTGTAATAGAAGTTGTTTCACATTTATATCTACATACTAATTTTATTTGAGATATAAATAAGTGATTTAGAAAATTTTAACAAAACACTGTTAAACATACTTTGCATAAAGTAATATATATGCAAATTTTTTAGTTAAGTTTAAATTTTTTTTAAAATTATAATTTTAAATATTAGGTTTTACCTCATGTAAATTTAAGATTACTTTTTTATATTAATGACATGATAGTTTCGGATTTAATATTATAATTATTTTTATTATTAAGTTAACCTTCCTAACAAGCAAAAAAAATATAATTTTAATTATTTATCTAATTTAAGCCAGATTTAACTATTATCAACAATAAAGTTTTTTTCTTTAAATATCAATACAGCTATATTTATTATAACTTTTTTTAATTCAATATTATAAATTAAGCCAAAACTGCTATTGTAATTCTAATCCACTTGAAAAAAATTGCTTTAATAAAATATATGTAGTCTAAACAAAAAATTATGTGTATTTTATTTTAAAAAAAAACCCTTTTAGCAAACATGTAAATGTTACATTTCTAAATTCATATTCCCAGCCAGTTTTATAAATTTTAAAACAAATACATTCTAAATTTAAGGAATGTCAACACAAAATTTATTGTTAGCGAGCTTAAAAGTTGAAATCATTTAAGATAGTCAGTCAAAGCATGGATAAAGTCTAGCTACCATCTCCAATTGAAGGGTAAATTGATTGATTCAAAATGTTATTTTGAATTTCCATTCTCCTTTATTTCTATCCTTATTATAACATCACATCATCTCATGCCACCATTCTGATGGAAAGAAAGAGTGGATTGTTTAACTGCATGATATAATGTGCTATTCAAGCTTTGACAGCCTCCAAGATTGTTGGGTGATGACATTAGTAGTTGAAGGACTTTCCTCGAAAATGACTTCATAGCCATCACGAGTGTCATTCATTCCTTGGGCCAGTAGTTGCCAAAAGAGCCCACCAGCACATGGGCCTCCATTGCTAGCGCTACTGTATATGATATTGTACAGTTTCCTATAGTAATTATTCCTTTTATCCACACTGTACCCTGATAACCTTGAGGACTTTCCAAACTCAGTAAGAAGAATGGGCTTTCCTAAAATATCATTTGAGTCCTGAATATGAGCTTTTACCCATTTGTTAACAAAAGCATTTTGAGCCGCTTCGTCAGAGCTCGACACCCTTCATCAAAAATCATCTTATATATTAGCATCCATTGATTCATACCACTGATGATATAGGTGATGGCAAAAATAAAATTCAGTTCAGTTTCTTACATGTTTTTTTAATAACATACAACAATATTAAAATAATATATAAAAGTTGTACTTAGGAGGATCTACCATTGATAAGGGTAGAGATGGATGGCGGCGAAATCGATTTCGGGAACTTGATTGTTGGAAATGAAATCAGTTCCAACTTGATTTCCAGCATTAAACTGCTTCTTTTCTGGCATTGATTCGCCATAAAATCCTTCAATTCCTACTTCTAGTAAATGATTGTTATCAATGGACTTCACATAAGCAGCCATTTCGCTCACCCAATCCTAGAATAATTGACACTTTTTATTTACACATCACATATATATGAACTTGATTTTATGTTGGCGAGTGAAAAGATACGTAATTGGGACACTTTGTGATTACGCATGACGCATCGAACATGAGAAAGAAAAGGGACCTGAAATGATTTCCCTGAAGAGTCATTCTGGGAACGAGGTTCATTGATAAGCTCCCATGAGAAAATGGTGGGGTCGTCCTTATATGCTAGTCCAGTTATAGTGTTCTTTCTTGTCAAGACAGTCTGCATTACAACCAAATTTACCAAAGTTGTTAAATCAGTGAACTAATATATCATACTAATTAACTGTGACTTTGAAGAATGGGCATTCCTAGCTATTGTTACCTTGACATGATTTTTGTAGTATTGCTTAATAATGGGGTGTGTGAAGAATTCATCATCGTTTTTTACTTGCTGGCCACGTTCCCTTGCCCATTCCACATACTGACTCTTCCCACCCAAATTCTTCCAGTTGTTAACTAAGACTAGTATCAGTCGCACCCCACATCTCCCTGCTTCTGATATCACAAAATCCAAACCCTACAAACCATGCATGCAGTTCACCAAATTCATGAAAATAATATTTAAACAAACAAACAATGCTCAAATAAATAGTACTATATGATAACAATTCTGTCTGGACAATCTTTCTATGAATACTTATATATGTAAAGAGAAATAGAAAAGTAAAATAAAATCTAATAAAAGTTAAAATTAAGGTATTTGTTTGTCAATAGATTAAAGGTTGTGATTGTTTTAATATTTTAAAAATTAAATGATATTTATATTTTTTTCTGAATAAATCATTAATCTTACTGTTTATTACTATGAAATCAACTGTAATAACTGTTTTAATTGTGAAAAGATATAGAATGCATTCTTAATTTACAAGATATCTTTGAAATTACTTAAAATTAAAATAGGATTCTCAATTTATAAAGAAATTAAATAAGATGATTTTAAGTTATAATTTTTTACTTTTATATTTTGTTCTTTTATAAATATTTATAGACAACCTTGTCCACTTGCATCATTATCATACCACTAGGTCAAGGACGAATTTACATTGACCTAACCGTAGTTGAAAACAATGTTATTTGTCCCTCAAAACCTAATACAACAGTTAAATTCCTTTCATGACTTTTTTAAGACGAGAGCACAGGACACTTTCATGTGTAACTGGCTTAAAAAAAAGTTTTTTGTAAAAAAATAAAATCAAAGAAAGCAGCCCGGTAAAAAGCAAGGTAATAATTTCATGAAATATTTAATAACATCACATTATTAAAACCAGGTAATAGCTTTTACATACTTTTTTCCACACTGAATCCTTTGTAGAATTTTAAAATTATGAAAAAGAGTTAAGATATTTACTAAGTAAATAATTAAAAGTAAAAATAAAAAAGTTAGTATCGATATATTCTATAATAGTTATGAATAGAAATTATTTGTTTGTAATTTTTTATTCTTAATAGTATTTCGATGTTCAAGAGTATAATCCAAATTGATTAATATAGTGTATTTCTTTTTAACTTTTTTGGGGGGAAAACTCCGCAAATAATGATATTTCACACATACATAACATATGCACACAAGGATACATTTACTGATTCATTATATAAAATATTTTATTTTAAAATATAGGTTATGGTTTTGGAAGTTGGGATTTAGAGAAAAGACTATAGAGAAGATATAGCAAATATTTTATATTCAAAACAGACAAAAAATCATATAATATTTATTGAAGTAAATAAAAGTTTAACATATAAAATTTATACTAAGTAATTATTTCATTTCTGATTCCAAAAAAATAGAAAATTAGAAAGTGTTAATTAAAAATAAAATTTTGCCTTATTTTCTTTAGAGAAAAAAATAGGATAAGTAGTACCTTGAAGACATTTTCATCATAAGAACCTGGAGAAATCTGAAGGGCTTTGTAACCTCTATCGTTGAAGGCCCAGGTTCTTGCTACGTTTAAACCGTGCAGGGAAGCTTCTTGAAAGATTGTAGTAACCTTGGACATTGTAGATGCCTCAGATGCCATAATCATCAACCAATAGGCATTGAACCCATTTAAGTAGTGTGGCTTTCCATTTAGAACAAAACGGGTGCCATTTCGTTGAATAAAACCACGATCCTCAATCATTTTGGTGGCTAAGTGTTTGTATGAGTGATTATGAGGACCAATGGTAACTTTGCAATTCCCAAATTGATCAACAACCATTACCAACATAAAATATGTCAATACCAAGTTTTGGAACCCCATGTCTTAGTCCCAAGCCACAAAACCACTCTCTTATATATCTTCTTGTTTTACAAGAAAATTCAACTTATAGAAACAATGTCAAGCTGAAAATCAACTAGGAAAAAAGAGAGGCAAAGGCATAAGTTTTCAGTTCTGTAGAAAAATAACCTGAGGGGGAGTTTATAAAGTATACTGTGTATTAAAATATATGGAAAACATTAATTATATTTTAGAGTATTTTTTAAATTAAGTTCCTTATTTACTTTATTTTTTATTCATTTAAATAAAGATTTTAATATAAATAAGATGCAATGCTTCATATTTTTTCATTTTAACAAAATGCATATAATTAATGCATCTTGACTGATATTGATTTGCGTTTATTATTTTTTCTCTATGCTTAAAATGTGATAATTCCAAAGCTGTATTTCGTATCGTGCTTGGGTCCACTAAAAACTGAAGAAGTGTGATTGGATTGATCAAATTCAATAAAAGAATGTGGAAACTCATCCATTTCTTATAATAGCTGTTTTCCCACTAAATTCTATTACTTTTATTCTTTAATTTTCCATTTAAAGTTCTGAAATTAAAAAATACAATTAATTATTATATGTTAAGATTATTTATAATTACTAACATGTTTTCTTTTATCTTTTTTATATCTCATTTTAACATTTTATTTATCAATATTTTTTTATAAGGGTGTAATTAATAAGTAATAAGTAATGTTATCTTTAAATTTTAAAATTTTAACTCAATAAAAACATTTTTTCTAAAATGATATATAAAAAAATAGGAGTATAATTATATAATAGCAATACATAATAAATACCGCCCATTAATTGAAGTTTCGAATTGTGTATTTTTTTACATATACTTACCATGTTTTATTTTTTTTCCCCCTTAGTTTAAGAAAAAATAACACACTGCAAGGATTTATTTGTTAATTAATGAAATATTTATTATGTGCTTTGTAACTTTTATTTAAAAAACAAACAATATTAATGTTTTTCTTATATATTAAACATTAGTTATTGTATTAGAAATTGAAATAAATGAATAAATAAATTTAATGTTTTTAGAATGAGAAAATAAAATGATTTAAAAAAACTAAAATTACGTTAGCTGTGATGAAAAGAGCTATAAAATGATACATACAAAATATTATTTTTATTACTTGAATCGTTTAAAATAAGATTAAAAAAAAAGAATAAATTCCAACAAAATGCATTTTATTTCATTTAATTGAATACCTGGATTTTTCTTTTACTTTATTTAAGAGATATGGAGCAAATGAAATATTTATGTCATTATTTAACAAAATCTTGTTTTTTGATTGTTACATGATTTTCTTTTTTTGGATTAAATATGTGTATGAGATTTTTATTTGAGCATTATTTTCTATTTTTATAATATTTTATTTATTTAAATGATTTATGTATTGAAAAAATTATTTAATAATTATTTTCTAATAATATTATTACAATTATAGTATTTTTTATTAATATTGCATTATATTCAAATATTTTATATTTATTACAGTTTTAATAATGTCTTTATTTTATGTTTGAAATTGTATTTTAATTTAATAAGATGATTTTGATAATAAAAATATTGTTTTAATTACATTTTAAATTATTCAATATTTTCATTTGAACAAGACGTAATATTTTTATATTATATTTTAACAATAAGAGGTTGTATTTCATATATATATATATATATATATATATATATATATATATATATATAATCTAATAAAATAGATATAATCAACGAATTTATAAATCGTGCGGAATTAGAATTTTCAATCGTAGAAATCAACAACACACACATTCATTTATAGAACAATTTTTGTTTGCTCACTCAGCAGAGAGGCAACAAATTAATGTAGGGAATTAAGTCTTACAATTTCTATTTGTTTCGCGTCTTCCCTATCTTAAAAGGTAATTTTAATAGTAATTTTAAGATTAAAAAGATATTTTATATTTTTTATATGTATAATAATCATCACTGTTAATATTATATTAAATATACATGATAAATAATAAGAGTTAATAATCTATATTTTCATTTTTAAAATAATTATAACTATCAATTTAAAAAATATACTTTCAATTTAAAGCGAGTGTTATAAATAATGCCACTCCTTAAGGTATGGATAAATAAATTATGGTATCGCCAAATTGAAGGGCACACTTAATTGATTCACAATGTTATTTTAAATTTGCTTTCTTCTTTATTTCCATTCTTATTATGATATTATTATTACTATTATTATACCATAATACCATGCCACCATTTTGATGGAGTGTTTGATTGGAGGGAAAGAATGCTCTTATAACTAACACACACTCTCCTACTCAATATTTGACATTTTCTGAGATTGTTGAGTTATCACATTCACTGTCGAGGGACCCTCTTCGAAGATGACTTCATACCCATCACGATAACCATCCATTCCTTGGGCCATTACTTGCCAGAAAAGCCCACCAGAACATGGGCCTCCGCTGCTAGCGCTACTGTATATGAAACCGTATAATTGCTCAAAGTAAGTATTCCTTTCGTCCACGCTGTATCCTGAAGATCTCGAAGACTTTCCAAACTCAGAAAGAAGAATGGGCTTTCCTAAAACATCTTTTGAGTCCTGAATATGGGCTTGGACCCATTTGCTAACAAAGGCATCTTGGGCCGATTCGTTAGAGCTCGATACCCTGCATCCAAATCCAAATTCACCTTATGCTAGTGATGTGATTTATATTATACAGTGAATAAATGAAAAGAATTATTATACACAGAAGATGTACCATTGGTCAGGGTAGAGATGGATGGTGGCGAAATCAATTTGGGGAACTTGGTTGTTGGAAATGAAATCAGTTCCAACTTGGTATCCAGGGTTAAACTCTTTCTTTTCTGGCATCGATTCACCATAAAATCCTTCAAGCCCTACTTCTAGTAAATGATTGCTATCAATGGACTTAACATAAGCAGCCATTTCGCTCACCCAATCCTGTAATAGTTGACTCTTTGTTGAGAAAGAAACGCAAACACAAACCCAAAACATTAGGGGGGATAAAAGGGACCTGAATTGATTTCCCGGAGTAGTCATTCTGAGAACGAGGTTCATTGATAAGCTCCCATGCAAAAATGGTTGGGTCATCCTTATATGCCAATCCAGTTATTGTGTTGTTTCTTGTCAACACAGTCTGAATTACAACCAAATTTGCGAAAGGTTAAATTGCTCAACAGATAGCTATTCATTAAGCTATGGATGATCGACTGTAATGTTTCAAATAATTTATTTAAATTTATGAAAGTGATTTATGATTATTTTTAACATAAAATTTAGGTACAATATTATTGGTGATATTCTCTGATAATAGTTAGAATTTTATCTTGATAATATCTGTCAATCTTTAATGCAAATTATGGAAGTGAAACTTTAATTTTGATTGGAGAAATATTTTCACTTTTTTAGCTATAGCTTGAAATTTTATTATATCTCATTTAGTTTTTATATTCAAAATACCATGTTTTATTGAGATTTACAAAAATCCAGAGCCTCCCATGATTATTTCATACAAATCTAAGGATGCTCATATATTTAATCGCATTTTTTTCAGCTTATTTTTGAAATGTAATTTTTTTTCTAAGATGTAAAAACTGATTAAGTATTTCATCAAAATAAATTAATCTGAACACACACTAGATTAGTTTACCAATTGAATTTAATTAATTAACATATGCAAATGTCTTTGCTCACAGGGTATTCTTACCTTGACCTGATCTTTGTAGTATTGCTTAACGACAGGGTGTGTGAAGAAGTCATCATCGTTGTTTACGTTCTGGCCGCGTTCCCTTGCCCATTGCACGTACTGCTTCTTACCACCATAATCGTTCCAGTTATTCACCAAACTTAGTATCAATCGTACACCATATTTTCCTGCTTCTGATATCACAAAATCCAAACCCTACGCACAATGCATGCAGTTCACCAAAAGCACCAAGTTAATTAAAATAAAATTTAATAGACTCGTACGTAGTTGACAATAATGTTATTTGTAACTCAATATTTAATATAATTTTTACATTCTTTTGGATGACTGTTTAAGACAGACAGAAGTACAAGACACTTTCATATATCCAAATTAATAGCATTATATTGCATCATTAAGATCAAGCAATAATTTTTACACATTTTTTCCCTCGTTGAATACCTTTTCATACCATTGTATGATGAATTCATTCACAATTCTCACACCCTCAAGTGTCTGATGAATTCATTAGGAAAAATTAATGTTAAGGTATTATTAAGAAATTTTTAATTTATAAAGTATTATCAATATTAAAAGTATTATTATTATTCTTAGAGCACTAATTAAGAAATAAAAACAATAATAATTTTTTCATTAAAAATTACATTAGAATATATTAAAATTCATCGGAGTGAGTTATAATGTTTTATATATATTTTTTAATTAAAAAAGTTCATCATAGTTATTCAACTACTTTCCGAAAGGAAAAATTTATTTATAATTTACTAACAGTGTTTCAATCTTCATTAGTAGAAACCAACAATTGATATCATGAAAAAATATTTAAGTGCTAATGATGCATTATATATAATATATGCATTTTAAGTGCACCTAAGTACACACAATGTTTGTATTCATAAAATTATTTTTTCTCAAATATAAACAAATTTAAACTAAGATAAAATGGTGTAAAATATAAGTAAATATTAACTGACTTCACACAATTTAATGAAATTATCTATGAAATACATTTATTTAATATAATTTTATTTAAATATAATTTTTAAATATAAATTAATAATTTCATATACCTTTTAAAATAAAATAAAAAATCTCCTTAAAATTAGTTACTAAAATTTAATTCTCTTCCGTTATGATACTGAATTCTTAATTTTTATAATTTGACTTTGACCTTGACCTAAGACTTTAAACCATCAACTAATAACATTTAATGTCAATAAAAATATTAAACCATTCTTAAATGATCGCATATTATAAAATATAATTATTTTTTAATAAAAATACAAAAAATTAACTAATATTTTTAATTAACACAATTTAATTATTTTTTACTTATATTTTTAACAGGAAGGAATATATTTATTTAGGCAATAAGTTAGAATAAAATGCAGTACCTTGAAGATGTTCTCGTCATGAGAACCTGGAGAAATCTGAAGGGCTTTGTCACCTCCATCGTTGAAGGCCCAGGTTCTTGCTACGTTTAAACCATGCTGGGAAGCTTCTTGAAAGGTTGAAGTAACCTTGGACATTGTAGATGGCTCAGATGCCATAATCATTAACCAGTAGGCATTGAACCCGTTTAAGTAGTGTGGCTTTCCATTTAGAATAAAATGGGTGCCACTTCGTTGGATGAAACCAACAACCTCAAGTTTTTCGAAGGCTGAGTGTTTGTATGAGTGCTTATGTGGACGAGCAGTAACCTTATAATTCCCAAATTGGCCAAAAACCAATGCCACCATAAATGTCATCAATACCAAGTTTTGGAACCCCATGTCTTAGTCCCGTGCCACACAACCCAAAATATAGCTGGGTACCCCAACACTCTCTCTTATTTATCTTCTTGGATTACAAGGAAATTAAACTTATAATCAAAGAAGAGGCAAAACCGAAAACGTTTTGAGAGACTATGAGTTTTCGATTCTATGAAAAAATAGACAACTAGGGTGGAGTTTATATAGAGAATCAGAGATATGGACATCAACGAAACTAGCTGCATGGGAGAGGGAAAATCATTATTATATTGCGTTCTAAAATATATTAAAAAATACCCATTGATATATTTATTATATGTTAACATACTTTAGATTATCTTTTAGAACTATTATTTTCCTAGTTTCCTTATTATTAATTCATAATTTATTTAGTTAATATTATTAGAATAAATAGGAAAAACATTGCATTTTATCATTACAAATATAATATACATCTTTTTTAATAATATCAAATTATAAATTCATTTTTTTTTTAATCTTTATTCTTCCCTTTATACGTAAAAATTTCTTAATTTCAACCCTGAGCTTCATGCCATGCAAGGGTCCCACCAAAAACTGAAGAAGTGTGATTGGGGTGGTGGAATTTCATGTTGATAGGACTCCATGTTCAAAGATAAGCCTGTTAGTTCAGTTATTTTGGCCGTTTAGTTTCGTGCAATAAGATGGAATTGATCGCTTCAAGTTGGGAAGTTTGTGAAAGAATGTGAATGAAGAACTTATTTTTTATTAACGTTCGTTCACAATGACATGGGTCACTAGAATTGGCAGTTGCAAGAAAGATAAATCACTCCTAAGACAATTAAACTATTATTCAATACTTTTTTGGAAATTAATGAACAGTTATCACTATCATTTAATAAAAATATTAGTTAATATGTATTTGGTTGAACAATGATTTTTTTTAAATAATATAATAGTTTAATGGTATAATAGAAAATTAAGTCAGGTTTGTTTATAAAAATTAAAATATTAATCATTTTCTTAATTCTTATACAAATTCTTAACATCAAAAAATGAAAAGAATAATTTTATCTAAATGGTAAGTTACATTTGTTTCTGTGCATCAAACTTTTAAATTAATTTAGAACTTTTACAAATATAATTTATATGTAAGAAATTTTTAACTTAATAATAAGTTTTAGAAAAAAAATTAAAAGACCGTTGAACGATATAAAAACAGTATAACTTATGTAAATATAAGATTTTTTTAAATATAAAAATAAAAATAATTTTTAACTTTTGAATCTTATTATATAGTTCAAATTAAATATAAAAGTTATATGATATATTTAACAAGTTGCATGACTTTCAAGTTAGTTACTTAACTTTGACGTGTTTAATAATACAAACTAATTTTTTAGAAGCTTGTGATTTGCTTTTGTTTTTGGTTAATGAGTTAGTAAAATTACTTTAGTCATTTAACATACTTTAGTTAGTAATATAATTAATTTTACTGAACAATTTTAATTCAACTAGTTAGTTATAATTTTTAAACTTTTAACCTAACTCATAAAATATAAGTTAAAAACTTTTAACAAATTTTATTAAATAAAATTTTAATTAACTTTTAATCTTTAAAAATGTTAATTTTGATTTTTAAAATTGAATTTAAATGATATTAAAAAATAAATTTTTAGGAAAGATTATAACATTTAGTGTTATTGATATAATAATTTTTATAATATCCTTTAATTTTAAATAAAAATATACTATACATAAATTCTTATTAGTTACAGTTTGACTAATGTTCAAAAAAATTATATAATAAATATTTTTAATAAAAATTTATTATCATTATATACTTGAACTCAGTTTATAAGAATTGAAATTAAAAAAAAATTAATCTTAATTGTAAATATAATTATATATTCTAAATTGTTTATTTTTATTCTTGTATAAGAAAGACATCCTCACTGAAGAGAGGGAGGCCTTAACGAATTGCTTACAGGCCATGGTAGTCTCATAGCATACAAACTAGTAACGTAGACACTATAATTTTAAAAAAATACTTTAAAAATATTATTAATGTATTTATTATAATTTTAATACGTTTTTAACATACAAGACTCAGTAAGTAATAACTTCACATAAAAATACGAGACCTATGGGAGTGTATTTGGGGGTCTCTTTATAAGAACATTATAAAACTCTTTTAACTATAAATAATTAAAATGCTTGATTAATACAAAAATATAATATATAATTTTAAATATTTAAATTGAATTTTAAAAAATAATGGAAGCAAAATGATATTATAAGTGCAGTGCCGTCCTCTTAGAAGCATAGTCCATAGAATTGGTGCAGTCACGAAATGGAGGTGCATTTAATGAATGGGTTCTCTGTGTTATTGTTATTCTCCATAAAAGAGATCAAACAAACACGTAACTTAACTAATTCTACCCATGGCGTCACCAACGTACTGCGTTACTATTGCCATCATAGGGATGCTCCTCCCTTATTAATTTCACTCATTTGTATAAAAAATACTCGCTAAGAAATTAAAAAAAATTAATAAGCATATTGCAATATTTAATGTATTAATATTTTGAAAGTTTATTTAATATTTTTTTAACTCTTTACATGCCAATAGAAGAATATCTCTTAGTATAATCAATGCTTTGAGCTTTTGTAATATTTGTGTCCTTAAGCTTGTTCATTGCATTTTCCCACGTTTAAAGTACGTTTAGATAAATAATTTATACTATAAAACCTTTTAATGAGCTATAATTTAATTTGAATAAATTATAAAATAATTCTTACATAAAATACAAAGTTAGTATAAAAAAATAAATATTTTTTACGAATATTTGTTGATTAATAATATAATATAATTAGTTTAAAATTTTAATTAGATCTAGGGTGTTCATCAGATAAATTAATGAATCTGATGATACAAATTGATTTAAATTGGAAAGCGATCCAATCTGAAATTTAATGAATCTGATCCAATCTAAATTGATCAAACCTAATGTGGTTTAATTTAAATAACGGGTTGGAAGTATATCAATTCTAAAATTCGATAACATATTCGATTAATCAATTGACTTACGCTAACTTAACAAGAAAAAATATATTCTAACGTATAGTGAAGTGTATTTTAAACTGAGACTTATTTTAAATTTATATAGTTATATTGAAATGTTGTGTAATTTTATTAAAATTATGTATCAAGAATTATTTGAATAAAAATATATAATTTTTTTTATATTTTTTTATATTTTTATTTTAAGTTATTTAATCAAACAATTCAATTATCTGAATCAATACATTTGTATTTCATTCAGATTAGTTTAAATTTTCAATTTTTTTTTTACAAATCTAAACAAAATTAAATCAATCTATTTTTATCAGTTGATATTATTTTTTCTCCAAATCCGAATCAAACCGCCCGTGGCCACCCTAACGAGGTCAATCTTCTTAATTCATCAGCCTCAAATCATTGGTTTGAACTCTTAAGGATCCGATCCTGTACAGCAGGTTCTAACTAAGGGAAAAATTCATTTTGAAAATATATTAGCTTTTTTTTTCGACTGAAAAAAAAAATACTTTTCAAAGAAAAAATAAATGAGAGCTTCAATATTTTTATTTATATTAACTGATATTTCTGCGAAAGAGACAAAACCTTATAAACTAATCCAACCAACTAGCGGTGAAAAGCCAAAATATGCGCGTGCCTTTATTAGACGTTAACTAGTGTATTTACTAGATGCTATCTATACTTAAAATAATATAAACATAAATTCCAACCTAAAACAATATAATCAATATCAATAAAATAAATATATACTCGTTCAAAAGTTAATTCAACGTTGACAAAAAATAAAAAATAAAAAACGTTAATTCATCATGCTACTACGGTAGCGTCAATATAAAATACAAAGGCAGAAGCAATACATGCGATCTTCTTTATCAACAATTACGTTATCAATTTTGCCTGAAAGAAGCGTGTTTGTTATCCTATTTAAAAAAATAGGATAACAAATTCATGAATTATCATTTCTTTATAATATAAATATTTAAAAATAAAAATATATTATCCTATTTTTAAGATGATAAATTATTTAAAATAAACTAAAAATGTAAAAGCATTATATAATTTAATATGTATAAAGATTTACAATATTTAATAATTGTTAAATCATCTTTTATCATTATAATTATATATATCTAATTTTATATAATTTAATAATATATTTATTAATTTTATCTTTTAATAAAATTTTATAAAATTAATTTATTTAATAAAAAAATTAAACTAATAATTAAATTAATATTTTATTTTATAAAATGTCATTAAATTGTATAAACATCCAATCCAAGTTCGTGGGCATGTCAGATGACATGAGCATATCAACGGTTGGTGAAAACTTGAACGGATAAATTATTAGCTGCAAAGTGTATAATTTAAAATTTCAATTGTTATTTTTTCAGTTAAGGATGCGTACATACAACTTATCAAAGGTTGTTATTACAGTTTATCCGAAATTTAATTGAAATGTTATTCATATTTGGAAGGATTAATTTTTTGAAATAACCATTTGTTAAGTTCCCTCAGAAGTTAAAAAGGAAAAATAAAATTTATCTAAAATAAGTTGAAACTAAATTACAATTTGAAAGGAAAAAAGTTTCCACATCAATTAAATATCAGAACAAATAATAATTGTCCCCAAACAAAATTTAAGATTTCGCATACTGATTTGACATGCTATCTCTTCTCAGTTCCCTCTGTCTATCTTCTTTTTCTACAACGAATGAATCAACCGTAACGACAAAAAGGAAATATAGGAAAGAAAATGACAACTTATCTCACAAGGTAAAATAACAAAAAAAAATTAAACTTTCCTTTTACCCTCTATATCGAAGACATGAAAACATGTTTAAATTCAATCTCTGGTGGAGTTCATCTAATTGATACATCCTAGGATGAATCAACAATCTCCCAAAAGCATCCTTCTCACAAGTCACGACCAATTCGCCAAGTCAAGATGCTTCACCATGCACCCCAAAGGATAGATTCAATACATTCCACTGTAGAAAGAAATGGCCCTCCCTTATGAGACAGATAACAAGCTGCCTGACCAAAATACAAAAACTGCTTATTTAGCCAGCGAGGCTGCCAAAAGGTAGTATATAAGGTAGATAATCATGTTCATATCAGTATATATAGAATTTCAAACACTAACTCTGCCTTCCAGTCACTAAAACACAGTTTCAAGGATGATACTAAATTTCAGTAGCCCAAGATACTGGTTATTCATAACTTAAAATGCAGTAGTGTCCATTGATTTTCCTTGTAAAACCAACCAGATTTAACTAAAATTCCAAATAAGGATTACAATGCATACCTATATATTATGATTGTTGCACTTGTCGGGATATCTGTAGCATCCAATCAGCATACCCACTGTTACCACCCATCTGGTCCTCAACAAGGTTTGCAAGGAGGAGGAATCCTTCTTTGGGCTGTTCACCTTGCCTAACAAGTTGGCACAACTGGTAATATGCACGATCTGTATTTCTCAACTTCTCAAGTACCCTCATCAGCCTCCTTGACATTTCATTATCATGCTCCATGAGACTAGTCTGTTAAAAGAAATAAAACATAAAGCCCCGGATGGATTTCAGTTTTTGTTCAACTAGATGAATAAAGGAGAAATACACAAACATATATACTCTAATATAATTTGATGAAATGAATTGGCCATACAATAAGTTATTCAATGGTTTTAGAACAGCATCCATCAATATCAATGCAACTAGAAGTCAGTCTTGTTAATAAACTTGGGAGGAAAATGTCAACTTTGCCCCCAAAACACTGCCCAAACTATGCAGTTTGAGGGCAAAAGTAGTTTTTTTAAATGCCTCCAAGTAGGGCCGTGAACAATCGCTATTTTTGCTGTGATTGTGGTCACAACAACTATTCAAAAACAAACCATGATGGAAACTTTGTAGTAGCCCCTAAGCTCCTCCACGCTGCTACACCACTATAGCACACTCACTCTGCCACTACTGGTGAATGACATACAAAAGCTCACCCTTGAATTAAGTGTTTTATCATGAAGATGACACTCATCATACAATTTCATATTAATTATAACTATTTTATTACTTAATTGACAAAAAAACTCAAAGATAAAATTGACATGCAAGATCAAAGTGACCATAATTTACAATTCAAGGACTGTCTACCCACGGGAATTGAGAGAAGAAAGAAAGAGCAATCAATGAGTTTATGTAGTTCAGAACCAAAAAGCGAACCAGCAATAAAAGTTGAGAAGAAAAAGGATAAAGCTGCTCCATATGACAACAACCTATAATATAGTCTCTAGCCCTATCTCGTCTGTCTTGAAGAACACATTATGAACCTTCATTTTGTATAGAAGGGATATACAATACCTTTGATAATTCTGCTGCAAAGTCTGCCCCAAGCAAATTCTTGGCTATATCAGGAGAAATCACCCGACCAAACCATATAATGAACCGGAAGCCATCATCATATATATAAAGTCCTCTAGAGTCTAAGCTCTCCCCAGTCAAAGGTAACCTCCTTTCAATGCTTTTTAAGTCATCTGCCTGTACAGTCGCCTAGAAAACAAGAGGAAATAATTCAAGCATCTGATAGTTTAACCATTTTATTGGTAATATTTCAAAGACATTAAAGTATACCTTCAAAAGATATTCATCAAGTCGAATCAAGCTAGGATATAGAAGCTTCAACAGTCTTTTTATTGGTACAGTCATTATTATGTGTCCCGCAGCACATCGTTCATCCAGTGGAACATCACCATACCCTCCACGTAGAGCCGTTGATTTACAAAGAGTTAATCCATACAATATTAGGAACTTTAAAGACTCAGGATATATCATTCTGTTGGCCAAGCGATGTTGCACAGCATAAAGATTTCGATATTCCCTGAGGGCTTTCACAATTCGTAGTTGCACAGCGCTCCGTGCGTCTTCCAGTTTTTGGGACAATGTTTTCTCAATTGCTGCAAATATGAAGGAACTGTTTAAGAACATAAAGCAACTATGATCCATCCCATATGATGTAACTAGATCATAAGTCCTGGTCACCATACCTAGCCTACTTAACAGCGATACGATTGCACCAGTATCAGCAAGGCGATAGAGATCTGGCAAGTCTGTCACTACTGGAACTGCCATTGTGTGAACTCTTATACGCCTTTCTCCACAAGATGCAGTATATCTATTTTGTTGTTAGGGCTGCAACTCGCATCAAAACAAGACATTCTAAATATCCTGACTTAAATAAATACTAAGCATAACAGACATCCAGATAAATGTTAAACAGTAGAGGATAAATAGTAAAAACAAAGCATGATAAGATGAACAGAATTCCCTACAAAGAAAGAAAAGGATAAAAATGAGAGTTTTTTGGCACTACCAATGAAAGAAACAAAAATACAAACTCTTGAAAAATATATCTGAATTTCTAAGGATAGCATCTCAAATAGAGATAGTCATTTCTTGGGGGCAAAAATAACAATATTGTAATGCATAAAAAGTGAATGAATAAATGAGTCCAACAATTAACATGAATGACTATATTGCAAGAACAGATAAAAGTTAATAAAAGAGGATTGCATTAGGGAGCAGCTAGCCAATGTAGAACTTTGTTGAATGTCAAATTGTCAATGATATGCTTTATGAAACTACTAATTAGAAAAGAAAATGCAGCATCATTCTCATAATATAGCCATCTAGTATCAAAAGACATACAATTAAAAATTGTAATTATCATAATAAATCTCATGTACAGTACACATTAGAACTTGTCGCAAGATTAGTTGAAGCAAGGATACAGCAATGCAACTTGGAAATACATCGTCTGAGTTGTCAATAATGTCTCTTCAAGAGACAACTGCATGGCAAAGGCTTTATCACAATCTACAGCTGGAAGTGCTAACAAATCAGTGGACCTAAGCATGAAGTTTCCATGATAAGTTGTGAAACGGACACCTGGAAACATAATCAATTATTATCAACAGTGTGTACAACTACAAGTTGCATGAAACAGGATATAAACAAAAGGAGCTAGCATAGGAAAGAATTTTCACGACACAATGAATGCACAGACCTTTCGCACATCTAATACGCATTACAGATTCCCATGCAGTTTCTCTGGTAAGGTCTCTCCTTAACTCATGCCTCAATTTCTCCCCATGAATGGCTGATTGGAAAGCTGGATAGTAATATACTTGACCAGCAGTATACTTTGCCAGAGTTCCTAAACAGACAAAAAATTATAAATACTTAATTCAATTTGCCAAGTATAGAATGGCAATAATATGTGCTTAGAGGACCACATATGCTGAGAGAATTAAATCTAACAGAATATGGGGGGATGCATTGTTTCTAGAAAATAACTACGCATCAACACATGCTTTGCTAATTCCAATTAAGTATTTAAACGCCAGTTTTTTGGCAAAAACATCCATGGGTAACATTATCAGTTGAGATACTCCACACATCTTTAATCACAACATAGTCAAGGAAAAACACAGCAGTCATTCAATTCCACACATCTTTAATTACAACATTGTTAAGCCCTCAAGTGAAAATAAATAAGGCAGCCATTTGAAAAATGAAGATGAGATCAAAACAAACTTTAGCATACTTCGTTAACCTCACAAAATCATGGAACTAAGTCATCATAAAATTTTGTAATGACTAAATATTCATTTAGTCCCTCAAATTGTAAGCATCAATCATTTTATTTTAATCCCTTACTTAACAAAACAACATTCATTTTAATCCTTCTTAATATAAAATGATAATAAATAATGAAATAGAAAGGACTAAAATGAGTAATTTTAAAAAAAATTGGGACTAAAGGGAGATTTTAAAAAAGTTAAGAACATAGTGATCGGCGCTTATAATTTGCAAGATTAAAGTGGGTATTTACTCATTCTATAAAAATAAAGAATCATCCATCAAATATATCAATTAGAAGTCTTCCAATCAAAAGTGACACATTTAGCACTTTTTTAGGGTATGGCATAAGTTAGAACAAACTGAAAAATTACCTAAAGAGGCTACATCGGTGTATTTATCACTGAATGCATACACATTTGCTGAGATTTGGAACTTGGAAAACTCAGCAGCCATTTGCTTGTAGAATGGATCTTCAGGCAGTCTCAGTCCATGCTCTTTGTCTGTCCCATAAACACGAGAATCATCTCCCCGTAACTTCAAGCGGCCAACCCCAAGGGATGGGAGTGTGTTTTGAAAAATTAACAATTTCCCTCCAAGTTGACTCTGGAAAGAGAGATATGAAAGGCCACAACAAAGTAATGCATAAGAGCAACAAAATTGTTAAATGCACAGGAAAAAAGTACAGAAAATTCAATGAATTCCCTTCGAATGATGTTCTCTTAAGTTTAGCTAACCACATGTCCCACCATTCCGTATGGAATGCAACTTGCTGTGTTGTTTCTCTTTGGTTCATCCGGTTTATTAAGTGACCTTCTGATAGTTTAGTGTGCCCAACAATGCCGAGGCCACATTTGGAACTTGGAATTGAGCCAGAATTAAATCTTAAAATATGTAAATTCCATATGGTCTGCAGTTGGTTGTTTCAAGTTAAGTATAATTGTTTATATAGTATATTTTAAAAACAAAAATAAATAAACAATTTAACTTGCATCAAAACAACAGAGGGAGGACTTCCCATAATTGGCACAAAAAAGCCTCACACAAGTATCGTAATTTCATAAGTTGGACCTTACAAATACAAATATTAAGACAATGCTTTCCCCCAAAATTAGATTAACAACTTCCTACTACCAACATCCCAAAGAAATGTGAAACACATAGCACAGGTCTTACCATTCCCTATCACACTTCTTCATAGATTTTAAATCATCTGTGGGACCAACAGATCTGCATTAATATTACTTAAAAAAATGTAAAGCACACACCACTATTTCTTACAGTTGCTGTTGAAACATTTCCTTTCAAGAAAATTACGTTTACATTTGCAAACTTCAATGCCACCATCCTCTCATTATCTAAATTGAAAACTAATCTTCTAAACTATACAGTAACTTTGTGTCAATTGATAGATTGGGGGAGAGGGGGGGCTAGCAAAGGTATTATGACAAAAGAAATTCACCATAAAAGGTAGGAACTAAACATACCATAACCATAAATGCAGCCTTAAGAGCAGGACCAAAAGCTGATTCCAGGTTAACATTATCCTGGAACATGGTTGGCAAACTATCTAGGAAGGTTTCCACCACACTTCTTGATTCAGACAAGTTAACAAGAAGATCATCTGGAAGAGGAACAAATATATCATCTAGATCTGATACCACCAACATCTGTGGTTGAGTCAGGGATGACTGCAAAAACATAACACAGAATAATCACTGCCAGTATATTGAGATGGATGGCAGGGGGAAGCAGAGATATATGAACCATGGTAACACTAACAACACTGCAAACCTTCATATTATAAAAATGTATTGTGCTGTCAAAAGTTGCAAACCCTATTTGTGTACGTGGAAATCCAGGCAGCTCATCTAAGCATGACTTGATTGTTTGAGCCACAACCTGCATTACGGACAGTAACATCAGCAATCAAAATAAAGTTCACTAAACACCTCCAAAATGGTTGCGACTATTTGGTTATTTAGCAACCTCAAATGCAAAATGTATCATATCCAAAGTTGGCCACAAAGATATTTGCAAAGAAGTAAATATTATTATTTCTGGGCAAATTTCATTTTTGAAACTTGCCCTTTAGGTATGAAAGGGCAATTTCAGCGATGCAATGTCAAAACAAAACTCGTTTCTACAAACTTACTTTTGGTAAATATTCCCAAAATAAAAGGCAAAATTTAGTGATTCTTTCAGATTTCATTCTAAACAAGTAACCATGCACAAATTACCCAAACATGCTCATAAAGTATAAAAAGCAAAGGCAAACGTGCAACCCTCAAATAAACATAAGAAATAGCTCCACTGATATGATGTATAAATTTTAGTGAAAATGAAAAACACATAAATAAGACTTTAGACCATTATCAAATCTAAAGAAACCAATCCAAGACAAAATACATTATAGCATAACTCTTTTGTTTATCGTAGATGAAACCAAAATTTATCAAACAAGTCTCTAGTAGTAGTATAATCCTGACTCTTTTAACCCACAAAAATAAGGCCATACATTACTACAGTATGATTTATTATTTTTCCAAAAACAGAACACCAAAAAACACTATTAAATGGATAATACTCAGAATGCAGTACAAGCTACACATTATGCTAGAAGTAAAGTACTTGCCTCAATCATGCCACTTCTAACTGCAGATATGGAAACATCGATGAGGAAGAAATAGACTGGTGGCATAGGAGGCCGCACCATATACTCAGCAGGGGCAACAAATTCTACAGTCCCCTTTGTCAGCTCAGGTCGTTGATTCAGATCAACTCTTTTTCCAGTCGCATCTAATTGTGCATAATATTCACTAGGAACTGTACATAACACTCAACATATTAAACATCATAAGAAAGATACTATTCAACCAATTACAATATTCATGACATGAAATACTTCACACAAATAATTAACATTTTATCACAAATTCTCAATCATGCTAGTCAGTAAACTGTCTGGTTTCATATCATGGCATAGTTATGGTCTATTTATTATGATAGTAATAAACGTACAGCATAACTGACATGAATATATAGAGTCAGAAAAGTCAGAGAACAAGTTTAGCATCCAATAGAATGCAAACGATACAGAAATTAACGAATTTTAAGAGCAACTGAGAAAACTTTTTCTTATGACAAATGTGCTGGCCTAAATTAGTTGAGACAAGGTTCCTACTATTTTCTTATTTTGATGGTTTTATAAGTAAAGCAAAGGACAAGGTTACGAAAGTAAAAAGTACCATCGTTGAGCAAGGTACAGACGTTGCAGCGGAACTTTCTTCCAGCTTCTGTAAATGTCACATAAGGATTCACATATGTGCGACATCTTCTGCAGCGTACAACACTAGCTGGAGCAAAATTAACAATGGGAACCTCTTCCTGAAAACAAAAACAGGTAAATAAAGGAAAATAACATTATCGGTATGTTACTGCCCATCAAACAGGGTAAGGAAGCACTAACCCCATCAGGAGGTTCTGCAAGCGGACATACAACTGCTCCAAGAGGAAGATGCCACCTTGCAGCCAAGGACTGGGAGCTAGGAACTGCACTGGTTGTGAGTCGGAGATATCGGGGATTGCAGTTCATGGGATACATGTCAGCCAAATTGTTTAGCTCAACATCGCCTTCCAATGGCCTTGGAAGTTCTTTAGTGTCAAATAGTGGATCCATTGTTCCAGGACGAGTTTGCATAGTGAGCGCACTGAAGTCTTCTGTCAAGCCCTGAACAACACCCATTGGGGGCACAGATCCTGGCGGGTGCATTGGCTGGATTCCTGGTGGAGTAGCCATTGGGGGTGACGGAACATAGCCTCCTTGATGAGATAAAAAAGGAGAAGGTGCAGCAGACGGGACTGGTCCATAATTTGCTTGATTAGCAGGGAGAGAGGAATGCATAGGTGGAACTTGAGCAGCGGCACCAGGCTGCTTACTGGCATACCCGGGAAAAGACGGCTGAAATGCAGGAGGAGGAACATTTGGACCTAAATGTGCAGGAATGGCACTTTGCGGTGGTGGCGGCGGCGACCCCATTGGAACAATAGGCATCTGTTGCTGAGGAAAAGATGGTGCTTGACTAGCTGGAGATTGAATTGATGGTTGTCCCAAGGGCGGAGCACGTCCAAGGGGTGGTTGAGTTGTTGAGGAAAATGGTGGTGCCGGAAAATGCTGGAAAGGTGTGGCAGCAGGCGGGGCATTGGATGATTGGAGAGGAGGAGGTACTGATGGGTCATTGAACCTGCTAGGTGGAGTAGGTCTAAAATTGGGTGCCCCTGGTCTAACTGGAGGTCCAGACGGCGAAAATGGCATCGAGCTCTGGGGAGGAGCCGGTCGAAAAGAAGGAGGCTCTGATCCGGCCATGGGACCGGTTGATGCAAAAGGTGTCACAGTCTGTGCAGCAGCAAAGGGTGAGGAAGCAGGTCTTGCAGGGAAGGTTGGACGACCGGGATTTTCAGTCCCCATGGATTACAGAACAATCCAAATCACTCGGCTCTTATATTTAATTAAAACCTCTGTTCCATCACCAAGCCAGTCAGAACAAAGCAATTGGATACATGCAATGCTTAATACAGAGAAGTAACCAAACACAACACAGCTCAAATCAACAACAATTATGAGATTAGAGGCGCCTTGGTTCACTTTTCTATGGTCAACTCGTCTCTGACAGCTTACCCTACGTGAATTATCGGAAAACAAAACATTGAAAATAATAGCACAAGTAGGAATATAAACGAGTGCGCAGACAAAACTGTTAGGGTTCTGAGAAGAATAGCACGGAAGCGGAATACGTGATTTTGATTTGAGAGGTAAGGTGGACTTTTCAAAATTGTGACGGATCGAGAAAAAGACGGCACGGTTGCAAGAAGCAGTTGAAAACGAGATCGGGAGAGACTCACCGAGTTGCCGATTCGGATCGGAGACTCAGAGGCTGAATCGCTATGTGTTAGATTGGGTGATTCCAATTCTACTAGGCTCAGGTCACGACCCTCTCTCTTACAACCGGAAGTGGAAGAAGCACCCTGCCAGCAAGGACTAGGATCCTACGAATTTCACTGTTCTTTCCCCTTTTTATTTATTTATTTTGTTCCGTACCCCTCCTCTCGGGACCGAAGTCATTTGGGCTCGTGACCCATCTTTGAACTGGACAGCAATTGTAAGCCCATTTTATTTTTAGACAAAAAAATGCTTATTACAATGCTCTAAATTTGAAAAGGCATATATTTTTTAAATTAAAAAATATTTATATTTTTTCTAAATAAACTATTAAATCTATAATTAATTAATATAAAATTTATTATTATTATTATTATTTCACGTAGAACATAAAAATAATAATTAAAAAAAAGGCTTAGGTGTCTCGATGCAAACATTCTCTCCTGCTGACTATGCAGCCGGACACAACATCTTTTATTTTAAAGAAAAAAAAACAAATTGAATAATTTTCTTCGAATAAAAATTACAATCATAATGACAATAGTAAATTATTTAAATCCTTCATCATTAATTTAATTATAATAATGACTTAAAAGAAAATAATTGATCCACCCACTCACTCACCCACCCAATGAGAATTGATTATGCCTAATAAGCACGATAAGCCATCAAGTTCTGACACTTAAAAACTAACAAACAGGTTCTGATTCTGATTCATTTGTTTCATTGATATCGAAAATGGCGAGGAAGAAGATAAGAGAGTACCAGTCGAAGAGGCTGCTGAAGGAGCACCTTAAACGACTTTGCTCCATTGAACTTGATATTCAATCAGTTCAGGTGACAGAATCAACAGACCTGACTGAGTTGACGAACCAACACCCATGGCTTTCCTCCACCAAATTGGTTGTGAAGCCAGATATGCTGTTTGGGAAGCGTGGAAAGAGTGGCTTAGTGGCTCTCAATTTAGACATAGCTCAAGTATCAGAGTTTGTCAAAGCACGTTTTGGCGTTGAGGTTGAGATGGGTGGTTGCAAGGCACCTATAACTAATTTCATTGTTGAACCGTTTGTTCCTCACGATCAAGAGTATTATCTGTCCGTTGTTTCTGAAAGGCTCGGTTCTACCATCAGTTTTTCAGAGTGCGGGGGCATAGAAATTGAAGAGAATTGGGATAAGGTATTCTTCACGTATTGTGTTTACTGTTTTATTTGCTATGCTCTGTTCTGTTGATCAGTTTACATATTTGATTCATTGCTTTCACGTGTAGGTTAAAACTGTGTTCCTTCCCACCGAGAAACCTATGACTCTGGAGGCTTGTGCGCCGCTGATTGCTACACTTTCTTTGGAGGTCAGTATTTTAGCGCTTCTCTAATGTTTGAAACTCTGTTGGTTTCTCATGTCATTGCAATGAGAACTTATATCGTGTTGACGCGTAGTCTGAATGTGTTCAATGCTTTTCGGTATTCGACATTGAACTTTCTATTGAAGTACTTTTTATTGGCCTTTTAGCAAATCCTTATTGTACCTTAATTCTCAGATTCGAGGGAAAATTGGCGATTTCATAATGGGTGTGTTTGCTGTCTTCCAAGGTATGCAGTCAACGAGCTTGTAAACTAGTGTATCCTGTCATCGTTATGAACCTGAAGGGTAATATAACTCTGGAATTTAGAGTTAGAAAATGCTTTGAAACTTTAATATGTGATTTTAAGTTGTTTATCTAGCCAAATTGTGCAGGGCTAGTTAAAAGAGTTTTGAATATAATTTAACTTTTATTCACTTACAAACTACAGTCCATTTGATGCTAGACAGGGGGGTTCCTTTGTATATTACTTCTCTCATTAGCCAACTGGCTCGGCTATTCTTACGTGCACAGTTTTCTGCTCTAATTTTTTTTTCTCCCATTTTGTCCTTAGATCTGGACTTCAGTTTTCTAGAGATGAATCCATTTACACTGGTGAATGAGAAGCCATATCCATTGGATATGAGAGGGGAATTAGATGACACTGCTGCATTCAAGAATTTCAACAAGTATAAATATAATCATTTCACATATTGTTCTGAATATTCTAATTTTGAAGTCATGGAAACTTAGCAGGTAATGCATGTAACTAGCTGTTATCCTATGTATATATCATTATGCACACAGGTGGGGAAATATAGACTTTCCTTTGCCTTTTGGAAGAGTTCTGAGCCCTACAGAAAGCTTCATTCATTCCTTGGATGATAAGGTATTTTTTATTTTTATCTGTATAATTTCTGTGCAGCTGTTATAAAAATAAGGAAAGCTTTTTTTTGGTAAAAGTTGACTTACGTTTGCTGAAAACAAGCTTTTTTCACTCATCCTTTTGGCAGTTTATTTTACATAGGCTTTATTTCACCTCCAGCACTAATGTAACGATAAAAGGTACTTTTCACAGTGAGAGCTGGAAAATCCTTAAAAGTTTGAAAAACGTAATCAGAATCTAAGTATTTTCCATCATCATACCGATGAAAATTGGGAAAATAGTTCTCCAGATAATTAGTATTAAGCTCTATAAAACTATCTGTCTGCATAACCTTGACATGTCTTTCACCTTATAGCGATCTTCTTGTTGCAATACCATAGTTTTTGCAAAAGTCATACTTCCCTGTTCTAATAACTACAGCTGGAACATTTCTCTGAATAGAGATTCATAAATATATTCTTCTTCACATTGCAGACAAGTGCTTCTTTGAAATTTACTGTATTAAACCCAAAAGGACGCATCTGGACAATGGTAGCTGGAGGTGGTGCAAGCGTTATCTATGCTGATACTGTAAGTTGTTATGTTTTTTTATGAATTCAGTTCAGTAATGACTCAAAATGTGAAAAAAGAATCACCTCAAACAGTGGATTTTAAGAAGTTTTCTATTAGTAGGTCTTTTGGTGAGTTAATCGACTTGTTAGATTTTGTTCACTAGGTTGGAGATTTAGGCTATGCATCAGAGCTTGGCAACTATGCTGAGTATAGTGGAGCTCCAAATGAGGAAGAGGTTTTGCAGTATGCAAGAGTCGTAATTGATGTAAAGATCATAACCAAGTTGGTTATTTTTTTCTTTTCTTGTGGCTTAAATTTGACTAATTTGTCACAGCTAGTGGTTTTATCACTACATCATTGTGAAAATTATGCTCTTGACTGTTGCAGTGTGCTACAGCTGATCCTGATGGCCGTAAGAGAGCCCTTCTTATTGGAGGTGGCATTGCAAACTTCACTGACGTTGCTGCCACATTCAGTGGGATTATTAGAACCCTGAAAGAGAAGGTGGGTTAGTGGAATTTGTATCATTAATCCACTTCAAGTTGTCAATCTGACCGTTATGAGTTAGTTTCCCCATCACTCTGCAGGAATCAAAGCTTAAAGCAGCACGAATGCACATTTACGTCAGAAGAGGCGGTCCAAACTATCAGACTGGTTTGGCAAAGATGCGTGCATTGGGGGAGGAATTGGGAGTACCAATTCAGGTAAGGATGACAATCTTTTTATGGATCTTGCATGTAAATGTGTATGATTATGCTCAGCTGCTTACCACTGACCAGCAACTTTTAGTTATCAGAATCCAGGACCTATGAGTGGTTACTAAATTCTTTTTGCTTGTAGTCAAACTGTACTCATAAATAGTGTAAACTTGAGAAATTTTGTGACTTATAATTCTTCACCTTAAGGTTTGGCAGTAAGCCTGAAGATTTTAAAGCAGAAAAGGTGAACTGTCATTGGAGTCTCGCATATAAGTTTTCTACTATTTTTTTTGTTTAAAAAATTATATAACAGTGTTAGAATTCACAATTCTTTTTGTATTTTGTTTTGTGATTGTGGCAATATTGTGGTTCCAGGTTTATGGACCGGAGGCCACAATGACTGGCATCTGTAAACAGGCTATCGATTGCATCACGTCTGAAACATAAAGCAGAATTCTTTCTCACCTGTGTCATCATGTTTCATTTCTGAAACTAATTTGATGGTGTTTTGATGAATATAAGTCTGTACCAGGCAAGGGGGAATAAGATCGAAGAGAAGTAGATAGACGTCGCGAGCCTGACAGAGTTATTTTCTTCTCTTTTCTTCCCATTGTCATTTTTTGTTTTATTTTGACCGCAATATGGTCATAACATTATAAAAATCTCCAAAAAAATATGTGAAAAATGTAATCTTAGTTGACCGTATTTTCTTTGAAGTGTTAAATGCCATGATTGATTTTCTGTTTATAGATTTTGCGTTGATGTCATGGACACATATATATGTGCAGAGAGAGATGAGCTTTCTTAGGTCATTGTCAAGAACCAACGCTTTCCAAAAGCTTAACTTGTGGAATAGTTAACTAATGACTTAATATTAAAGCTTCTTGATAGATGGTTTGAAGTTTGATCTTTTTTGTCCACATTCTTTAAGATACCGAGTTAAATTTGTCACAGGGTTAGATGGGTATACGAGCTATTGTATGAAGGGGTGTATTAGATATAATGCTCGTTGCAAGTTATAATGCTCCTAGCACAGACCAAATGCAGTCCTTTGTTTAATTGTTTGATATACAGAAATAGGGTATTATGGTATCGTTTGTTTAGCATATCCTTCCTCCCATCGGTTTTAGAAATAATTTGTTAAGAAAACACATTTTATCTTCTTTCTTAGCAAGAATGTTATTCACATAGCAACTTAAATGTACGCCATTTCTGCGTAATTGTAGTCATTTTTGTAACAGACTAGAATAAAAAAAGTAAAGGGTTTGAATGTTGGAATCACTTGTGCATTTAGTGTACTGTAGAATTATTACTGCGGAGTGCTTCTGAAAATAAAATTAAAACATAGATTACTTCCATTACTGTTGAAAAGCATAGCGAGATAGGTTAAATTAATTGTCTTTTATCATAATTTCCAATATATTTTACATTAGTAAAAAAAAGTCATTTGTTAATAATTATAAAATACCCATCCATACAAATGTCTACCCCTGAAACATGGGTTTTGGAATCGACAAAATATGATGTTGGTCAGAAAAAAGGGTGGTCCCGGCGGGGCTCGAACCCGCGACCTTCGGCTCATAAGACCAACGCTCTAACCAACTGAGCTACGGGACCATTACATTATCGTACTCTGTATTAACAGATATAGTCAAACATAACTTTTGTCGTCTTGTGAACAAAGAATAAATTTCTCACCTTGCCATGGTATTACACTTCTAAAAGTTTATGTTCATTTTGTGTGCCTTGTTTTCTAATCCGATCGGCTGAATTTTTATCAAACATGTGAATTGAAAATGAAATTCCATTTGCATTTTAAAACATGAGCTTAGTTTAGACAAGTGCTCCATTAAAGATGCACAAGATCACTCTTCTATTGGTTATGCAAAAAATATATCATACTCAAGCATATGCTAACAATAAAAGAGAGGATTAGATAAGGCTGCATTGTAAACAACCCCCTTAAATAAAAGTTCAAACAAATAAAAGTAAGGGAGGTAGGTAAAATAGTTTCTTCCTAGTCTTGAGTAAGAGACTTAAAATAAGTGTTACAACAAACCAAATTGTGGAGTGGAAGAGGAAAAACTAGGTTATGTGCCTTATATTTGAGCAACGATATATTGTACATGTATAAAAAGTATGTTCAAGGAAAAAATATATTGTTAGTCATTATAAATAGAATTAAATATATTTTAATTTTTTAAAATTATATTTTAAATTTTTATAAAACTTAAAATGATCTTTATCAAACATGTCATATTATATCACTAGCAAATAATAATAATAATAATAATAATAATACTTTTAAAAAATTAAAATTTATGGGGATAAAAAAATAATAATAATAAAATATAATCGTATCATTTTTGTTTTTTATTTTTTCTTAAATATCTAGGTTTCACTTGTGGCCATTGTTCAAACAATGATATAGCATTCTTATCGAATAAATTGTACCTCTAACACTGATATTTTAGCAGTATTTAAAAAATATAACAAAATTTATAATTAACAATGTTAAAATAAATATAGATCTATCTCATGTTATTATTTTGTCAAACTTCTCCTACGAAAGGTATCCAAGTTTTTTTCCCACAAGATGCGGGGATAGCTCAGTTGGGAGAGCGTCAGACTGAAGATCTGAAGGTCGCGTGTTCGATCCACGCTCACCGCATTTTTAAAATATTTGTATCGTTTTAATTTTATTTCATCTTGTGGTACATTTTCAATTTTATTTCATAATTAGTTATTTAGCACAAATAATTTAAACTACATTCAGTAAGTAATTATAATCACTCGTATATTTGAAAATAGTTTTATTTGATTATAAAAATAAATGTTATGGTCGCACTTATTGATAATTTGTTTTTGGTAAGTATCCACTAAATATGATTTTGGTTAAGCATAGAATCCCGTCAAGGTTGGTAAACGCTTGCATTAATATGCCACACGTTAATACGCTACGTCACTCTCACTCACCCACTCCAATCAATACCAACCGTTCGATATATTTGATCCAACGCTCCAAAGCACGCACGTCACAAATCACAACCCACTCCCACCAGTGTCATTCTTTCTTTCTTTCTTTCTTCTAATTTTGTTTATACAACAAGAAGAAAACAACACTACCATAAATATATTTTAAAATAATAAAAAATGTTTTCACTTGTGTTAATTTTTATTTTAAAAATTAAAATATTATTCTTACTTTTTTAGATTTTGAAAAAATGATATTACTAAAAAACAATACAATCATTTAAAGTTATATTTTAAGATAAAAAACTTCAGCTTTATAATTATCATGTAAAAAAGTTTATTATTTAAAATAAAGAGAATGAAATATTTAAAAAAACACAGTTCTAATGTAATACAATACACGGTTGATATTATTCTCGAATTAAATTAGAATTTCAACAATTTGTATAATAAAAATCGACAATAAGAATAGCGCTAATATTTAAATTAGATACACATTATTTAGATAAAAAATTTAATTCATATGATACTTCCCTTTATTCGAATTAAAAAAATATTTTAGGACACGTGTCAATGCATTTTTGTTGTAGGATAATGGAAGCGTTACAACGTTACAGCGTTACAACAATTATAAGGTGTGGCAGGGGAATTTGGATCCACTGTCTATAAATACCAACCTGAATCCTCGGCGTGGAAGTGGCAAAGACCCTCTTCACTCTATCAGATAAAAAGGTTCTTATCAAGGTTTGCATTGTGTTTTTCTTTGGGTCTGTTCCTGCTTCATACTCATCTTGTCATCTCATTCTGAGTCAGTGTAGTTGTTTGCATGATTGCTTAATCTAAATCACACGTTTTTTCATTCTTGAATTATTGGTAATGAAACAGGGAGGAATTAAAAAAAAATTATCAAATTGATTAAATGTTCTGGTCAAAATGAAACGTTCTCTTGTCTGAATTGACAATTTTTACAACAAGAAATCCTGATCGCGGCCTAATTTTGTTAGATTTTTTATTCTGTTTTTCTTTTACGTGGAAGAAACTGGACAAAAGTCGCAAATTTTTCAGAGGTTTCGCTTTGATTTCGCTTTTTTTGGTTGGTTGTGTGCATATGTTGAAGTATTGTTGATTTTACTGATCATATGCATAATTGGGCATGTTTGTGAAGTTGAAAAAACTTGAATTTTAGTAAATTGAACCACCTTCAAGAGTTTGTGCACCACCATTTTTGGCTGCTTCATACAGATCTAGAGAATGTTTTGTTAGAGTTTTTATTATTTTCTTTTACATGATGGAATACATCTTTATGCTTTGAGATATAGGAGACGGTTCCTTTACACTTCTTCGAATCAACGCTTCTCAATGTTCTTCTACGGCTGGAACTTTAATTTATTTATATGTTTATTCCGCTTGTACCATAGTCTGTTGGGTTCATTGCCCTTTATTCAGAGTTTGAACATGACACTTCTGCTTTATGTTTTGTGACTCAACTAGACACATTTTATCATGAAGCATCTATTATAATTTTTAATCCTTTCATTTGTGTCCTGAAGGTAAGTGTTGTTAGTTTTGATTTGATTAATCTTTTGGCTCTTGTAGCTTCGGAGAATGGATACCTTTCTATTCACTTCTGAGTCAGTGAATGAGGGTCATCCTGACAAGCTTTGTGACCAGATTTCTGATGCAGTGCTTGATGCCTGCTTGGAGCAAGATCCAGAAAGCAAGGTTGCATGTGAGACCTGCACAAAAACCAACTTGGTCATGGTGTTTGGAGAGATCACAACAAAGGCTAATGTAGACTATGAAAAGATTGTACGTGACACGTGCCGTTCTATAGGATTTGTGTCCAATGATGTTGGCCTTGATGCTGATAATTGCAAGGTGTTGGTGTACTTGGAGCAACAAAGTCCTGATATTGCACAAGGAGTCCATGGCCATCTCACCAAGCAACCTGAGGAGATAGGTGCTGGTGACCAAGGCCACATGTTTGGCTATGCCACGGATGAAACACCTGAGTTCATGCCTCTTAGCCATGTCCTCGCAACCAAGCTCGGTGCTCGTCTCACCGAAGTGCGCAAGAATGGGACTTGCACTTGGTTGAGACCTGATGGTAAAACCCAAGTCACAGTGGAGTATTACAATGACAATGGGGCTATGGTCCCTGTGCGTGTGCACACTGTTCTAATTTCAACTCAGCATGATGAAACTGTTACTAATGATGAGATTGCTGCTGATCTCAAAGAGCATGTTATTAAGCCTGTTATACCTGAGAAATACTTGGATGAGAAGACCATTTTCCATCTCAATCCATCAGGCCGTTTTGTCATCGGTGGTCCTCACGGCGATGCCGGTCTCACCGGGCGCAAAATCATCATTGACACCTATGGTGGTTGGGGAGCTCATGGTGGTGGTGCCTTCTCTGGGAAGGACCCTACCAAGGTGGACAGGAGTGGAGCCTATATTGCTAGACAGGCTGCAAAGAGTGTTGTGGCTAGTGGACTTGCTAGAAGGTGCCTTGTGCAAATTTCATATGCAATTGGTGTTCCTGATCCATTGTCGGTGTTTGTTGACACTTACGGAACAGGAAAGATTCCAGACAAGGAGATTCTGAAGATTGTGAAGGAAAATTTTGATTTCAGGCCTGGAATGATTTCCATTCATTTGGACCTTAAGAGGGGTGGAAATGGAAGGTTCTTGAAGACTGCTGCTTATGGTCACTTTGGAAGAGATGATCCTGACTTCACCTGGGAGGTGGTGAAGCCTCTTAAGTGGGAGAAGCCACAAGAGTAAGGTTGTTTGCCAAGAAAGTTATGATATGTTGGTTCTTTAGCTGCTTTCATGCCAGGGTTCTGTGGTTTGTTTTTGCCTTCTCTTTTGGGTCTTTTTTTTTTTACTGTTTTTCTCCACCTCCGCTTTGTTACTTCTTTCCCACATTCAAAGTCATGTGTACTGAGCAGAGTATTTAGAAAATATTAGGGACTGTGAAATATCATGTTTGAAAATCAATTGCCATTATGATCAATTTTTATTCTTCACGAGTCTTCTCTGTTGTTCATAGACCCTAATATCGGTTACCCGACACAATATAGGGAGGTGGCAAGCCCTAAAATAAGTTCTCCCCCTCCCTATAGATTCCTTAAGAATGGTATCTGTAAACGTTGTCTGCAACTTTGTACTTGCAAAAGAGAATCAAGTAATCCTCAAGTTGAAGAGACATGAAGAACGCATGCATATTGTTATTAAAAGGGGTAAGACAGAATGTACATATCAGTATTCGACAATATGTTTACACATCATGGCAGATTAATTCAGTTAATGCAAATAGGAACCATCTTAGAGAATTGAGAAGGAATTGCTATGACATCAAGTAGGTAGGTTGTGCCCCTTAATGCTTCTCCAGCATTTTTATTTTTGAATGGGTTGATGCATTTAGAATTAGAACACACAGACATATTTTGTATTTTTAAGCACAGCCACTGCTTAGGTCCAACATATATAATTTTCTTCGTCATATTTTGGTGGTCTGACACCAGTTCAAAAACTAAGTTAGCAAAAGACTTGACACTGTTGAAAAAAATTATATGTTCCATCCGCTCTATATTATGTCTTTTTTTTAACTATTTTAATTTATCTTAATATATTATTATTTTAAATTTAAATATTATTTAATTTTAAATAATGCCTTTATTTAATAATATTTCACTTAAATATTTAAATTGATTTGGAACTGCATTTTAACCTTTTTAATTAATGTTTTTGTTAAAAAATATCATTTTAACATATTAACTTATATAAGTAATTTTTTTTAAAAGCTACATTATCTTAAATTAATATAAGATGGAGAGAGAATCATTTAAGTTATGATGCTGAGGCTTAATTTTCTTTTTAGACAAAATTTCAGTATAATAATACATGTACTTCAAGTGTTGTTTTTTAGTAGGAAGAGTTTCGTCTTGATAACAATTGTCAACCTTTTTTACACGAATTGCCAAAATAAAACTGTACTTTTTATCAAAGAACATTACTAAAAATATCTATAATACTACGCAAAAATTATGTTCTTAATTCTAGGTTGAACTATCAGATTCGTGCAATTTTAGTAACTAGCCTACCAAAGGATTTCTTCGACGAAATGGGTCTACGGACCACGGAATAATTTAAACTGAAATGTTACATATCCTTTTTATTTTCCCCAATAACAAGAAAAGATTCATCTAACAAATGTTGGAATTTGGAAAGAGATCAAATTCTGTACACACCCCAATATTATGGGTTCTTTTATCTTAAAATACCATCCATCCCCATACACAAACAACATCTATCCTATAAACAAAAGGACACCAAAACCAATGCATGAAAATAAAAATAAAAAATGAAAATATCTCCAGCTGAGCCACCCCTTTGCAATGCCCATCTTAGGCAGGCAAATCCAAGAATCTAAAAAGCTATGGAGGGTAAAAAAATAATACAAAAACTACCACTTTATACATCCCAGTAACATCTTAGGGTCATCTGTGTTGTTACCCTCTTCTCTCTGCTCTAGAATCCTGAATCTCACTCCTGTCTGTATCAGAATATTCCCTCTGGGATTCGATTTCTGCACTGCCCCCTCGATTTCTTCGATCGTATCTTCGGTCCTGAACATCCAAAGAACCAGTGAAGTCAATGTAGGCCTTAAAAAATTTGATGAAATCACTTATCCCTAACTAAGATGAAATAGCAAAGACCAAAAGATTTATTTTGATAAAAGATGCACTGAAAAGGAGTTGTGAGATCAACTTCCTGAATGGTAATATGACTATTTTATTGTTCTAACATAATTTTCACAACTAAAAATTATTATGAATAAAACTATTGGATCTTCTAACTAGTCTGGTTCAATGTTTTGTTTTATACACTTCCATCAATTTCATGCTTCCAGTGGCACTCCAAGCCAAAGTGTTTGGTTCCATCTATTTTATACTACCCAAGATAGGAAGGGAAAAAGAAAATAAAACAAGATTGAGTGTATTCATGAAAGTAGAGTGAAGTAGAAACAACTAAAAAGAGAACAACAAAAATTGAGGAATTAAATCATGACAGTGGGAAAAACAAACCTCTCTTGGTAAAGGGTATTCCTCTGACTCCAGCATACGTACAACTTGGCCCATCTTGGGCCTTTTCTCTGCGTCTGGATCCACACATCTTAAAGCAGTTAAGAGGGCCCGTTTTAAAGCTCTGGTGGATGGCTTCATCTCAATGTTGGGGTCCACCACTTCTTCTGATCTCCTGTTTCCAACCATCATCTTCAACCAATCAACCAGATTCACCTGAAAGCATTACAGTTTCATGGTATAAGATAGTTAGAACACTTGATCAAAAGTTGTCTTGTAGAAATAATAATCAAATAAGTAATTCAGAGCACACAAATTCTAGTTAATAATCGAACAAAAGGTGCTGGAGAGAAATATTTATAACCCTTGAGACAAACTAATCCTATTATAATTATTGCAGGTGCCGGACCAATCTTCATCACTGTACAGTTAAATTCGTGGTGATCATGAACTCTTCAAATTACATCCCAAATTTTTAGGAGGTCAACTGTTTATGGTGTTATTGCAAGCTTTGGATAAGCTTCAAAAGGGAAGGGTAAAGAATTTTGCTTTGTGGGAGGGTGGGTACCTCATTAGAACAATAACTTCAGCAGCAACAACAATAATGATAATAATAATAAAAAAAGAAGAACAACAGTGAGAAATTTTTAGGTACTCCGAAAAGACAAAAGAAAAAATTGTGGTGTACTGTTCAATGTATGCCCCCTCATACGTAACATTCAAAATGTTGTTAAAGTGGAAGGCAGAGATGACCCACAAAGCTGAGACGGTACACAAGGAATGATGTAGAGCAAGAAGTTTTTTCTCTAGGAAAAACTAAGAATTAGTCGTAAAATAATAATGACAAAAATAAACATGCAAAAAAACATAGTTACTAACATTGTTTAGAATGTTGGTGCTAGTTGTGTTCCCTGTTTTTAAAGAGTTGCTTCAGAAATGAAGAATAACTTCAACTCCTATAATTCCTACTGCTGTCTAACAAGAAGTCGATTAATTTTTAACCATAATGTCCCAACAAAAATCCTGGACCTAGAGGTCACCTATTCAAATCATGAAAACAACATCTCTCCTTTAGAGAATAAGGCGCATACATTTACGCTCCTCAAACTACACCAGATTGAAGCCTCATGCATTGAGTCTCCCTTTAATGTCCCAGTTATTTGCTTGTCTTTAGAGTTGGAGAAAATGATTAGAGATCATAGAACAGTCATGGAGCAGACAATTGAAAACAGAATGGTACAGGCTAGATTTTTTATTTTTCATATGAATAGATCAGCTGTTATTTGTTAATAGCACCTAGCTAGAAAATACAGGCAATTTTCATCCTCAAGCTGAATGGAAAAAGTTACAAGGGTTGTGTCTCTGTTACATATGTTAAGATTAGCCCAAGATACACAAAAACACAATTTGACTGAATGAACCAAACTTACAGCCAAAGCTTCAGGATTATTTGGTGAATTGGTTAAAAATACACACATACTGAAATCTGGATTTGGTGGCCAAGAATAAATAAGTTTACTCACTTCATTTGGTTGGCGACCATAGTCAACAGGATCTCTTCCAGTAATTCCTTCCAACAGCAAAACACCAAAGCTATAAACATCACTCTTCTCATTTAGAAGGCCAGTGTTTGCATATTCAGGAGCCACGTATCTGTGAAATATTTAGAATAGACAAGAAAATAAGGATAATTTTTTCATACAAAGTTCAACAATACAAAGCATGGGAAATGTTCATCGCTGCACGAAAATACTCACCCAAAAGTTCCCATGACTCGCGTTGTGACATGACTCTTCCCGGAACCCAATAACTTGGCCAGGCCAAAATCAGAAACCTTAGCATTGAAGTCATTGTCAATTAATATGTTGCTTGACTTGATATCTCGGTGTACCACCTTTGGCTCAATTGCTTCATGCAAATATGCAAGCCTGAAACAAGTATTGCCACTTAATCTAAGAACTACGAAAAATAGAAGCAACATAGATGCAGAGACTTACGCTTTGGCTGTGCCAAGGAGAATCTTGATACGCGCTTCCCAGGTAAGGTATCCATGGTGACGCATGGCTCCATGAAGCCATTGTTCTAAGTTTCCATTATTGACATATTCATAAACCAACATCCTGAAAATATACCACAACAGGAGAAACGAGTTTCTGTAAGCGTGAGATTGACCTCACCACCACAAGGTAGCAGATTAATGAACATGCAATTCACACCATGACTCCCATTAATTCTGGCAACAATTATTCAATTAGCTAAGCATGCTATTTGAAACCATATAACTTGAGATGAGACTGCTGTAATTGAGAATTGGGATACCTGTGAGTTCCCTCAATGCAATACCCCAAAAGGCGAACCAAGTTTTTGTGTCGAACATGGCCAATAGCTTCAACTTCCACTCTAAATTCTTTCTCCGCTTGACCACTGCTAAACCAAACAAAAACTTTAAGAAGTTGAATTTCGGCAGAATAGATACTAATAAAAACAAAAAAACTAAGGTAACTAGCCTGGACATGGTACTGGAACTCACATGTTGTTGAGTATCTTTTTAACTGCCACTGGAGTCCCATTGATCAACTGTCCCCTATAAACAATTCCATATCCACCTTCACCGAGAACATTTTCTTTGGAAAAACGGTTTGTAGCAAGTTCAAGATCCCTCAAGGTAAACCAATGACCCCAACCCAAGTGAGAGAATTCTGGAAGGCCAGAGAGAGGTGAAGGTGCTGTTATAGGGTATGAAGAAGATTGCTTGAACACTGTAACCGTGCCAGAGCTACCTTCTTCTCCTGACTGTGAGTGTGAACCGCCTCCATCTTTCTCTATATGCTGAAATGAATCTGAGTTATTGCTGCTAATATCCTCATTCTTCATCTTCCCCACACCTAAATGAACCATCACTTTGTCTGATTCCTTGTCACTGGACTTATCATGAATAGTAAGAAGTATTCCATCCCGAGGAGCAAATCCATTTGTTGACACTTGCTCAACTCTCACTTCCTTAATTTCCTTTGAGACAATTGGTATTTGACTAAGAGGAATCTTGTCCTTTGCTTTTCTAGATTTCTTCCTTGAAGTAAGGCAAAGTGAGAGCCCACAAAGAATGACTATTATAGACAACCCAACTGAAATTCCAATTATTTCCCAAACCTTGAGACCAAAAATAGGAGTTTTCTTGGATAATTCAGCATTAAGATCAGCCCCCATTTCTCACAAAGCCTTGATAACCTGCAACATGCAGCACAAAGAGATAAGCAATGAATTCATAAAGCAGCACACATTCATCAAACACTTGGAATGATACCGAAATTAACTGAAACAAACAAGCTAAAATAAACCATGAAGCTAGATGAAAACACAACACCCTACAAGCTATAAACCATTCATAACCTCACTTTTCACAAGGACAATTGAGAAAGCTCAAATCCCAGATCTCTGAAACCGCCCCATGATAAGTAAGTAAGCTTAAACAAAGGAACAAACACAAAAGGCCAGATCTTTGAGACCAAGAATCTTGGGAATTGTCAGCAAAAGCAACTGTGTCTATATAGGTGAATATTGTATAGCTATGTGAGTGTAAATCTAAGATGGGGTGGAGCTATCTAAAGAACAAAAACATGGACAAAGGTGGTCGGGGAAGAGAGACATGAATGGAAATGTGTGTGACGATAAAGAGGAAGGGGTGGAGTTATCAGTGGTAGGTGATGAGTTTGGGAATAGATGCCTTCCAACGCATGCATATGCTTATAAACATCCATTTCCAACAATGTGTAAGGTAAGGTCATCTTCCTCTTGGGATTTTCTTCCTCATCTCTCATCAACGCTAATTCATTTTATTTTTTTTTGTTCATTTTCATTTTTATTCTGACTATTTTTTTGTTTCCTTTCCTTTTCTTGATTTGATTTGATGGATGGTGAGCTGAGCTGTAAATTTACTATCCATCTACTGTACTGCAAAACCACTCTCAACTGTTCCACTTTTACACTCATTGACATTGCGTTTAGATAGCATGTGTATATTGTACTTTTCTGTGATTATAATTTCACATATACTGGTCTAATCACCCTTTATTGTCATAACAATTATAGTAATAATCATCGTCATATCATTAACTTTTTACACCAAAATTTGTAAAAAGTTAATATTTTGTTAATGATATATAGCGATTTTTTTGCACAAATATTTAAGCAAGTTAAAGGAAGGAAGAATTTATCTTGTTTTCTGGAAAAGATATGTTATACAATTTGTAGGCTTATAAAGGATCCACGTGTTAATTCTTATTTTGATAAGCAATGATGTGGTTTTCTTTTTTAAGGGTGAGAGAAAGAGAGGTAAGAGTTGTCATGTAAGAAAAGTTTTGTTAACAATGTTTGAAAAAGCACAATTAATAGTGTTAGTTTTTAAGGATTAAGTTTTAAAATTATACGGACTTATTTGAATGAAAATTAAATTATTGGGATCTAATTAAAAGAATAGTAAAATTACAAAGATCTGTGAGTTAATTTAACATACAAATGTATAAATAGTATTATTGAATAAGATATAACAAAATTTCAGGTAAAAGCAAGCATGCACTTAGCTGAAATGCACAATAATTATCAAGGATTCAGGATGCTTTTAACCCACAGAATTTATTTATTAAGAAAGAGATAGAAATTGGGGACCATGCCTTGTGTATTTTAATATTATTCTTTAATTAAAATTAAGGTGTCATTTCAATCACTTATGTTAAACTTTAGTGTTAACCTTCATTATATAGATTATCAAGTTAGAACTTCAAATTTAATTAAAAAAAATAACCTTAAGAATATTTAATACACTTAAAGTTTTACTAAAGAAAATAATCGAACCCATATGTTTAGAAGCAAAAAATTTATAATTAAATTAATCAATAAATAATTTTGTTCAAGCTCATCCAAGTATCCAAACCCAACACAGTTTGCGCTAAGTTGCTCGATTTTACTTTAATCCAAATCTCTGTCCAGAGAACTGTAAAAGTGTTGCAAAATATCATCAATTGCCAAAATGCCTTCATGTCAAAACTTTCCACATTTAGATTTGAGTGCGCGTCATCAAATAGCAATTGGCTTACACACCCACACTATTATTAACTAAGGGATCACCCTCACTGGGTATAAACCATTTTATGTTACTATTACTTTGCCATAATAGTTCACTAAAATCGTTATGTGTCTTTGCATGTACCTATTCACGTGTATCTTGCTCACAATCATAAGAGAAGAGGTCCAATCAGTAACTTACATTATTTTATGTTAAAAAACACACAATACGAATGGGTTCGATACAAGTCATCCAATTAGAATAATTTTTAAAAAATGATTATTCTAGAGCTAGGAGGAGGACATTCTTGTGTTCCTTGTTACAGTGCAGTGTATTTTTCTACTTTTAGGTGACACATGAATGTAATATTTTGATTATTGCTGCAAGTTGGGTAAGGTATACTTTTATGTTGAATAGTGCGTGTAAAAATAGTTATAGCAAATGACATTCCCTAACAGGGGCCATGTATGATATATATCTGACAAATCATTGCTGGCAGTTTGGTATTATTGGTCTATTTCATTTCTAGCACCTGATCCCAGTTCTATACATAATATATGTTTGTGGGACCGTCATTTTATTAGACCAATGAATTTTCTTCAAATAATTTCCATTATTTTAGAAGGGTTGTTCAATTAAAATCTCGTGGAACCTGGCGATTAGATGTTATATTAGGCTCACAAACTCTAATAAACCCAACGGATTATAATAACAATGACTTGCATTAGAATACAAAGTGTTGTAGAGATTATAATGTTATCCACTGTGTATAATGAAAAAATGAGTCAATTATTTATAATGGCGGTGAGGGTCTACATGCCTTCTCTTTTCAGGGCAGATACATTGACGGATGCCCAAAGTTCAATTTAATAATGATATGCATATAAACTTATATTGTCCCAAGTTAGGCTAGAGTATACCCTTGACCCAAGAATTCGTTCCACTACATGAAAGATAACAGACATTATTATTAATTTTGTGCATAACCACCAATGAATATACACTTTTGTTACAGTACTCCTCCAATTACATCTCGAAATTACAAGATTCCTGTAATTTTTATATTCAGATGAAATGTTCAATATAGCTGTATTTATTAAAATTTATATTTGAGATTACAGTTTAAGTTGAAACAGCTTCTAATCAGTGCATCACAGTCATATTTTCATATTTTTACATGCAAAGAAAACAAGACATATTCTTAATATGTGACTTAGTCATCTTACTTTCTTTAGCATAGTTGGATAGATCAATTATGAATGTTATTTCAGGTGTAGAATAATTTGCATTGCATAACATGCCGTGTGTGTATTAAAAATACAGGTGTTAATATTTTAGGGTTTAGGGTATTTATATTATTATCATATTTGATTATTAAATAAGTGTTTTTATTTTTAAAATAATGCTAACAAATAAAAAACACTTTTTAATAATTAAATGTGATAATATAAAAAATTCAAATTTTAAAAATTGACATTTTTATTTGATATATGCACTCCATGTTATCCAATATATAAATTATTCTACACCAAAAATAATTTATTTGTAGTTAATCTATCAAATTATTTTATTTTACAAAACATTAAAAATAAAAGTTAAATAAAACCATATTACTCTTGTACGACTATCTATTTTATTAAAAAAAAGTCAGATATAAAAGTATTATATTTTTAACTTTTTATTGTTAAAATATAATTGTATATCACAAATATAAATTTTATCTTTTAATTAAAAGATAAATTATATATATAATACAACTTATTCTATTAACATGAAAATTTTAAAAATTACAGTAAATTATAACTGTGAAATAAAATTACACCAACAGAGAAAAAAAAAGAACACAAAATACCCACTGTATATACACTCTTTATAATTCAATAGTGCACCTAATCCAACATGCATAAAGTGGTTATTGTAGGGTAAACATGGTAGGTGGAAATGTATAAAAGGATGCTACAAATTAAAAGATGACACCGAAATGGATCAATTGTTTTTTCTGATCTTGTGAACTAATTCTTGTAATGTAGATCCATATGTTTGGTTGAACAGTTCAGGAAGGTCTTAAATTCTTTCACGCGTAGGATCTGTGTCTGTGGTCCATCTCATCATCATCATTTTGTGGTCAAAGGAAGATAATCGCCGACCTAAACATCTTAGTCACAAGGCAAACTGAGCTTTACAAGCTATGGCGATCGAAAACACCTGCATGTGAAAAACTAGTTTTTTATTTAAGAGAAAAACTTGTTTTATTTGTATATATAAATTAAGAATATTAGTCTCAATGTGGTGTATAAACCAATATGGTAAGTGTATGGGCGAAAAGCTTAAACCTATTACGTACACGCCAACCACCATAACCATAGAAAGAAATGGATCGGGTCCTATGAACTATAAAGTATGGATAAACTAGCTATTTCATCACTACAGTGGGACACCTTTTAGGTGTCACCATAATTGTAAATCTACAATCTTCCCCTTCCTCACCTTCATGCAAATGCTAAAACAACTAGTTCATCTTAAATAATAAAATTTAATTTTGAAGGATGGAACTTAGTTAAAATGTTAATGTATATATCTAAATTGGTTCTTAATATGAATTTTATATTAAAACATGTAATATAGCATAGAATTTGATTTGGAGTAATAGTCGCAAGACAGGTATGTCATTTTCCGTTCAAAAAAAAACTCAAGTAGCATGCAATATTTCAATTCATTATATGAATACGCTATAAGTGTTTGTGATAAATCTATTTCTTCGTTCATTATTTAGCCCATAACAGGTGCTTTACGTAAAAATATTTCGTATTTGAATGTATACCACTGAAATCTAGTTAAGTGAGATCGATGTAATTGGAATTTCCTTAAGCAAGTGTACAGTGTACAAAAATCTAAGACTATAATTGATATAAGTAATTAATTTGAAAGAATTTTAATTAAAAATCTGAATGAAGAAAAAGTTACCAATGATATGCGTCATTAATAAACTGAAAAATAGGTCATTCTTCATATAATATACTTTTTGATCTTGTGATGATAATATACTTTATACAATTCAATAGTAAAAAGTAAAGTGTAGTTGAAATTTAAAAAGAAAAAAAGAGTATAAAAAGATGAGCTTATTGAAGAAAAAAAATTCATAAAAGATTTAAAAATATATATGTTTAAAATATCAGTGATTAAAACATGTCCAAAATAAGGAATTTTATAATTTAAAAAAAAATAAACAATGATGAGAAAAATATGGTAAAGTGAAAAGGGTTTCACTTTTTTATGTTTTCGGATTAAAAACCAAAAACAAAAACAAAATGTTTCAAAGTTCAAAAGGTTAAAAAATGATTCTTGCTTGTAGATTTATTTATTATAAAAAATCATTGCACCACACAGTAAATCATGCCTAAAAAATTTCATGAAATAACCGTGCATTTTTAAACAATATTAATTGAATCAGTGATTCAAATAAAATTTCAAACATAATACTAAATTAATTTTTATAATATAAAATTGAAACCTCATAATTGAATATTTTAATTTTGAACAAAAATATATTTATAAATATTATTTTTAATTATATAATACTTACTACTTATTTTTTAAAAAATGAAATTAATATTTATGAGATATTTATTAGATAAAGTATATATGAGATATATATTAGATAAAGTACTAGATTTATTTTATTTTATTTTATTTTGCAAATCTATGACAACATGGTTAACTAATATGAAATTATTGTAATTTAATTAATAATGTTGATTTTGAGTATATACTTTTTTAAAAAATAATTTTTTGTCTTTTATAACAATATTACTTGACTTAATAAATTTATTTTTAATAAAAATATTCAATGTATGACAAAGGCACATGAAATGATGAAATCAGTGTTTTTGTTCTTTTCAGGAAAATTAGGAATAAATAATTTAATGACCCCGTGAATGAGACGTTAAAAAAATGAAGAACAAATATTCCTTGAATCCCGGCATCAAAATAGCATGCCAAATTGAGAAATTATCATTGTTATTATTCTTTACACCATCTACCCATTTTAATTTATATGGTTAATTGAGAACTTAATAGCCTTAATCTTGTATTTCACTTAAATTCGCCCACGTGGACCCAACGACGACTATGCAGGATCATTTATTAGATTAATTATTGGATTATTTGGATTTATTACGTGCAGTCATGTTTCTGGCATTTATCCAATGGCTCTTTTTTTATATTTAATTATTTTTGTTAAATCTTAAAAATAAAATAAAGGGTAAAAATGTATATCTATATGAAAATTTAACTGCAAGAGATCCATCTACGAAAGTGGAACAGAATTTTACCATTTTTTAAGTTAAACAAAAGTTTATTTGTTGTTTTTTTCACTTAGTCTTTACATAAAAAATTATCCAGTGAACAAAATTACAAATTGGTTTCTTTCGTTGTTATCATTACTGTATTATTAAAACGTTATTTAAATTAGTTGTTCAACATTGCAAAATAATAATATGTTTAAATCGGTAATTTCTAGTTGAAATACGCATATAATTTGAAATGAACTTTGATACATAAGTCTTGGAAACTATCATTAATTTTTTACGTTATCATGATTAATTATCCACGTACAAGCTGAAATTTCTGGGAAATGAACACAACTCGCTGTACAATAATGGAGAACGTCGAGGGGCAAAGCTTGAAACCGTCAAAACCTTTTAGAAGCATCAATGGGGGCAAGAAAGTTACAGTTTACAAAACATGTAATCATGATTACAAAACTACATGATCAACTAAGGAAAGAAAAGTAGGTTGGCTGGTATAGATAGTGCTTCGCGTTGAAAAAGATACCCTAACAAAATTGATTTGAAATATATCAATACTCGGTCTGGAGCAGATTTATGAGTTGAATTAGTCATCAGCCAAAATCATGTAGTGTGGCAATACTGGGTACTTATTTTTGATTGGAGAGCACGATCTCTGATATATCTCAAAGTGCATAATTGTTGTGTACTTTATGGCGTCAGTGATCAAATCACATGAATCATCTACGCCAAAAATAAATAAATAAAAGGGTCTTGAATGGCCTCAATTGCTCCACTTAGGAAGCTTCATGGTTCGGATTGATGTGATTTATTGGCCATTTAATTTGGCATATGTGTATTGGCAAATTATTCCACTAGCAACCAAACCAAGCATGTCAATATCCACACGGATATGCTTATGGGTCTTTCTAGTGAAGCACATCAGGAGGTTAATACGACTTTATCTAAAGTACCTGCTATATATATGGTTGGTGATTCAATCTAATTATTTGTCCCAATCAAAATTTGCATATTTGTTGTGATTCATGATACTACCTTCAATTCTGATTTTAGACCACAAATTAGTGAAATGCAATTCATTCACCCTGACGGTGGTGTGAGAGGGACAGAATTATTATTATTATTTTTTGGCTTTCTTCACCTTCTAAACTAATGAGAATCAAGACAGGGTGACATCGCTTTGCCCTCAAACCTTTCCCATAGAAGCATAGGAGGTGAACTCATGCCATATTTTGACTCTTAAACAATTCATTTGTTTCGTATGAAATATGGCATATATATTTTTTTATTTTTGAATTTTAGTATGAAACTTTAGATATTTAAATATGTAAGTTGCTACAGCTAACAATGTTATATAAAACTTCTAATTCTTTTATTTTACAATTATATATAACTAATAAAAAATATACTTGGTGATTATAATAAGAATTTGCTTAATTGTTTCATTTAGGAAAGGGACTTCTTTCGTTCAATTAATTTTGTGTAACGATGGATAACCACTATTAACTATCGACATTAAGGAAGGATTATCACTTGGATGTAAAGCGTTTCCAATGGGCTGGATCCCCCAATACTTGAGCTCAGTGGGAAATTGTTGGGTGCGAGTGCGACCATCCAGTGTGACTGTGTAAGCGTGCGATTTTTATTTTTTAATTTTTTTTTTCACGTTAAGTGTGTTATTTTGAATTTTTCTATTTTTATATTATATTTAAAAAATGTATTGATAAAAATATTGTGCTCACCATTGTGCAAGGAAGAAATGGTCGAGATTTGGCCCGTCTATCCAAAGAGTTAAAATATCATTTCATTATTTAAACATATAGAAAATGTATACGGTCAGATCATATTATATATATATATATATATATATATATATATATATATATATAGGAGTGAAAAACGTAAATTTATATTTAATATATATAAATATTACATTTATAAGATTTAGAAATTATATAATTACTTAAAAATTTCGGCAACTTTTTAAAGATTAATATAATTTATATATTCTAATTTAACAATTTATAAACTTCATATTCTTATGTAAGTTTCCTTTATGCTCAATATATATATATATATATATATATATATATATAGAGAGAGAGAGAGAGAGAGCTCTAATATAATATTTTTAAATCCGACTAGTTATTAAATCAGCGAAGGTATTTATGTATCGTTTATTGATTTGACCGTAGTTGAATATATAATAATTAAATTTATATGTTTTTATATAATATGTTTAATTAAAATTTATATAATAAAATAGTATTTTTAACTAAAAATATTTAATTTTATTATATATTACTAATAAAAATTATATTTTATCTCCAAAAATATTTTTATTATATAGAGTTATTTTGATATATTTTCTTATATTTTAAATATTTTATTATATTAATATAATTTTATTATATTTTTAAAATATAATATAATATATATTAAAATATTTTTGTTTATATAATTAATGGTTAAAAGCTTTATTTGTAAGTTAGAGTCATACTAATTTATACAAAATTATATAAAATAAAAAATTTTAATATATATTTCTAATTAATAAAATAAATAATGACAATTTTTATTTTTTATATTAATTATAAATATTCTTAACAATTTCTTTAAATTAAAATAAGAAAAAGGAAGATGTCGTGAAAATTATTTATTTTGCTTACTATGTTTAAAACAAATGAAAAATATTATTTACTTGCATTTTTTTCCTCATTGAAATAATATATATGTTTATTATTATTTCTTCTTATTTTATTTCTGACCCAATAAAAGTATTAAGAACTAATATCCATTTTCTTAAAAAGTGAAAACAAATTGAGCTTCTAAAATTTTGTACTTGCTATGCCATGAATAGTCTCTCTTTAGGATCATTTTAATTGTATGGATATCGATTATCTTATGCTCTGTTATTTATTGAATGATTAAAGTATTGTTTGATGAAGCTGAAATAAAGCGAATTAAAATGTCAAGGGAGTGAACAAATAGATTTTAGAGTACTTTATTTATTTGTTTTGGCCGTATATGATATATGAAATATAAAATTTTGTGTGGAATCCACCATATTACATATCTGTTCTTTCATGTCATGAAATAGAGTCACGAGGACGGGAGGATGAGATTTTTTAAACTTTTATTTTATTTTTGGTATTTTCAATTATTTTTATATAATATAAAATTGTTAAAATTAAAATTTTAATATAATATAATTATTTTTTTATTTTATTCTTACTTATTTTAATTTCTCCAAATAACATATATTTTTTACTCTATTTCTTATTTTTTATATATATTTTATTTTATCTCTCGTTCAAATATACTATTAGTCTTTCCATACATGTAATTTATATATTATTTTATAAGTTACATATTTATTCAAATTATGTATAATTTTGTATTTAGATTAAATTTTATAGTGGGTATCTCATTTCTTACCATAATAACTCATAAAAAATAGTGATATTTTTAAAAATAGAAATATTTATTTATAAAATAGTTAATAAGTTTATTGTAGCCCTATTGGGGTTTGGCGGGTTCCCGCCCGGCAGCGTTTTTAAAATGGGAACGTAGGAATGAACGATGCAGAAGCAGAAGCAGAAGCAGAAACATGAATCCGAGCGCAGGTTCAAATTCCAAAGCACTTAAGGCCACAGAAATCACTCTTCCTCACTGTTCCTCTTCAAATTCAAATGCACCGCCACCAACTACTTCTGGTGATCTTTGGTCTGAACTCTTTGCCGCTGAAACGCACCACCATCAACAAATCCAGGTCGTTTACCACCGAAGAAACCTTCGCAATAACCACAATGATTCCAACTCGTAACTCCTTCTCCGTACCCTTTTACCATTTTATTTTCTTTTTATTTTTAGGAACTTGCTTTTAATTTCGATCGATTTTTCTAGAACGGCTTCCGATTCTAGTCGACCGCGTCTGTGTCGGGTGAGTTTGGCCGATCCAAACAAGCGAGTCAGTTGGAATCGTTCTCTTTCCACCAGGTTTGCTTGAAACTACTCTTCCTTCTGAGTTTAAGTTTGTTCCTCATTCCAATGCACATTAGCTAGAAGATATACTTCAACATGCTTTCGTCATTTTATGGAAGGAGTAGATTTTGGAATATGCAGATAGAAATCTTAATCGTAGTTTATTTTACTAGAATCTAAAAACGTTGTTGAGTTTTATCAAGAATGTAAGGTGTTGAGTTTTGTGCTCTGTTTGGTACTATCAAATCATGAATTGTGGTTTCATCTAATTTTCAATTAATCATTTTTGACAGAGGAAGGACAAGTATAGCGGTGGGTGCTTGTCTGGTTTACCAGCCTCAGTTGAAGCAGGACAAAAGAAAAGGGAAACCTGCTCTTCCCAAAGTATGTCTGTTAAATCATGTCTTATTTTTTGCTTGGCAATCTTAGTAAAATAGATTTGTATTCTGCATCTGCTTGTACCTTTTTTATACCTTAAATTTTGGGGATTGCAATTTTCTTTTAATTTTGAACAATGAAATAACGTCAGATGATATCTTAATCAATGCTATTCTAGCAGACTTAAACTGTTTGGTTATCATCTGTCTGTTTCATATGTATAGGGTAAGTTTGTTCAGCCGCCAAACTTTGAAAAGGAGAGGCTATACTTTCAAGAGGTTGATGCTTTTGAGTTGTTGGAGGAGAGCCCCTCACCCAAGAAAGTTGGCACATGGAACTCAGGCAATATGGCAGAAGAGGGCCCAATACCAGCTCCATGCTCCAGATTAGAAAAATGGTTACACTCCAGAACATTAAACCCCATCTCTGGTCCCTCGAGCACACTGTCCAAGATATTAGATACTCCAGCCACGACTTTGGGAACTATTCATGATATTGATTTGAATTCTTTAGACTTGAGAACATTGGAGCGAACTGAGCTTAAATCACTTCTGCATACTGTCAAAACTGGAGACAAGAAAAGTTTAATAAATGACAGTCTTATTAAGAATGAAATTAATTTGCATACAAATGATAAGAAGCTGTTTGCTCACAATGAAGGATACGAAGAGATTGAAGATGCTGTTAGGAAACTTTCTCTGGCATCGACATCATCTTTGGTAGACGGTGACCATATTAATCCATTTTCTGCTTTATTAGAAATTTGTGGACAGTCTGTACCTTCAACATTACGAGATATGTTCTCTAGGTATTGGGTCACTCCTTATTTTTTAGTATCATGCTATCTTGGTTTATTGGCGACAAAGGTTAGGATAAGTGTGTACTTGTGGATTTTGAAATAAATTTAATTTGTCACTGCATCCATATATATAATAATTTGTTTTTTGAGAGGCACTATTTCTACTTTCTATGCCACTCACTTCTATAGTTGAGCATCACAGTAAAGGCCCTTTGGTTGCTCGGTATTGTTATTGTTACTTTGCATTCCAACTTTGTTTGCAATAAATATCAGAATGTGGCATTAAGCAGTCAATTTGATGTTAACTACTGAGTTGAAGGTTTTTCTTTCCTTGAATGCATTAGAGTTTTCTAATCTCCCCTGAGCTGTTAAACTGGAAAAAGATTATGCTTTTTCCTCAGAATCACAATATACTTCTGTTATAAATCTGAAAATTCAAGCTCATAGAAATCAATTAATTGAACCTCACATCTAGTATATGAAGAAACTCCTTTAGTCATTTTCAATTCAGAGGTTCCTTTACTGCGAATAATAAAGTAATGACTTTTCGACTTTCAGTCCAATTTTGGAATTATGATTCAGCATCCTCATATTCATAGGAAGGCATTTTTTCTTTTTACAGTGGTTCAGAAACTATTGTGAAAGTTGGTGAAGGAACATTTGGAGAAGCATTCAAGGTTAACAATTACGTCTGCAAAATTGTTCCTTTTGATGGGGACTTCAGAGTGAATGGGGAAATTCAAAAGGTAACCATAGCATTTATATTAGATTATACTATTATTTTGTTCCTTCGATTTATTTTTTCAAATGTAGTTATGTTTGCCCTGCTACGATAAAATATATGATGGACATCTTGATGATTACCTTCTTAATTGAACTGATTGGATGCCGTGTTCCCTGACAGAAGTATTGTTATGCTAATGAATTATTTGGGTTTATGTACTACAGAGATCAGAAGAATTACTGGAGGAAGTGCTTCTTTGCAAAATTCTCAATCAATTGAGAGGAAAAGATGGAGATTCGGATAATTTATGCAGAGCATTCATAGATTGCATAGAGTAAGTATCCGACATTAATAATTTAAGTTTCTGTTCAATAACATTTTCCTGGAGAAGGGTCGGTGCTGTCTGGCCAAGATTAAAATCACTATTACCGAGTCAAATTTTTCACTCATTTTGTGGCTAAGTACCGCTAGTGTCTCATTTATCTATGGTTCTGTCTTCTGTGATAGATTTAGAGTATGTCAGGGTCCTTATGATGCAACACTGATTCGAGCTTGGGAAGATTGGGATCTTAAACATGGTTCAGAGAATGATCACCCAAGGGAGTTCCCAGACAAACAGGTTTCCCGTTTTAACCTTTTTATGATCATACGTTTATTTCTAATTTCTAATTTGAATATGTTGTAGTAAACATAAAATGGTGGGCGTGGGTTTTTTAGCTACTAGCCTCTTCGTATGCTAGCTGTGTTTCGCTTTCACAAACTAAGGCGTTATGTAAAAGAATGGATTGTTGGGAATAGATATGTGAAGAACGAGGATATACTCTTTTGTTACTAATTTTCTGTATCTGTTAGTACTTTTACATCAAATGGGCAATCCATTCTTTCATAGATCGGGTGTGGCTACATATCCCAAACAAGAATCTACGCATTGAACGGTTGAATGTGTATATGTTCAATATACTAACATAAATTTACATCTAGTGTTACATGGTATTCGTACAAGAACATGGTGGCAAGGATCTTGAAAGTTTTGCGCTCCTGAATTTTGACGAGGCGAGGACTTTGCTGGTTCAGGTATCTTATATTTGTTATGATTGCACCTTCTGAGTGATTAGCAGCTTGATTAGGGATTAATATTTAGGTTAAATGACCATCATAAAATACAGGTTACAGCTGGGCTTGCTGTGGCTGAGTCTGCGTATGAATTTGAACATCGTGATCTTCACTGGTGGGTCATCTTGCAGCGACATTATATATGCAATCATTGCATCGGCATTATTACTAATTTATGAAAATCTCATCGCTCAGGGGAAATATACTTATCAGCCGAAGTGATTCTATAACGTTGCAGTTCACTCTTGATGGCAGGACAATGTTGGTCAAAACGTATGGATTGATAATATCTATTATCGACTTTACTTTATCAAGAATAAACACAGGTGGCGCTAAAGTTTTGCCTCTCATGTCATATGTTTATGGATTTTAAATTTAAATCTGTCACTTGTATGATTAACTGTCTTATTCACACAGGTAATAGAATACTGTATTTAGATCTTTCTTCTGATCCTGAACTTTTTAAAGGACCAAAAGGGGACAAACAGGTGAGGAGTGTTTTTTTAGAGTTCTAAGTTCCGTCAGTGCCATCCGATTGCACTAATGATTCTAAGTAACACATGCAGTCAGAAACATATCGGAGGATGAAGGATGTGACTGAAGATTGGTGGGAAGGACGGTAAGATTCTCATATTTATTTTTTATTATTAAAATATAATTTCACTCAACTTGGAAAATGAGAATTTGAATGCTTGATTACAAGTGTCATATGGTGTTCAACTATGAAGCCTCGATGGTCAGTACGACACGGATAATTTGAAATTCAAGATATGATATTGCTTAGATATGTTAATATAAATTTTAAAAAAATAACCTACTTTATATATATACAAAATATTTATAAAAAAATATTAATAATTTATTTATATTAATGTGTTATATTTATATATCGATAATTATATTTTAAAAAAAAAATATGAAATTATTTATATTTTTTATTTAAGTAACTAAATTAAAATATTTTTTATTATAAATACATACAAAAATTACATACTTTATTCTCTATTTAAATTAGAGTTTTATAAAAGAATTAATATTTTTATTTAAAAAAAGTCCTGTCTTTATATTATTTAATTCTATTTAAATTGTATCAAATGATTAAAAATTATATTTTAATCGTATTTAAGCCGTATTAAGCTAGAAATTAATTTTTAAAAATAAATTAAACTATAAATATTTTTAAAATAAATATTTAGATGTATCCAACACGTATCGGTATCAGATATACGTGTCCGACATGGATACGTATGCTGTTTTAAAGTAGTGTTCAATATTTATAGTGAAGTATGTGACTGGTCAATGATTCAAATCACTTGTTCCGCCAGTCTCCTTTTTAATCTCTCTAATTAAAAAATGACACCCCATTAAAAAACTTTTTTTTATAAAAAAATTGCTACATTCTGTCTTTACTCTTCAGTTTGCTTTATGGTGCCACAACTTTAATTAAAGAAACAGGAGAAAAAGGATTGGCAAATTGACATCTTTTAATTCCTTGGCAAACGGAACTAAGGAGAAAAGAGAGGGAATATGTACTTCACATGTCATAATTACTGATGGATGAGTTAAAGCTGGTTTTGGATTCTTACTTATGTGGGTCTTGGAGTGATTATGTGTAAAATTCCTGTCATACTTTGCATTTTTAAACTATACAAATACAAATGTGACATATCCCTCTTAAATCTTCCTTGTAGCCTTTGCTTATATGGATATTTGTTTGTGTCAACAATTTCCATGACATTCGATTGATTCAAGTATAATTCCACGCCAAGATAATAATTTGATTTGGTATCATAAGATTTAGCACAGTTCCCTATGTCTTGACATTAGTCTTGGTGTATAAGTTCCAATATTTGTTGTTTTGTAGTTTCCAGACACTGAATCCTTGTTTTGTTCCTTTTCAAATTTACAGTTATCCTAAAACCAACGTGTTATGGTTGATCTACTTGGTAGACATACTCCTCACGAAGAAATCATTTGTAAGTCTTCTCTCTACTTTTAGAGCCACGTACCAGTTTTGCTTGTATTCGTATATGAATAAGCATTCTTTTAGAATTTCAATTTTTTGTTTTAGATATGACTCTGCAAGTCTTGTTTTGTATGCTTCGATGCCATGCCACTGTGCATTACTCGACAAGATTTCAGGATAGTTTCATTGTTAAGAGTCAGTCTTTTTTTATTTCATTTCCGTTCTGAATATATACTATTCCCTTTCATTTTGGTGTGCTACTTTGGGAAATACTCAAGTTGAGCAACATCTATTTTGAACGGTCACAAACTCTAGTCTTAAATGCATTGAACTATTGTTATTGCAGGAACGTAGTACAAAGAACGAGAGAGATCTACGCTCCTTGAAGAAACGTCTTGACAAGTATAATTCGGCCAAGGAAGCACTTCTTGACCCCTTCTTCACTGACTTGTTCGTTGAATCTGAACCAAAAGCTTAAGAAGCTAAAAGCTCTGGTAAATACCTTCAAATTATAAATAGGATTTGTTGGGCTGTTGCTTTTCTATTTCCTAACCTTCCCATTTTCTCAAAACTTACTCTACTTTCTTGCATCCATGGAGGGTGTTTACTCCGGTTCATCGTGATCCATACAAGGCGAATTTTGTTTTTTCTAAGTGAAAACGTTGTGTATAGATCGAAATGTGATAAGAGTGAATATATGACCTCAAAACAGCTACTGTAACTTATTCAGCAATGCAATTATGCAGGTAAAAGGGCAAGAATTGTTTTCTTCTGTAAATGTTACAGCATATGATGGTCGCTTATTTTTCTGAGGGAATGTTATCACATTGCGATGTTTTCACTTTACAAAACTTTTTTAAGTCCTGCAAAATGTATAATTCTGAGGGAGGTTTAATCTTGTGTGGCAAATATTAAGATGGGCATAGCAAAATTGAGACGACCGAAAGAAAAGAGATGGCAAAACATTCAATTCTTTTATTTAAAATTAATATCATCACTAGAAAAAATGATTAGGAAAATTTTGAATTAATCGACTATATTTTGCTTACATTCATGAGCTATATAAGAATCCAAATGACCAGTGAGGTACGGACATGCCGTAAGCTTTCTATGCCGAATTTCTTCGCATGGTATATGCATGTTCGCACTATCGTGTTAGAACATGTTGCTATCCCGCAAAATCCGCAATCGCTTAATATCGGACAATACTTTTTAAATGCAACATCACCGAACCACCGATTTGTTTCTTGGTGGGGGAGGGAGCTACCTAGCCCTCGAATATCTATTATAGAATGAATACATGGATTAGATTTATATAAATTTAATTTAAATTTCTTTTAAATTTAATTATGTAGATTAGATTTTAAACTTTTAAACTAATTTATATAATTTTTTCAAAATTTAGATTAAAATTGATTTTAAAATTTAAATTTAGTTTAAAATTGATTTTTATAATATATTTTTTTAGTATAGCAAAATTTATAAATAAATATATATACACATAATATTTATACTTTTTATTTAATATAACATGTAATATTATTTTAAATTAATATATTAAAAATATTATTATAAGATATAAAATTTACTTATCTTAAAATAACTAAAAATATAATTTTTCAAATATATTTAATAAAAAATATTATATATATATATATATATAATACTGACCATAAGTAAAAAAATTTAACAAAATAAAAAACATATGTTTGAACGCAATAAGGCTTGTATCTTGCACTAGAGCGAACTGTTAAATATATTTGGGCAGGCTTGTGTAAGGGCATTGGAGTATTTGGGCGCTGTAAAGCTTGTGCTTGTAGGAATTAATTGCTTAGCATGAAAATTAATTTTATTATATGAAATCTAAAATTTATCTTAATCTGAAAAAAAATGGATTGGATGTCTTATTTTAAAAAAAATCAGATTTTTAAATCCAATTTATTTTAGTTATGAATTGAATTATTTTTACCCATTTTTTTTTCTTTTTTGGAAGGCACAACAAACTTTATTAACAGTATTGTCTTCTTGATTATCCTATTAGACGAATTGTCTTCTTGCCCTTCAATTTCTTTGGTCTTAGAGTTCAGAATGGACTCTTTTAGCTTACTACATCAACCCCAACCTTCTCCTTCTTCCTTTGCTTTCGGCTAGAGACCTAGTCAGCACTAGTCCTTTTAAAACGAGAGCAAGCAGAATGGATTATTCCACATGGGTTGTCCCCAACCATACATAGGGCATTGCCATTTCTGAATCTGTTTGCACTAGACTGCATACGACGAACAAACTGACTTAAATAGAAATTTTTGGGCCTACTACGCCGAATAACTCTTCTAATTTCATCCAACACTTTGGATCCCACAAAAACAAGGACAAATAAATTCAAGACTCTCTTTTGCTTTAATGAAGCGTCAATCTATTACTCCTAGTAGTGGTTTCTGCTGAGCGAATACGACTCTTTTTTCATGCAAATCTTTAACACCACCCACTCAACTTTAGATCCTTAGTAGATATTCCAAACTGACGCCAAGGCACATGGTCTGATTTCTGATGTCAGAGCCATTTTTTTTTTAGTCTTGTAATATTTGTTCCATAACAGTTAATTTTTTCAATTTAAAAAGCTTTTCTTGTTTTTGTTTTAAAATATATTAAAAATCATATTTTATTATTCTAGCCAGAAAATGCGTACTCTTTTTTTGTTGCCACAATTTGAGATTACTGGTTAAAATAATTTTGTGCTATTTGATTCACACAGAGAATAGCATATACACTACCCAAAAAGTATAAACACTTGATCTCATCTTCCAATTAAAGTAATTTTTCCTTCCCAGTCCCCCCTTCCACCCTTGTACAGTTAAAAATGTACATTTTTCGTTGTCATAATATATTGGTAGCAAAACTAGTTTCATATTTATAATAATAATAATAATAATTTAAAATTTGCTTAATTAGTTATATTACGATACAGGAATTCTATACGGTTTTGGTTCTCCATGATACATTCTGCCACTTTTTTATTTCCTTATCTCCTTCCCTTCGTCTTTATGGAGCAGAGCTTATGCCTTGTTGTGAGTCTTCTCCCAGAAAAAGACATAATTTTTTTTGTTGATTGCAAGTGTTACTCTTTCAAGTTATATATTGCTTGACCTAATTGTTCAAATCTAAATTTCTGGAAGCAAGTATTATTAAAGAATTTAAAAAATAATAGAAATTCTAGCATTTATTTAATAAAAACTCGAGATAAACATTTGTTTTCACAAGATTATTCTATAACAAATAAGTATAGTAAAATACAAAATATTTCCTAACATTATCCTAAAAATATTTATCTTAGAATTTGAAATCTTCTTTTTTAAATAGTAATAATATTTTTTTAATTAAAAATGTATTAAGAGCACCTAAAACAGTGTACCTTAGTTTAAAAAGCTACTCGTTCTTTTAACAACTGCTGCGTTGAAATTGCGGTTGGTACATTAGTCAGCCATCATTCATGACTCAGTCAGGAATCCAACGGTTCACCATAGTTATTCGTGCATAATATAAAAATTAAATTAAATTAATATTTCTAGCAAAAGACACTGTGTTATGTCTGTGCATAACACAGGAACAGGACATAGTGTCTCCACACTTGAAAATTGCCCATGATAAAAATTTGAGTAACCTTAGTTTTACAGGTGTTTTTTTCTTCATAATGATACTTACATTTCGGAGAAAAATAAGGAGAGAAGAAAGAAGTGTTATAATATGTGAAATAGCAAGAAACAAAGAGATAAAAAAAAAATATAAAAATAATATTATTGTGTAAATTTTATCACTTGGGAAGAGAGGCAGCTAGATATTGCACTTGAGGGCTTTGAGAAAGATAAAGAATAAAAGCATGTTGTTGTTTCAGACCAAAACATTTCCACTTTGTAAACACATTCTTCGTGACAAAGTAACATATTTTAGTTTTCTTTATGATTACAGCTTGGTCGTTTTCTTTTGTTGAAACTTTTCCCATCTTTTCACTCATCTTTCAGTTCACCTTTATGCCTTTTATCTTCAACACCTTCCATGGTCCGGGCCTTTACTCCCATGTTTCATTGTTTTTAAAAGCAATGCCTTTGCATGAATCACACCAATATTCCAACACCCTCATTCTCTACATTGCATAATGGCCAAGGAAGCTTCTCTATGCCTCTTCTTCCTCTCTTTTCTCTTTATCTGCTGTTCAGGTAAGTTACTAATGCTAGTATCACTTAGTAACCTTTTTTCTTCAGATGAATATTCTATGTAAAAGAATTAACAGTTTCTTGCTTGTTTCTGAATCTGCACCACTTACTGGGGTGGATCCTTTTCATCCCATAACTTGTGTTAATTTATTGTCTTTAGTTTTTAGGATTACCCCACTTTGTGTTTGTAGTGAGATCAGTTCAAAATCAAGAGGTAAAGACACTGGAGATTGGTTTAGTAGGACTTTTAATCCTATTTTTCCACTGTTTGCAGGTATTTTGGTGGGTTTTTCCTATCGTGAGAGAGGAGACACCGCATCTTCAACAGCTGATGGAACCACATTCCTTCAGAAAAACAAGATCTCCCAATCTCAGATTCCATTTTCTGTATTGACTAACGCCAACATGTCAGTTGATTTCTTCTTGAATAGAAGCTTCGTTGAAATTTTTTTTTCTTCAAAACCATCTGTAGTTTCGTGGCTAAAAGCTCATCTTGTAAACATTCTTCCACAAGCTGACATTAGAAGCATCATTATTAGTTGTGGCAGTGAGTGCTTAGGCCAAAATGAGATGCCTTTACTTGTTTCTACTCTGAAATCAATCCATTTATTTCTCAGCAACCTTCACACAAGCAGAGAAGTAAAAGTCTCAGTAGCATTTCCAGTATCAATCATAGAGAATTTGAATGCATCATATGAAAATGATCTCCTTAGGACTGTTCAGTTTATAAAGAAAATAAAATCATTTATCATAATAGAAGACAGCACTAATTGGGAATTAAGCATGGAGAATCACTTTGTTCAATCTATTATTAGAAGGGCCACTCTTGCTGCTTCTATTCTTCCATGCAAAGATGTTCCTGTGGTTCTGACAATCAAGAGCCAAGTTATTCACAGTTCAATGGAATTAACTCAATTTAGTAAGGCAGTATCCAAATATCTTGAATCAAGATCTCATGTTACAAAAAGAATAGTTGCATTATATGCTGATGTACACACAACCAAAAATTTGGCAAAGAAAAAGCTCAAAGAAAAAGAGGAAGAAGAGATATTTCCTTTGTCCCTTGGAGAAAAGCTAAGCAAAGTCCATATCAGAAGAATTCTACAAGATACAAACAACTCACCTACCGCAGTTTTCCCCACAAATCCAACCCCACCTACACCAGTCATCACACCTCCTGATACCCCAACCATCATCACAGTTCCTTCAACCAATCCTGTCACAGTTTCCCCCACCAATCCAGCTGCAACCCCAGTGACAGTTCCTTCTACCACACCAGTTCCCTTACCACCTACAAATCCAGCCAATCCAGTTACAGTTCCAGGATCACCACCAGTTACTACCAACCCTATGACTCCTTATCCACCCCCTTCAGGTAGTGTTCTTCAGCCTCCTCCTCCAAACACAAATGCTCAAGCCATGCCGGGTCAGAGTTGGTGTGTTGCAAAGTCTGGAGTTCCAGAAACTACTCTTCAATCAGCATTGGACTATGCTTGTGGAATGGGAAGTGTGGATTGTTCACAAATACAGCAAGGTGGGAGCTGTTACAATCCAAATTCAATGCAAAATCATGCTTCTTTTGCCTTTAACAGCTACTACCAAAAGAATCCAGCTCCAACAAGTTGTGACTTTGGAGGCGCTGCCACCATAGTTAGCACCAATCCGAGTAAGATATCAATAGTTTAATTTCCCATGTTTTTCTATTATGCTTAACAAAATTGAAGACCATTTCTAAAATCTGAAGTACTCTTTTGAACTGTGACTAGGCTCGGGTTCTTGCATTTACCCATCATCTTCTGGAGCAGGCACATCCGGGTAAGTGAAATGACATGGTTTTCATTGCTGCAAGAAATCCTTGGTACCTCTTAAGGGTTGTGTTTGATTAAGTAACTTAATTAAATACTTTTAGCTTATTCAATAAATATCTCAAAATAGATTATCAGAATAAACTCTTCTCAACTTATTATAAGAAGTTGTATGATCAAATTTATAAGATAAACTTTCATATAAAAAGAGTGTATCGAATAAACACTTAAACAGTGTATTTACATGCACTTAAAGTTTAAAAAATCATTGGAATTATAAGTTATTTCTATTAGTTGTTCCAGACGTTTCCTAAATTTTGAAGATACTAATCGTGGTCCTGTTTGATTCCATCTTTTACAGCTCTGGTATATCACCTTCAGTTTTAGGGGCCCCAAGCCCTCCAGATTTAGGGGCCTCACATTCAGCTGGTTTGAGACCTTTTCTTGGCTGCATGGTTCTGGTGATATCGTTAGTAACTAGAAGACTCACTGTATAAGTTTTCCACAAGAATCAACGAGGAAGTTCGTCACTCTTAACTCCATGTTGAAGTTGTATTGTTGTATTACAAGGCAGTGTAAAGGTGTACAAGTGTAGAATGAATAGAAGTGAAATAGAGAAGATTACATGATGATGACAGGTTATGTTTAGGTTCAGGTAATAAAAGAGTAGTTGTTCAGTGTGCATTGGTCAGTTTGTGTTGGAAATTCATTTGCATATAAATGGGGGTTTGTTATTCCGCAAAATAATTCACTTGGATAGGATTTAAATTAATATCTTAATTAATCGTAGATGGTGTCACGTTTCATAACAGCATAAGCAAAAATTATGTTATTGGTAAATTGTGAAAGTTTATGAGCAACCACTCCAAAGGGCAATCAAGAAAATCATCATACTCACAAACATTCTTTTTATTGTCCATGTTCAAGATCAGTATTTTTCCTTTCTTTTCTTTCCTAATTGAGTTACTATTTGTTAGATAATGTTGCTCGTGCATTATCATGACAAAAATTAGTCCTTTATGGCCGAGTTCGCTTTCCTCTATTTATATACAAAGAAAATTCTTCTCTTAAACAAGCAACTTAAACAAGAGCACTCGAAGTTTATAGAGTATTACTTTACCGAAGTGATTACTCTTGGCTTATTTAGTGTTAGGTGTCTTTATTGTGTTTATTATTCAACTTCTTTATCATATATTTTAGTTTAATAAGCTGATCTGAACTAAATTCAATTGTCATTGGATTGATTTAATTCATAATAATTATTTTTAAAAAGAAATTGAACTAAATTAATTCAATGAAATATAAGCAATTATATTTAATTTCACCATAAATTTACACTCCTGAAATTCACTCAATTTCTCGAACAAAACAGAGACATCAGCCAACTATACCTAACACCTTTACTTTTTAGTCTCTACGCATGTTATCAAATTTTCTAAAATCTTATAGGGCTGAGAGATGCCAGCGCAACGATGATATTACATTCATTGTACATATCTGACATTATTAAGTGGATGGCATTTCATTCCAATTTTTTGGGTCTACGTGTATGACACTTCGTCACTGTGCGCGCGTGCGCACAAAAAAAATAAAAATTAGTGTGTGTGCAATTAAGGATGGAAATAGGTCAGGCCGCCTGATAGGGTCTGTGGCCTGACCTAGTTTTGGTCTGACTTTTTTAATAAATAAATCAGACTCAGACCTTTTTTAAAGCCTGTTTAAGTAAACAAGTCAGACTTGAGCTGTTTATAAAGCTTGACATGCCGGCCTGTATAAATATATATATATATATATATATATATATATAATATATATATATATATATATATATATATATAATTTAAAAATAGAACTATTAAAATATATTTAAATAATAAAGTTATTTCATAATATATTTTTATATTCTTAATTCTGTTATTATTAAATTAATATATTATGTTATAATTTTATTTATTTATAATTATAATAAACAAAAATTATATTATATTAAAAATTAAAAATATTTATACATGATTACACTTTTTAAATAATAAATTTATTTAATAATAAATTATTATATTTAAACAATTTAAAAAATAGTTAAGTCTTTGAACAGGAATAAGACGAAATTAAAATTAAACGAAATAAAATTTAAAAATAAAATAATAAAATTATATTAATATATTTTTTATACTTTTAATTTTATTATTATTAATTTAATTATTATATTAATATATTATGTTATAATTTTTTTTATTTATAATAAATAGAGATTGCTTAAATCTGAATTATATTTTATTTGAAAGTAAAAATTAATAAAAAAAATAATAACAAAATAAAATAAAAAACTTATTATAATATATATATATATAAATTATATAATAATATATATTTTTATAACTTGCACATGTTTTAATTAAATTATTAGTCAATTTATCAATTTATATGTAATTTATAAGTATGTGTTTTAATTTATTGTATCAGTAATATTTTTTATATTACATTAATATTATAGTGTAGTTAATTTTACATTTATTTGTTAATTTAAAATAACAAATTAATGAGACAAATAAAATTAAATATTTTGTAATTATTTTTTTAATTTAATAGTTATTATTGTTTTCATTTTATATATATAGTACATTAAGTTTAAATTTTTATATTAAGTTTTATCACATATTTTTTAATTAAGATAAAAATTTAGAAATATAAGTTATTTTAATTTAAATATAAATTTTAATAATTCTTCTTATGCTCATATGTTATTTTTCTTCATCTATGAATTTTATAATATAAGTATTTATCATCTACAATTTTTATAATGACAATATTTATTTACTTTTTAAAATATAATAATTTTTTTAGCTGATTCAATAAATTTTATAAGTGTTATTTTTTGTAATTATTTTTTTAATTTAATAGTTATTATTATTGTCATTATATATATATATATATATATATATATATATATATATTGCAGTAAGTTTAAATTTATTTATTTAAAATATATAATTTTTTTTAATTAATTTAACAAACTGTGTGAATGTTATTTTTTTTTTATCAATTTTATGTATTTACTATAACTTTATTTGTTGAATATAAGATGTTTTTAAATAAACAAAATATGTTTCTAAAATAAAACTAAAATATTTACTATTTATATAATTTAAAAAATAAATAAAAAATATAAATATAAATTTTATTAATATAAAATATTTATAATTAATACTTAAATAATATTTTAAAAATTATTTATAAAATTATATAAATATTATTATAATTATTTAATAATTATTAAGAACATAGATAGAAATTAAAAAAATGTATAAACTAATTTAATAATAAAATATTTATATTTTTATTAATATTAATTTTTTTTTAACAGGCTTCAGGCCACTTAAACAGGCCAGACCAGGCCTAAAATAAAGCCTTTAATAGGTAACAGGCCAGGCTTGGGCCTAATAATTATGTTACAAGGCAGACCTGTTTAGAGTAAAGCTTGTCTTGACCTGGCCTGTTTCCATCCCTATGTGCAATGAGTCCACCAAAGATTCTAGCATATGGAGAATTAAAAAAGTTGTAAAAAAATACATTTTTTCCACTTTCTTTACTCTTTCCTCCATCTTAAAAGCCATAAATCATCCTTCGTGGGCAAATTTACAAATTAGCCTCAGCTAACATTCAGGTTCTTTCACTAGTAACAATGCAATGATGTGTCTTTTTTTAATGGTAACTATATGTGACCTGATATTGCAACGTAAGCTTCAGACAACACGGCAAAAATGCGTTTGTGATCTCATAAAGTTATATTCTCTCTAAAGGTGCATTTATACAAAGCAAAAATGACTTGTGCCACTTCTCTAGAATCCTTGAAAAAACTCCTAGGTTAAGGTTAGGTTTCATCGTTTTGAAAATATCATCAGGATCAGCATGGACATAGAGATCACAATTTTGAATCCAGAGGTTCCCCAAAAGTTATTTTGTTTTTCTGCACGCTCAACCCTGCTTTGCTGCTTTGTTGCTAATTGATCTCTCAGTTCTTTAATAGCTTTATCCTTTCGATCTCCCATCTGCATGCGGTTCACAAACCCATATAATTAAAGAGACGTGTGATTTATAACTAGTAAATTGCCTATGCAAGCAGTGTTACATTATAGAAGTAAATGGTTGCATTATTGGCAATAGGACAATAAACCAATCTTGAGAACTCATAAATAAGGGCCAAGTAGTAGATGAAAAACCAAACCACGTTTGTAATCATGTTTCACAATTCAATGCAAATTCTGATTCAAAAACAACCAAAGCAATTGATTTTTTTTTAAAAGGCAACACTAGTGGAATATATTCTTATATATGATTAGTATATATAAATTGAGTACACCAAACCAATAAATAAAACCGATACATCATTATTGTTCATTAAATAAATAATAAGCAGTTCATATGAACTAATTTGTTATGTATTTCATTAATGAACAATAACTGTGTATCAACTTTTTATTAGATTAGTATACACAAATTGTCTCAATAGAAAAATTTCCCAACCAATATAGCCCGTAAACAACAATGGCAATATGAGTATTGTAAATGACAAAATGCTAAAAAAGATGGATTTGTTTAACTCTTTGGAGCTTCCGCGTCTGAGAACGAGCTTCCTGAAGACAAAATTCCAACTTCAACACCCTCTTTTTGAGCTCTTGGTCCTTATGCCGCTGTTTCTCCAACTGTTTTAAAAGCCATATTATTAATGCCCTTAAATACATAAGTGATAAGCCACAAACCTCGAAAAGAAAAGAAAGCACTAAATAACTGAATGACTAATTACACAGGCAAATAAGGCTTTACTTGTGACTCTAATTCCTTTGTCTTGAGCTCCCAATGGGAAGACGTAACCACAATATCATCATTCAGTTTTGATATTTCTTCATCCTTAACAACCAGAATCTTCTTCATCTTCTCAAAATTCTTTGGAGAAATCTCATCTAATATTGTCGTCAGTGTAAAATCCTTGTTCACTGTGGCTTTTGCAAGTGCTTCCATAATATCATGCTGAATTCTGAGGACTTCATCTTTTATTTGCTTTTGTGAAGATTCCCTTGCCAGAAGATCTTTCTGTAGATTATTTACTTGCTCTACCAGCCTAATGATACAACCCTCATGCTTTCTCATTGAACTGTTTTTCTCATCCAACTCTTTTTGAAGTTCAAAACATAGGAGCTGTGCTGATTGAGCTGATGCAGCACTTGCATCTGCACTTGCTTTAGTTGCTGAAAGCTGTGTTCTAAGATCATCCAACTCCTTCAGATCCTGCATCAAGAATTCAAATATGCTCATCAGTCAACAACACACGTATTACTCTGACAGCACCTATGTGAAGCATGCATGCTGCAATTGATCATGTCTAATCACTGAAGACAAAATGCAATATATTGCATTAATTCCTGCATAGGAAAAGTCACTTGATCATAGTGATTAATTCCTTATCCTTACATTTAGTTAAAATCAACGGGTTGACGATGAAATCTAATCTGATATTCATCCTTTTAGAGTTTATGCACGTTGAAAGAAAATTATTTATATCAGCCTTGCAAAACAATAATGGATATTATATAATTAAAATATTACTAATTTTGTCTTGACAAAAAGATAATAATAATGCTTTTCCTTCTGCAGAAGAGGTTCAAATAATAATATTGCTTCTAATAACCCATAATTAACAATGCTTTTGATCAGAACACAATTTAATAATAATAATAATAAATAAAAAAACAAAATTCAGACCTTCACAGTAGAAGAGATTGAAGCCTGAAGCTTTTCATTTTTGTCTTCTAGTTCCTTCTGCAATATACCAATCTTCACTTCCATCTGCTTGGCTTTTAACTCTACTTCCTTTGAAAAAAATATATGCATTTATTGACCGATTAAAACCAATGAATTTTCTAATCCCTGACCCCACAAACACAGATTAAAAAGAGTAGAAACCATTGACATCAAGGTTGCAAAATGGTGTATCTGCATTGGTTTAAAAAATGAGAGAGAAACAGCCTAAAACGAGAAGAAAATATTTACCAGTCTTGTTTGGCTTTCTTTAGCATATGATTGCTCTTTGGATGCAAGTCGCCCACGAACCTCCTTCAACTCTGCCGCTAATGACAACACATTACGCCTAAAATTCAGCTTTTTCTCATCTAAATCCTTTAACAATGGATCAACATCTTGAGGTGCTATGGATGAAGATGAGAATTGAGACGGTTTCTCCAAAATTGACATCGGAATTACAAGTTTTCATCCAAAGATGCCCTTGTCTACTTCTTAGGTAATCACGGACGGAGTGTATCTACGCTAAACTAATTTCTATCAACAAGAGATCAGCATTTTGTAACTATTAGTATTACGATTTTATTTTTTTTTTATTTACGCAATACATCATGATGTATATATATATATATATATAAAATTAATTAAATGTGTTATAATTTTCATAAAAATTTACGGAATATAGATTTTTATTAAGTACTCCTAGAACATAGTTTTCTCCAAAAATAGATCACGGGAGGCAAATTCAAAGTAATATTCTGTCCTAAAATATTACTAACTCCAAGAAAATTTTGCCAATTTCTTTTATGGCACCAAGAGCTTCGGTTATTCCCTCCAGCATTATTGATAAGAAGCAGAAGTTAATACTTTTAAGTAGACTTCAAAATGCCCATATCCTTGATTAACCTGCTACTGCAACTCAGAAAATTGAAGAGCTAATCCAAGAAAACACGAAACAGGGGATAGAGGTAGCGTACCATTTTGTGATCTCATTTTTCATTTTGAGTGGTAGCCTCACAGTCACAGGTGCTTTGCTTTGGTTCAGCTTTGTTCTCGCACTGCTATTATTGAAATGAGTATATGCAGTATCATCACTGAGCAGAATCAAAAGTAGCCGTAATTTCAGTACAATAATTTAATACTGAAGAAAAATAAGAGAATAAAAATATTTTGAGTGGTTTTTCATATCATATTATTTTGTGGAAGTTCTATAAATATATATTACAAATATTAACAAAAATAAAATATCATAAGCATAGAGTAGCTTCACGCGTGAAACAAGTGATTTTGGCCATCCGAACCTTGGGTTTGGCAACAGGACAGATCCCGAAGCTACAACTGGGATACCCTGGCACGGCATTGTGCTACACATATGGATCGATGTGTGGGGTCTTCCTATGTACACTTGCACAAAATCAATAATTTCTATCTTCATCAAGAAAAAATATATAATTTTTATTAAATAAAGATGCTTTATTTTGAGTGTAAATTTTACTAATTAAAATTAGAGTTGTCAAAACAAATTAACTGACTCATTCAAGTTAGCTTATGGTGGATAATGGACTTAAGGGGTTCAAACTAAAAAAACTTAAATCTAATTTAAACTTGTAAAAATAATCTACAAAATGAGTAAAACTTAAGTTTTTTTTAGATTTTCAGGAGCTTAACTCATTTTGAATCCAGCAAAAAAAACAAAATTCTGCATTTTATTTAAACTCAAATTGTCAAGTCTATATCTTACATTTTTATCAACCAATTTGGACTAATCAATTAGATAAATCTATTTTATAAGCTCTAATTAAGATAAAAAAAAGACAGTACTTTAAAAATAAAGCTAAAAAAAATGATTTGTTGGGTTTTAACATCATTTTTAGAAACTCAAATTGGATTTGACTCTCTTTTTTTTCCTCTAAAAGTCACCGCTCACACTAGTCCAAATCCAAATGCACGTAACTGATTTTGTTAGTTTTATTTAAGAATATTATTTAAAGCATAAAAGGTAAATATAGTTTATTGAAAAAACATAACAATGCACTCATTCTCACATTTTGTATGCAATTATGTATTGATTCCAAGGATAAAAAATTAGCAACCGCCGGCTTGCCTAACCCACTAAAATTAATAGGTTGGGTTAAATGTTAAAGATTCATTGACTCGCTTAGTTTGTTCCATTTTAACTTGCTAAAATGCAGGTAATAGCAGGTTAGTCCAAGTTCAAAATTTATTAAAAAAAATAAAAATAAATAAATATTAATTTTTATTACTATAAAAATATTTTTTAAATATTTTTATTATTTATTATTATTTTTTTATTTTTTGGTTAATTTTTTATGGGTTAGCTCATTAATTCAATAACCCATTAATTTTTTATTTTATTTTTGAGTTTTTGATAGGTTGATCTATGCTTGTTAACCCACTCTTAAACGAAATAGGCTAAAAAAACTAGCACATTTTTTAAACGGATCAAACTTAGACTAACTTGTTATTAGATAGACTTTTGGCAGACTGGAGCGGGTTGACCCGATCCTAATTGATTCATTAATGAGTGCCTTTAGGGCATCAGTTACTCTGACAATTTAATTAAAAAAATACATCTTTCTTTGTCTAATATGTTTTTATAATGTTATTCAAGAACATAAAAAAAAAATTAAATTAATATATGCATTTTTAGAATAAATGTCAAGTTGACTTTTTTTTGACAAAAACTAATAAATTTATTCGATATCCTTCCTTTTATGGGTGCCCTTTATAGTTATAACCAATATTTATTCACGTATCTCACTTATTTAAAATATAATAGATATATTGTTTTGTATTTATATTTTAAATAAATAAAATACTGACTAAATATTAATTTTGGTTTAGTGAGTTGAGTAAGTATTATAGTTGGTAATTATTAACTACATTGCTATTGTTATAATTCAGTAGATGTTTTTATTACATGTATATTGTAATATACTTATAATACAGGTCTTATTGAAAACATCGAAGCTATACAAAAGAAAACTCAAATCCTAATATTGTAACTTACAATAAACTATTTATTAATATTAATTTAAAATAAATTATATTTATAAAGTATTTAAATTCAATTTGACTACAATAAACTACTTTTTTCTTAAAAATATATTAAAACAAAGGCGGGAAGCACGATTATAGAGGAGGGTGAAGGAAATGACGCACGCAAAGCACAAAACAAATCCAACAAAAACTGGAAGTTAGTAGGCAAAGGGCAGGAAAGGAATCAAACCTTTCCATACGAATAGGAATAGGAATCGATGAACATGAGCTCATATTAGTAACATATTCTACATTTAAATTTAACTTCATTTGTAGCACACCATCTTATATTCCAATTCTACTACTTACTCCCTACGACAAATAAATATTCATTCACCCAAACATTGGAAAAGGAATGTTATCCCCAAAAAGCAACCCATGACCCAAACAGAAACGGGCACGTGGTTACCCGACCCGGAGACCAAATAGCTGACTGGGTGTGGACTCCACCCACCAAGAACTACGTAAAAGGGGCAAATCGGTCAATGCGCAGCATCTTCTTTTCTCATTTTCTAATTTTCCACTAACCATATAAACCGAGAGTGTAGACCCAGCCAAGTACTTTCTTCTTGTTCTTCTTTGAATCGCAGTGGTTGGTGTCGTTTCTTTTGAAATTAGGTGAAGATCGTGAAATTGTTGAGGAGTCGAGATCGGCGATGGGCGGAGATGGAGCGACGGCGACCGCGGAGCTGCAGTACACGACGGCGAAGATATCGGTGTGGTGGGACATAGAAAACTGCCACGTGCCTAAGGGTTCGGATCCTCACGCGATCGCTCAGAACATAAGTTCCGCACTGGTTCGCATGAACTACTGTGGCCCCGTTTCCATCTCCGCCTACGGCGACACCACTCGCATCCCTGCGTCTGTGCAGCACGCGCTCTCCAGCACCGGAATCTCCCTCAACCATGTCCCTGCTGGTCGGTAATTCTTCATATTTCGAACTTTTGCTTATGCCTTTTCAGATTCTGTTGCCTCGATTTAGGTTGCTTCATTGCTGTTCTCTTATTTTTAGCTAGTTAGTTAGTTAGTTAGTTCCTTTCACCGATTGATTCCTTTTGCAACACCGTGTCTACACTCGTGCATGAACTGTGTAAGTATGCTGTTTATTGGATAGAAGTTATGTTATCACTGAATTTTGAATCAAATCTTATCGGTTAAGTGTGTCATGAGGAATTGCCGAAAATTTTGACATTAGAAAATCTATTGTGAATTTGTTGCGTTGCGGATAGTTTGAAACTCAGAAATTTCCATATGTTTTTTATAACTGACATTTCGGTGTTTCGAAATAGGCGTGAAAGATGCAAGCGACAAGAAGATTCTTGTTGATATGTTGTTCTGGGCAGTGGATAATCCTGCACCTGCTAATTATTTATTGATTTCCGGTGATCGAGACTTCTCTAACGCTCTCCATCAACTGAGGATGAGGAGATATAATATTCTTCTTGCACAACCACAGAAAGCATCTGCACCTCTTGTTGCAGCTGCCAAGAGCGTGTGGCTTTGGACTAGTCTTTTAGCAGGAGGACCTCCGCTATCTAATAATGGTGAATCGCAACAACTTGGTAATAGTAGCATCATGTCATCTTCTGACACCTTACAAATTCCGGTCACAAATGCCGCTCAGATACAGCAACAGGCGGATTCCTATTTGGAAGTTCATGTAGGAAATTCAAAGTTTCCAAATGGAGGAGGAAGGGGATTTGATTCTAGATATCAGGGGAAAACTACTTGGAGAAACCCGAGTCAACCTAATGGACCCAGAGCCATGAATCCACCGCCAGTTGGACTTCAAGATAATCGTAATAATATAAACTCTTATCGACCTGGCAACTTTAATCCAAATGTTCCGCTAAGTGGATCTGCTACAAATTTTGTTCGTGGCAATAATGATCAGTCATGGAGCAACAACACTAATCTCCAGGGAAATCAACAAAATCCTTATTCACAGCCATTAAGATCGAACAGTTTCCCATTGCAACCTTCTTTTGCACCTAGTAATTCGTATACTCCAAATTCCCATAATTTTGCAACTTCAACAGTGCCACCTAGGACTGGTGGTCCCAATTTCACTACTGGGCCACTTACCAATGTGCCAGATATTGGTAATCTGAACATTTCTGGATATCCTAATAGTGTTCATAACCCACGTACTGTTCCACAACGGAATGGAGAGTTGAAACATAATCCTAGTAGTAATGCTTCTTCTCTTCCTGTTAGACCAACCAATGAACAAAATGGACATATGGTACATAACAGTAGCACACAACAATCATACCAAGATTATCAACATGGTCCGGAGTATCAACCCTCACCAATGGCAGCAATGGGTAATAATAATAATCCTCCCAGTAATGGTATGTGGGGTTCTCCAGGATGTCCTAAACCTTCTGAATATGTGCAAGGCCTTATAGGGGTTGTTTTACTTGCCTTGAACTCACTAAAAAATGCAAAGATGATGCCAACCGAGGCAAATATAACTGATTGCATCCGTTATGGAGATCTCAAGCACCGCAACACTGATGTTAAGAAGGCTCTTGAGAGTGCTATTGAGCAGCAGATGGTGGTGAAACAGAATTTGGGGGCTTTGCAGTTGTATGTTGGTAAGAACGATAAACTTTGGAAGTGTGTAAATCCTTTAGGTGGTAATCCTAAGCAGCACTCAAAAGAAAGGTGGGATGAGATTCAAAAGTTTATAACAACTCCTGCAGGAAGATCAGCAATAATGGGTACACAGTGCAAGTAAGAATATTCTATTGTAATTTATTTTCATTTCCTCCAAGCTGTATTAGTGATCTAATATGTCCTTATTTTCTTCCTGTAGGTATGAAGCAGGTATGGTGATAAAGAATATGTGTTTTAAAGATCTTGCTTTGGGTGATGTCCTTCAGATATTGAACATGTTGATTACCCATAAAAAATGGATTGTGCATCATCAATCTGGTTGGCAACCACTTAACATTACTCTTCCTGAGACAAACCCTGATTCAGGGGTTGTAGCTGGTACATAACTGGACCCTGACTATGGCAATGGAAAGTCACCCAGAGAAATCTCACAACAAAAGTTAATGAATAATCTAGTATGAGCCAGTTGTGCTAGGAATTAATTGAACAATCCTCTCTTTCCCATTTGAATCAAATATTAGGTAGTAATGGTGAACTGTAGTACGGTAAATATCTTGAGTGTTTACAGTTTTGTTAAAGCCTTCAGCTGCTCTTGAGGAAGAAATGAGAGCAGCATTTGCACAAAAGTTGAAATATACTAAACACTAATTTTGTTGTCGTAACTGAGGATCCTACTATGGCCTGCTAAACATAACAGTGGATCTATCTAGGAATTAGTATCCCTTCCTGTGTCCTTCCTAAAGATCTATATTTTGCCTGGAGATTGCCTTATTAGGCTGAACTGCCTGAACACTTTAGATCCTTTTATTTAAATATTTTAAATAGTGTCCGAGATATTGGCCAAATATGTGTTTTGTACACTTGCCGGAAGTTGATGGACCCTCAAGCAAGTTAGGTAAACATCATCGATGCTGTTTGTTTATCACTCGGGAAGTGATCTACCAAATCATATTCTGCAGGTTGGATTGTGGAATGCGAGTCCTGAAACTGTTTTGTTGCCTTTTGTTCGTTGTTGGCATTGTCTTTGAAATGTTACAGGAAGTTTAACTACTAGACAGAGAACACTTAAATTGCACAAAATTGTAGGAGACTGCGCTCTTAAATTTCTGCATGAATCTCATGATCTGTTATCTCAACATAAATACTCCTATGTTTATGATGTTGGAACTTGACTATGAAAATCACGTTTTGGACTTCACAAAATGATTCAAAAGATGAAGAAACTAAATGGTAGTGCATTCTATTGCATCTCTTTTTCTGATGCTGCCAACAGAGTTCTGATATTTTATTATTCAAGTGGAAGTGGCTTCTGGATGTCTGGCTCAATGTGCAGAATTCGGTAATTCAGTGGGATATTGGTCTCTGGTCTTTGCTGCTTTCTATTGCCTTTTAATGTTAGTAGCTGCGTGTATAATCCGGATTTAAATTTGCTTTGTATCATATAGATTGTTTAATTATATGCTGGTCTCAGCTTTTGAAACTTGTTTTCACATGTGTTTTTTGGTTGGAAATAATCTTGTTAGAAGTCCTTATTACTGGAACATGGTTTCATTTACTGATCAATCGGATAGAACTTTCTTAATCTTCGGAATAACGGCACTCGTTGAATTATACTGATGCCCACTGATGTTAATAGACCCTTGTTATTATGGAGCTGTTCAACATTTACTCGTATTCGTTGATTAGCTTGATTTGGTTCGGTTCAATAAATAGAATGGTGTATTTGGGTGTTAGCTTTTAGAGAGGAAGGGAGGAAAAGATAATTTTTTTTTTCATTTTTAAATTAAGAGTCATAATATTTATAAAAAAATATATATAGAAGATGAGGATATTGTAGTTTACATCATCTTTACTTATCTACGGTTTTGCACCAAGATGTATTCTTCTTTCTCACAGGACATCAGTTGGAGGTTGAGAAGATCACTTCAAAGTTGCTTGCAAATTAATGATGATATAGACTAGCATATTGATATATCGACTCATGACCACTAGTCATTCTCATTTTTATTAGGAATTATAACATTTAATATTATTAATGTATCTATCATAATTTCTAATTTTCTTATTAATTTCTTAATCATTCTCGTATTAAATTTACAGAAACAAAATCGTTGTAGTAAGACCGAATTTCACCCCTCTTATCCAGTGGGGTACTGTCGAATTGCTTATCTCTATAAAAAGTCTTACCTCCTCGCCCTCGTTGCCGCAGTACATGTGAAAGTGACAGGAAGAACCAAAGCAACCAAGGATTTCTCAGACCATACACACTGATATTCTCTTTCTCCTTACCCACGATTGCATCAACTTATCAAAATCTTCCATACCCGAACATAATAGTCAGCCACCAGAATGAAATGAGCCGCCCCGTTAGGATGGACGTGTACCCCAAATGCCTAAAATGGAAACAAAAATACATTTTTTTTTCTTAAATCATTTTTAAAATTCTGTTGCAATATTTAAATAAATTGCTTTAATCAGTTATAGCATAGCAATGCATGACAACGGATTAAGATAGGCGGGGGGGTTATTTTGTACCATATAGTTGATATCGTTGACATAATCCGGTAAATTTGCTGAGCATGAGTGTATGTAGTTAGACGCATACAAAGCGTTTTGAGTAGGGTAGAACAAACATACTTGGTGGTCCCAGACAACGGTGCAAATGTGGAATTCCAGTTCAAATATTATCTGTCTATCACCATCCCCTTTCTCTAAATATAGTTATCAGTGCAGGTAGGAAAACCACCCAGGCGCCGAAATTATGTCTATGATCAGGAACACAAAACCCATCGTTATCATCATTCATCATAATCACGAGGGGTTCTCGTTAATTCTTAGCAAGATCTTTTCACATAAAATCAAGAAGAGTGACGCATCATGCATGCAGTAAGTATCTACGTTGATTATGATTTATTATGCATTATCTGGGTCTCACAAGCTATCACGACAGATGGCAGATGATTCACAAGAGGAAGGTTTGAATTTGAACATAGCGATCATGGGGGTCACCATGATTGTGATTGCATTAGTCACCATTGCTATTGTTGACAGCATAGACGGCTCCGAACCAAGTACAGGGAACGTGAAGACCCTTCTCTTCGTTTGCAGAAAAACGGAGGAACCAGAAAGATGTTGCCGATTCTCAAGACATGCAGGTGAGAGAGCCACGGTTTTGGAATATGCTAAAGTCGGTAAGCTACTTTCGGTGGCTTTTTCGCAAAGACGGGGAAAATTGAAAAAAAAAATTTTAAATAGGCAAAGAAATAAAAAGAAAAAATTATCTAGTCATTTTAACTATACTTATTTTTTAATAATAAAAGAATAAATAGACAATACTTAATTTTTTTTATTAAATCCTCGTTTTGGTATGATATTTATCACCGTTTTCAGTTCCTTCGTGATGGCCACCGTCCGGTACACATGACTACCCGTGGTACCGCCGCAGAACACCATGCGGAGAGGTGGTTGGAGTTGAGACATCATGAAACACTTCTGAGTTATTGGGGGATGGTTAAGTTTGAAACTTTGGGAAGGATGTAGAGAGGAAGAGGGAAGGGTCATTGTTGACCACGGAATGCAAATTACAATTCGTTTAAACAAAAATAAAATTAGAGGTGCAGGAACTCTTGCGGAGACTGGAAATGATCCAGATCCTAACCTACTAGACCTTTGGTACGGGGCTACTCATTTTGTCACCGGATACGACCGTGCAACCCATTATTTATTTGTCCTATGCAGCAATTATTTGTCCCTTGAGACAAAAACGTCGGTGGAAATCACCCATAAGGTTATCTCCTCTCCTGATGGTACAATAATGCCAAATGACGCGCATCGGAGAGTCCAATAAAATTACACGATAACAAGACGGGGGCAAAATATTGTTTCTATTACTTTAGGTATAAATATTAATAAAAATTAAAATATATTATAATAATTATTATTAAAAATAAATAAAAACTAAAGAATACTTTTGTTAAATTCAATCCTTACCCTACAAAATCATCGTCATATATAACGTCACATGTTCTTCTGCACGTCACGTGAGCTGAAAATAATTGTCACCTTTTAAAATCATGTGTATTGTACTGTAGTTGCAAGCTTGGAGTTCGTTCTGTTACAACCATGAAAAATACAAGAAGTCGCCTCCACGGCTCTACCTCAAGGATCCGGATTTTCTCAGTTTAGACGAAAATTGGGCTTTTCGGTTTAAGTAAAAATAAGTTATTTTTATTTAAAATTATGACAAAATAGTTTGAATTAATTTTTATAAAATAAATAATTTAAAAAAATTTAAACAAAAAATAGCTTAAGCAAAAATGATAAACTTAAGTAAAATTTAGAAAGAGTGTTTTAATTTTTACTTGATTTTTTTTTCTAAATCTAATATTTACTCCATAATCTTCGTATTCAACTTTTTTTAACATTCATATTCAACTTTTTTTTTTCCTCTTATACTTAACTTTTCTCTTTTTCTTTTAACTCTCTTTTCTTTTAACCTTATACCTAACTCCTCTCCTTCTTTTCTCATTCTCACCTTACCTAATACTTATCTCTTCCTCTTTTCTCTATACTTAACTCTTCACTTTCCTCTAAAATTTTTTTTATACAAAATTAGCTTAAGTTATTTTTTCTGACTTAAACAAATTATTTTAGCTTAAGCAGATTTTGTGTATTTGAAAATATAAAAGTTGGGTGTAGAAAAAAGAAAGGACTAAGAATAAATGTAGATAAGAAGAGCGGGTGGTATAGTAGTGATGGTAAAGAAAGAGAAAAGTAAAAAGTTGAGTATAGAAAAAAGAGGACAAGATAAGTATTGGATGAGGTGAGAATGAGAAGAGGAGAAGATGAGTTAGGTATGAAGTTGAAGGAAAAAAGAGTTAAGAGGGAAAGAGAAGATTTAGGTATAAAAGAAAGAAAGCTGAATATAGAGATTAAAAATGATTGAATATGAAGGTTGAAAAAAAAATGTTAAGTTTAGAGAGAAAGAGAAGAGAATATTGAATAAAAATTAAAGCTCTTTGTCTATTTTTCGCTTAAGCCTATTATTTTCACTTAAGCTATTTGTTTTTTGAAAATTAACTCAAGCCATTTTGTCATAATTTTAAGTAAAAATAACTCATTTGTGTTTAAGCAAATTTTTTCACTTAAAGCAAAAAATAAACTTTAGGTTCAGTTCAGCCTGAAGTGAAGACAATCCGGATCATTACCTCAAGGCCTGCAGACCCCACATTCCACGACGCCATCGTCAATAGTGATCAATTAAATGCAAGCTCATGAATAACCACAAAAAGGACCACTGAATGATTAAAAAAATTATCCACTAAATAAATCTTGAGTTCAAATACGAGTATTTTACCCTGCAAAATTTTATAGAAATGAGTTTAGATCAGATATTTTAAATCTCAACTCACACTTGTCTAACATCTTCCTCTTCACAGTTGTGTTGTGCTACAATACTGTTGCAAAGTCGTTCTTTGAGTTTGCTAGTCAAAGAGCATCGCTAATTTGCTGTCTGACAACTTCATCTTTATAATTAAAATATGAAATAACACACTAACAAGAGTGTGGATAATGGACACCAATGAGTATTTAAACACCCATATCTTAACTGAGGGGTGGGTGTAAATAAATTAACCAAAACTCTCAGATAGAGAGCCGGAAACCGACTTCAATGAAGCTTAATCCAGGATAAAGCCAATCGATTCCCCGTCAACCAAATAGAATCCACCCCTATAGTTATAGGTCACTGAAACTTAGACATTTCCCCCCATATACGCCTTGCAACATAAAAAATAACCCATAGGAACAGTACACAGTACAATCAACAAACCAAGATAAAATCCCTCCGTAACATAAGCCACAATCATTTTGGGTGCAGGTCAGGTTTACGACAGAAAGGGTGCTACGATAACTATCAACAAGGCTTCCAGTTGACTTTTCTTGTAGGAACAGGGAGCAGGGTGTGTTTGGCATCTGTGCGAGTGGCTGTGGTACGGGAGACCTACACATATGGAGTTGGTGTTCTATGGTTATACGACTTTGTGGCTGAGGGATATTCAAAAGGGAAGACATGATTGATAAGAAAATCAACCAACTAGGCTGTTTTAGTAAAAACTAAGCATCCCCAGAAAGGTATTTGAATATTAAATTAGTAATAACACAACACAATTTAAAAATAGTCCTAGATTAATGAGAAGATTTACCAGAAAAAAATTTCATTTTTTTCAAAATTTCTTGTACAATTTTTTAAAAGCATGATACAATGTAAAAAAAAAACAATGCGATGTTTTTGTAAGTTATTAGTTAAAGAAAACGTTTTCTCACTTAGGTTATGAAACTTCTTACAAAAGCTAGAATAAGTTTAACTTCAATTGGCATAATGTAGGTTAAAAGCATTAAACCATCTGAGAATCATGATTATATTTACAAGGATATTTCCATATATCACAACATTGAAGCTACTCCTAAGGAATTCAACTCAGCAAAGCTAATATCAGCAATTGCTGTAGTTTCTCTGCAAAACCTGCAGTCTATGGTACCGAAACCATCATAACTAGTCAAGCTTGCAAGCAATCACAGAGCCATTGCGTTTATTCATCAGAACACGACAGTGACACCTCTCAACTGCAAATAAACAGAATTTTGCTCTAGTTAGAGTGAAAACAAATATAACACAACTAGAAGATTAAAAACAAAACAATTAAAAATAACAACAAACTGGTGTTGTTTGGTTAAAAATAAAAGATGGCATTGACTCTTCAACATTTTCAAAAAGAATGTTTTGCCTCTACACTTACACGAGAAATGCAGCAAAATACTCTTTATGATTAGTCAAATATTTTAAAATTCGAAGCTGTTGTCCCTAAATTGATCACTTACTAAAAATTATTTTGAGTTTTTAAAAATTGACCAATCACAGGGATGTGTTGGAGAATGTGCTGTTCACATTCCTCTACTTATATAATGCATGAAAACCTCAAATATAACTTTACTAGTAGCACCAATCGTGAATGAACTTCTTGCTCTTTCCCATGGTTAGAAGTATGAAAACATAGAGTTGCAACATTTTTCAGTAATCTTTATAATTTATGAAGGCAATATTACTTTACCCTTTGTTGAATCTTACTTGTTCCCATGATAAGCATTTTACAGAAGCATTGGTTTTCAATGGAAAAGTATAAGACAAAAAAATCTGTATCGTAAAGTTATCAGTTTGCAAAGAAAAAGATGCCAAGAATCACAAGTGAAGCGAATAATACCAACAGGGCAAGATCACAATAAAAGTCATTGCCAATATTCAAAAACAATAAGGGAATGTAATGAAAACAATTCCTAAAATTCAAATATAAGAATGTCATAATTCAAGATGCATATAATATTTTTCTTTTTCTTTGAGAGGGAGGATGGACGGTTAATCATTTATGTATGATGCAAATAATAAGAAAGCAAGATGGACAGAAAAAATTAGGTCAAATTAGGAAATAGATGTACATAATTTCTCATGGGATAGAAACACAATTTCCTTTTTTGATCCTTGCTAATTTCCAATTATTGATGGGAAATAATGTAAATATATTATGTTTCCTTTTGTAATACCAGCATGGTTCCTCTTCCAACGTTTTATAAAGGAGCATCCACATTGATGCTGCCGTGTTAAGAAATAAAACATTTAGATAAGTCAAATAACATGAGTAGCAGATTTCGCATCAGCTAAAGTCAAAAACCTGTATTTGTAATGACGTTTTCAATGGACTTGGAATGACATGAAAGCACAATCACCAGCTTTACCACAGGTACATACCCAATGCAAACTTGATATTTACAAGCATCTACTATAAAAACAAAGTACCATTTCAAAAAGGTCTGAGCAAACCTCTTCAATCCGCAAGACCAGCACAAGTAAACCCATTTTGGACGAGCTTGTTAACAGCATCCCTGAACTTGTAATAGTCCTCAACTTTGTTGTAGACTTGATAAGAAATTCGTGCATATCCAGTAACCACTCCAACTTCCCCATCTTTGGGAGCCCGATAATAGATGGGAACTTCAACCCCAAAAGCATCCCTCAAATGTGTCCTCAACCTGAGAGCATCAGAATCACTAGCAATCCCCAAACAAGGAGGCAAACCAACCATAACCATGCTCGCACACATATGGGGCGGACTCCCAAGATGAGTCCCCCACGCTTTCACCAGCATATCCCCCATCTCCACAACAGCATCATGATTCCTCCTCTTGATCCCTTCAATTCCTCCTTCAAACCGATTAACGAAATCCAAAACCTCCGGAACCACCAACTGGGAACTATAATCCCTGGTCCCAATCCAAGCACTCTCCACAGCCAAACCATTACCATACTCATGAGACACCACAGGATGATGCAAATCAGAACACTTAGGGTTCCTGCGACAATACAAAAACGCAATAGAAGGGGGACAAAAGAACCACTTATGCAAATTGCTCGTGTAGAAATCAGCACCAATGTCTTTCATATCAACATCAGTGCACCCAATCGAATGCGCAGCATCAACGAAAACCTGGTCAACACCTTCTTCCCTGCAAATCTGAATCAACTCCTTAACAGGAATAACAACACAGGGCATGGAAGTCACGTGATCGATAACCGCTAACCTAACCCTCTTTCCCTCACTCTTCCCTCTCTCCAACGCCTTTCTAAACTCGGAAACGATTTCGTCGTTAGAGTTAACGGGAAAAGGAAGCGGAACCTCGATGACCTTACCTCCGGAGCGCGTGACGTAAGCTTCGATAGATTTTTTAACGGCGCCGTAAGCGTAGTGGAGCATGAGAACGACGTCGCCGTTTTGGAAGGTTCCTTCTCGGAAAGCCCAAGCGGTGCGTTGGAGGACGATAGCGGCGGCAGTAGTGGCGTTGTCGACTATGGAGATCTCGTCGACGTGGTCGGCGTTGACGAGGTCCTTGATGATGGTTCGGGAATGGTGGATTCCGGTATTGAGTTGGTTGAAGTAGAAGTGGTCCGGTTGACGGAGGTAGTCGAGTTGCCACCGTTGCTGCGCGGCGATGACGGAGGCGGGGCAGCAACCGAAGCTTCCGTTGTTGATTCGTGCGACGGAGGGGTCATGGTGAGCGAACTCTGATTGGACCTCCGACGGAGTTATGACGGAGGAGAGCTTAGGTTTCTTGGAAACGTGAGAAACGGTGGAGCCGTTGTGGTGGATGTGGTTGTTGGTGGAGGCCATTGTAGAGATGAGAATTGAGAATTGAGAATGAGAAAGAAGAACACCATGTGAGAATTATGATAAAAATATAGATTTGGGGAACACAGACAAGTGGGGTTACCTAAATAATACCTCCCCTCATGTTCTCATCAATATCACTTGGTACAAACAAGCTTCCATTAAGTATCATCATTCATCAGTAGTTTTTGTTGTCTCTTCTGTTATTTTTATTTAAACATTTTTTAATTAAATTAATAATAAAATATATTAAATACAATTCTTTGAATAAAAAAGATAAAAGCTAATTAATATTTTGAAGAAACTAATTCAAAAATTACAAGTAATTTTTATTAAAATATATATTTAATCACTAAAAATTTATTAAAGACTAAAAATAAAAAATTTATAAAAAACTAAAAAAATATGTAAAGATTAACATTAATATTTTAATTTATAAATATGTTAAAAAATTTAATGCAGTTAAATATATTTATTTGTTTAAAAAACAACTTTCAATTTTTCAACCAAAGACATTAATTAGCAAAATCATAAAAAAAAAAAAAAAACACCTGAAGATAACGATGGACAGCCGTGCATCGTTTACTTTCTAAAACTGTGTGCGTTGTTTCGTAACTTAGAATCTCAAATGAATTTTATTTATTGAGTTTAAAACAGTCATTTTATTTATTTAAAATATTAATTAAAACTTAATAAATAATAAATTTTTATTCAAATTTAAGTTGAAAATGTATTAAAGATCCTGTAAGGAAATATATTATTATGTTTTTATATAAAAATTATTTTTAGATTTTAATTACTATCTTAAAAATAATAATTAATATTTTTAATTTATAATATAACGAGGCAAATGCTAATTAACTAGTTAAGAAATAAGAAAAATTGTCTTAAAAATATTATGATTATTTTTTAGTTTAATTAAAAAAAATTAAAAGTGATATTTTTATTCCCAAATTAGCCTCTTAGAGAGAATTTGCCCGCTCTATATCTAAACTTAATAATACAGGTTTCCTAATAAAAAACTAGAAGTAATACAGATATTATAATTAAAAAATTAATTTGAACTGATCATAAAATTAAATAAAATTAGATTTCTATTCATACTTGGTGTTGTCAGCAAGATCTTAATTTTTTTTAATTATTAATGAGACATTTAATAATAATAATAATAATTAATAATAATATTATTATTATTATTATAAATGCACAAAATATTTTTTTTTTAATTTACAATAAATTAAATAAGTTGACTTTCAAAAATCAACCATGACCAGAACATACTTTAAGATAGTACTTGTAAAAATACTTACACGTACGGCCATTCATTAATATTTAAACTCTGAAGGTTAACAAAACTCAATTGTTTATTATAATTTTTTTTCTGGTCACACTTTTCACACGATAATTACAGTCCATTAAGATTAATTAATACTAGTAGTACTTTAACAAAAATATTTTAGTCAACTATTTTTTTATAATTGAGTCAACTAATATTTTTTCTGCTGATTAATGCTATTTAAATATCTTTCTTAATTTTAATGTAAATTTTTAAATAATAGAGATATAATTTGAGATAACTTATAAAAATAATCCGTAATTCTTATTTATTCTTTTCAGTTTATTATAAAAAATAAATTATACTCGAATATGTGATATAAGTTTCTGTGTAAAAATAAATAAATAAACACTAAATTAAGTTAGATTTTCCCATGCACTCTTAGGAACACTACATCATACTGCACCAAGTTTTAAGAAAGTACTCAAACTATCTGTTATTCTTCTACTATTTCTGTTCATTCACTGGTAAAAACAATCGATTTACCGCTGGTATCAATCTGGCAAAAATCATAGTAATATTTTTTTTTATCTATAAATAATTGTAATCATTAAATAAAAATATAATACAATTTGTATATTTATTTATTAAAAATAATAGAAATTTTGTTAAAAAAATATAAGAGATGTTAAAAAACTGATGAAATAAAGAGCAAGGTTACATCATGCTTTATGTTGGGATTCTCTTGTTAATAGTTTTGTCCACTTGTAGGCATATGAGCAACTTGTTTAGAAATTCAACCCCACAATTACAAGTCATAATTGTCAGTGCACATTCTTGCATAAACCATTATCTCAAGGTTACTTTATAAATCTAATTTTTTGTTTAAGAATCTTTATTAATGTTTTTAAATACTTCTTATGATAAAAAAATAAACAAATAAGTTTGTAAAATCAAATTTTAACATTTTTAAGAATAAATTTTGAAATTATTTATCTATTTTAAAAATAAGCTTCTATAATTAATATTATACATTTTCAGGAATTAGCTTTAGGAATTAGACTTTAATATTTCTAAAAGTTATTTTCTAAAAGTGTAAAATTCTAATTTTGAAAACTTATTTACAGAAATAGCAAATAATATAAAAAAAATTAAATTTTAAAAGTATAAAATTTTAATTATAAATATTAGGTTTAAAAATTTATAATCCTAATTCTAGAACCTTAATTTTAAAAAAGGACTAATAATTTTATAAATTAATTTTTATAAACATAAAATTTCAATTCTATAAATTTATTTATAAAAAACATTAATAATTTTGAATCTTTATTTTTTGATATTCATGGGACTAAATAGTTCAACAGAATCTACAAATAACTCATAGAAGTCTCACTGCGAAGAGCATCAAGACACAAAAAATGAAGCAAGATGAGAGGAGCCGCATCAAAATAAGAAAAATACAAAAACTTTTAAAATGCGAAAACTTATTTATGAAATATCATTTTTTGAAATGTAGAATATTAAGTATGGAAACTTATGTAGAATGTTAATAATAATGCCTGAACATGCTTTAAAAAGGTAATAATGGAAGAACAAAAAAAAACTTAGAATAATAAAGAAAAAAAAATTCAATAAAGACAACGAGTGAAATTATAAAACTTAAAATAAAAATATGATTATAATTAAAAAATAATACTAACAACAACTATGATACTATAATTAAGCTTTGTCTCCAATATAACTTTCTGAGTTAATTCATGGTTAGAAATGTGCAAACGATAAGAATTTCCCTTTGTCTCCAAAATATTATTTTTACTGTGTTTTTTTTGTTTCGTTTTGGATGGCAGTTGCTTGCGATTGGAATTATGGATGTCGATGACACCATGTTTTTTTATGGACTAGCACGAATTTTATGCTCTCCAGCTTCGTATTCCACTCATTCCCACTTTTAAAAATTAAGAAATCAACGGACATCATTTTCACTCTGTAATTGGGTGATCAGAATATTAAAAAAGAAAATGAAAGCTCTTCTCACAAAAGCTTTATCTGGATCAAACTGGTGTACAAATATATACATTCGTTCACAAGCTACCCAACCAAGGCTCCAGGAATTGTAAATCGAGGACGTGCATTAATGTAAAAATGTTAGAATTTGTTGAAAGTTAATATTTTTCTCTCTCTTTCCAAACTTTCAAAGAAAATGATACCATGGCCAAAATACATACAATGGATGTGCTCCCAATAGAAGCAAGGTTAATGGTAGACGCATTTTCCCTTATTACCTTTCTTTATCATTTTTCTCTCGTACAGCAGTAGCTACTCATTCAATTTTCAAATTATATTATCTCTAGGAATTATTATGAGAATATAAAATAAAAATAACATTTTGGGTCTCTACCAACTATTCAACTGGCAACCAAGATTAGTATGGAAGATTATTGTTTGGTCCAGTGGAGGAATTGCTTTTCAGGGCCAAGAGTATTATGGATTGGGTATTTGAGCTAGAAGCCCATTATGTGATTCCCACAATATAGTAAGTAGTTGGTATTGGCTTTGGCTATTCAATTTCCAGACATAATGGGAAGACAAGTGAACCACTCAAATTTGTTTTAGGATCACTTGAAAGGATAAAATCATTTTCAGCCGAAAAGGCAAAACAACGAAAAAGGAAAAGAAAAGCAGACAAATATTGTGGGAAATTTCGAGGTAATTTCCTTTTAGAGGGTGTAATTTAATGTCTTTTTGCTTCCACGTTTTAAAAAGCATTATAAGGAGGATTGGCAGAGACACAACGCAAGCACTGTAGTGTTTGGTAATGAAAATGATAGGATATATGATAAAAGTTTATGTTAACGTAATTGGAAAAATAATTTAAATAGTGTATGAAATGAGTTATTTAGATTAAAAATGAACGAGAGCAACTAAGAGATATGATTTGTTTATTTTATTTTTTTCAATCAAAATGGGAAATCACAAGAGGTATCAAATGTAGCAAGACATAAGTTTCAATTGAAACTTAATCAATATATTTGAAAATTGTGGCTATGTGTATTTGTATCCTTATCTGTATTGGTTGTCATTTGTCTGAACCCACACGCCAGCGTCTCCAATTGGATGAATCTTTAATCACATTATTTACATCGAATTATTTTGGTTGAAGTTTGTAATGAAATATATAGAATACTTAGGTTGCGTAATGCTGAAATCAAATAAATTAAAATTAATATCCTTTGTCAACTTCATGTTTCGCTTGCCAATAAAAAGAATCTAGGTAACATCTCAGTCAAATGGTCATCGTCAAATAAAAATTCTAATGTTATCTATTCTGTCTTTTTTAATACTTCAATTTGTATTGTTTTACGCCGCGGAAGAGATAATAATATTTATTTGTTTTTTTTTAAAATTAAACCAAATAATAATTAAAGTAATAGTTTAAATTACTTAATGTAAAATTTTTAATCATAAAACAATATTTTTCTTCAGTTTTATCAAACAAAATTATGTTTGACTAAAAAAAAACCAATACTACTACCCGTTTTTCCCCTTAAAAATAGTGTCCGAGAGCCAACAGTCAAAGCTAACAGTCGTAGTTACTAACGGTAGATACAAGATAAGGGCAGCGTAGCTTTTTGAAAGTAAAAGCAGATATTTTTTAATTTATATTTAACTTATTTTTTTCATCTTCATCTAATTATAGATTAATATATCAATAAAAATTATTAAGTTTTAATATAAGGAAAATAAAAATTACATTTGTAATATATTCTAATCAATTGACAGTGTAAAAATATTTACACTGTTAATATACTAAAATTAAATTCTTAAAATATTTTATTTATTTATTTATTATTATTATTATTAAATACACTTTATTTAGTTTGAAAATGGTACCAGAGAGAAGAAGAATATTGTTCTAGGCCTAGTGGTGTGAATGATCAACAACCATTCTATTATTAGTAGAAGACCTTCCATCTTATTTGGGTGTGTGTTCCTTCCAACTTTATCCTCACCATTACATCTTCGGAGCGTTCACAGCAGCTTCTGCCTTCTGTAGTAGTTTTAACTAAGTTAAGAAAGGTTTGTTTTACTTTTAATAATTTGATCATCTTAGTGTGTTCAAACCAGTTGATTCTTATCCTGTTACATCTTTTTTCTAGTAATCTTTACTGTGTTTGACTTGTACTTAACTTGGTTTGTTTCTGTTTTGATTTTCAATCTTTTGATCTTGTGTGAAACTTGTAGGATGGTGACCCAGTTATGAGTTATCCGTCTAAACATGTTTTGTCTGTATTTGGTGCTCCATTCTCGTATAACTTCTGTTTTTGATGGATCTGTGCATATATCCGGTATATGAGTATCAAGGATCTGTATGAAATTGTTGCAGTAGTAGAGTGAACTAATTCTGTTTCTTCTTTTTTTTTCAATACCCTTTATATTTATGGCTTAAACGACTGTATAAATGACTTGGGTTGAGGATGCAGAAACAAATCAACTGAAAATAACGTTGGTTATGAGCCTTGTGATGAAAATCTTAATAATAGCATTTCCTTTCTGCTTCGTTGACTAAACAGGAAAAAGATATATGTTAGCTTAATACATCTTTTTTTATAATTTTAATTTCTGTTTGAAAAATTTACTGTTAGAAGACCATAGTCTCTAGCTTATTAGGAAGCCAAATTTTTTCTTGTTTAAGCTTGACAAAAATATGATATATGATGGCGAGTAGTTAAAGAATTCTATATTACCTTGTTTTTATTCAGCCGATTGTATAGTTATCTGTGAGACCGGCAGTGTGGAAACTAAACCACAAGGACTTGGTGTCTCAACTGTCTATATTCCTTACTTGTTCCATGGTTACTTACCTGCTGAGTTGTGTGTAAAATTAGGAGTGTATACAGCTGAACTTACTTTGGGATTACCTTGTCAGACAGATTTAACTTGACCATGGGGCAACGGCAGGTAGTGGTGGCTTTCTGTTTATGGGCTTTAACATGTTCCCTTCTTCCTTCTTTCTCTTTCGGAATTATGAAAATTGGTTTGAAGAAGAGACCTCTAGATCTTAACAGTATTAAGGCTGCTAGAAAGGCAAGAGAAGATCTAAGATCAGGAAGACCAATGATGGGTGCAATTGATCAATATATTGGTAAGTCAAATGATGAAGATATAGTACCTTTGAAGAATTATTTGGACGCTCAGTATTTTGGAGAGATTGGAATTGGCACACCTCCACAGCCCTTTACTGTCATATTTGATACTGGTAGTTCCAACCTCTGGGTTCCATCATCGAAGTGCTACTTTTCTGTGAGTTCAACTTAACTTCGATGTCTCCACCACTATGTAGTATGTACATATATGCATATCCTATTGACTAATGTTTGCTTGCAGCTTGCCTGCTATACCCACAATTTTTACAAGGCAAAGAAATCCAAAACATATGCCAAAAATGGTAATGCCAGTTTCTCATTATTCATGTTGAATATTGTAGTTCTATGATAGATGCATGCATTGAACTGCTTAATCTGGGTACCATATTATGTGCCATGTTTGTAAGTTTAATTACACGTATCAACTTGTTGATCAGGAACATCATGTAAAATATCCTATGGATCCGGATCAATATCTGGTTACTTCAGTCAAGATAATGTTAAAGTTGGCCATGCAGTTGTAAAGTACCAGGTGAGTACTTTATTATGAGCTTCCACTTCAACTTTAGATTGTACATATTTGTAGATGGCAATACTTATTTTTACTATTGTGAACTTTAGGATTTCATTGAGGCTACCCGAGAAGGAAGTCTTTCCTTTCTGTCAGCAAAGTTTGATGGAATACTAGGACTGGGATTTCAGGAGATCTCAGTTGAAAATTCTGTGCCAGTATGGTGTGTTTCAACCTGCCTTTTGTTGGTTCATCTGTATCTGATTTCCATGTTAGAGTGAAGTGCTGTGAGTCTTTTTGTGCCTTTAATTTACTGGTCCATCATAAAATCACAGGTACAACATGATGGAGCAAAAATTTATCAGTGAGAAGGTGTTCTCTTTTTGGCTCAATGGGAATCCAAATGCGAAAAAGGGTGGTGAACTAGTTTTTGGTGGTGCTGACCCAAAGCACTTCAAAGGAAACCACACCTATGTTCCAGTTACTAGAAAAGGTTACTGGCAGGTTAGCAAAAACACATTTAGTTTGATCTGGAATTCCTTTTAAATATGTAAATATTCAGACCAGAAAATTTTTAACACATTACAATTTTCTTTTTCAGATAGAAATGGGGGATTTTTTCATTGGAGGTCTTTCAACAGGTGACTTTATTCTTCTTCCACTATACGTTCTATTATGGGAATTCACTAAAAAATAAAGTAGTGACTTGAGGATTTGGAATACGGTATGAGGAGCAAATCTAGAATGAATATTTTCACTCTCTCATACTTCAGAATATGTTTTAAGAAATATTTCTAGTCTCAACAAATTTTATCTTTACATTCATCATGTTTATTTGTTACATACGCTTTGATTCCAAAATGCATCTGATTCTGACATATATATCAATGTTTCTTAAAGGGGTTTGTGAGGGTGGCTGTGCTGCTATTGTGGATTCAGGAACATCTTTGCTTGCTGGTCCAACTGTATGTGCTTTCATAATTCTGAAGATTTTTTGCTTATAGATTTTCATTTATAATTTCTGTTGACTGTTAATTTCAGCCTGTTGTGGCTGAAATCAACCATGCTATTGGAGCTGAAGGAATTCTCAGTGTAGAATGTAAGGAAGTCGTTTCTCAATATGGAGAGTTGATATGGGATCTCTTAGTATCAGGGGTAGGTTCTCCTGCCTTCTCTATTAAGTTATGAATTGAACATCATTTGCGGCTTGTGCTCTTTTTCCTGATTGCATTTCCACTCTTTGGACCTAAATGACTTTGATCTTATTCTACAGGTGAAACCTGATGAAATATGTTCACAAATTGGTTTATGTTCTGCCAAAAGGGTTCAATCTAAGAGGTTAGGAAGAGGCCTTTATTTGATGGCCATTTGATATATATTAATGTCTCATTTTCTGGTTCCATGTATGCATTTTTCACCATAGTTGTTTCATTGCTAGTCAATTGGGTGAGGAAAATGCTCTAATACAAACAGAAATTTGTGAAAGCTATATGAATGAATGTGAATGCTTAAAACTTAAAAATATAGAAGTGGGTAATGTAGCTACTGTAAAACATCTTTATACATGGACCCCACCGCACATGGTTATATATATTTTTTTCTTTTCGTACTCATTTTTGTTCTTTCCTGCTAAATAGGATTACTGTTTGGGTAATAATTTGAAGATAATAGGTGGATGCTTGATGATTCTTTCTGATTATAAAAGTTAGAAAGCCAGAAATCAGACAGAAGTATTAATTCAAAGCATAAGCAAATAAGAAGAGAGATTTTTTTCAAAAGAACTTCCGTTATATTTATAATTAAAAACTTGTTGATTTATTCTTTTGCCATTGGGACTTGGGAGAGTTTAGCTCTTTATCACATTCATGCTGCAATATTTCGGATGAAACAGACTGCTAAATTACTTTGAATGTTATTACTGTGCAGCGCTGGGATTGAAATGGTGACTGAAAAGGAACAGAGTGAGATGACAGCTAGAGATACTCCTTTGTGTTCTTCTTGTCAGATGCTTGTTCTCTGGATCCAGAATCAACTAAGACAAAAGGAAACAAAGGATAGAGTATTCAACTATGTGAATCAAGTAAGCCTTTGAATTATCCTCTCCACAAGCTCAAGTAGTAGTTTATATTCATGTGGTTTAGAGTTTAAACATGTAGTGATGAGTGTTTGTTTTGATTGTTGCAGCTGTGTGAGAGCCTACCAAGTCCATCTGGAGAGTCAGTGATAAGCTGCAGTAGTCTTTCTAAAATGCCAAACATTACATTCACAATCGGAAATAAACCTTTTGTCCTCACACCAGAACAGGTTAGGCTTTGATCTTTCCATAAATTAAATTACATTGTGGCTTCTTTAAGATGATTATACTTCCAGAAATGTACCTGAAGTGTCAAAATATGGAATTGAAGTTCAAAGAAAAGCCAACAGTAATAACATTCCAAATGTTGTGGGCACACTAAAACTGAATAGCAAATTGAAGTGCAAATTATGCTGTTGTTGTTATCTATAGATTAAGGCTAACTTGTGAGTTGTTTTTATTTTGAGTCTAAGAATTCCTTTTGTGCTTTCAGTATATTTTGAGAACTGGAGAAGGCATTACAGAAGTGTGCCTTAGTGGGTTTATTGCTTTTGATGTTCCTCCTCCACGTGGTCCACTATGGTATGTTACCTTTTGAAATTATTTATCAATACAAAATCAAATATGCACACACTTGAATGCTGCAGAACAACCATGATGAAGTGAATTACATCAAATGTTCTAAGCTTTGTTCCGTGTTCTGATGCTACTATCTCTGGCAGGATTCTTGGCGATGTTTTCATGAGGGCATATCACACCATCTTTGACTACGGAAATCTCCAAGTTGGTTTCGCTGAAGCTGTCTAATTACACTTCTGAAGGATTATCTCTGGGAATATTTTAATTACTTTCTACGTGTATCATAAATAAGCTGTTGTTGTGACCACTATTGTAGCTTAGATTCACTTTATGGAATTGCAAATGTATTTATCTATTTAAGACTAGAAAATGCCCACTTGGAAAAATTATGTGCTTTCAAAGAACCATTTTCATTTCATTCCGTGTTGGGTAGAATATTATGCACTCTTTCTCTTTCAAAATTAGGATAGTCGTGTGTTATACTGATGCGGAACCTTAACCTGCTTTCTGTAGTCTGCAATGGATGAGTGGTAGAACTCTGTGATCTGCCGATGGAAACAGCAGCAGAAATGGAAAGGTTAAATCGACGACAAATTGGTCAAAAAGGATTTGGCTTAATAATACACTTGTTTTAATACACTTTTTGTTATTAGTTAAAATTTATTAGTAATTTAAAATATATGAGAGAAAAATACTAGTTTAAGAATAAGAAAGAATGAAATCTTATATAATTTTTATAGTTTTTAATAAATTTTAACAAATAAATGAAGTGTGTATAACAAATAGTATATTAGAAAGTTTAATGCTAACGTTACTCTTTGTTATAAGAGAAGAGAAATGATAGATCTATAGAATATTTGGACAAATTATAATACAATTCTTTAGATATTCTTTATGAATCCGAATTCGTTATTGCAAGAACTAGACGGTATAATTTTTTTTAAAAAAAAATTGAGTTGTAAGGGAACGAGAGGGAAGAGCTGAGAGAGCCGGAAGGAGAAGGAAAAGTGAAAAACGAATCTGGATCATCTAATTTCGACGTAAACTGGAGCTCTGTCTTCATTCTTTATACTATTTTTCAACTCAAATTAGAACTTCATCTTAATAATTAAACATTTGATGATATCACAAATTGAAAACCCATAATTTTAATTTAAAATAACCCTTAAAACAGCTGTTAAGTTATACCTAAATTATCTTTTATATACCTCCAATAGGATAAACCGAGGGTTCAAAATTGCTTCACCTTCAGTAAAATTTTCAGCCGGTTTTTTAAACTCAACTATTTTGGAATAAGATTTTTTCTGAATCTTATGATAAAAACACTAGACGAAAAAATCAGTTCCTTGAAGTCTCCGTAGGTATTATATTAACGCGCAAACGCTTTACATCGAGGTTTTACATTGTGTTCTTTGCCATCAGTAATATGAGCATAATGGTGAGGTGAACCTAGTTAAAGCTGATCTGCAATATATTAGAAATTACACATCTATGTCGTTAGGCATTGGCTAGCCTTTGTAATTCAAATATTGATGGAACTAACGATGTTAACCATGGCACTCAAGTCAAGATCATCCTTGCAAACATAACAATGTCACATAAGCAATATTTATAGTCTACCAAACTCTCCAAATCATCACGGAATCCCAAATGTATTTTTTGTCTCCTTAAACTGACCATGGTGACAAATAAATAAAACATCTAATGCAAACCAAAACACCCAGGAGATAATGTTCATATGTTGCTGCAAGAGTAATGTTCAGCTATTCTTCATCACTATCATTACTAAATATGGAGGACACCGAAACATTTTGCTTCTTTGCAACATTTTGCTTCTTGGCACCAATCGTGTTCTGCAAGAAATTGCGGGAAAGGGAAAATAGTGTTAGCATATAAATGGTCTGATTGGATAAATTCACAACCTCCATTCCATCAAAATTGAAAAATAACTCCTCACATAAAGTGCATTGGAGTGCTGAAAAAATATTTTATGCATAAACATGAACTTTGTAAGAATGCAAAAGCAACACTATATCAGCAGAGTTGAAACTGCTAAGACTTGACTTGGAACAAATCATGAAGACCTGGACTATGGGAATACATAAAAGCCAAAGCATTCTGAACTCTTAAGCACTATTGACAGTGATTAGCTTCTTTTCAAACCCTTTATACTGGATGGACATACCTTAGAAGCATTGCCTTTAGAAGAAAACCCAAACTTCAAAGTATTTCGCTGCTCCTGATCTGTAAGTGCAGTAGCAGTTCTAGTTTCGGCAGAAACTGGTGCCGATCCAGACTCGTGTTGCAGTTGAAGCCGCTGCTGCTTTTGAGCATCAGCACTGATTGATATTAAGGAAGCCAAAAACCAAGACAACACGCAAATAAGTCAGTAAGAATTAAAACATTGATTTCTTGGCCAACCACCCAACCATAGCCAAAACAATAAAGGGAGAGGAGAATAAAAAAATATTGATACACCAGCAGATAATTACATTTGAGCAAACTTTGCCATTTCTCTCTCTTGCCGCTGCTGTTCTCGCTTTTGCCTATCATCCCGGCTACTACTACCGTGCATCTCCTTCATTTGTTTGAAGCGCTGTTTTTACATCAGGAATTTTGCGTTAGGAGAGTCATTAGAAACAATTTGGGAATCAAGTCAACAAAAACAAAAGCAAGTTAGTATTTAGTTAACTGTCTACCTTTCGGTGATTATGATCATAAGAGCTCAAGTGTGCTTCAAATTCCATCGCCAATTTGTATTGCTTGTTGCAGAGATCACAGTAAAACACCTTTCGGATTTCTTTCACTTCAGTTTGAATTTTTTGCTCACGTTCAGCTAACACCTGAATTTTCATAATGTGCACGAAGCAGGCAGAAGAAGCCACCAGGTAATAAAAACTGCAGGAAATTCTCAAGACCTTCCAAAGTTGATGGTTCCTTATGATATACCAATCCGGTCAAAAGACAGGCATATATGCTATATGCTGCCTTCTGCTATGAGGTGCAGGTTTGAGAAAATGTAAACATCAACCTCAAGACTACTATATGGTCTTTGCACTAAGAGCAGCTATAAATGAATTATAAATCATACCTCCCGCTTTTTCATGTGTTCCTCTGTCTCCTCCAACTCAACATCAAGTTTTTTCCGCTGGATATTTTCTTCTGCAGTGAAAAAATCATCTTCTTCTTGTTTACCAACCCCCAGCCTTGGATCTCTGATCCCAGATTTTATTGGCTCAATGATTCCTGCACACAAGCCCAAGTCAATTTGGAAAACCAAGATAAAGCATTTAAAATCAAGGACAACACTGAAATCAAATCGCTTTCAGTTAAAGCATTGTTCATTTAGGAATATATTAATACTGAAAGAAAGGAAGTGAAAAATGAACTTGTTACCAAAATGCCAGCTTCAATGAGGTAAGTGCAAATACACAGGTGATTCAATAAATGAAGCAATCAAGCACAGAACTAGGGAAATTACAACTTTATTCAAAAAGCAAAAAAGGGTTTCTGCTAAACTAGGGTGCCAAAGGTCAAGTTTGGAAAGATCATAATAAAAAGACAAAAACTACAATAATCTTGGCCAGGCTAACAAAGAACTACTGGGTATTGATCTATGAAATGAGGCTGCTCTAAACACCAAAAACACCAAGCTTTGAAGCAGAAGTTTTGTAAGTTTCCAAGGTATAAGATGTCACAGCAATCAATGATTAAGAAAAAATTCTGCCAGTTAATCAGCAACATCAATGGGATTGAAATCATGCTAGACAAGAAGAAGTTAAACAAAGGTAGAAGTTAAACTAAAGGTATCTTTTTCCTCCCACCCACAGCATAAGAATGAAGAAGTAGAGAAAGAAAGCAAAAGTTAAACAACGGCAGGTTGTAGCAACAATACAGAGGTACAAAAGAGAGGAGCACAAGAGGAAGAGGAGATACTCAAGATGAGTGTAAGGGCAAAGGCAACCCATGCAGCTGGCACAAACTAAATGCATTTTGTGAATCTTCATTCAAATAAACAAATTGAAAAATAATGAAGAAAGCTACTAACCTTGTTCATCCTTCCCAAGACCCTTTCCTTTCCATCCCATCTTTTGCAGAAGCTTAAAGCCAATATTAGATGATGCTAGCTGTGTGTCCAGAGACGCTTGCTCTACATTGTCCAGATCAACATTTTCGGTTGGCCTGTGGTTAATTGGCAAACGAAAATCATCTGACAAATCATCAATAAGGGAGTCCTGATATGCCTGAAAAACTAAATAATGTTAATAAAATGGGACTTACAGTAATAATTGTGCATCTAAAATGCCTTAAAGACACACATTATCATTAAAGTTAAACTTTTTAAAGGCTTCAACCAGTAATAATAAAAATAACACCCACACAAACGCACACATACAAAACTCTACATCTTCAAGAGAAAATCAGAAAAAAGGACTCAACTGGGGAAAAATATGCCTATTACCTGTTCCCTTTTAGGTTGTCTCCTGTCACGGCCACCAATTTCCTGCCTACCATTGGTCCATCGATAGTCCATTTTGGTATCTACTCAATACAAGAAGCATGCATAAGGTGTAAAGATATAAGCATCGACAGAGTGGATGCATTACTTTCCAGATACAGGTACCAAAAATATGAGCGAAAAGAAGTGCATATATCATGAATCTAATATTGATTGATACATATACAGGGTAAATTTTACAAGAAATACATATATACTCTGATGAAAACAAAATTAAACAGATAAATATATAAGCCAAGCTTGTATTAAACAGATGACACCCAACTCGTTCACAGCACTTGTATTAAAACATCTGAAAACACAAACTCTGTAACCTAAATCAAATTTGCCAAAGGAAAAAAGGTCAATACGACATAAAATTCAACTAGCCAAGCTAGTACCAATCCCCTTTCCAAAAGAGACGATTTTTCTACTACCCTTTTGAAATTTAACTAAAACACAATAAAGAGAATCCTGGGGAAAAAACTGAATCAGATCTAGGAAACCCTAGCTTAATAAAATCAATACTAGGAACGATAATAGTCCGAGAAAGGGAAGAACCTTGATGATGGATGGTAAAAATTCTGGCAAAACAACGCTGCTTTGATCTCGTCTTGTTAGATTTCACTTTTCAACACGGTCTTCAGTGCGAGATATTCAGATGTGAATGTGATAATAATTAGATCAATGCCACGACGTAAAATTATGATATTTTAAAATTAAAAGAAAATAAAATAGAAAGACGGGAAAAAATAAATAAATAAAGGAGCGGTGGATATTGATTGATTATTGGGTTGGTTTTAATAAGTGGGCCTTAAAATCAGTTTTCTAGTTTGGGCCAATGCATTAATTCTACTGAACCGAAATAAAAAAATAGTTTCGATCTCAGTGATTGATCGACCCAATATATGTATATATGTAATTTTTTTTATAACAGTTAGTTTTTTGCAATTACATAAACACTGATAAATTTAAAATAAAAATATAATTTTAAGTAAAGGTAAAATAATATATATTTTTTAAGATACATTTTCAAAATAACTAGATTTTTTTTTATTAGATACGATTAAGTGAAAGAGATAAATCTTTAAAAATTGAGGAAAAACTATAAATTAGGATAATAAAAAACATGATCTTTCTATGCTTATTAATTTGGTATGATGTGTCAAGATTTAAAATTTACAATTCAGTTTAAAATTAACTAAGTTTACACAATGATATCTAAGAGAAATATAAAATAAAAAAAATAGTTAATACAGAGAAGCCATATAGCCTAATAAGAAAAATAATAACTCTAAGAATTATCTTCTCAATAATAAAGACTCGTGTTTATATTATAGAGGTGGATTAATATTCGACAATATGATATTATACTACTTAATACACATATCTATGCAAACAATTAAAAGCATTAAATAATATAGTAGACAGTATTTGATATGGGTATAAAAGATTATATTAGGAATACATCAAAATTATGTTTAAAAAAAATATCATTTTTTAAAACTAAAAATGAAGTTGTCACGCTATCTCAATAGATCTCTGAACAATTATATAACATTTTTTATGGAAGTATAATTATATATAATTGAAATTTTATTGAATAAAGATCATGTTCATATCACGATAAAATGTTAAATAATAAATAGCATGCTTTATATAAAGTCACAGACCGTATAATACACGGGTTCCCATTTTGTATTGTTTCCTTTTCCATGCATAGTCAAGCAAAATAGAATTTATGCATAAAAACCTAGGAAAGAAAAGGGCATAATTTTATTGCCTTTCCATGATGGGTAGAAGGTAATTCTTCTCAGAATATTACGAAGATGTCCATCTTTTCTTGCTTTCACCATTGGCTTCTAGCATTTAAGCAACATAACCGTATTCGTCATGTGTACGTAGATTCCACCCAAGTCAATTCATGAGTATGGCACTTATAGTCCAAAATTAAAAGGGATTGTTCATTATTGTATTTAATTTAATTGCGATCAAGTATAATTTTCTTCACTATCATCTATACATTTGATCACGTAATAACATACAATTGAATGATAAAATGAAAAAAAAATCACATTAATCATTAATCAAAACCAAACCCATCAATATAAATGTTTTATAATTGCATATACCAAGCTTGTAGTTCAAATATTAATACACAGAACTGGAATTATTCTTCAGTTCAGCATAATTTTGAAAAGCTTAGATGTGATTACAGCTAGGAAACATCATTAAGGACTTAAAACAGTAGTTGTAATGAAAAAGAAGGAATAAAGGGTTTTTTGTCTAAGAGTACAATTTGGGTATGCCAAAAGCTCGTCCTTACAAATATTTTAGTGGAGATATTTTGAAGATTCCACAATAAGTCGACAACTTGCATGTGATTAGGCAACGACGGAGAATAGTGAAGAGTTCATTTCCCCGCAACAGCAATATCCATGTTTAATGTTAATCTTTGATATTTTGGGATTAATACTCTGTATGTTAAAACTTGTAATGGTGGTTTTTTCAATTGGGTTCTCATCAGCGTGAACCTTTCTCTTGTGGTCGTAGCTGGGTGCCACCAGTTCAAAGCCACTTAGTGCTTTCTACGGTTCATGGGGAAAGCTTAATAGAAATAGAGAATCAACTTTATTTAGAAGCACCTAAACGCTCCTTTTGTTTTAAAAAATTTCAGAAACACTTGAACCTTACGCTCCTATATTATGCATGAACCAAATTAATAAAGCTATTTATGACTATCTGTCTTCAATTTTCACTTAATAACGATTATTATTACTTGCTCTTATTATTCTACACACTAAAGCTACGGTTGATCTGGCATTATATTAATGCAAGCTGGTAGGTAACTTACTTAAACAACGCGTTCCACAGTTCATGTCATTTGTACAAAATAAGCAAACTTTTTTAACATAACAATTGTATATTATGCGCTGTCACATCTGATAGTGGAATTGTGCTTCTTAGTTTATAATTAAAATCAATGTCTGGTTAAATCAATCTTACAAATTGATAAATTGCTCTAGATCTTGCAGAATTTATAGGTTTGTTAAAGTTAGTATTATCGCAATCCATTTGCTTTGGCAAACCTAGTTAAGACAGTGACACATTTTCAATAGCTGTCAATGCCCAAATGGCAAATTAGAGAACATAGAGTGATGCATATAAACAAAAATAAAAAATGTTTCTTACAAAGAAAGAAAACAGTAAGTGGCAAATGGAAGCCCAACAATTGTCAAATTTTCATCATCGAACGGAGACAGCCAAGATGAAGCCTATGACTGAGTAAAACTAGCGGACCACAGAAATGTGCCTTCAACAAAAGTTGGAATAGTGTTTATTGTTCCATGTCAGCTTTTTGGACCATGAATATTGATCATAGCAGTGGTTTGAATCAGATTCTCCACCTTTGTCTCAGTTTAACAAAGGTGGCCTAACTTGCACTATAAATTGAGACCCCTAGCATGCAAAATGTAACACAACACAACTAAACTACTTCAAGTTCCTTCCTCTTCCAAGTCACTAAAAGAGCCACCACTTGTGTCTTTCATATTCATAGCCAACGATCATGGGTGGCAAAAACAGGCAAAGGAAGTCTTCATCTTTTTTTTCTGTTTTCAGCATTTTCAAATCTAACAACAAGCAAAGAGGGGGAGGTAACTACAACAACTATGAAGAAGGACCAAAGCTTGGTACCAAAGTGTGGCCTAGTGATGAGGACAAAGGTCGTTGGGGGGTAGCTGATCCTGTCATTGACATCAGGGCTACAGCTTACATTGCTCAATACAAGAAGCGCATTTCAGAGTCTGAAATTCACTGTCAAGCTCAATCCCAGCACTAGAAAAAATTTTCATATGAATTTTTTTATTGTACCCTTTATTGTATTTGTCTTTAGATATTGTTCATTACATGTAATTGTGAAGCACATTTAATAAATAATATTTAATATGAGAATAACTTTGTTATTTCTAATTTTTTGTCTTAGTTGTTGAAGCAGAGCATTTTTTCTAGCGCATGTAGTCTTTCACAGTTCTTGAGTGTCATTAATTATACATTACATCTTTTCATCAGTTTGAGCTCAGTGCTGGAGGAGCTGCTATAAGTTTCCAAGTGCAAACATATGAGAATGTTGAAGTCAAATGTTGAAGTTGATTTGCAAGTATTAATATTTCTTCCAATTATAAAGAACATGGCTGAGTAATTGGAGAAAATATTCAATAATAAGTTACAACTATGATTCATAGGCACTTAAACAGTGTTATTCAACATCTCTCACTTTTTTATATTTTTTTAACTGTTATATTATATTATCTATCGCATTTATCACTTCTTTTTCTTGTATAATAAATTTTTTCCATTTACTCATTTTTGTTGACGACTTTAATAACGAGAATTAATCAGTGAGCTATGGCGCTTCACCATTTTCATGACTACGTGTGATCTTTTGTTTAGCAAATATGTGACAGTGGTTTGATGTTAATGGACAATTCCGAATGGATTCCTTTTTTGCTTCCATGATATGACGATTGGGACATCATATTCACCAGCATTTTTTGTGACTAAAGACTACCTTGATTGGTTTGACTGGAATACAATGTCGATTGATTTATAACAGAAAAATGTTTCTTCAACGTCGAAATAAGACAATAAAAATTTGTCTCTTTTGATTTTTAGAATATATTTTTAAAATGTATAATAAAAATAATTATATATGATATTTGGTTGGAATAATGGAGCAATTTATAATACAAGTTTAAAAAAGGTAGAGTAGAAAGGAAAAAAAAACATATTACAATTTTTTTGTTATCCTGGAAAGGAGTCTTCTTTTTTTTTCTCTTCTAATTGTTTGGAATTCACATAATTACTAAAGTAAAAAAGATTATAAATTAAACCATGAAATTTGACGAAGAGAAAAGGAGAAGAAGAAAAATTCTGTTAATGCTGTGTATTTTGTTAAATAAAAAAATTGTTTTTCTTTCTAGGATTAATATTAATTACATGTATTAAAATATAGTGGCATCACTAGAAGTAAAATCGACCAATATTTTGACGCCCGTTAAGTTAATTATGTTTTTAAAATTATTGTTTAACTAAAACACATGTTTAGAAAACTATAGTACTTATGTAAGTTTGTTTTTGTTAAGAAATGTGACTTAGATATAATTTTCGAAGAAATAAGTGAATGCCAGCTCTTGGAATCTTATAGACTTCGTGGAAGTGGGTTTATGGTTTCTTTAAGAAGCAAACAATACCGTACGTTGTACAACTTTCTTATCGACCTCTTTTTGTGCTCAAGTCACGATACTCCTTAATTTGCTCTCTCTCCTTTTTGGCCCTCCCTTTATTCCTTCCTTAATAGTTACCACTTACCACCATCTCTACCCATTTCAAATAATTGGCAAATTACATGCAAATTCCAAAGAGCAAAAGATGATCGTAACAGTACAATTTTCCTAGTGAAAGTTAAGGTATAAAACGCAATTCGTTGTGCCCCAGAAATGAAACGGAAACACATCATTATTCATGTTAAGAACCTCCATAGTCACAAGTGCGCCATCTAATTACCATTACTTGGGTGAAGTCTTAAATAAAGGAAAGAAAATTATTGAAATTAAGTTAGGCGTAGGCTTTGCTAGTTAGGGGAGTAGGGAC